TAAGATAATCAAAAAAACCTACATTTTCGGCAATTTCGTGAGCAGTTTGACAAACCACTTTATGCTCCTTGTGTAAGTTAGACAATTTCCAAAAGAAATCTATTAGAAGCCAAAACGAATGAAATCTCTGTATAAGTATTTCTTCGAATCTGAAATCAAAATTGATAAAACTGTTAAACAGAAACAAAGACTTACCTCACGGTGATTGAAATAGTACGATGTCGTTCCTTTACCACATGCGGTTTTACGTTGGTTAAAGTTGCTGTTAAAAAAATAATAGACAACAATATAGCTTGTAATTATAAATACAATCTCGTCACGTTTAAGTGAGTGAAAGTGAAATAATTAAGTATGCGCAAAATCTAAGCAACGAAAATAATAAAAAACAGAATAATTTACATAAATTTGTTTAATCTTAGCAAACTCGCCAAAGTTGTTTACCTAAAGCTGCATCAAATGTTTTTTCCCATATGACTCGAAGGAAATCAGTTTGTTCGACGCCTTCTTTGTCATCTAAAAACTTCACCATTTCTTTCGAATAATTGACAAAGATATCATGATACGAATTCAAGATCTTCGAATTAAAAGAGGGATTGATCATTTTTCGATGTTCTTTCCAGATACTAACTGCGAATTTTACAATTTATGACTGTGAGTTAAGGAAATTTTTGTACCTTTTGAAGTTAGCAGGGTGTCTTTCATTATGTCATTGAAATTCTCGTAGAAAGGTGACTTGTTTAGACAGTTTGTTAATATTTTTTCTACATCTGTCGGTCGCGTGGTCGCTATGTACAACTGGGAGCCTACCCAGAATTTGGTAACTGGTCTCCAGGAGTCCAGCTTTCCACAAATCAGGTCGAAAAAATCTGATAAATAAATGTGTGTTATATTTCTTCTTTCGATAGTAATTTAAATAAAAAAAACTAAATTTTATTACTTACTATCTTTTGTTGCCGATAACAGGAACGCACTTCCCACGAGGGGCACTGAGACAGGTCCAGGAATTCTCCAAGCGTGATATAACAACCATCGTTTTTTCCAAAGAACCGAAATGGTGATAATAATCACACAAAGAACGAAAATCCAGATTAGCATAGCAAAAGTAGTAAACACACGACAGTTTTTAAGCAATTTATTTTCAGAACGATACTCTTGACCTACCTAACTGCATTTAATTTAACTTCTTGAATCAAAAATTCAATGTTACTAAACCAAAAAACTGGATATAATGGTTGCTTTTACTTGCGTCATCGGTGCGAACCTGTTCCAAAAGTATTTTTCCAGAAAATATTGCACAACATCTGAATGATTATTAATTAGAGTCTATGCAAAATGTTTACTGCATGCATATATGGCATATTTTGCTATTTTATAGTATATTTTTCACATATTTTCAATAATAGGTACAATATAGCAATACTTTCCGTACTGTGAACACTTATATTTGTGATATTTAAACTTTGTATTTTATACACCGGAAAAGAAGAATAAATTTGACTTATCATTTTTGGTTAAAAAATTTTGCGATTTTAAGTATCGTACTCATTTATTTATTTTTAATTCAATTTGAAGTTTACAGAGAGGATACACCTATATTAACTACAAACATAATAAGTATGAAAAACAAAAACACAGTTCAAGATTGCTGGTCAAAAAACACATCTAACAATTTTTTAAATATATTCATTGATGGAGCATTTACTGCTTCCTCTGGTAAATCATTCCACATATTAATAACTCGGTTAGACCAAAAGTGAAGTGCTCTAAATTGTGGTTTCAAAATTTTTTGGGAATGACCACGAAGCTGCGGAGTTTTATTTAAATCAAAAAGATTGACACTGGACAAATCCCTGAAAGTGTGAAGGCTTGAGGAACTCCGTTTGGGACCGGTTGACTTTCACACAAAAATGTTCAAGTTTCAAAGGAAGTCATGTATCTGAATAGTGGAAAATGTAAATTAAATTGTATTAAAAAAGATCCTTAGTAAGCTCCTAAGGACTAATTAATAGTGTCTCCGATCTTGGTGTAACATTCAATTAATATTAATAGTTGTAATCTTGCGTTTTTACTAGCAGTGGAAAACTGGATTTTCCCATTTATATCACAATTTTTTATAACTGCATGGAAGACCATTACGAATATGACACAAGACGCTACATAAACAAAACAAATTCATTACTATCATTAAATTTGGAAGACGGAGGCAAAATATTTGTGTAAACAAAAAAGTTTAACCGGTATTTCTAGTTTTTTGAGTTTGTCGAAACAATCGCGGGACAACCGTTTTGATATCTTAATGTGAGGTCGGTTTCATTTAAAATGTCCAAAATAGGATGAGACTGTACTTGTGATTTATCATTCCATTCATATTTTTTAGTTTTGCTTATAGGGAGTGTCTCAAAAAAATTAATCACTGTGTCAATTTATTTTACTGATTGAATCAAGACTTGCAAAACTGAATTTTGAAATATTGCAGACGTTTTGAAGTTACTGTTTGACATGGTACGTTTTTAGTCAAAATATATCTGTTTATCAAGCCCAAAAACTTGATGACGTCATCTCAAGATTTTGCCGAATAAATCCTATCTAAAATGTGCAAATATCATCAATATATTTTCGTAATTTATCATTGCATTCATATTTTTTAGATTTGCTTTTACAGTGACTCAAAAAAATGTATGGATCAGTCAATTTATTTTAGAGAATAATTCAAGAGTTGCAGAAATGACATAATTAATATAATTCATAATGTTAAATATGATAACTATTAATATATGATAATTAAACCGAAATCCATTTTCCTAAGAACACGAGGTTAGCAAAAACAAATTAGTTTGTTTAAACGTTGTTAAATTAACCCCGAAAATGTACAATTTCTGATCTACAATATGAAAAATAATTTTTGTAATCTCATCGTGACGTACGATGACGTCACTGTCACGTGAGCTATCTGATAAAAGGTCACCTTTTCGCTCCTCCGTGTTCAGTTTTAATTCCGGTTTGGTGGCAGCAACATCGGAGCTCCATTTTGGGTTAAAAGTAGCACGTGTTCGCGAATTTTTAACTTTTTGTTAATACACATTAGCGAAAATGTTGTGTTAAGTGCTGTGAACACGAAGAAAAGTGGATATTTTTCCAAAAATGCCCGATTTTTTTTAAATTAATTGTTAATAACATGCATTCAGCACTGATAAAGTACGGCTTTAGAATATACAAAGTACTGCGTTCATAATTCACAAAATACCGTATGCATCATTCTTAAACTACTTATTAACTATTTCTTAATGCAGTTTTCAAATATTCTCCAAAATTACAGTTTATCGCTAGTTTCTGAATCGCCATGTAATGATAATTGTCTTAGTATTAAAACTAGAATTATTTAGCGGTATGAATTAATAAACGGTTACTTTTACTAAAATAAATAAAAAAACATAACGAATTTTCTATTGTATATCGCATTTTATTGACACAAACCATAAAAAATCAATTGCAGAAGTTCGAAGGACCGAAGGATAACAACCATGTTCGCATTTATATTCTAACGTCTTTATTATAATAATTACAAAACTACCGATGCATTAATTAATTACGTCCTTTCCGGCCTTGTATCCAAAATAGCTATATATTAGTTGTACAATATCTGATTAATTATTTGATTTTTTAGCACTTTATTCCCACTAACTGTAATAAATTTAATTCCTTCTTGATATATTGAAGGGGCTCGCGTATCGTATCCTTTTTAATAATAATTACAGACCTGAGTTATATGATCAAAATTTTGCTAAAATAGGTCTTGGTAATAATAAATTAATAGTGAATACATTAGAAACCACTTCTCATGCCAGTCTGTTAAATATGCATTTTTATGCAATTAATTTTTTATCATTTGCGTCAATAACGATTTTTGTTTATTTTAGTGAAAATAACCGTTTATATCTTTTTTTAATATGTACTAAGAAAATTATAAAAACTGTAATTTTGAAAACGGCATTAAGAAATAAATTTGTTTTTGGTTTTAAAAGTAATAGGCACTGAGAAAAAAAAAACAAACAAAACAAAAATGAAAATCCAGATTAGCATAGCAAAAGTAGCAAATACACGACAGTTTTTAAGAAACTCGCTTTTAAAATGATATTCTTTTACCTACCAAACCTTATCTAATATATCTTCATGGATCAACGATTCAATGTTACTGGACCAAAAAACTAGATATAGTGCGACATCGATGTGAACCTGTTCCAGAAGTGCGTATTCAACGAATTTGCCAAAACATCTGAAAGGTTATTATGTTTTTTTTGCACTTTATGCCTATTAGCTGTTACTATTTCTCACCATATACGTGTAAATTTCTATTCTGAAATGTTCATTAAACTGTATTAAATTTTTATTTTATTAAATTTGTAATTTTGACATAACAGTGACAACTAGGAAGACTTTAGTGCTTTAACAATAATAACTGATTCTCAATATGGTTTTATCAAAGGTCGATCAACATCGACGATTTAAAAATGTTTAGACGAAGAACTTGCCTCGATGACTGTTTACTTCTTCAAAATGACATTGATGCATTCTATCACTGGTGTTTAAGTAATAGTCTTTCTGTTAACTTTGACAAATGTCGTAATATGTCCCTTATAACAATGATTAATTTCCAAGTTAACTGTCCTCAGCTTTCGAAGCAGTTAAACTTAATAATAGTATACTGAAAAAGATTTAAAAAGTGCAAAATGTAGTAGAAACATCTGAGCTCGAAATTCACTTTGTATTAATTTAAATAAATTACTTTAATAACATTTTTATCATATCAACAATTATTTAAATTACCTAGTACGGGTTTAAATAGAGGCCACCTTCGGGAACGAGTTAATCGAGTGTAGTCCAAACCACGAGAGGTGAATTCAGTGGAACCGAGTCCAACGAGTGTCGAGAAAACCCAGTGAAGAAGAATAGTTTGTACAGAATCGAGTTATTAAGAAATAAATTGTTGAATTTTACCCACGCCGATTTTAATTCACCGATCAACGTAACAATATTAACAAAAAAAGTCAAAGATTAGAGTTACATGGTTTTTTAAATATCAAACACTAACAATTATTTTCAACTCTACACAATGTGATATCTCATGATTAAATAGAAAGAAAAAAGTGTTTCCCCTCATACAAATGGATAAAGTGAGCTGACACATGCACCGAGTGCATGTGATCAAAATTTTCTTTTTTCGAAACGTAAACGACTATTTTTAGCCTTCAGCATAACCATATAGTCCCACTGCATGTCCTTAAATGATTTCATACCAACAGTTTGTAGTTTGAAGTTCCTCAGAATCGTCGCAACCATTATTTTCACCTCCATCATAGCAAATCTTAGACCTAAGACAAAGTTACCATAAAATACCACTGCTGGTAAATACAGACCTATACAGTTTCTGGCACCAAAACTGAAAGGAATGTAGGAACAACGATGTCTTTTCGCAACTTCATCAGGGAGAAACCGATCTGGATCAAATTTTTCCGGCTCGGGCCACACGTCCGGATCTCTGTGTAGTAGCACCAGGGGAATGACAAGGTTAGAGCCGGCAGGGAAAACATAAGGATCTGGAAACACGAAAAATGTATTGTTTGGATCGACCTTCTAAAATATATTACCGCATTTAATGTCTTCGTCAGCATATCGCAAAATTAAAGGAATTGTGGGAACTAGTCTCAAAGTTTCTTTAACAACGCGTTCTAAATAATTGAGACGATTGAGTTCTTCCTGAGTTGGACTCTTCTCCATGTCTGGCAGAACTGAGACCAGTTCCTGATAAACTCTTTCCTAAAAGAGCACTTTTATCGTTATATTAATATTTTTCGTGATTTACCTGAATGTCTGAGTAGATTCCTAAAATCGTTAAAACAGTGTTGACTGTGAGTGCTGACGTTTCGCTTGCTACTGTAATCATAAAATTCGTTTCTTCTAAAATTTCTTCACGGGTGATCTGCTTGGTTCGATTTAATTTAGTCAAATTTGGTAGAAATCGCTTACTTTCGATAGTGTCATCTGAAAAAAAAAACTGTTAACAATCGTTAAAAAAAATAAATAAATAGTAAATGACTTATGACTTTATACACATACCATTTCTGGCTTCGGTTTCATATGACATGTATTCTTCTGCTATTATCTGAAAGACAAAAATAAAAGTTAAAATTTTGTGATATAATTAATAAAACGTACGTTTTTGGCAATTTCGTGAGAAGTTTCACAAAGGATTTTGTGCTCCTTGTGTAAGTTGGATAATTTCCAAAAGAAATCTATGAGAAGCCAAATCGTATGAAATCTCTGTATAAGTATTTGTTCGTATCTGAAATCAAAATTGATAAAAACTGTTAAACAGAAACACAGACTTACCTCACGGTGATTGAAATAATACGTTGTCGTTTCTTCACCACATGCGGTTTTACATTGGTCAAAGTTGCTGTAAAAACAAGCTCAGCACGTTTAAGTGTAAATTAAGTATGCGCAAATCTAAGCAAAAAAATGTACCTAAGTAACGAAAACAATAAAAAGCAGAATAATTTACATAACTGTTTAGATTTACGCATAAATTTGTTTAAATCTTAGCAAACTCGCCAAAGTTGTTTACCTAAAGCTCCATCAACTGTTTTTTCCCAAATAACTCGAAGGAAATCCGTTTGTTCGACGCCTTCTTTGTCATCTAAAATCTTCACCATTTCTCTTGAACATTTAACAAAGGTATCATGATACGAATTCAAGATTTTCGAATTAAAAGAGGGATTGATCATTTTCCGATGTTCTTTCCAGATACTTCCTGCGAATTTTACAATTTTTTTGGCTGTTCGTTAAAGAAATTTTAGTACCTTTTGAAGTCAGCAGTGTGTCTTTCATTATGTCGTTAAAATTGTCACAGAAAGGTGACCTGTTTAGACAGTTTGTTAATATCTTTTCTACATCTGTCGGTCGCGTGGTCGGTATGTACAACTGGGTGCCTACCCAGAATTTGGTAACTGGTCTCCAGGAGTCCATCTTTCCACAAACCAGGTCAAAAAAATCTGATAAATACTTGTCTGTTACATTTCTAAAACTAAATTTTATTACTTACTATCTTTTGTTGCCGATAACAGGAACGCACTTCCCACGAGGGGCACTGAGTATGGTCCAGGAATTTTCCAAGCATGATACAACAACCACCGCTTTTTCCAAAGAACCAAAATGATGACAAAAATTACAGCACAAATAAAAATCCAGATTTCCATAGCAAAAGGAGTAAACACACGGCAGCTTTAAAATAATTTATTTAAGTGGCAACCAGCTTTTAAAACTGTACGCTTGTAAACTGGATCTAGTTTCTAATCAATCGTCAAGGATTCATTGTTTTGCTAGATCATACCAGTTAGATAATTATCCACTGTGGAAAAGTTTGCAATGCTAAAGAAAACCTGTTGTAAAATTAAGTTTTCAAGGAATTTCACAGAGGGCATGGGCGCCGGCAGGATTATTTGCAGGGGGGTGCACCCATATATTATAGGATATAGTATATTTGCTCCATTTTCGAACTGAATCTGGGGATGAAATTTTAAAAAATCATTTAGAGTCAGGAGCAAGAAACTCTTTGTATATATCGCATCAAATTCAAAATGAATTGATTGAAATTTGTTCTGATGTTCTGAAGAGTAAAATAATTGAGGAGGTGAATCAGGCAAACGTTTTTTAGGTGTTGGCTGATGAGACTGCTATCGATTGGATTTCGGTATTTGCGTTGTGATCAAGACTATAAAAATCCAATAATTTGCGAAGAATTTTTAGGATATGTGCCGCTGCAAGAACTGAATGCGGAAGCCATTTCAAAAACTATTATCCACTTCCTAGAAGATTGCAATTTAGATTTAAATTAAAGTGTGTATTTTATACTAAGCCAGGGGGGTGCAAGTGCACCCCCTTGCACCCCCCTGCCGGCGCCCATGACAGAGGGTATGGATACTTGCTTACTAACGTAAATACATGAAGAGATATATCATCTACAGAGTTGCTAGAATATATATGGAAACGATTAAATATCTTGAGAATCATTTCTACAAATGAACTTAAATTAGGTATAAGGGTACAATAAGAAACTTTTTTTGCTTCACGTGTTTTCGAGATGCGAAATCAACTTGATTTTTTTAAATGGCACTACCATATAATTAATGCACTTTTGAATGGAGCGTTTTTTTTCTGAATTCATTGATGTAGCACAATCATACTTTCTTTCTGATTGAAATGACAAAATAAATTATTAAACAATAATTAAATAAATTTACCAATAACAACCGAAACCAAAATTAAGATTCTGCTTTCTACAAAAGATGCTCAAAATGCTTTCTGTTTACTTTCCGGCACCAAAAAAGACCCTGAATAAAATTTTGTAGTGAGTTAATGAGAATTTCTGGACGAATGCTAGCAGTTTCGTTACGTATGCGCTTCAGCTACAGCTACAGATCTGTAAAACAGTTTGACTTTCACCGATATTTTTATTACGAATAAAGAGGTACGTGCTCGTAGAAGCTTTAATAAACTTAAGGAATAACAATGCAAATACAGAATGCAAACGACAGCTAATTACTATCTAACAAACGTTCCCTATGGGATGAAGTAGTACTTTTAGCTACTGATTTGTTAACCTTACACATCACTCCCATTTCTTTCGTTGATCTGTAATTAGGTCTTGCACCCGTTGACTAACATACGTAATAATAATTCCTTTCGTTTTGCGATATGCTAAATGCATTCGTTCACTAGACTCGATTTGCTGACTGAATAAATTCGTTCCCGAAAGTGGTCTCTATTTATTCGCGACTTCCGCTTTTCAAACGTCGCGCGGCCGCGTCAGACGATGAGTCATCACCGCGGTACATACCAGAATAAACACATTCATACTAGAAGACTAAGGTATAATAATGATTTTTCTGTTTTGTGAGTGCAGAGTGCAGAGTGGTTGATTTGTCAGGCTCCGTTCCTTGGTTGTTTAAACGTGGTAAAACTTAATATTATTCATCATATTTTGTTACTCTACACATTAAGGTGTTTCTCTAAATGGAGGCTAATATAATTCTCGTATTTAGTAATTAATAAGGCCACATAGTGCGATTTATTGCACTTTTTAAGAAGTGGACATAAAAACCGCTCTTATCTATCTATTATTAGCAAAAGTAATTATCGGCGATCGGTGCGTGCACTCATCCACTTTAGATTTTAAATGTTAGATGTAGACATTTGGTTATTAAATAATGTCAAATTGTGGTAAATGTAAGTCCTCAAAAAAAGAGGGTTTGATTGGTTGCGAAGGATCGTGTATACTATCCTCAAACATATTTGGCGTTTATGACTTCACACCAATTTGACTCCCATTATAATTCAATAGGCCGTCACAACCGGATGTCTTAAACCCGCTCACCGATACCTACCTGAAAAGACCTTTTCGACGTGCCAGGGACGGTCGAGACGCGAAGGACCGGACTCAGAGTAATTTTGTTTGTTAAAATTTTCAAATTTCAAAATTTCCGTACAGAACATGATTTATACTTTGAAGAAAATTACACAAAGACACAATTATTAGAAGTGTTACACACTCGAAAATTTGAGAAACAATATAAAATAGATGCTATGGCGCGAGATCGTGGATTTAGGGTGATTAGACTTTCGCCGTACCATTGTATATTTAACCCCATCGAACTAATCTGGTCGCAAATGAAAAATAATATAAGAAGGAATAATACGGCACCAAAATTTAGTAGTGCAACAATTGACGTAATTAGGGAAGAAGCTTCCAAAATAACTGCCGAAATGTGGGCCAATTGTGTACGACATTCCACAAAAGCAAAAGATCAGTACAGGGCACGGTTGATAACACCGTTAATTATTAATTTAGAAGAGTCGAGTGATGATGACAATGACTATTTCGATCAATAAATAAGCAGTAGTAGTTAATAAGTAAATAGTTGTGCTGTAATAAAAAATGATTGAGTACAAAGTTACTTTGTTTTTACTTAAAATAAAAAACTCGAAAGGCGCAGTTGTCGGTAAATGCAAAACTCAGTCCTGCCCTGTGCTTTTGCCAGAAAAGGTCTTTTCAGGTAGGTATCGGTGAGCGGGTTTAAGACATCCGGTTGTGACGGCCTATTGAATTATAATGCGAGTCAAATTGGTGTGAAGTCATAAACGCCAAATATGTTTGAGGATAGTATAATAAATGGTTTCATCATTCATGTGTAAATTTTTCTGAAACTGAATTCAAATTATTAGAAAAATGCAAAAACTTGTTCTTCATCTGTGATGTTTGCAAAATTAATTGTCAAATGACTGAAAAATCCTATTTAAGTAACATAGAAAAAAATGTAAGTTCCATCAATGTTCAGATTGCTGAGCTTAATAAAAACAATGGGAAACAAGTTACAGAAATGATAGAAGGTTTTGAAAATTTGAAAAATGAGTTAACATCTGCTAAAGCTTTCAATCTCGAAACCTGAGAAAACTGATGATGAAATCACTTATGCTAAAGCCCTTAAACAAACATCAGCAATTATTTTTCAACCAAAGGATCAATCTCAAAGTGTATCGGCAACCAAATCTGATATCTTACGTAACGTTGATCCAGTAAAATCGGGTGTTTCAATAAGAAATACAAAAAATGGACACAATGGAAGTTTTAATTGTTCGATGCGATAAATCTGAAGATACAGAAAAAATTTCCAAACTTGCCAATGATAATAATTTGGGTGAAAAATACACCATTAAACAGCTACCTGTTATCAATCCTCGTATTAGAATCGTTGGTATAACTGATGAAGAAATTACTACAGAAAATCTCTCTGATTATGTAATCCATCAAAACCGATATCTCTTTGTTGGTGAACCGTACTGTAAAGTAATTGATAAAATAGTACCGTTACGAAAAGACAAAAAAAGGTTTCAAGCTATCGTAAAAATAAATCCGGCTACTTATGATAACATGATTAAAAAAGGTTACCTAATCGTTGGATATGATGACTGTCCTGTATACGATGCAATAGATATTAAAATATGCTACCAGTGTTGTGGTTATCACCATTATCAGAAGCAATGCTCTCAAAAGCTACCTAGATGTCCTAGATGTTCTGGCTCCCATGATGTTAAAAATTGCAAATCCGAAACCTTACAATGCGTTAAATGCACATTACTGAACACTAAACAAAGTAGCAATCTATCGCTTACCATAAAGCGAAAGCGGAATTTAAAACTAGCATTCTTTCAATTAAATAGCAATTAAGGACCTCATCTCCAGTTTCTAAATGTCCTAGGCGTATAGTGAATAGCAGTAAATATTTAAATATTTATTACCAAAATGTAAGAGGTGTTAACACCAAAACCTCTGAAATTCTTCTTAACTCTACTTTGATGTCCCAGTATGACTTAATAATATTAACTGAAACCTGGTTAAATTCAAGCTCTTTTGATGGTGAATATTTTGATGTAAAACTCTTTAATGTATTGAGAAAAGATCGCGATTTTTCTACAACAGCAATGCGTAGAGGCGGTGGTGTTTTAATTGGAAGGAGAATAAAAGTTATAATGTTAGAGCTTGAACAGTTTTACTATAGATTTGCTGAATTAAAACACATTGACATCATGTGGGTTAAAATTAAAGCAGAAGATCTTCATCAATGTCTACATATTATTGCTCTATACGTCCCACCTTCTTGTGGAGTTGATGATTATTCAATTCTTTTTGAGCCCTTAATGTCTGCAAATGTTGTTTATAAGTCAAATATAATCATGTTAGGTGATTTCAATATCCCTGAGTATATTAGCTGTTATTCGTCCAGTGTTATATCATGCAACATCTACTATGACTGTGACAATTTCAGCAAGTTTCTTGGTCGTTCCCAAAAAAATTTTTTTCTCAATTCTAATGAACGTCTTTTAGATCTTGTGTTTAGCAATACAGAGTGTCACGTAATTCATGCAGAGGAAGTGTTAACCCTAGAGGACGCGCATCATCCTGCCTTGGAAGTCAGTGTATGTCTCTTGAAGGAGAAAACAACTTGTATTCCAATCAAAACTCATGGTGAATTTAATTTTAAAAAAGCAGACTTTCCATCCCTATATTATCACTTATCCAAAGTTGATTTTTCGTTTTTAGATTCTGCAAAAGATGTCGATGGGGCTATTGAGTTATTTTACGACAAACTCTTAAATATTTTTAATTCTTTTGTGCCAACGAAAAGGCAGCCTCTCGGTACCTACCCTGAATGGTTTGACAAGGAAATTATTAAAAGTCTCAAACAAAAGCATAAAGCATGGCTGAAATACAAAAAAGATAAGTCGCTTTTATCTCTAGAATCATTCAAATTGTACCGAAGAGAAATAAAAAAACTAATTAGAGATGCTTATGACAGATATCTAAAACGTGTTACTGATGAGATCAAAGTAAACCCTAAACAATTCTGGACATTTGTTAAACATAATACAAAAAAGTTTGGTATACCAAACATAATGCAATATGATGATACGGAGCTAACATCACCACAAAATATAGTAGATGCTTTTGCAGATTTCTTTGGTAAATCATTTAATAGCTTGTCGGTTTCCAGTACTTCAATGCGTGAGAACAGTTTAGACAGCTTATATAAAAATATTATCTATTTGACAGAGATTAATGAAGATGAAATTCGTAATGCCATTAAACAACTCAAACCTACGTTGACAGCTGGTCCAGATTGTATACCCTCATTTCTTATTAGAGATTGTGCCTCCATTTTCTGTAGGCCATTAAACATTATTTTCAATTTAATAATAAAAAAATCTTATTTCCCAATGAAGTGGAAAGTATCTCGGGTCGCACCAGTCCACAAGAAAAATAGTAGAAGCAACATTGTTAATTACCGTCCGATTACAATTATAAATAATTTTGCAAAAATATTCGAAATCGTACTTCATTCTCGTATCTCTAATCACGTCTCCACTTACCTATCTCCATCTCAACATGGGTTTGTTAAGGGAAAATCCGCAGTCACTAATTTATTCTTAAAAACTCAGTTTATTTCAGAACGTTTAGATGCTCGAAGTCAAGTTGACTGTATATACACTGATTTTTCTAAGGCGTTTGATCGCATTGATCACAAAATCTTGTTGCATAAGTTACAAATATTTGGTTTTTCAAACAACTTACTTAACCTTCTTACATCCTATTTGCATCAAAGACATCAATATGTTTCCTATCGTGGATACCGTTCCAACAAATTTTTGCAATCGTCAGGCGTACCACAGGCTTCTGTGCTGGGTCCTCTGCTCTTTAATATATATATAAATAATGTCGTTGACGAACTTGATGTAAGGCATTTACTGTATGCCGATGATTTAAAAATTTTCTGTGAAATTAAAACAGCTGTTTAGGACATTTTTTATATTTTGTCGGTGCGGCCTCCACGTGTTGGCGGTGTCTTTGTAAGGCAGCTGCACGTGTGCGGATCTTCAACCTCTAAGGCGGCCGCCGTCTGAAGTGCGGCTCGCACCACCTCTGGCGGCGGGGTTTGGACGGGCTATTTCCCCCCTAATATCATGACAATTTTTGTATGGACATTAGCAGTGTAAGTCGGATCGTTGCAATGTAACCATCGGAGGTAGTAAAATAAAAACAAGTAAAAAATACAGTCCATTTATTTAATTTCAACTAATAAAAATCCAACAACAGCTGAGGACTGCTTACATCTTCAGGAAAATCTCAATAAATTGTGGAATTGGTCAATTAACAATCAGCTTTTGCTAAATAAGGACAAATGCTTTGTAAAATCTTTCTATAGAAAACTTGATCCAATAATTTATGACTATGCAATTGATAATTCAATACTAGAAAGGCCTGACTATATTTATGATCTGGGTGTCACTTATGATACAAAGCTAAAATTTGATAAACATATTGAAAAAATCGCGTCATCTGCTTACAAGTCACTTGGTCTCGTCATCCGAAACTCAGGTGCCTTTCAGAGTAAAGATATCTTAAAACCACTTTATTTTGCGTATGTTCGATCTCGACTTGAGTATTCTTCCATTATATTTAGTCCCATATATCAAGTTCACATTTCTGCTTTAGAGAAAATCCAACGTAGGTTTCTGAAATTTTTGGGTTTTCTTGACAATGGTACTTACCCACTTAGAGGAATTCCAAATGATATACTCCCCAGACGCTTCAACTTGCAGAGTCTTTCTTGTCGTAGGACTGTTGCCTTTATTATTATGCTAAGAAACATTTTGCATTCAATAGTAAACTGTGAAGATATATTAAACCTTTTATATTTTAGAGCACCGACAACTAGCCTAAGATTTAACTCTTTAATAAAGGCACCCTTTCCTAAGACTAATATAATGAAATCTTCACAACTATTTCAGAAACTACACCGCTACGCTAACGTTGAAAATCATCTTGACATATTCTGCTGCACAGTCAGAGATATAAAAAATCATTATGCTTTACTATAAACAGTCTATATGCTTGTCCTCTTCTACTTGTTCTTTTTTTTGTTAGTATGTCTTCCGTAAATGGGCTATAGCCTGTGGAAGGGTTTATCAATAATAATAATAATAATAATAATCCGAACATAAGAAACGACTGCTGTCGCCTCTGCAAAGCAAAACCTGAAACGATCCAGCACATAATCTCTTCCTGCAGCATCCTAGCACAAACTGACTACAAAGCTAGAAACGACAACGCCGCCAAAATCATCCACAAAGAATTAGCAACACTTATGAACTTAATCGAAGATACGACACCCTATTACACTTACATTCCATCTCCGTTCCTTGAAAACAACAAATACAAATTATACTGGGATCGCACAATACTTAACAGACTTAAACATTACAGCTAACAGACCAGACATCATACTTACCAAAAACACACAAACGAAGCCATTCTCATTGACATTGCTATTCCCTTAGATCATATAATAAATTTATTATATGATCTAAGGCTATTCCTAACACAAACAACATTATTCAAACATACCACACCAAGATTTCAAAATATCTACAATTATAGATAGAAATGAAATCCATGTTAAATTTTAAAAAAATTTCAATTCTACCCCTAGTTATCTCTAATGTAGGTATAGTTCCAAATAGCTTAGTTCAGAATTTAAAGTCTTTGCATTTGAATGATTCAATAATTGTCAAAATTCAAAAAGCTGTTTTGTTAGGAACATGTCATATTGTTCGTAAGTTTCTTGAACAGACTGATCATGTCAGTCAGATTAGATTAGCACCAGTAGGTCAGAGTAGTGTAGGTCACTTTCCAAGTGATGCGCGGATAAATGATCGGTAGTTACGCTAGACTTTTGGGGATGGGGTGAGATTAGAGAATAATAGCAGACTAATTTGTATGCTGTAATTCTAGAATCTCGAAAGTTGTTCTGTTAATCTAATCAATGCATATCATTACTTGGTCTTAGTACCCGTAATGATAGAAGTCTTGCCTGAATGCCGGTCATTTCCGGGTCAGTGGTGGGTCTTAATAATAATAATGTTTACCCAAATCAGGGTTTTCTACAAAACCTTGTATTAAAAAGATTTGGCATGGACAGTCTGCTTGCAAGAGGAATTGCTGAGTCAATATCCTTTTTACACCTAATCATCAATGCAAAAATTTATTGTCCAGAACTGCAATGTACTGAAAATGTCACCCCTCTATCAAGCGCTGCAAAATTATTCGTAGGTATATTGAATCAACCCAAAAATTTGAATACACAAGTCAGTTGTGACAGTTCTGAAGGCACACAAAATAGTCACTCTGTCAAACCAAAACCATGCCTGGCCCCTCCTCTCACCGCGACCTCAGTCGCCGGCCCATGCCCCGAAGCTCCCGCGACTTGACAGTCTACACCCTTCAAGAAATCGACCAACTCAGAAAATCTAACGCTACCATCAAACTAACTCGAGTCCAAGCCATCAAACTGTTCTTCTGGAACTCGAACCACAACACCGTGTGCTATCGAAACGGACAGAGTTGGCGTAAGGTTCTTAGATCCAAAATATACCAAGTGTACGTATTTCGTTGCTTCCAGTGTTCATGCTTTTATTTTATCCGCTTTTCATCGCCTTGATTTTGGGTTTGTTCTACGGGATGATGTTGATTATGATTACGTGCATTAAAACGTTCGCCAAGACTCCGGTTATAAATAAGAACTCGTTAACGAAGGAACCTTCGTATATTTAAGGTAACAAGAAAAGTAATAAGTGATTTGAAATTTTTCTCTGTTGTATTGGCAACGCTGCTTGTCTTGTCAAAATACAAATTTTGAGGTTATAATAAATGTTTTTTGTAAAAAAAAGGCTTGAATATTTTCCGAAAATAGCGCTAGCGATACTTTAGGTGACGTACTAAGAGTTGCACGAGAGTCAACAGCAGTTCGTTGATTTGAACCCAAATCCAGATTTTGAGGTTATGTACGTTGAACTAGTAACACCACGAATGGGCCACTTGAAACATCAATAAATAATTTTAGGCCAACCATGGTGTCAAATCTGGGATACTCTAACACCACTACTAACTGTCAAGTGTTCCCATACCCCATAACACCTCACCCTTCGTTGCAGCGTTTCAACTGTGAAGACTCAAACATTGAACCGTTTTACTGCAAATCGTGCAACTTTCAAGCCGAACTAACTGTTCAGTTCAAACAACACATTGAACATCGACATAGAGAAAGTTTTTTTGAAAAAAACTCACTTCAAAGTTACTTTTGTGAAAAATGTCTATTTGAAACACACTGTTGCATCAAACTACTTCAGCACGCCACACAATGTCTGAAAAAAACGAAAAATCGTCACACTATTAACTCTGCTAAAGCTAGACAAGCCAAAATTAACAAATGGTACAACTGTGACCAGTGCAAGCGCAAATACAGGTACAAACGCTGGCTAAAAAGACACCGATTTTCGGAGCACATGAACCTGGACGTCATCCCTTGGTACCAATGTGGTCACTGCACCTACAAGTGTAAGAAAAAACACTACTTAAAGCGCCACATCCACTTCAACCATTTAAACGCAAGCAACATTAACTGGTTTACGTGTGACCAATGCCCCTATAAAACCAAACACAAAGAATCGTTAAAAAAGCACCAAATCGCCCGACATTCCGACGAACGAGTCATTAAATGGCACGAATGCCAACACTGCCTCTACAAAAGCAAATTCAAATCAAACTTAGTCAGTCACATCAACATGCACCATTTAGACGAGCGCGATATTAAATGGTACGAATGCAAGGAGTGCTCATACAAAGCTAAACAAAAAATCACTTTAAAAAATCACGTCAACTCGCACCACTTGAGCGAGCAGGAAATTAAATGGTATGAGTGCAAAAAGTGTCCGCATAAAGCTAAACAGAAGGGGGCTTTGAAGCGTCACATAATCGCGAGGCATTTGGACGAAGAGGAGGTTAAATGGTACGAGTGCAAAATGTGCCCGTATAGAGCCAAGCAAGGCCGGAGGCTGGAACATCACATTATTGCGCTGCACTTAGACGAACAGGATATTACGTGGTATAGGTGTGAGCAGTGTCCGTACAAAGCCAAAGATAGTCAGAATTTGAAAAGACACATGAATTCGCGCCATTTGGACAAGGGGGATGTTAAATGGCACGAGTGTGAACGATGTTCGTATAAAACTAGGAGAAAGTCGAATTTGAAGAGGCACACGAATGCGTATCATTTATATTGAAGGGGTATTAAATTGTGATGTAGTTTGCATAAATAAATCGTTTTTTGAAAAAAAATTATTAAGATTGTGATGTATATGCAACCAGTTATACACAAATTATAAATACCTGTCAAATGTTGGCTCAAATTTGAGGTTATAATTTTGTTTGTTTGTTTATTTAAGAGAACGTTTGTGGCAATTTACCCTATTTTAAGTGAAAAAAGGTACGAAAAGTGTCGAACTTACAATAAAAGCTGACCAATGAACTAAAAACCAAACAAAAACAGACCCAAATTTTGAGGTTATGTTGACTAAAATATATTTTGACCTGCAAATTCCCCAATATAAATTAGGTGAGAAACAAATTAGTTATATAACACTAAGCAACAAGCGTCTTTAAAACAACATACCATTGCCCGACATTCCAACACTGAAGCCATTAAATGGCACCAATGCCAACAATGCCAATACCAAAGTAAATTCAAATCAAACTTAGTAAGTCACATAAACATGCATCATTTAGACATTAAATGGTATGAATACAAACAGTGCCCATACAAAGCTAAACAAATGGTAAATTTAAAAACCCACATAAACGCGCGACACCTAGATGAAGCAAATATCACGTGGTACGAGTGTCAAAAGTGCCCGTACAAAGCTAGAGACAAGCGTAATTTGAAAAGACATGTGAGTTCCAGGCATTTTGACAAACAAAGCTATGAGTTCGAAAAGTGCCCATTTAAAGCTAGTACAAGCGTTAAATGGCACGAGTGCTTGAAGTGCCCATACAAAGCTACAAGATTGTCGCATTTAAAAAGGCACGAGATTGCTCGACATTTGGACGAACGGGATGTTAAATGGTACGAATGCAAAAAGTGCCCGTTTAAAGCTAAACTTGGTCATTATTTGAAACGGCACGGGATTAGGCTGCATTTGGATGAAGAAGTTCGGTGGTACGAGTGTGAGGAGTGTCCGTATAAAGCAAAAAAGAAGTGGAATTTGAAAATGCACATGAATTCGCGCCATTTCAGTGAAAAGTTAAATAAGTAAATGTTGAATGATTTGTGTTGGTAGAACCAGAGAACATAGAGAAGCGTCATAGTTTAAATTAAATGACAGTGTTTATTTTTGGAAATTTTAGTTTGGGGACTTTTCAGTTTACTCCTATTTATTTTTCAATGTTTGGATTTTACAATTTTTCAATTTCTCGGTTTTTCAATTTTTGACTTTTATAAACTCTTTATTTGTCGATTTTTCAATTAATTGATTTTTCAGGTTTTTTGATTTTTCAATTTTTCGATTTTTTAAGGTTTCTATTTTTCAACATCACTTTTTTGATTTTTCGATTTCTCAATTTTTCAGTTGTTGGACATTTCAGTTTTGGGATTTTTCAGTTTACTTATTATTCAATTTTTCGATCTTACGATTTTACAAGTTTTTGATTTTTCAATTTTTCGATTTTTTTGAGGTTTCGATATTTCGACTTCACTTTTTTGATTTTTCGATTTCTCAATTTTTCGATTCTTTAGATATTTTTCAAATGTTTCGATTTATTAATCTATCGATTTTTCGACTTCCCGGTTTTAGATTTTCTGTTTTTCAATTGTCGTTTTTTCAATTTTTCGGTTTTTAAATTTTAGATTTTTCAGTTTTTTTATTATTTTTATTTTTCAATATCTAAAATTTTAGATTTTTCAATTTCTTGATTTTTCATTTCAGTTCTTTAATATTACAGTTTTTCAAGTTTTGGAATTTTTTAAATGTTTTGATTTCTTAATCAATCGATTTTTCAACTTGCTGGTTTTAGATTTTCTGTTTTTCAATTGTCGTTTTTTCAAATTTTCGATCTTTCAATTTCTCAAATTTGCCATTTATAAACTGACAATTATTCGATTTTTCAATTAATCGATGTTTTGATTTTCCCATTTCTTGACCTTCGAGTGTTTCGATTTCCCTGTTCTTCAATTCTTTAATTTTTTTATTTTTCAGGTTTTTGATTTTTTAATTTTTCGATTTTTTAAGGTTTCTGAAATTTTTCGACTTCACTTTTTTGATTCTTCGATATTTCAATTTTTCAAGTTTTCGAATTTTTCAAATGTTTCGATTTCTTAATCTCTTGGTTTTTGCGACTTTCTGTTTTTCAATTATCGTTTTTTCAATTTTTCGATTTTTAAATTCTAGATTATTTTGTTTTTTGATATTTTAATTTTTCAATATTTAAAATTTTAGATTTTTCGATTTCTTGATTTTTCATTTCAGTTCTTCGATATTTCAGTTTTTCAAGTTTTCGATTTTTTCAACTTCCCGGTTTTAGATTTTCTGTTTTTCAATTGTTGTTTTTTCAATTTTTCGATTTTTAAATTTTAGATTTTTCAGTTTTTTGATATTTTAATTTTTCAATATTTAAAATTTTAGATTTTTCGATTTCCCGATTTTTCATTTCAGTTCTTCGATATTTCAGTTTTTCAAGTTTTCGAATTTCTCAAATGTTTTGATTTCTTAATCAATCGATTTTTCGACTTTCCGGTTTTAGATTTTCTGTTTTTCAATTGTCGTTTTTTCAAATTTTCGATTTTTCAATTTTTCAAATTTGACATTTATCAAATATTTATAAATGTCAATTTTTCGATTTTTCAATTAATCGATATTTTGATTTTCCCATTTCTTGACTTTCGAGGGTTTCGATATTCCTGTTCTTCAATTCTTTCATTTTTCGATTTCTCAGGTTTTTGATTTTTCTATTGCTTAATTTTTCGACTTTTTAGGTTCTCAGTTTTTGGATACTTCAGTTTTCGAATTTTTCAGGTTTTCCATTTTTCAGTTTTTCGACATTTCAGTTTTGGGATTTTTCAATATTTTGATTCTTCGACTTTTCGATTTTTGGCTTCTGGAGTTTTCGATGTGTCGATTTTTTTACTTTTTCGATTTCTCAATTTTTCGATTGCTTAATCTTTCGATTTTTTGACTTCCCGGTTTTAGATTTTCTGTTTTCAATTGTCGTTTTAAATTTTTCGATTTTTCAATGTTTTGATTTCCCGATTTAGTCTCCCATTTTTAGTTTTTCTTTCATTTTTCACTTTTTAAAATTCTAGATTTTTCGAGATCTCGAGTTTTCAGTTCTTCTGTATTTTAATTTGTCAATTTCCGGAAGTTTTAAATTTTCGATTTTTCAAATTTTTCTCAATTTTTCGACTTCTCGATTTTTCGACTCTTTGATTTCACGATCTTTTGAGTTTTCCATTTGTCGGTTTTTCGAGTTTTGAATTATCCGATTTTTCAATTTCCCAATTGTTTAAATTCTGGAGTGTCGATTTTTCAGTTTATCGATTTTTAAATTTAAAGTTTTCGAATTTTTATTTTTTGATTTTTTGATATCTGGATTTCTCGATTTTTCAATTTCGCGGTATTTTAATTGTTCAACGTTTTAAATTTTAGATTTTCCGATTTCCCAGTTTTTTAAATTTTGCCCTTGCTAAATCGTCAATTTTCCGAATTCTCAACTCATCTATTTGTGATTTTCTTATTTCTCGACTTCTCAAAGTTTTTATTTTTCAGTTCTTTAATTTTTCCATTTTTCGACTTTGCCTTTTTGGTTTTTCGATCTCTCGATTTTCCAATTTTTTAATTTCTTAATTTTTGGAAGTTTCTTTCAGTTTTGGGATTTTTCAATATTTTGATTCTTCGACTTTTCGATTTTTGACTCCTGCATTTTTCGATGTGTCGATTATTTTACTTTTTCGATTTTTCAATTTTTCGCTTTTTAAATTTTAGATTTTTTAATTTTTAAAATTTTAGATTTTTCGATTTCTCGATTATTCATTTCAGTTCTTCGATATTTCAATTTTTCAAGTTTTCGAATTTTTCAAATGTTTCGATTTCTTACGCTCTTGATTTTTCGACTTCCCGATTTAGATTTTCTGTCTTTCAATTGTCATTTTGTCAAATTTTCGATTTTTTAATTTTTCAAATTTGACTTTTATGAACTCTCAATTTTTCGATTTTTCAATTAATCGATGTTTTGATTTTCCCATTTCTTGACCTTCCAGTGTTTCGATTTTCCTGTTCTTCAATTTTTTGATTTTTCAGGTTTTTGATTTTTCAATTTTTCGATTTTTTAAGGTTTCTATTTTTCGACTTCACTTTTTTGATTTTTCGATTTTTCAGTTTTTAGACATTTCAGTTTTAGGATTTTTCAATATTTCAATTCTTCGCCTTTTCTATTTTTGGCTTCTGGGTTTTTCGATGTGTCTACCATTTTACTTTTTCGATTTTTCAATTTTCCGATTTTTAATTTTTAGATTTTTCTATTTCTTGATTTTTCATTTCAGTTCTTCGATATTTCAGTTTTTCAAGTTTTCGAATTTTTCAATGTATTGATTTCTTAATCACTCGGTTTTTCGACTTCCCGGTTTTAGATTTTCTGTTTTTCAATTGTCGTTTTTTCAATTTTCGATTTTTCAATTTTTCAAATTTGACATTTATAACTCAATTAATCGATGTTTTAATTTTCCCATTTCTTGACTTTCGAAGGTTTGGATATTCCTGTTCTTTAATTCTTTAAATTTTCGATTTTTCAGGTTTTTGAATTTTTATTTTTTAATTTTTTAAGGTTTCAATTTTTCGACTTCAGTTTTAGGATTTTTCTATTGCTCAATTTTTCGACTTTTTAGGTTCTCAGTTTTTGGATTTTTCAGATTTTCCATTTTTCAGTTTTTCGATATTTCAGCTTAGGGATTTTTCAATATTTCGATTCTTCGACTTTTTGATTTTTGACTCCTGGATTTCTCGATGTGTCGATTTTTTTACTTTTTCGATTTTTCAAATTTTCGACTTTTAAATTTTAGATTTTTTAATTTTTAAAATTTTAGATTTTTCGATTTTTAATTTCAGTTCTTCGATATTTCAATTTTTCAAGTTTTCGAATTTTTCAAATGTTTCGATTTCTTAATCTCTTGATTTTTCGACTTCCCGGTTTTAGATTTTCTGTTTTTCAATTGTCATTTTGTCAAATTTTCAAATTTTTAATTTTTCAAATTTGACTTTTATAAACTCTCAATTTTTCGATTTTTCAATTAATCGATGTTTTGATTTTCCCATTTCTTGACCTTCGAGTGTTTCCACTTTCCTGTTCTTCAATTCTTTAATTGTTTGACTTTTCAGGTTTTTGATTTTTCAATTTTTCCATTTTTTAAGGTTTCTATTTTTCGACTTCACTTTTTTTTTTGATTTTTCGATTTTTCAATTTTTGGATTTTTAAATTTTAGATTTTTCAATCTTTTGATATTTTAATCTTTCAATATTTCTTAATCTTTCTATTTTTCGACTTTCTGCTTTTACATGTTCTGTTTTTCAACTTTTCGATTTTTCAGGTTTTTGATTTTTGATTTTTTTATTTTTTTAAGGTTTAAATTTTTCGACTTTTTAGGTTCTCAGTTTTTGGATATTTCAATTTTTGGATTTTTCAGATTTTCCATTTTTCAGTTTTTCGATATTTCAGTTTAGGGATTTTTCAATATTTCGATTCTTCGACTTTTTGATTTTTGACTCCTGGATTTCTCGATGTGTCGATTTTTTTACTTTTTCGATTTTTCAAATTTTAGATTTTTTAATTTTTAAAATTTTAGATTTTTCGATTTTTAATTTCAGTTCTTCGATATTTCAATTTTTCAAGTTTTCGAATTTTTCAAATGTTTCGATTTCTTAATCTCTTGATTTTTCGACTTCCCGGTTTTAGATTTTCTGTTTTTCAATTGTCATTTTGTCAAATTTTCAAATTTTTAATTTTTCAAATTTGACTTTTATAAACTCTCAATTTTTCGATTTTTCAATTAATCGATGTTTTGATTTTCCCATTTCTTGACCTTCGAGTGTTTCCACTTTCCTGTTCTTCAATTCTTTAATTGTTTGACTTTTCAGGTTTTTGATTTTTCAATTTTTCCATTTTTTAAGGTTTCTATTTTTCGACTTCACTTTTTTTTTTTGATTTTTCGATTTTTCAATTTTTGGATTTTTAAATTTTAGATTTTTCAATCTTTTGATATTTTAATCTTTCAATATTTCTTAATCTTTCTATTTTTCGACTTTCTGCTTTTACATGTTCTGTTTTTCAACTTTTCGATTTTTCAGGTTTTTGATTTTTGATTTTTTTATTTTTTTAAGGTTTAAATTTTTCGACTTTTTAGGTTCTCAGTTTTTGGATATTTCAGTTTTCGGATTTTTCAGGTTTTCCATTTTTCAGTTATTCTTTCATTTTTCAGTTTTTCGACATTTCAGTTTTGAGATTTTTCAATATTTTGATTCTTCGACTTTTCGATTTTTGGCTTCTGGATTTTTCGATGTGTCGATTTTTTTACTTTTTCGATTTTTCAATTTTTCGATTGCTTAATCTTTCGATTTTTCGACTTCCCGGTTTTAGATTTTCTGTTTTTAAAAAATTTCGTTTTAAATTTTTCGATTTTTCAATGTTTTGATTTGCCGATTTAGTTTCCCATTTTTAGTTTTTCTTTCATTTTTCAATTTTTAAAATTCTAGATTTGTCGATTTCTCGAGTTTTCAGTTCTTCTGTATTTTAATTTGTCAATTTCCGGAAGTTTTAAATTTTCTATTTTTCGACTCTTCGATTTCACGATGTTTTGATTTTTCCATTTCTTGACCGTCCAGTGTTTCGATTTTCCTGTTCTTCAATTCTTTAATTTTTTGATTTTTCAATTTTTCCACTTTTTAATGTTTCTATTTTTCGACTTCACTTTTTTGATTTTTCGATTTTTGAGTTTTTAAATACATATTTCAGTTTTAGGATTTTTCAATATTTCAATTCTTCGGCTTTTCTATTTTTGACTTCCGGATTTTTCGATGTGTCGACCTTTTACTTTTTCGATTTTCAAATTTTAGATTTTTCAATCTTTTGATATTTTAATATTTCATTCCCGATTTATAGAGATTTGATTGTTCGCGTTTTCGATTTCTCAATTTTTCGATTTTTCGACTTCATCACTTTTCGATTTCTCGTTCTTTGGATCTTTCAATCTCTCAATTTTTAGAATTTTTAAGTTTTTTGATTTCTCTATTTATCGAGATTTGGATTTTTCAATATTTTGATTGTCAATTTCTCAATTTATAATTGTTCAATTTTTATTTTTTCGATTTTGACCTATTTCGGTTTCCCAATTGTTAGACTTTTCGACTCCACGGTTTCTTGATCTTTTGATTTTTCGATTTCTCAGTTTTTCGATTTTTCGAATTTTCGACTATTTTAATTGTTTATTTTTTTCCTCGCAGTTAATAAGGGTGGTTTTGCAAAATCAGCCTGTATGTTGCATCTCTATTAATCTATGGTAGAACTATTTTATTATTATTATTATTAATAGTCCCACTATATGTTGTCAAAATTAGATTTTCGAAAATAGCGATATAGGCAACCAATAATACACACAAGTGAAAGCAGGCTTCGAACATTTTCCAAAAATTTTCCTATTGTGGAAATTCGACCCACTTTATCCTTCAGAAATGACCATCCACGGGCACGATTTACCCAATTTTCGTTTCAAACAAAAATCTTTTCTGTTTTGTGTAGGAACCTGTTTTGAGGTTATAATCCACTTGTCAAAAATTAACCATTTTATAATGATTATCCAATTATAGATCCAAAAAGACGCAAATAACACTTCAGTGATGTAGTAAAAACACAAATGACGAATTTAGTTAGAAGTTGTCGATTCTAAACCCGAAATTAAACTTTGAGGTTATGTAAACCGAAAGACCGGAAAATGAAGTGCGAAAACACCCAAACTGCTGTACTTTTGTAATAAGCACATGGTTTTAGGTGACCGAGATGTCGAATCTAGAACCACTGGAAAACTTTACTCATGTACAAGTTCCATCCAGCGTTCTTGAGTGTAAAATTTGTTCGTACTCCACTGTGTCCAGTTTTTTCATGATGAAGCACACAAGAGGTCACCGCACATCGTTACAATATTTCAACTGCGAACGTGCCAACATTGAAGCGTTTTACTGCATTGATTGCAATTTTCAAACCCAGCTAACAATTATTTTCAAGGAGCATTCAAAAAACACGAACAAACGCACATTCCAGAAGTATACGTGTAATCATTGCCATTTCAAAAGTCACAGTTGCATTAAGTCGCTTCAGCATAGTATAAAATGTGTCAAAGTTGCTCACGAAGAGAATGTTTGCACCTGGTATAACTGTGACCAGTGTGGACGCAGATACAAATACAAGTATAGTTTGAAACAACATAAAATTTTCAAACACTCGTACATTGACAAGTGGTATCAATGCGGAAAGTGTTCGTACAAAACCAAAGAAATACCATACTTAAAGCACCACATGAGTTTGAACCATTTAAACAAAACAGACGTCAAAGCGTTTGAATGTGACAAGTGTCCATACAAAACACGGTATAAAGGAACTTTGAAACACCACATGACGGCTCGGCATTCAAACGACCACGATATCGAGTGGCACTACTGCACAAAGTGTCCCTACAAAAGCAAATTTAACTCGAATTTAAAAAGCCACGTGAATGTGCATCATTTAGACGAAAAAGATATCAGATGGTATGAATGCAAAGAGTGTCCATACAAAACTAAACAAAAAACGGCCTTAAATAATCACATAAATGCGTATCATCTGAATGAGGCGGACGCTAAATGGTATGAATGTGAAAAGTGTCCGTTTCGAACTAAACAGAAAACGACGCTGCAAGGCCACATGGTTGGGCGACATTTGGATGAAAGGGATATTAAGTGGCACGAATGCGACCAGTGCACGTACAAAGCTAAGCAAAAGTATCGGTTACAAAGGCACGTCATTGCGATGCATCGGGACGAACGGGATATCACGTGGTACAGATGCAACAAGTGTCCATACAAAGGTAAACAGAATTATAATTTGAGGAGGCACATAAATTTGCACCATGTGGCCGAATAGGATGTTTAATGTTTTTTATTCGGACGTGCCTCTCAACGCGATGTGCGTACCGAACGATATTTTCCTGTTTTTGACGATATTTAACATGTGTTTTATGTATGTTTGTAATGGGGAATTCGATTCACGATGTAGTCTGAATAAATTAATTTCTGATTTATCGAATTTCGCTATTTCAAAACACAACGTAGGGCTCCGATTTTGTTGAGGATCACAGGTCGTTTTTCGAATTTTTCGCGGGTTTTAAAATGTTGTGCGCATGTCTTAATTTTGGCGGTTTATTGTGCGTCGACTTCTGGTATACATGTGTGTAAAAGTTGGCTAAAAATTGTTACTTTTAATTTGTTTTTCACAATAAAATATTATAAATTTAAATTTGTTTAGTTATAATACCGGGTGTCCCAGCGTACCTATTCCACTGAAATATCTCAATTATTTTAAAACATAAACTGAATTTGAGAAAAAAATTCAATCAAAAAAATCGTTAAACATAGGCAACCATGTGCACGTTAGCGCTTTTGGGTTAGTTGGAAAAAAGCGCTAACTTTCACCGATCAGGTTAGAATTTTTATCGTTAACTGGTTCTAACATTATAACACTTCTTAAATTCTTCACACAAGATTGCAAATAGTTCATTAACGGCAGTTAAATTAACAACATTCATAACATCGTGGACTGACTGGGTGATTAAAGATTACATCACCGAAATCTTCGCTAGTTTTAGCTTTGTAAATATTTTGTTGATTAATGTTTCCATGGTATAAATTCTCTGATGTCCAATTTTAATCTCACATAAGAATTATTTGTTTAAAATTTCACAAGATTGTATGGCGAATTTAATTGTTTATTGCTCTTTTGAAACTTTAACAGAAGCGGAGTGCGCGGTTCCTAGTCGAGCTAGCACAAAAGATGCAGGTTAGAATAGAATTCAGGGGTGATCGAGATGACGTAACGCTGTCGACTTGGCCCAATAGTCGACTGCGAGTTTGCGACCGTAACGGCTTGTTCGTCTAGGCACTCTCATAGATAGAATCGCGGGGGGAGAACAGCCACGACCGGGAGCCCCAAACTCCGCTGACGCTGCATGGGTATTTTTGTTGTGCTCTAGAATGAAATTGACATAGTCGATCTGTCATAATTACCAAAACTCTTTTAATTTATCTTGCTCCACTTGTATAAAATGTATCAAAACTTACATCTACTTACATCTAAAAATGTTGTCTCTTAGATATATGATATGTTATTGCTGATAAAAGCGGATACGGAGACCAAATCATGGCTGATTTAGACGTTTTGTTTACACCGTTGTCATGGAAACCGTGCGTCGAGTCGCGGTGTAAATTTGTCTTGTTGTTTGTAAATTCATCGATCAAGTTAAGATTTTAATCGTTAACTGGTTAACAGATATTAGAAAATTACATCACCGAAACCTATTTTCTCGCAACGTTGACTGGATATTTGTCATGTGTTTTGTTTGGGGTAAACAGTTCACGATATAAACCGCCAAAACAAATTGTTTTAAGTAACCAATCCCTTAGATCATGGCATAATGTGACCTCATATAAATTCTTTGTTTGAATCATTGATACAGTGTGGCAAATATTAATCTCATCTATTTGTTAGATTTGCAATTTTCACCTCATACAATTTTTCTCTATCTCACGATTTCGACTTCAGTAATTTTCTTTATTATATAATTTAAATTGAACGTAAACTTTCATGCTCTGCAGTTTCTACCTTACTTCACACCAGATCTGTTGTTTTTTTTTAATCTTTGCTAGTTTTTGTTTTGTAAATTAAATTATTTGTTGTTTAAAATTTCACACGATTGTATGGCGAATTTAATTGTTGTTTATTGCTCTTTTGAAACTTTAACACTTGTTCAGTTGTCGTTAATATCAGAGTCATAGAAATTGAACATTTAAAATGGAATTGAGGTAAATAACACCGAAACACGTGGTAGAAGCGGAGTGCGCGGTTCCCAATCGAGCTGGCGGGATATTAGGGTTATCACACTGTATTTGAAAAGAGCGAGAAGATTTTATGTTTGAGAAAATACAGCCTTTTGAAAAAGCATACTGAAATTATTATTCCTAGGGTTCCGATTTTGTTGAAGATCACAGGAAATTTGATAGGTCATCTCATCATAATATTGTTAGAAAATGATAATTTATTTTATATATAATAAAATATTTAACGTAATTTCCTTCTTAATATTGTGGTGACCAGATTTGAATTAAAATTTCGCGCTGAAAAAAATAATATAATTTGAATTTGAAAAAAATTCAATCAAGAAAATCGTTAAACGTAGGCAACCATGTGCACGTTTAATTCATTCTGGTAGTTGGTAGCTCTCTAGGGGAATTTGTCGGTAGTACCTAGTGAGAGGGTTGGTAGAAGTTGGCTGGCTTGGTAGATGAGTCACTCTGTTCGTTGGCGTCACTGTTGCTTTTGTTGTGGCGAGTGAAAACACGCGGTAAAGAAGCTAGGTTAAGTTTAGTTGGTTTGGTAGTTAATAAAAATGGAGAGCCTTTGTTTAACGAAAATTAATCGTAACGACGACGACGCCACAGTTTCCCCAACACGGGTAGATAATTCTTGCGGTTTTCTAATTGGAAAAAGTGCTAATTTTCGACCGACGCTACACATACTATAAATTTGTTTTGTTGTTTGTACATTCACCGATCAGGTTAGGATTTTAATCGTTAACTGGTTAACAGATATTAGAAAATTACATCACCGAAACCTATTTTCTCGCAACGTTGACTGGATATTTATCATATGTTTTGTTTGGGGTAAACAGTTCACGATATAAACCGCCAAAACAAATTGTTTTAAGTAACCAATCCCTTGGATCATGACATAATGTAACCTCATATAAATTCTTTGTTTGAATCGTCGATAAAGTGTGGCAAATATTAATCCCATCTAAATTTGTTAGATTTGCAATTTTCACCTCACACAATTTTTCTCAATCTCACGATTTCGACTTCAGTAATTTTCTTTATTGTATAATTTAAAGTGAACGTAAATTTTCATGCTCTGCAATTTCTAACCTCACGTAATATTTTATCTTCACAAGTTACTTCACACCAGATCTTTTTTGTTTTTTTTTAATCTTTGCTAGTTTTTGTTTTGTAAATTAAACTATTTGTTGTTTAAAATTTCACACGATTGTATGGCGAATTTAATTGTTGTTTATTGCTCTTTTGAAACTTTAACACTTGTTCAGTTGTCGTTAATATCAGAGTCATAGAAATTGAACATTTAAAATGGAATTGAGGTAAATAACACCTAAATACGTGGCAGAAGCGGAGTGCGCGGTTCCTAATCGAGCTGGCGAGGTTTATTCAAAGCGGAATGTTTGGGTTATCACACTGTATTTGAAAAGAGCGAGAAGATTTTATATTTGAGAAAATACAGCCTTTTGAAAGAACATACTAAAATTATTATTCCTAGGGTTCCGATTTCGTTGAAGATCACAGAAATTTTAATAGATCACATCTCATCATAATATTGTTAGAAATGATAATTTATTTTATATATAATAAAATATTTAACGTAATTTCCTTCTTAATATTGTGGTGACCAGATTTGAATTAAAATTTCACGTTGAAAAAAAAACATAATTTGAATTTGAAAAAAAATCAATCAAGAAAATCGTTAAACGTAGGCAACCATGTGCACCTTTAATTCATTCTGGTAGTTGGTAGCTCTCTAGGGGAATTTGTCGGTAATATCTAGTAAGACGGTTGGTAGAAGTTGGCTGGCTTGGTAGATGAGTCATTCTGTTCGATGGCGTCACTGTTGTTTTTGTTGTGGTGAGTGAAAACACGCGGTAAAGAAGCTAGGTTAAGTTTAGTTGGTTTGGTAGTTAATAAAAATGGAGAGCCTTTGTTTAACGAAAATTAATCGTAACGACGACGCCGCTACAGTTTCCCCAACACGGGTAGCTAATTCTTGCGGTTTTCGAATTGGAAAAACTGCTAATTTTCGACCGACGCTACACATGCTATAAATTTGTTTTGTTGTTTGTAAATTCACCGATCAGGTTAGGATTTTAATCGTTAACTGGTTAACAGATATTAGCAAATTACATCACCGAAACCTATTTTCTCGCAACGTTGACTGGATATTTATCATGTGTTTTGTTTGGGGTAAACAGTTCACGATATAAACCGCCAAAACAAATTGTTTTAAGTAACCAATCCCTTAGATCATGGCATAATGTGACCTCATATAAATTCTTTGTTTGAATCGTTGATAAAATGTGGCAAATATTAATCTCATCTAAATTTGTTAGATTTGCAATTTTCACCTCACACATTTTTTCTCTATCTCACGATTTCGACTTCAGTAATTTTCTTTATTGTATAATTTAAATTGAACGTAAATTTTCATGCTCTGCAGTTTCTAACCTCACGTAATATTTTATCTTCACAAGTTACTTCACACCAGATCTTTTTTGTTTTTTTTTAATCTTTGCTAGTTTTTGTTTTGTAAATTAAATTATTTGTTATTTAAAATTTCACACGATTGTATGGCGAATTTAACTGTTGTTTATTGCTCTTTTGAAACTTTAACACTTGTTCAGTTGTCGTTAATATCAGAACATTTAAAATGGAATTGAGGTAAATAACACCGAAACACGTGGCAGAAGCGGAGTGCGCGGTTCCCAATCGAGCTGGCGGGATATTAGGGTTATCACACTGTATTTGAAAAGAGCGAGATTTTATATTTGAGAAAATACAGCCTTTTGAAAGAACATACTAAAATTATTATTCCTAGGGTTCCGATTTTGTTGAAGATCACAGGAATTTTGATATCATAATATTGTTAGAAAATGATAATTTATTTTATATATAATAAAATATTTAACGTAATTTCCTTCTTAATATTGTGGTGACCAGATTTGAATTAAGATTTCGCGCTGAAAAAAAATTACATAATTTGAATTTGAAAAAAATTCAGTCAAGAAAATCGTTAAACGTAGGCAACCATGTGCACGTTTAATTCATTCTGGTAGTCGATAGCTCTCTAGGGGAATTTGTCGGTAGTATCTAGTAAGAGGGTTGGTAGAAGTTGGCTGGCTTGGTAGATGAGTCATTCTGTGCGGTGGTAAAATTTCACGTGAGTGTATGGTGAATTTAAATGTTGTTTATCGCCCTTTTTGAAACTTTAACACTTGTTCGATTATAGTTTAATATCAGAGGCATACAACTGAAATTGTACATTTAAATGGGATTGAGGTAAATAATACAATAACACGTGGCGGAAGCGGAGTGCGCGGTTCCTTGTCGAGTTTGCGACAAAAATGGCGTGCTCGTAAGGCATGTTCGTAATGAAAAGGTGGTGTGCGGCAGTGCTTGCGATAGAATAAAACCACCGTCGTGGGTAGGAGAACAGCCACAACCAGGAGCCCCAAACTCCGCCATTTTTAAAAAATTTGATTAGACGAATTTTTCGCGGGCTTTCAAATTTTTTTCAATTCATTGGGTTACCACAGTGCTTTATTTCTCGCGTTTAATTGAAAGCAACAAGATATCAGTAAATTAAATCAATTGTTTGAAATTGGAACTACAAAAAATAAATGCGACAAATTCAAAAATGTAGTAATGATAAAAATTTGGATATCTTACTTACCTTTTTACAGCACACTCTGCAAAAAATAGATTGAGAATTTTCATCTAACACTAGTTCGGGATACTTTTTTATCAAGTTTTCGTTCTGGAACACATCAACAATCAATAATTTTACTTTCTAACCAACAATTTTATTGAAAATGCTAGTTACCAAAAAAAAAACATCTCCGTACCTTGGAAACCAAACCGCCAAAACTCCGCTGTCAAAATGCACTTTCTCAAGAACGTCCCCAGCACCACAAGCACCAGCAGCGCCTTCTACTACGACCGCGCCCCCGACACCACCGCCAAATGGGTGGTCTTCAAAAGGTACTTATTGAACTTGGAGGAGAAAACGGCCTGCAACCGAAGCGCCACGAGCTGGTGTTCGCCCAATAAAAACCCGCTTTTCCTTTTTCACATAACTTTATTTCAGTTTTACTGCTGACGTTCTACATCAGTTTCCTCGCCGTATGTTGGGGTCTGTTGGTCTTGATGATTTTTGGGGGAGTCACCGCCATCGATTACTTCGGTCAAGGACAGATGGTTGACGTGGCGTCCATGAAGCACCCCAATCACTGAGTCCACTTCAAGTCGGAAATTAGCGCGATGTGGTCGGAGGGGAAGACTATGCTGGGGAGGGCGGTGTGTTGGGTGAGTTCTTCCAGGCTGGGGAATGGGACGATTTGGGTTACTTCGAAGTTGGGGGCTTCGTAGTAGATGTAGTCGAGGCAGTCGGCGAAGCCTGCGGTGAAGTTGGTGTATTTGGGGGTGGCGCAGGCGCTTTTGAGGGGGATGGATTGGCGGAGGGGCATCTGGATGGACTCTTCTGGTTCTGCAAAAAAGTTTAGTTGGATATAGTGTTAAAGATTTCAATAAATAAATGTTAACTAAGAGTTTTCGTTTTTTATTATTTTGGCTAGGCTAATTTAAAGTTAACTGTAGTAGTTAAATGAAAAATGTCATTATTATGTTTAATGACCAATCTGTTTTTTACAGGCTTCAAAGCAGCCATATTAGATAGAAACGTCAAATTTTATGTCATTTCGCGTCAAAATTTTCACAAATATTGATGCTAGAATTGTTTTCAGTGTTCGTTTTTGCTTGTTGCAAAACATAAAATGGCAGTGATTACATCCAATGAATGTTTTTTTTTTCTCCTCTAATGACATAGGTAACCTTGTAATTTTCTTTACGTTTAAACAAAATTCCGGCATTATAATTTTTCTGATCTGGAGCTTTCCGTTCTCCAAAATACACGGTATGTTTTCATTTATTTGATATATTTTTGTTCATCTGATACATGCATCCCAGGCACCAGAAGAATTTTTCCCATATCTACCTACTTTGAAATAAACAAAAAAAAAAAAGGAAAAATGTTACTTTACTACTTCCTAGGGGATTTATTGTACTGATTAAATCAGGAACGATTCACTCCATTTTTCAAAAAATTTGGCTTATCATAAAAAAAATAAAATTCGCAAAATCAAATCTTATAATTTTTTGAAAAATATGGATTTATTTATTTGGCTTGTCAATTTTTTGATATCACAATTCTTGATTTTTTCGTTTTATCAATGTTTCGATTGCAATTAATTTTTCAGTTTTACAATTGTTCGTTTCTTTGTTTTTCCATTTTTTGGTATCTCGTTGCCTCAATTTTTTAAGTTTCTCGGTTTTTAATCTTCGTTTATATTTCACAATTTTTGACTTTTTCATTTCCTTTATTTTTTTTTCAGCGTTTTTTTAGATTTTCTAATTTCTCGTTTATTCAATTTTTCAAATTTTCACTTTGATTTTCTTTCAATCCCTCAATTTTTTGATTTTGCAATTTTTGGATTTCACAATAATTATCCGATTTTTCGATTTCCTTAATTTTCAATCTTTGATTTTTTCAGTATTTCGTTTTTTTGATTTTGTACTTTTTCGACCTTTTAGTTTCTTAATTGTTTCCATTTTTCAAATTTTCGTATCTTCAGTTTTTCCAAGTTTTTGATTTTTATTTTTTAATTTCTCAATTTTACAATTTTCTGATATTTCAATTTTTCGTTTCTTGAATTTTTTAAGTCCTTAATTTAAAATTTCTCATTTTCTTATTTTTAATTTTTCAATTTTTCGATTTTACAGTTTTTTGATGACAATTTTTCGTTTTTTAATTTTTCGATTTTTCAATTTTTCGTTTCCTCAATTTTTCAAGTTCTTGATTTTTATTTTTCATTTTCTCGATTTTTTGATTTTGCACATTTTAAAGTTTTTAATTTTTATGTTTCAATTTCTCAATTTTACATTTTTTGATATTTCAATGTTTCGTTTCTTGAATTTTTTATTTAATGAGAATTTTTCGATTTTTAACTTTCCCTATTTTTAATTTTTGGATTTTTCAATTTTTCGTTTCCTCGACTTCCAAATTCTTCAATTTTTCAGTTTCTCAATTTTTAATTTTTTGATTTTTCAATTTCTCGTTTCCTCTCGTTTTTATATCCCGATTTTGCGTTTTTTCATTTCCTTTATTTTTTTTCAACGTTTTTTCGATTTTATAATTTTTCGTTTATTCAAAATTTTCAATCTATGATTTTCTTTCAGTCCCTCGTTTTTTGATTTTGTACTTTTTCGATATTTTGTTTCTTAATTTTTTTTCCTTTTATCAATGTTTCGTTTCTTCAGTTTTTCAAGTTTTTGATTTTTATTTTTTTTTTTTCTTAATTTTTAATTTTTCAATTTTTCGATTTTACACTTTTTTGATGACTATTTTTCGTTTTTTAACTTCCCTTATTTTTTAATTTTTCAATTTTTCAAGTTCTTGAATTTTGTTTTTCATTTTCTATATTTTTCGATTTTTTAGTTTCTTAATTTTTTTCTGTTTTATCAATTTTTCGTTTCTTCAGTTTTTCAAGTTTTTAATTTTTATTTTTCAATTTCCCAATTTTACAATTTTTTGATATTTTAATTTTTCCTTTCTTGAAGTTTTTAAATTCTTAATTTATAATTTTTCATTTTCTTAATTTTTTTATCAATTTTTCGTTTGTTGAATTTTTTTAGTTCTGAATTTTTAATACATATTTCAATTTTTCGACTTTCCAGTTTTTTCTTATGACAATTTTTCGTTTTTTAACGTTCTTTATTTTTTACTGTTTTGATTTTTGAATTTTTCGTTTCTTCAGTTTTTCAAATTTTTGTTTTTTGTTTTTTAAATTTCTCAATTTTACAATTTTTTGATAGTTTAATTTTACGTTTCTTAATTTTTCATTTTTTGGTTTCTCAACTTTTTTTTAATTTTTGATTTAACTTTCATTTTCTCGATTTTTAGTTTTTCAATTTTTCGATTTCACAATATTTTGATCACAATTTTTCGTTTTTTCTTCTTCGATTTTATCATTTTTTGATTTCAAAATTTCCCGTTTTTTCATTTTCTTTATTTTTTCAATTTTTCGATTATTCAATGTTTCCGTTTTATAATTTTTCTTTTTTCGACTTTAATTTTTTCAATTTTGCAATTTCTCGACTTCCAAATTCTTCAATTTTTCATTTCTTCAATTTTTCGATATTATCTACTCATGTTTTTCGATTTTTCAGTTTCTCAATCTTTAATTTTCTATTTCCCGGTTTTTTAACCTTCGGTTTCATATCACAATTTTTCAGTTATTCAGTCCCTTTATTTTTTTTCAACATATTTTTCGATTTAATTTTTCGTTCATTCAATTTTTCAAATTTTCGATGTATGAGTTTCTTTCAATCCCTCGATTTTTTGATTTTGCAATTTTTAGATTTCACAGTTATCCGATTTTGTGATTTCCTTAATTTTCAATTTTTTGAGATTTCAATTTTTCGTTTCTTGAATTTTTAAGTTCTTCATTTAAAATTTTTCATTTTCTTAATTTTTCAATTTTTTCGATTTTACAATTTCTTACAAATTTTTTTCCGTTTTATCAAATTTCCGTTTCTTCAGTTTTTCAAGTTTTTGATTTTTATTTTTCATTTTCTCGATTTTTTGATCTTGCACTTTTTCGATTTTTTAATTTCTTATTATATTCCCGTTTTAATTTTTCGTTTTTTCGGTTTTTCAAGTTTTTCATTTTTTTTTATCCATTTCTCAATTTTACAATTTTTGATATTTCAATTTTTACTTTCTTGAATTTTTAAGTTCTTAATTTATAATTGTTAAATTTTTCGATTTTACATTTTTTGATGACAATTTTCCGTCTTTTTTTAATTTTTCGATTTTTCAATTTTTCATTTTCTCTATTTTACATCACAATTTTTTGTTTATTTTTCAAATTTCAATCTTTGATTTTTCAATTCGTCAATTTTTTATTTTTAAAATTTTTCAATTTTGCAGTTTTTGAATTTCTCAATTATCTGATTTATTTAGTTTTCAATAATAAGTTTCTTAATTTATAATTTTTCGATATTTCAATTTTTCCTTCTTCAGTTTTTCAAGTTTTTTTTTATTTTTCAATTTCTCAATTTTACAATTTTTTGAGCTTTAATTTTTCGTTTAATCAATTTTTCAAATTTTCGATGTATGATTTTATTTTAATCCCTCAATTTTTTGATATTGCAATTTTTGGATTTCTCAATTATCCGATTTTCCGATTTCCTTGATTTTCAATTTTTGGTTTTTTCAATATTTCGTTTTTTTGATTTTGCACTTTTTTCCAGTTTTTGATTTTTATTTTTCAATTTTACAATTTTTTGAGATTTCAATGTTTCGTTTCTAGAATTTTTTAACAACTTAATTTAAAATTTTTCATTTTTCAATTTTTCGATTTTACAATTTCTTGATGACATTTTTTTTCCGTTTTATCAATTTTCCGTTTCTTCAGTTTTTCAAGTTTTTGATTTTTACTTTTCATTTTCTCGATTTTTTTGATTTTTTAGTTTCTTAGTTTTATTCCGTTTTTCAATTTTTCGTTTCTTCGGTTTTTCAAGTTTTTAATTTTTATTTATCAATTTCTCAATTTTAGAATTTTTTTTTGATTATTCAATGTTTCCGTTTTATAATTTTTCTTTTTTCGACTTTAATTTTTTCAATTTTGCAATTTCTCGACTTCCAAATTCATCAATTTTTCATTTCTTCAATTTTTCGATATTATCTACTCATGTTTTTCGATTTTTCAGTTTCTCAATCTTTAATTTTCTATTTAATCTTCGGTTTCATATCACAATTTTTCGGTTATTCAGTCCCTTTATTTTTTTTCAACATATTTTTCGATTTAATTTTTCGTTCATTCAATTTTTCAAATTTTTGATATTTCATTCGTTTTTTTTTTTCGTTTCTTGAATTTTTCAAGGTCTTAATTTATAATTTTTCATTTTATTAATTTTTAATTCTTCAATTTTTCGATTTTACATTTTTTTGATGACAATTTTCCGTCTTTTTAAATTTAATTATTTTTCTAATTTTTTGATTCTGCAATTTTTCATTTTCTCTATTTTGTATCACAATTTTTCGTTTATTTTTCAAATTTCAATCTTTGATTTTTCAATTCGTCGATTTTCTAATCTTTAAAATTTTCAATTTTGCAATTTTTGAATTTCTCAATTATCCGATTTATTTAGTTCTCAATATTTCGATTTTGCATTTTTTCGGTTTTCAAGTTTCTTAATTTTTAATTTTTCGATATTTCAATTTTTCCTTTCTTGTTTTTTTTAGGTTCTTGATTTATAATTTTTCATTTTCTCAATTTTTAATTAATCAATTTTTCGATTTTACATTTTTATGATGACAATTTTTCGTTTTTAACTCTCCTTATTTTTTAATTTTTCGATTTTTCAATTTTTCGTTTCCTCATTTTTTTAAGTTCTTGATTTTTACTTTCGTTTTCTCCATTTTTTGGTTATGCACTTTTTCGATTTTTTAGTTTCTTAATTTTTTTTTTCGTTTACCAATTTTTCGTTTCTTCAGTTTTTCATGTTTTTGATTTTTATTTTTCATTTTCTCGATTTTTTGATCTTACACTTTTTCGGTTTTTTAGTTTCTTAATTTTATTCCGGTTTTAAATTTTTCGTTTCTTCGGTTTTTCAATTTTTTTATTTTTATTTATCAATTTCTCAATTTTACAATTTTTTGATACCTCAATTTTTCCTTTCTTGAATTTTTTAAGTTCTTTATTTATAATTTTCCATTTTCTTAATTTTTTATTCTTCAGTTTTTTGATAACAAACTCTCATAATTTTTTTAATTTTTCGATTTTTGAATTTTTCAAGTTCTAAATTTTTATTTTTTCTTTTCCGGATTTTTTAATTTTCATTTTCTCCATTTTATATGACAATTTTTCGTTTATTTTTCAAATTTCAATCTTTGATTTTTCAATTCGTCGATTTTCTAATTTTTAAATTTTTCAATTTTGCAATTTTTTAATGTCTCAATTATCCGATTTATTTACTTTTCAATATTTCGATTTTGCACTTTTTCGATTTTTTAGTTTCTTAATTTTTTTTTTCGTTTTATCAATTTTTCGTTTCTTCAGTTTTTCATGTTTTTGATTTTTATTTTTCATTTTCTCGATTTTTCGATTTTGCACTTTTTCGATTTTTTAGTTTCTTAATTTTATTCCGTTTTTCAATTTTTCATTTCTTCGGTTTTTCAAGTTTTTAATTTTTATTTATCAATTTCTCAATTTTACAATTTTTTGGTATCTCAATTTTTCCTTCCTTGAATTTTTAAGTTCTTTATTTATAATTTTCCATTTCCTTAATTTTTAATTCTTCAGTTTTTTGATAACAAACTCTCATAATTTTTTTAATTTTTCGATTTTTGAATTTTTCAAGTTCTAGATTTTTATTTTTTCTTTTCCGGATTTTTTAATTTTCATTTTCTCCATTTTATATGACAATTTTTCGTTTATTTTTCAAATTTCAATCTTTGATTTTTCAATTCGTCGATTTTCTAATTTTTAAATTTTTCAATTTTGCAATTTTTTAATGTCTCAATTATCCGATTTATTTACTTTTCAATATTTCGATTTTGCACTTTTTCGATTTTTTAGTTTCTTAATTTTTTTTTTCGTTTTATCAATTTTTCGTTTCTTCAGTTTTTCATGTTTTTGATTTTTATTTTTCATTTTCTCGATTTTTCGATTTTGCACTTTTTCGATTTTTTAGTTTCTTAATTTTATTCCGTTTTTCAATTTTTCATTTCTTCGGTTTTTCAAGTTTTTAATTTTTATTTATCAATTTCTCAATTTTACAATTTTTTGGTATCTCAATTTTTCCTTTCTTGAATTTTTAAGTTCTTTATTTATAATTTTCCATTTCCTTAATTTTTAATTCTTCAGTTTTTTGATGACAAACTCTCATTCTTTTTTTAATTTTTCGATTTTCGTATTTTTCATGTCCTTGATTTTTATTTTTTATTTTCCCGATTTTTTTATTTTCATTTTCTCCATTTTATATGACAATTTTTCGTTTATTTTTCAAATTTCAATCTTCGATTTTTCAATTCGTCGATTTTCTAATTTTTAAATTTTTCAATTTTGCAATTTTTTAATGTCTCAATTATCCGATTTATTTAGTTTTCAATATTTCGATTTTGCACTTTTTCGATTTTTTAGTTTCTTAATTTTTTTTTTCGTTTTATCAATTTTTCGTTTCTTCAGTTTTTCATGTTTTTGATTTTTATATTTCATTTTCTCGATTTTTTGATTTTGCACTTTTTCGATTTTTTAGTTTCTTAATTTTATTCCGTTTTTCAATTTTTCGTTTCTTCGGTTTTTGAAGTTTTGAATTTTATTTATCAATTTTTAAATTTTACAATTTTTTGGTACTTCAATTTTTCCTTTCTTGAATTTTCTTTATTTATAATTTTCCATTTTCTTAATTTTTAATTCTTCAATTTTTTGATGACAATTTTTCGTTTTTTAACTCTCATTGTTTTTTTTTAATTTTTCGATTTTTGAATTTTCATTTTCTCGATTTTATATCACAATTTTTCGTTTATTTTTCAAATTTCAATCTTTGATTTTTCAATTCGCCGATTTTCTAATTTTTGGATTTTTCAATTTTGTAGCTTTTGAATTTCTCAACTATCCGATTTATTTAATTTTCAATATTTCGATTTTGCAATTTTTCGGTTCTTAAGTTTCTTAATTTTTAATTTTTCGATATTTCAATTTTGCGTTTCTTGAATTTTTTAAGTTCTTGATTTAAAATTTCTCATTTTCTTAATTTTTAATTTTTCAATTTTTCGATTTTACAGTTTCTTGATGACACTTTTTTCCGTTTTTCAATTTTTCTGTTCTTCAGTTTTTTAAGTTTTTGATTTTTATTTTTCAATTTCTCGATTTTAAAATTTTTTAATATTTCAATGTTTCCTTTCTTGAATTTTTAAAGTTCTTAAATTATAATTTTTCATTTTCTTAATTTTTAAGTTTCAATTTATCGATTTTACAGTTTTTTGATGACAATTTTTCATTTCTTAACTTCCATTACTTCTTTAATTGTTTGATTTTTCAAAGTTTTGGTTTTATACTTTTTCGTTTTTCATTTTTAATTTTACAATTTTGATTCGGAGAGTTGAAACATCGAAAAATTAAAAATAGGAAAAAACTTAAAAACCGAAAAACTGAAAAAACGAGAAATTGCGAAATCGAAAAAATGGAAAATCGAAAAACAGAAAAACTAAAAATCGAGAAACTTAAATATCGAAAAAATTAATGAATCGAATCGAATCAAGCCCAAAAATTCTAAAATAAAAAAATTGAAACATTCAAAAGTTGCAAAATTGAAAAAATATCGATTGAAAAAACAAAAAATTATAAAATCGGAACATTAAGAATCGAAAATTTGTAAAAATAAAGAAAATAAAAAACCGAAACGAAAAATTGCAATAAAAATTTTAAGAAAAAAAAAGAAAAACCGAAAAATTTAAGTCAAAATAAAAATGACGTTTTTTCTACGATACAGGCAACGAAATAAACACGGAAAGATATAACAAACAAATTTGTGCTCTTTCAGCCATTTATTTTACCATTACAAAAAAATTTTCACGCTTGAAATTAAGTACGGAAAAAAAAGACCAAAATATGTACTTAATTTTTTTTATTTTTTTTTTATTTAACACTGTTTTCACCTGAATGCCTCGAATTTACATGCATTTTCAAATTATATTTCCTCTTCGCCTTGTAAGCACACCAACCACACTCAAACCACACAACATCCCCTCCATCATCTTTACCCGAATGGCGCCTAATCGTGTGCTTACTTAAAGACTCTTTTTGCTTACACCTATACGAACACAGTTGGCATTTATACTTTTTAACGTCCTTTTTATCCAAATGCTGCCCATCCACGTGCCGCTTCAAATCAGAATTCCACTTACTTTTATACGGGCACTTTTTACATTCATACCATTTAACATAGTCACCGTTTGAATGGCAGTTATTCATGTGGTATCTCAAATTAATCTTTCTCTTGGTCTTGAACGGGCATTCTTGGCACTCGTGCCATTTAAACTCCTGCCCGTTCCAATGCTGCGCGATCATGTGATCGTTCAACGACGACTTGTGTTTAGCTTGGTATGAACACTTTTGGCATTTATACCACGTAATTTCTTGCTCGTTTAAATGGTGCGTAATTGTGTGACCCCTCAAATTACCTTTGAATTTAGTTTTGTACGGACACACGTTACATTCGTGCCATTTAACATCGTGTTCGTCTAGATGGCGCGCAACCGTGTGATTATTCAAAGCTATTTTATATTTAGTTTTATATGGACACTTTTTGCATTCGTACCATTTAACGTCTGCTTCGTTTAAATGGTGCACATTAATGTGGCTTTTTAAATTACAACCCTTTTTGGTTTTATATGGGCAGTCTTTGCATTCATACCATTTAATGTTTTTTTCGTCCATATGGTGGGTGTTTATGTGGGAAATTAAATTTGGCTTACGTTTGGCTCTGTATGGGCACTTTTCACACACAAACCAGTTAACATCACGTTCATTCAAGTGTGACGCGTTTACGTGGTGTTTTAATTTGTATTGTTCGATGGTTTTGTACGAACAAGTTATGCAGTGATACCACAAGTCGTTTTTCAAGTGTTTTAAATTTTTGTGGTTTTTTAAAGAGTGTTTTCGTGCGTATGCGTTTCCACATTGGTCACAGTTATATCTTCCGGAATTAGTGTTTTCAGTGGTCACAAAACAAAGAGTTTTGTGTTGCACCCATTTCAACCAGAAATGTGTCTCAAATGAACACTTTTCACAAATATAACCCTTAATTGTGTAGTGTTCATTTGGTGAAACTTGGTGGTGTTGTTTTTGGTGGTTTTTGAACAGAAGAGTTATTTTTGTGTGGAAATCACAGTCCTTGCAGTGGTAGCTTTCAATGTCGGAGGTTCCACAATTAAAATATTGCAGTGGTTTGTGGTGACGTCTAAAGTGGCTCGACATTGATGAATTTGACTTTGTAAAGTAAGAACTTCAAAATCAATATTTCCATGTACCTGAAGTTGTTAAGGTTACTAGTGGGTGAAGGTGGTTATTGGGGCTCTTCTCACCTACTAATACGGCATAAACGGTACCAATTACACAAATTAAATTCCATTTGTGAAGTAACATAACCTCAAAAATTACATGTCTAGATAATAACACCAAAGCGTCTAATTTCATCACGCTAGTCTACATAATACCACCGAGGCGATTTTTATGCATTTCTTTGTTAAATTTTCATTGGAAATTGTTTCAATTGTGAAAATATTACATGAAAAATGACATGAAAATAAATAGCGTAGGCAACCAAATATACACCGTTTCAGATGATTCTTCGCCCATAGATTTAAATTTTACTTACTTTAACATTGATGTGCACTTACACTTTATCAATTAATTCATTTTTATAGATTGTTTAGTTAAAATTTGATTGATGATCTCTATACTGTGCCGAAATGTCAAAATTAAACAAGCAACTAGATAGACTTGCACTATTTCAGATATTTGAATTTTTCCTCGTTTTCTCAAATTTTTAAACATTTTCAAGTTCGTGTAATCTTAAGTTTCAATGTTTAATGTACGTTATGCTCTTTTGAGTTAAAATCTGAAAAAAGGTTTCAATTTCGGGTCAAAAATCTTTGAAAATAGGGTATGCAACCAGATATACAAGTTTAGATTTTGTCATTTTTGTTCGCTCGTTTAAATTTTAACTGTTTTTACGTTGCCGTGATGTTAAACATCAATAATTCTTTATTTTTATATTTTGTTTATGTAAGATTTCATGACAAATTGTTTTAATTGCAGTAATATTGTCACGTTAAAAATGTCATCAAAATTGGTTAGGCAACCAAATATACAGGAATCGGATGTACACTTCCTCTGTCACAATTTTGAAGCGTTGACACACTTGACGTCATATAGTGACGTATACTGATTTTTGCATTTTTGACATTTTCGAACATTTTTCAACTATATCCGAAAATTAGTTTAGTAGACATTTTCTTGTAGATTTCGATATCCAGAAGTCAAAGTAAAAAAATTTGAAAATTAAAAACTGTAAAATTAAAAAAAAACTATAAAATTGAAAAGTGGAAAAACAGATAAATTGAAAAAAATTATAAATTAAAAAATCGAAATACTAAAATTGAAGACAAATTGATTTAATAACATAAAAAGTTGAAAAATAGAGAATAATAAAAATTTGAAAATTGAAAAATCTATAAATTAAAAATAGCAAAATCTTAGAATTGAAGGAACGAAAAATTGAGAAATCGGATTGAAAAAAAAAGTTAAAAAAAGAAAATTTTAAAATTTAAACCTGGGAATGTCCAGAAATTAAAAATATACAAATTCGAAGGAATAGAAAAAATGTAAAATTAAAAAACTGAAAAATTGCAAAATCCTAAAATTGAATGAAAAACCAGATAAATTAGTAAAAGGAAAAATTAAAGTATATATCCGAAAACTGAAAGTTTGTACGAAAAATGGCAAACTGTAAAATTGAAATATCGAAGAATTGGAAATTCAAAAAATTGCAACATTGACATTGAGAACTTGAAAAATTGATAATAATCGAAAAATTGAAGAAATACAAAATTGATAGATGAAAGATTATAATGTTGAAAAATGGCAAAATTGTAAAATAAAAATATCAAACAAAAGGAAAATTGTAAAATCGAAAAACAACAAAAATGGAAAAATGAGAAACTTGAAAAATTAATTAATTAATAAAAAAATCCAAGAATTGAAAAATCGTAAAATTACCAAATAGAAAAATTGCAAAAACATAAAATAGACGAAAACAAGTCGAAAAAACGCGGCAGCGAAATTTAAGTTGAAAAAAAAAAAAAAAAAAAAAATTGTTAAATTAGAAACTCGAAAAATTGCAGTTCTAAAAATTGAAAAATTGAAAAAATTAAAAATCGAGAGATAATAGACAAATTGAAAAATAAAAAAAAATAAAATTAAATCGAAAAAGTCGAAAAATTGAAAATTTGAGAATGAGAAGAGGGAGGATGGGCAGTGCTAGGTACTTGCTAAGATATGAATGATTTTGGCAAATGACATACTCTCTAAGAAAATAGAGGGTGGGTGGGCGGGGCTAGTATTTAATAAGTTAAAACTAATTTTGGTACTTTTGACATTTTCGACCAATTTTCAACTATACCCAAAAATTAGTTCAAGACATTTCTTGTAAATTTCGATATCCAGAAGTCATTTTCGGCTTCATTTCTTCGGAAATTTCTGCCGTTATTCTAAAATCCCTAATTGAAATACAACAGTTTTTAGAGTTTCATCAAAATGGCTCTGTATAAAAATTTTGTAGATAAAAAAGGAAATTATTATTAATTTTTGTTCCATTATTTCATTATCAGTTTCCACTGCCACTCAACAGAAGAAAATAATTATAATCGCCCACCCACCCTGTCTCTTTTTCAGTGACTGATTTTATACGATCTAAATGAAATGAATTATCTTATACTGAACAGGAATAAAATTAGTCGTTAGAAAAGTCAAAAAGTTGAAAAATAAAAAGATTGAAAAACAAAATTCAACAATTCGAAAAACTGTATATCATAAAATTAAAAAATCGCAAAATCCTAAAATTGAAGGGATGAAAAATTGACAAATCCTATTGAAAAAATAGTAAAAAACCGAAAATTGAACTGATAAAAGATGAACCATCGAAATTTTGAAAATTCTAAAACTGAAAAAACGAAAAAATTGAAAAGTGGAAAAACAGATAAGTTGAAAAAAATTATTAAATTAAACAATCGAAACAGTAAAATTGAAGACAGAAAATTGACAAATTGATTTGAAAAAATTGGAAAATCGAATTGACAAAAAAAGTTAAAAAAAAAGGGAATTTGAAAATTTAAACCTAGGAATATCCAGAAATTAAAACTATACAAATTGGAATAGAAAAAATGTAAAACTAAAAAACTCAAAAATTGCAAAATCCTAAAATTGAAGAAAGGAAAATTGAAAAATGAAAAAATAGATAAATTAGTAAAACGAAAACAAAAATGGAAAAACGAAAAATTAAAGTACTTATCCGAAAAGTGAAAATTTGTACGAAAAATGGCAAACTGTAAAATTGAAAAATCCAAGAATTGGAAATTCAAAAAACTGCAACATTGAAATCGAGAACTCGACAAATTGATAATAATCGAAAAATTGAAGAAATACAAAATTGATAGATTGAAAGATTATAATGTTGAAAAATGGCAAAATTGTAAAATTAAAATATCAAACAAATGGAAAATTGTAAAATCGAAAACCAACAAAATGGTAAAATGACAAACTTGAAAAATGAATTTATTAATAAAAAAATCCAAGAATTGCAAAACTGTAAAATTTACGAAAACAAGTTGAAAAATCGCGGCAGCGAAAAATTCAAGTTGAAAAATAAAAAAAATAAAATTGTTAAATTAGAAACTCGAAAAATTGCAGTTCTAGAAATTTAAAAATCGAAAAAAAATAAAAATCGAGAGATAATAGACAAATTGAAAAATAAAAAAAATTAAAATCAAATCAAAAAAATTGGTCTAAAGAGTTTAGACAGTACTTCCCTCGCTGTCGGAAACTTGACGACTGCATGGCTATTGTGTTTTTTTTCTCATTACATTTTTGTACTGGCAATTTAAAAAAAATTGCGATCACGTCATCAACATTTTTGCAAGGACACGTATATCAGTTGGGATAGATGTAGTGTAATACTAAGAATAAAATTATTGTATTCCCAAATTTTCGGGAAAATGAATTGGGTCGTTTTGAATATTGATTTTTTATAATCAATAAAATAACGAAACAATTTACTCGCGTATACGGCAACTGAAAATCGTTTATGTATAAACATTCTTAATTTAAGATGACAAGCGTAACAGCATACGTGAAAGTCAAACAGAGAAACTGTAAACAAAACGACCATCGGTTTTATTGCTTCGACTTCCGCTTATTATATAAAACATTGGGTTTCTTGACGGTGAAATTCACAATTGGTTGATTATAAACATGTCTATTTCACATTCGCGGAACCAAGTGATCGCATAAAACAAATGCAGGTCTGTAATGTTAAAGTCGATGTAAATAAGCGATGCTACCCTTATGTTTCAACCGAGTTTTTCCTTTAACAAATTTTGTGTCTACCAAATTGGGTTGGTTGGGGTGTAATACTAATAATAAGTGTTGCCTTTAATTTAATCAATAAAATAAATTGACTTCATTAATTTTTTTGAACCACCTCTTAAGAAAATCTAAAAAATATGAATGGAATGATAAATCACAAGTACAAACTCATAATATTTTTTGCATTTTAGATAGGATTTATTCAGCAAAATTTAAGGGTGACGTCATCAATTTTTTTAGGAGGGATGAACAAATACATTTTGAACAAAAGTTTACCATGCTTATAATAACTTTAAAATATTCCCAAGATTTCAAAGCATTCGGTTTTGTAATTCCTGATTAAATCGATAAAATAAATTCACGCATTCACGAATTTTTTTGAGTCACCCTGCATATGCAAATCCAAAAATATGAATGGAATGATAAATCACAAGTACAGACTCATCATATTTTGTACATTTTAGATACGATTTATTCGGCAAACTTTTGAGCTGACGTCATCAGTTTTTTGTAGAAGATAACCAAATATATTTTGACTAAAAATTTATTATGCTCTTTATAACCTTAAAACATCTGCAAGATTTCAAAGCATTCGGTTTTGTAGTTCCTGATTAAATCAATAAAATTAATTTACGCATTCATTAATTTTTTTGAGTCACCCTGTATATGCAAATCGAAAAAATTTGAATGGAATGATAAATCACAAGAAGAGACTCACCATATTTTGTACATTTTAGATAGGATTTATTCAGCAAAATTTTGTGGTGACGTCATAAATTTTTTAGGGGGGACGACCAAATACATTTTGATCGAAAATTTACCATGCTTATGATAATTTTAAAATATCTTCAAGATTTCGAAGCATTCGGTTTTGTAGTTCCTGAGTAAATCAGTAAAATAAATTTACGCTTTCATTTATTTTCTTGAATCACCCTGTATATGCAAATCCAAAAAATATGAATGGAGTGATAGATCACAAGTACAGACTGATCATATTTTGTACATTTTAGATATGATTTATTCGGCAAATTTTCGAGCTGACGTCATCAAGTTTTTGGAGGGGATAAGCAAATATATTTTGACTAAACATTTATTATGCTCTTTATAACCTTCAAACATCTGCAAGATGTCAGAGCATTCCGTTTTGTAGTTCCTGATTAAATCAATAAAATATATTTACGCATTCATTAATTTTTTTGAGTCACTCTGTATATGCAAATCCAAAAAATATGAATGGAGTGATAAATGACAAGTACAGGCTCATCATATTTTGTACATTTTAGATATGATTTATTCGGCAAACTTTCGAGCTGACGTCATCAAGTTTTTGGAGGGGATAAGCAAATATATTTTGACTAAACATTTATTATGCTCTTTATGACCTTAAAACATCTGCAAGATTTCAGAGCATTCGGTTTTGTAGTTCCTGATTAAATCAATAAAATATATTTACGCATTCATTAATTTTTTTGAGTCACCCTGTATATGCAAATCCAAAAAATATGAATGGAGGGATAGATCACAAGTACAGACTCATCATATGTTGTACATTTTAGACATGATTTATTCCACAAACTTTTGAGCTGACGTCATCAAGTTTTTGGAGGGGATAAGCAAATATTTTTTGACTAAAAATTTATTATGCTCTTGATAGCCTTAAAACATCTGCAACATTTCAAAGCATTCTGGTTAGCAGATTAAAAATTAAATTTCAAAATGTTGTTTTATAATTTTAATTTTTTTTCCAAAAATCTGGACGTTTCGGGTGAAAAGTCGATTCAGAGTTGTAAACTACATGTGTAGGACTATGTTATTTTATACAATTGAAAACCCATTTACTATGTACAATTTTGAAGTGACGTCATCGCATTAGTGGTGGGGATGATTAGACAAATTTTGGTTAGCGTTTTACCATCTACATGATATTCTTAATATAAGTACAAAATTTCACAACAATCGGTCGAGTACTTTCGGAGATTATCTGTCTAATAAAAATCCGGGGGCAAACGGACAGACGGACAGACGGACGGACAGACGGACGGACGGACAGACGGACAGACAGACGGAAATGGGAGACCTATTTCTTCGTCTTCTAGGGGTCATGAAAGATCGAGAAAACGTAAAAGTAGAGAGTCGGCCGACGGACTCGATTACAGTACTTCCTTTGCTTACGCTCGGGAAGTAAAAGTTGAAAAATTGAAAATTTTAGAATGAGAAGCGGGAGGGTGAGCAGTGCTAGGTACTTACTAAGATATGACTGATTTTGGCAAAAAAAAACCTCTCTAAGAAAATAGAGGGTGGGTGGGTGGGCGGGGCAAGTATTTGATAAGTAAAGACTGATTTTGGCACTTTTGGCATTTTCGACCAATTTTCAACTATACCCAAAAATTAGTTCAAGACATTTCTTATAGATTTCGATATCCAGAAGTCATTTTCGGCTTCGTTTCTTCAGAAGTTTCTACCGTTTTTTTAAAATCGCTAATTGAAATACAGCAATTCTCTCACAGTTTCGTCAAAATATCTTTCTATAAAAATTTTGTAGATAAAAGAGGAAATTATTATTAATTTTTGTTCCATGATTCCATTATTGGTTTCCATTCCCATTCGACAGAAGATGATAATTAGTCCCGCCCACCCACCCTATCGACTTTCCAGTATTTGATTTTATCCGCTCTGAATGAAATGAATGATCTTATACTGAACAGAAATAACATTAGTCGTTAGAATGAGAAGAGGGGGGTGGGGGGTGGGAGGGGCTAGTACTTGCTAAGATAAGACTGATTTTGGCAAATGATATATTTTCTTAGAAAATAGAGGGTGGGTGGGCGGGGCAAGACTGATTTTGGTATTTTGAACATTTTCGATCATTTTTCAATCACGATCAAAGACAGCCATGGATTTTTGAAGATTTGTCTTTGATAGAATTTTTGTTTTGTCAGATTTGAAAATTCGAGTTGAATATGCAACAATCAAAGAACAACTTTCAAAAATCCGTGACAGTCTTTCATCGTGTTTTTATCTACTCTCTCGGTGGTTTTGTTTGCGATTTTCTTGTAATTTTTTTCGCTCATTTAAATTATAAGTAGTTTAATGTTGTTGCTGTGATATTAATTATCAATAATTTATTAACTTTTATATTTTGTTCAATTAAAATTTGACTAGAAATTGTTTAATTGCGGAAGATTAGGCAACCGGACAAACACTCATTCTGATATTTTAATTCTTGCCCGCCTTCAATAATTTTTAACATTGATTCAACTTAATTTATTATTGTATTTTGCTCAGTTAAAATCAGTTAAAAAATTTGGATGGCTAGAGTAAAAACTTAAGGCGAATTCATAAACCAAAAGAACAAGCGTGTGTTATTTTCTAAAATTTAAATGGCGTTCACTAAAAAAAAAAAGTGCAAAAATTTAAGGACAATCGGTCTAGTAGTTTCAAAGACAATACATACTTAATAAAAATCCACACAGACTGACAGATAACAGATCTACTTTTTCGTACTCCAGAGATAATCAAACGTCGAGAAAACCTGAATAGAAATATTCTTCGACTATAAAAAAGGTTACAAGGGCACTTACGTCATTAAAAGAATTAGTTCACCAGATACAATCACTACTGCTTGCAACTAAATACATAACTATTAATGACACAAGTAAATTTTTGTGTTGGCAATTCTGAATTATTGGCAGTTTACTGTTGAGTAGATGACAGCTGCCATCATAAAATTTTAAATATTTGCCAACCTGACAAAAAATCACAAATTTTACCAAATAGTCACTCCGTATGTTGTATATGATGCATAAATAAATACATATCCGTTTCCAATGTAAAAGTTGTCTTTTATTCGCAACAAATAAATTTTTAATATTATACAAGAAACTTCGATTTTGATTAGAAATAATTGCGTCTGTTGGGTTGGCAGGAGTTTAAAAAAAAATGCGAACTTTTCTTGTGTCTATGTTGCTATAATGGAAGTAATTCTGTAACAGATATGTCAATCGTGATATGCGATTAAATTTAAGTTATGTTTTGGATACATTTTGAAAAGTTAAAGCTATCAACAATCGATTTAGTAGATAGGAACTATGTTCTCTGTAGGAACTACTGACTTAAGGTAATCAATGTCATTTTGACAATCAGGTATGCCATTAGGAAATTTTAAATGTGTTGCCAACCTGACAGAAAAACCACACAAGTAGCCCCGCCCACCCAGCCAGTTTTCCTTCTGATCACTCATTTTATTGTATAAAAAGGGGTTATGAACATTGGAATCTAGACGAAAAGGATATGTTTCATTGTATCTTAGGTGCGAGGGAAGTTCTATCAAAACAATTTTCGACCAATTTTTTACACAGGGATTAAAAAATGTATCAGGAAATAGAGTAGGCAACCAGATATACACCATGACTAATATTCTAATCTTTGTTTTTTGTTAGTTTTTAAATATTTGACGTTAAAGCTTCAATAGTCAAATGAAATTATATTTTTTAATTAATTGATGGGTAATAGTTTCATTTGTAGTAAAATGACGTCAAAAATTGAGAAAACGAAGTAGGCAACCAGATATACTTTCATCGGGTATTCTAATGTTTTCAAACTTTTAATTATTCTACCGTTGGTTAATTAATTTGTCATCGTACTTTGTTCAATTAAAATTTGGAAAAAAAATTATGTCAAAATGATATCAAATCTGTGCTATCAAAATAAGGTAGGCAACCAGATATACACCACGATTAGTATTCTAATGTTTATTTGTCCGGTTAGTTTTTAAATATTTAATGTTAAAGTAACCTTAGGTTTCAATAGTTAAATGAAGTTATACTTTTTAATTAAAATTTGATGGGTAATAGTCTCATTTGTAGTAAAATAACGTCAAAAATTGTGAGAAAATGAAGTAGGCAACCAGATACACACTCATCAGGTATTCTCATTTTCATTCATTCAATCAACTTTTAATTATTCTAACGTTGGTGCGATTTCAAATTTAGATAATTAATTATCTTCTCTATCTAATCTCTCTATTTAATTATTTAGATAATTAATTATCTAAATTTGAAATCGCAATAATAATCGCACAATAAATTTGTTATCAAAATAAGTTAGGCAACCAAATATACACTACGATTGACTCAGCCAGTGAAATTACTTACTACTTTGAAAATCCACATGATCCTCTTGCACCTTCCCAGTCGTATACAGCTGATAAATCCCGCACTCAGGCACACTATTAAAATCGCCACAAAGAATCAAAGACACCCTTTTCTGAAACTAAAACCCCAAAAATAAAAACACAAAAATAAATCCCCAACACACCTTCTTCCTCAACTCTTCCAAAACATCCTCCAGATACCTGACAATAATAGCCCCTTGCAACAACCTAATATGATCAGCATCCGGATGAAAATACAAATGCGTGTTACCCACAACCAAAACTTCATTCCTGTCTGTAGCCTCCAACACCGTCACCTGCAAAACCGACGACCTGTCAAGAATGCGCTCGCTTAATTGCTCATTTTCTGAGATTTTTTGAAAAAAGTCGGCGAAGAGAGGGTTCGTACTGATTTCGTCTGATAGAACAAGACGGAAAGACGAATTTTTCCGGAATCTGTTTTTGTCGAAAAAGCAGGCCACGCCTTCGGCGACAAGCCCCCTTTTGAGGCAGAAATCTGAGTCGTAGTTTAGTTGTTCGAAGAGGGGCTGCAGGTCGTACGTGTAGACTTTGCGGTCCACTTCTTGTAGACAAATAATGTCGGCGTTGTATCCTGAAACAAAAAAATATATATATTTATAAAGTAAGAAATGTATTGTTGGTTGCATTCAAAAACCTGTAATTTCCTTGATAAATATTTGCTTTCTGTAATCAATAGACAGGGCATAGGGGGGGCAATAGGGGTGTAGAACTTCTCTAGTAAAATCAGAATCACAATATAAATCTGCTAGAATGTTATAAGAAACCACTCTAAATCTAAAATTTCAAAATAATTAATTGTTTAAAATCACGAAAAATGATAATTACGTGTCTCCGCTACATTTCTCAGTGGTAAATTGGTGTCTCGTTTCAAATGGACAAAACCCAGGCCCCGCTTCCACTTTCACACTAGAAACCGCCTCAGCAACAGGCCCTTCGACGTCCCCACACTTAGGCAAACAACTCAACTTCAAAAAATTCCCCACATCGCTGTTACTCGTTTCATAGACAAACCCCTCGCCCACCAACGTCCAGTCTTTCTTATCCACAGACTTAAACCACCGGAACTCAGACACCCCTTTATCAGTATACACACTCTCGAACTTCATAGGATAGACCGGAAACCCCGCTAGAATCGAGCTCGGTAAAACCACACCGCTGATCCACGGCGAATTAATGATCACTTTAAACTCCTTATTGCAGACACTCAAAGTCACATTGTTGTTCAGTCTGGTGAAAATGTCTCGACAGGACACCGTCTCGTCCTCAACGAGGCTTCCATTGACACTGACAGCCACTTGTACCGCCTCCTGGGGCTGGTTTTTCGTTTTCTTTTTGATCACTTTTTCCACGTTTGTGGCGACACGTTGAGTGAAAGCGTTGACGCTTTCAGAGACTTGTCGACAAAAATTGAATTGTCTGTCGATTTTGGCAGCCGGGTCGACGTACTGGAATGTAAGTTCGAATTTCTCGGAGTCGTCGAGGTGGCGCAAATAGGCCTGGTTCATTTTACAGATGTGCTTGTGGAGGCAGCGATGGGGTAAAAATTTCGAGAGGGTGAAACGTGCTAAAAACATCGGTTTCAATAAAGGGGGTTTTAGGGTGTGTGTATTATGGAAAAGTGGAAACTGGTGTCATTTATCTATGTCTTATTACAGTTTTAGATTCACGAAAGTAAGGTTATGTGGGGTTATGTTTTTGTAATGACAAACAGGGTGACAAGCATGTTGACCAACAGTAAAAGAATACCGGCTTCATAAATTAAATTCAAACTGTATGCTGTGCTCTATGAATCAAAAATGTTATTTGAGACAAATCTACAATTAAGTAATTACGATAAATAAAAATCCAATTAGAATTTAGGGCAATTTTGCGAGTTTGCCACCCTGCGTCCCCCCCTGAAATGACACTTGACATTATGGTAAACAAACCACCCTAACCCCACTTCGTACAAAATGTAGCCCTTTTTATCTTAATTAAATTAGTCAATTATGTCAGTTATGTTGACCGTCAGAAAATTAAAAAAGTTATGGTTCGGCCTCATCCTCACCTTCTTCGTGTATTACTTCGGCGTCCTGACCCACATCTTCGAGCTCGACTTCGACACCAGCTTCCGCTACCCCTACGACGGCGACATTGAAGAATTCGTGCACCAGCTACGAGCTAACTCAACCCCTAAAGTGCCCCCTATAAACCCCTACAACTTCTACTTCTCCAAGCCCTGTATCGAAAAGTGCAGGAACGTGGAGTCCCTGCGGCTGGTTTTCCTCGTAAAGTCCGCCCCCGAGAATTGGGAGCGGCGCGTGGCGATCCGCAGCAGCTGGGGCTTCGAGCACCGGTTTTCCGACGTGGAAATCCGGACGGTTTTCCTACTCGGAGAACGCAGTGACCAAGAATTGCAGCAAAGACTGGACAAAGAAGCGGGTAAATTCAACGATTTAGTACAAGCGAACTTCACCGATAATTACTATAATAACACGTTTAAAACCATGATGGGGTTCACGTGGGCGGTTAAATACTGCGCTAATTCGAGGTTTTATATTTTCGTCGACGATGATTATTTTGTTTCAACGAAAAATTTGTTGCGGTTTATTCGACACCCCACTGCCTACCCGAGTTACCTGGAGCCCACGAACCAAAGGAAATTGCAGCAGTTTGATTTCGATTTGGACGAGAACGTGCGTTTGTATGCTGGGTTTGTGTTTAAGTCGGCGCCCCACAGACACAGGACTAGTAAATGGTACGTGTCTTTGGACGAGTATCCGTATGACATGTGGCCCCCGTATGTCACGGCTGGGGCTTACGTGCTGTCGCGGGAGGCGTTGTTGGATATGTACTACGCGAGTTTGTATACCAAGCATTTTCGGTTCGATGATATTTATGTGGGGTTGTTGGCTTTTAAATGTAAGATTGAGCCTTTCCACTGTGATGACTTTCATTTTAATAAGTTGGAGTATAGTCCGGAGGGGTACAAGTATGTGGTGGCGACCCATGGGTATAAGGACCAGATGGAGCTGATGAATGTTTGGACGCAGCAGAGAAGCAAAGGCTATGCTTAGTTTGTACTTACACGTAGAAATTTGCAGAGATGATCAATTCGTTTGTAGATTTTGTTAGGACTGATATTAGTTGTGTTTAAGTTGTATAGTTTTTATTCCGATTTTTTATTTGTGTTTTTCTTAATTTGTGCCCCCACAATTAGTATTGTGAACTGTGATCCGAAATAAAGAACAAGTGAAACTTATTATTATTTGTTTTTATTTAATGGTTTTGTACTACAGTTTTTAATTTGTAAAATTTTAAGTCTGATTTTATAAATTTTGAACGCCGTACTTGATAAATGACGTCCTGTTTTACGACAGATTTCAGGCAGGATAAGACACTTAACGCCTTTATCTTGTTATTTTTAAACAGATAAAAACCACTCGAGTGTAAAATCTCACAACAATCTTCAAACTATTGTTATGTTTCATTTTGTTGTCAAACTTATAAGTTGTTTTTTTTCCCTATACCCTTCAATAATTTACTCACAGCAATACTAGTTTATAAAATAGAACCTTGAACTGTTCAGTTTTTAATAATAATTAAATATGTTGTTAGTGGCGGCCTTCATTATCGCGGTTGTTTTATATTTTTTGTTGAAAAGAAATCATACCGAAAATGGGTTACATAAATTTCCTGAACCACCAGGGAATTTCTTTATGGGACACATACTACAAGCAAAGTCTGCTGAAGGTAATGTATGTACCTCTGTTGTGTAATTGAGTGTACCTAACCTTTGTTGAAATATTTGAGCATTAGCAACACCATTCAACGTAAATAACCTTGTGACCGAGAAGATTTTAGTTCACAGTTAGCTCCGATTCCCTGAGATTGGCATCATTGCTAATTGTCAATATAATACGCTAAAGTTAACAAGAAATGACATCTAAGAACACTTTTTCGAAAGCCTTAGAAGCTGTAGTAGTGACAATCATTGGTGGTTTTGTTTTCTAGCAACATTTATATTTATTTATATTGCGCAACATTTTGTGCCATCGAAAATCATGCTTAATGCGAAGATACGTACGATTTACCCCGTGATGATCCCTAATGGCGTAACATGAAAATCTTTTCATATCAGAGCTACTTCTTTTTGAGTAAAATTTTGTTTTTGAGCACCCTCGTGACAAAAACAAAATGATAACAAATTTTCGTGTTGTGTAAAGAATACCATGTATATTAAGAAAAACCGGAAAAAAATATAAACCCCGCCCACCCACCCTATCTCAATTGTGATGATTTTTTTATTCTTAGAAACTTAAAACACGTTTAAAATGGTAAATTTTTGTAAGGAAATATGGATTTTGCAATTATGGGGCAGAGGCTAAATGCAAAATCGATATTTCGTTATACAAATTTTCCATTTTAAACATGTTTTAAGTTTCATGTTGTGAAAAGAAATCTACACAATATTAAAACAAAAAGGCAAAATGAAAGCCCGCCCACCCGCCCTATCTCGATTGTGATGATTTTTTTATTCGCCATGATGAACTAAAGGGGCGGAGCTTAACTGCAAAATAGTTATTTCTTTAAAAAAAATTAAAAACATGCTGTTGAGTATCGTGTTGTTCAAAGAATAACATGTATATTAAGAAAAATCGGAAAAAATATAAACCCCGCCCACCCACCCTATCCCAATTGTGATGATTTTTTTTTATTCTTAGAAACTTAAAACACGTTTAAAATGGTAAATTTTTGTAAGGAATTGTGGATGTTGCAATTAGGCTCCGCCTTCTTAGCTCACGACAATTAAAAAAAATCATCACAATTGAGATGGGCGGGTGGGCGGGGCTTAGTTTTTGTCTTTTTTCTTAATATACGTAGCCATCTTTCCACAAGAAGAAACTTAAAACATGGTTAAAATCGTACATTTTTGCAAGGAAATATGGATTTTGTAATTATGGGGCGGAGGCTAAATGTAAAATCAATATTTCGTTATACGAAGTTTCCATTTTAAACATGTTTTAAGTTTCACGTTGTGAAAAGAAGTCTACACATATTTAAACACAAAGGCAAAATGTAAGCCCGCCCACCCGCCCTATCTCAATTGTGATTATTTTTTTATTCTTAGAAACTTAAAACACGTTTAAAATGGTAATTTTTTGTAAGGAAATGTGGATTTTGCAATTAGGCTCCGCTTTCTTGACTCACGACGATTAAAAAAAATCATCACAATTGAGATAGGGTGGGTGGGCGGGGCTTATATTTTGCCTTTTTTCTTAATATACGCAGCCATCTTTTCACAACAAGAAACTTAAAACATGGTTAAAATGATCCATGTTTTCAAGAAAATATGGATTTTGTAATTATGGGGCGGAGCCTAATTGCAAAATTGATATTTCCCTATACAAATTTTTTTAAACATGTTTTAAGTTTCATGTTGTGAAAAGAAGTCTACGCATATTTAAACACAAAGGCAAAATGTAAGCCCGCCCACCCGCCCTATTTCAATTGTGATGATGTTTTTATTCGCCTTGAACTAAAGGGGCGAAGCTTAACTGCAAAATAGTTATTTCTTTACAAGAAATTAAAACATGTTTCTGAGTATCGTGTTGTTCAAAGAATACTATGTATTTTAAGAAAAACAGGAAAAAAATATAAACCCCGTCCACCCACCCCATCTCAATTGTGACTATTTTTTTAATCGCCGTGAACTAAAGGGGCGGAGCTTAACTGCAAAATACTTATTTCTTTACAAGAAATTAAAACATGTTTCTGAGTAGCGTGTTGTTCAAAGAATACTATGTACAGGGTGTTATTGAAAGGTACGTACAACAAAATTGACAGTTATTTGCGAAGTGTAAGAAGTCTGAGAAATTTATTTTGTGTTATCAAAATTATAAGGGGAAAATTAACCCGTATCCAACCTTTTTAGACGCTACTGAAGAATAAATAGGTAAAATTAATTTATTTTAGTAAATCCTAGCAACTGTAACTATAAGACTACTGTCAAGACTAAATGTTGCTATAGAAACTAAAGACGATTTTTTTTTATCAGAGGCGTACAAAGAATTTGGACATAAATTTTAATAATTTTTATCTCTAAAAGGAGAACACTTTTACCTGAATTTTTTTTTACTTTTAGCACCCATACTCCGAGACCAATTGCCTCTTTTATTTTGTACGTACCTTTAAATAACATGCTGTATATTAAGAAAAACAGGAAAAGATATAAGATCCGCCCACCCACCCCATCTCAATTGTGACTATTTTTTTATTCGCCATGAACTAAAGGGGCGGAGCTTAACAGCAAAATACTTACTTCTGTACCAGAAATTAAAACATGTTTAATCGATATTTCGTTATACCAATTTTCCATTTTAAACATGTTTTAATTTTCATGTTGTGAAAAGAAGTCTACACAATATTAAAACAAAAAAACAAAATGTAAGCCCGCCCACCCACCCTATCTCAATCGTGATGATTTTTTTATTCGCCGTGAAGTAAAGGGGCGGAGCTTAATTGCAAAATATTTATTTGTTTATAAGAAATTAAAACATGTTTCTGAGTAACGTGTTGTTCAAAGAATACCATGTATATTAAGCAAACACGGAAAAAATATAAACCCCCGCCCACCCACCCCAACTCCTTTGTGATGACTTTTTTTATTCTTAGATACTTAAAACATGTTTAAAATGGTAAATTTTTGTAAGGAAATATGGATTTTGCAGTTAAGCTCCGCCTTCTTGGCTCACGACGAATAAAAAAAAATCACATTTGAGATAGGGCGGGTGGGCGGGGTTTATATTTTGCCTTTTTTTCTTAATATGTGTGGACTTAATTCGACAACAAGAAACTTAAAACACGTCTAAAATGGTAAATTTTTCTAGTAGTCAACCTAAATCCTCCATTTTTCTTCTATAGCCCTCTTAAATATGGCAAAAGTTGAACTTCAAAATTACTATAAATGACAATTTTGAGCTCTAAAAGCAATGTCAGCGCAACGGGAACTTCCTTATGCAACATGCAACACAAACGATAACAGTTATATAACATCACTGTAATAATGTTATATAACACTGTTATGATGACGTTATGTTGCAGTTATATAAGAAAATTCAGCGAGATACAACATTCTTATAAATAAAATCATATTAATTAAGTTGCTTTATTTAAGCAATACCGGTAATCTACTTTCAATTGTTATGTAGCATCTACAATCTTATAATACAGAAGTTATATAGCGAGAATGTAACAAAAGTATAACAAAGTTATAGAACTGTTATGTCGCCATTATAGTTGCTTGAAGCGGAAATTGGAATAAAGACGTTATGTTGATGTTATGTTACGGCTATATAACATTTGTAGAAAGTTAGAGTAACAAAATTATATAACTGTTATATTGTCGTTATAACATAGCATTTAATCATTAAAGTATTTCATTGTTGTATTATTATTTAAATTAATGATCTCCAATCTGTGCTCCAGATGTGTTAGAAGTCACAAACAAGTACCTCGACTATGGAAACACTGTCAGATTGAGAATTGGCCCCGCTGCTTGTCCCATACGTGAAGGCCTCGTAACCATAGATTACAGCCTTGTCGAATTCATTCTGAAGAGCAACAAAATCTTGACAAAATCTGAAAATTATAACTTTTTGAAGGCTTGGTTAAGAAACGGACTGTTGCTAAGCAGTGGCGACTACTGGAAAAGACACAGAAAAATTTTAACCCCGGCTTTCCATTTCGAGATACTCAAAGAATTCGTGCATGTTTTTGAGTCAGTGGGGGACATTTTCGTCAAAAAATTAGAAAAATATGAAGGGATGCCAGGCGTGGATTTACACCCACTGGTTATTCTTTTAACGCTTGACATTATTTCTGGTAAGTGCTTGCTATGTAGTTCGTATTTGACAAACTCGTTACAGAGACCGCCATGGGTACGAAAATTGACGTTCAAAGTGGCCACAACTTACACTACGTGAAGAGTGTGAAAGAAATTTGCAAGATCGCCATAGAAAGAGCTTTCAATCTGTTCAGGGCATCCAGTTTAACTTTCCGGTTATGTAAAGACTACTACAAACAAAAGGAAGCTTTGAAAGTTTTACACGGTTTTACTTCGGAGGTGCTTAATTCCAAAAAGGGACAAGTTTTTGAAAAGACAACGAAAAAAATGGCTTTCTTGGATCTGCTTTTGAAGTTTTCTCGCGACGAAGATGTTCTTAGTAACGATGAAATTCGGGAGGAAGTTGATACGTTCATGTTTGAGGTAAAATTGATAGTTTTTGGAATTTGTGAACGTTTGTAAATTTCTAGGGACATGACACAACAGCTGCTGGTATTTGTTTCATATTGTATTGTTTGGCTGACCATCCTGATGTTCAGGTGACTAAATTACGTTATTATTTAGAATATAATTATAGTTTCGTTATTTTTAGGCGAAAGTGCTCCAAGAGCAAAAAGCGTTGTTTGGTGATGAGAAAAATCCAGCGGTGGCTTATTCAGACTTACAAAACATGAAATATCTAGAGTGCGTTATCAAAGAAACTTGCCGGTTGTATCCTCCAGTTCCGGTAATAGGGCGACGTACAAAAGAAGAAGTCAATTTTGGTAAATTTTGAAGTCCTCAAGTTAATTTTTATAGTTTGAAAAATGTTTCAGATGGTTGTTTAATACCCAAAAGAACTAATATCGTTTTGTTTATTTACGCTTTGCACAGAAACCCGGACTTTTTTCCAGAACCGGAAAAATTCAAACCTGAAAGATTCGAAAATTTTAACACTTCTTTTCCTTATGCCTATATTCCTTTTAGTGCCGGTGCTAGAAACTGTATTGGTTTGTCTTTTGTCACATTTTTTTGTAGTAAAAATTTTAATCGGCACTTGCAGGTCAAAAGTTCGCCATGTTGGAAATGAAAAGCGTCATTTCGAAAGTTGTTAGACATTTTGAAATTAAACCAACTCTGCCGAGACACGAACTGAAACTGTCTGTGGAAGCGGTTTTGAAATCAATAAATGGAATAAAGGTTGTGTTGAAAAAGCGACATTAGTTTTTTAAAAAATATGACTTGAGTATGTGTCGTATTACATTTTTTATAAGTTCCTTAGCAACTGAAAACACGAACAAAAAAATTATTAAATAGCACATTAATTTTGTGCCGTTCAGGGTTAACAAGTGGTACATATAATTATCTAGAATTATAAGTAAGTTTGCAAAGTGTATTGGGTATGTTCGTCAGTGCACTTGACCATGCTGTTGTATGCAGTCATTCTGGCACTATTTTGCATATATTTTTTTTTTAATAAACCTCCAAAGCGAAATGGTCTAAGTAAAATTCCTGAACCTCCAGGACATCCACTTTTAGGTCATGCGTCCACTTTAAAATCAACCACAAGTAAAGTATTCAAAAACTACAAAAATATATTTCGATTTACTAAGTTTAGGCGTAATAAACAACTTATCCCAGTATATCGAAAATTATGGCAAAACTGTGAAAATAACTATAGGACCATCAGTTTTTCCGTTAATGACAAGCCTGGTGACCATCGACTATAAATTTGTTAAATTCGTTTTAAGCCAGAATAAAATTTTGAAAAAATCGCAAAATTACCAGTTCTTGCGACGCTGGTTGGGAAATGGATTGCTGATAAGCGACGGTAGGTTTTGAATTTTAAGGACGAAACAAACGATTTAGAGGATTTTAGGCGATTACTGGAGAAGACACAGGAAAATTTTAACCCTGGCTTTTCACACTGAGATATTGAAGGATTTTGTTGGAGTTTCTGAATCAATGGGTGATGTTCTGATCGGAAAATTGGAAAAGTATGACCGTAAATCCAGCGTTGACGTACATCGTTTGGTCACTTTGTGTACTCTAGACATAATCTGTGGTAAATAAACCCCAATTAATATTTCATTGCTTTGAATATTCTGTCCCAGAAACTGCAATGGGTACAAAAATGAACATCCAAAGTGGGGAAAATTCACAGTATGTGGAAAGTGTGCAACAGATGGGTCGAATCGTCATTGAAAGAGCCTTGTCGTTAATAAAAGTTTCAAAATATACATTCTGGTTATCTAGAGATTACTACATTCAGAATAATGCACTAAAAATTTTACATGGTTTTACGCTAAGTGTCATCGATTCCAAAAGAAACAAACCTGTAGAAAAAACAACCAAAAGAATGGCTTTCTTAGATTTGCTTCTTAAAGTCTCCCACGACGAGAATATCCTCACGATCGGTGAACTTCAAGAAGAAGTGGATACGTTCATGTTCGAGGTACACGAGTGTCGTTTCTCGACTTTTTCATTTTTGTAGTTTTTAAGGGACACGATACAACAGCTGCTGGTATTTCTTTCATTTTATATTGTTTGGCCGACCATCCTGAAGAACAGGTTGTCAAAAATTGCTTGATTTCGAGTTTTACCTATCCAACTTTTATTTTTTCTAGGAAAAAGTTCTACAAGAGCAAAAAGAACTGTTCGGAGATGACAAAAGTCCACCAGTAACTTATTCAGATTTACAAGATATGAAATATTTAGAGTGCGTTATTAAGGAAACATTTCGTTTGTATCCTCCAGTGCCAATCATTGGAAGATACACAACAGAAGAAATTAAATTTGGTAAATTGTGAAATTTAGGTGAAACATTACCAGCCTTCCAAATATTTTAGACGATACTCTAATACCTAAAAACACCAACATTGTTTTTTTCATCTACGGCTTACACAGAAGCTCGGAATTTTTTCCAGAGCCGGAAAAATTCAAACCTGAAAGATTCCAAAATTTTAAAAGTGCTTTTCCTTATGCTTATATTCCGTTCAGTGCCGGCTCAAGAAATTGTATCGGTGCGTATTGGACACCGTTTTCTTCAATTATCATCGTGATTTTTACAGGTCAAAGATTCGCCATGTTGGAAACGAAAAGCATAATTTCGAAAATCGTGAGGCATTTTGAAATCAAACCGACTTTGCCGAGACACGAGTTGAAATTATCAGTGGAAACTGTCCTGAAATCGGTCAATGGAATTAAAGTTACACTTAAAAAACGAAATTGATGCAGTTGGTTTTTGTTTGATTGTAGTAATTGCTATTTATACCTTTATAGCTCTTATGTCTAGAAATAATCATGCTGGAATTTAAAGAGATTACGTCTTAGGCTAATCTCCCAAGGTGGCAAATTCATTTGTAGGAAATTTGTAGGTTAGCACCATCACGATATTTAAGGATTAAAGTTCAAGATTGAATGAGCAATTTTTATTTCTGTTATTTTGGGGACGTTTTTTTATCACTTCACTCTTTTAGATATTCCTTTAACCTTTAAATCTAAAAATTTACAGTTTTCCAACATTTCGTTAAACCTGAGAACTGTGAACCTGATTTTACTGCGCCTGTTACTGAAAAAAAAAAATAACTAAATTCAATTGTTGTATGCTTCCTGGATGTTTAACATATCAGCAGGTCGTTACGGGCTCAAACTCGCAGTTGGGTCCCCGCTATGCGGTAGAAACCGATAGCGTTATGTCATCTCGACTTCTATTCTAGCCTGCATCATTTGTGCAGAAAGCGCGATAAATCCTGCCAGCTCGACTAGGAACCGCGCACTCCGCTTCTGCCACGTATTTCGGTGTTATTTAATCTCAACTCTATTTAAATGTTTAATTTCTATAACTCTGACATTAATGAAAACTGAACAAGTGTTAAAGTTCAAAAGAAAAATAAACAACATTTAAATTCGACACACACTCTTGTGAAATTTGAAACAACAATAATTCTTATCTGAGATTAAGATTGGACACCAGACAATTTATATGATGGATACATTAATCAACAAGATATTTACAAAACAAAAAAAAACAGCAAAGATTTTTAAAAACAAAAAAGATCTGGTGTGAAATAAAACTTGTACAGATAAAAATTACATTAGATTAGGAACTACAGAGCATTGAAAGTTTACGTTCAATTTAAATTACACAACAAAGAAAATTAGTGACGCAAAAATTGTGTGAAGTGAAAAGTTGCAAATCTAACAAAATTACATGAGTTTTATATTTTATGTCCACTCGAGTTATTGGCTGAATTTTTAAAACTGAAGTTATGTAGCTGCATTGTGGGCCATCGTTGTACATTCCCCCAAACACTTAAACAAAAAACATAACAGGCAATCTGGAGGTTCAAAATGGCGTTGGACAAATGCGTCGTTCAAAAAAATGCGTCAAGAGACGATGTACGGCGATGATGACTCATCGCTGATGTCGGTGGCCGGGCGGCGTTCGCTAAAGAAAAGCCTGGAAGCGGAACTCGCGATGGGTATTCCAGAAAGACCTCGATCGCCGCACATCTAGAAGGAAATGTGGGTTTAAATGGAGGCGACCTTCGGGAACGATTATTATTTCGATTATTCAGTCAACGAGTCGAGTCCAGCGAGTGTCGAGAAAATTCATACGTATTGCCCAAAAATGTTGAAAATGCAGCCAGTCAAGCATTAAACAGTTTAAGTAAAGTTACTTTCATTTACTGGTTTTCACATTCAGGATATAATTATGGCTTTCCTAGCAGCCAACTTTTATAACTGTAAATTGGCGTTTAATAGACCGAAACCAATAAAAATTAATTCATTAATGGCTCATTAATGCTGTGCAAATTCAGAGTTAACAAGTGGCGCATCTAATTATTATCTGGAGTAATAAGCAATTTGCAAAGTGTATTGATTATGTTCGTCAGTGCACTTTACCATGTTGTTGTATGCATTAATACTCGCATTATTTTGCGTATATTTTTATCTAAATAAATCTTCAAATCGAAATGATTTATGTAAATTTCCTGAACCTCCAGGACATCCAATTTTAGGTCATATCTCCACTATAACATCAACCACAAGTAAAGTATTCAAAAACTACAAAAATGTATTTCGATTTACTAACTTTAGGCATAATACACAACTTATCCCAGTATATCGAAAATTATGGCAACACTTTGAAATTAAATATAGGACCATCAGTTTTTCCCTTATCGAAAAGCCTGTTGACTATCGACTATAAATTTGTTAAATTCGTTTTAAACCAGAATAAAATTTTGAAAAAATCACTAAATTACCAGTTCTTTCGAAGCTGGTTGGGAAATGGATTGCTGATAAGCGACGGTAGGTTTTGAATTTTAAGGACGAAAGAAACGATTTAGAGGATTTTAGGCGATTACTGGAGAAGACACAGGAAAATTTTAACACTGGCTTTTCACACTGAGATATTGAAGGATTTTGTTGGAGTTTCTGAATCAGTGGGTGATGTTCTGATCGGAAAATTGGGAAAGTATGACGGTAAATCCAGCGTTGACGTACATCGTTTGGTCACTTTGTGTACTCTAGACATAATTTGTGGTAAATAAACCCCAATTAATAAGGAGTGTTCATTTTATTAAACGGACACCTTTAAAGTAACGCCACTTTTCTAATTTTTAATCTAAATTATTCTAGTTTTTATATATGAAAGCTTTAAGTTATATCTATTAAATGCCATTTTTGTTTTCAAAATAACGTTATTTCTTTTTAAAATGAAGCGAATCGCCATCGGGGCAAGAAAATTATTTTTGCAAATGTGATGCTACGAAAAATTTCCGTTGTTACTGCCTAAAATAACTAAATGTTCAAAATCAGCAGTGTTCCATATAATCAAAAAGTTTGGGGAGTTTAATACTTTAGAAGATTTGCTCAAATGCAGACCGAGAAAAGGTCCGCTTAACGAAGATATTGAGGAAAACATCATTAAGCTGCTAAAAATAACGAAATGTATGTCTGTGCGGGAAATACCGAAGAAGCAAGGTGTTACCGTAGGTACTGTACAAAATATAAAGACTCGGAATAACATTAGAACGTATTAAAGCAAAAAATCCCAAAAAGAAGCGAAAAGCAGCGCATACAGTTTCAAAAAAAAAGCAGGAAGTTATAAACAATTTTGGCCAGGAACAAAAATCGTTGTGTTTTGATGGACGAAGAAACGAAAGTTAAAATGGACTGCCCGGCTCCCAGTTTTAAAATGCAGTCGTAGGGTAAGATGTCCTCGATGACATGAAAACAAAAAAATTTGAAAAGTGTGGGAAAAAAGTCTTAGTGTGGCAACCGATTTGTTCTTGTGGGCTAAAAAGTTTAAGTTTTTTTTTACGATTGTAACAATTGGGGGCGATGATTACAGGAAAGAATGTATAAAAACGCGATTATCACCTGTTTATCGCAAACATCATAACCCTCCATTGTTTTGGCCAGATTTGTCTTCAGTTCACTACGCTGGTGTCACTCAGGAGCTTCTTAATGCCAATAATGTACAGTTTTTAAAAAAGGAAGATAAACCACCCAACTGTCCTGAGCTTCGTTTACTTGAGCGATAATGGGCAAATATGAAAGCAGTGTTAAGAAAAGATGGCCAAACAACATCACTTGGAGAATTTAAAAAAACGTGGCCTTCTGCTACGAAGAAAATCACAAACAAACCTGTGCAAACAGTGATTCGCGGTATTCGCGCAATAGTTAGAAAATTTTATACTTTTTGAATATAATTGATTAAAGAATAAGAATAATTATTTCATTTAACATTGTTAAACATTTTTATAATAAAAAAATTAAATCAGCCCAAAGTACTCGAAGTAGTAGCAATTTTTCAGTGTCCGCTTTATAAAATGAACATTCCTTATTTCATTGTTTTGAATATTCTGTCCCAGAAACTGCAATGGGTACAAAAATGAACGTCCAAAGTGGGGAAAATTCACAGTATGTGCAAAGTGTGCAACAGATGGGTCGAATCGTCATTGAAAGAGCCTTGTCGTTAATAAAAGTTTCAAAATATACATTCTGGTTATCTAGAGATTACTACATTCAGAATAATGCACTAAAAATTTTACATGGTTTTACGCTAAGTGTCATCGATTCCAAAAGAAACAAACCTGTAGAAAAAACAACCAAAAGAATGGCTTTCTTAGATTTGCTTCTTAAAGTCTCCCACGACGAGAATATCCTCACGATCGGTGAACTTCAAGAAGAAGTGGATACGTTCATGTTCGAGGTACACGAGTGTCGTTTCTCGACTTTTTCATTTTTGTAGTTTTTAAGGGACACGATACAACAGCTGCTGGTATTTCTTTCATTTTATATTGTTTGGCCGACCATCCTGAAGAACAGGTTGTCAAAAATTGCTTGATTTCGAGTTTTACCTATCCAACTTTTATTTTTTCTAGGAACAAGTTCTACAAGAGCAAAAAGAACTGTTCGGAGATGACAAAAATCCACCAGTAACTTATTCAGATTTACAAGATATGAAATATTTAGAGTGCGTTATTAAGGAAACATTTCGTTTGTATCCTCCAGTGCCAATTATTGGAAGATACTCAACAGAAGAAATTAAATTTGGTAAATTGTGAAATTTAGGTGAAACATTTCCAGCCTTCCAAATATTTTAGACGATACTTTAATACCTAAAAACACCAACATTGTTTTTTTCATCTACGGCTTACACAGAAGCTCGGAATTTTTTCCAGAGCCGGAAAAATTCAAACCTGAAAGGTTCCAAAATTTTAAAAGTGCTTTTCCTTATGCTTATATTCCGTTCAGTGCCGGCTCAAGAAATTGTATCGGTGCGTATTGGACACCGTTTTCTTCAATTATCATCGTGATTTTTACAGGTCAAAGATTCGCCATGTTGGAAACGAAAAGCATAATTTCGAAAATCGTGAGGCATTTTGAAATTAAACCAACTTTGCCGAGACACGAATTGAAATTATCAGTGGAAACTGTCCTGAAATCGGTCAATGGAATTAAAGTTACACTTAAAAAACGAAATTGATGCAGTTGGTTTTTGTTTGATTGTAGTAATTGCTATTTATACCTTTATAGCTCTTATGTCTAGAAATAATCATGCTGGAATTTAAAGAGATTACGTCTTAGGCTAATCTCCCTAGGTGGCAAATTCATTTGTAGGAAATTTGTAGGTTAGCACCATCACGTAATTTAAGGATTAAAGTTCAAGATTGAATGAGCAATTTTTATTTCTGTTATTTTAGAGACGTTTTTTTATCACTTCACTCTTTTAGATATTCCTTTAATCTTTAAATCTAAAAATTTACAGTTGACCAACATTTCGTTAAACCTGACAACTGTGAACCTGATTTTACTGCGCCTGTTACTGAAAAAAAAAAACTAAATTCAATTGTTGTATGCTTCCTGGATGTTTAACATACCAGCAGGTCGTTACGGGCGCAAACTCGCAGTTGGGTCCCCGCTATGCGGTAGAAACCGATAGCGTTATGTCATCTCGACTTCTATTCTAGCCTGCATCATTTGTGCAGAAGGCGCGATAAATCCTGCCAGCTCGACTAGGAACTGCGCACTCCGCTTCTGCCACGTATTTCGGTGTTATTTAATCTCAACTCCATTTAAATGTTTAATTTCTATAACTCTGACATTAACGAAAACTGAACAAGTGTTAAAGTTCAAAAGAGCAATAAACAACATTTAAATTCGACATACACTCTTGTGGAATTTGAAACAACAATAATTCTTATCTGAGATTAAGATTGGACACCAGACAATTTATATGATGGATACATTAATCAACAAGATATTTACAAAACAAAAAAAAACACCAAAGACTTTTAAAAACAAAAAAGATCTGGTGTGAAATAAAACTTGTACAGATAAAAGTTACATTAGATTAGGAACTACAGAGCATTGAAAGTTTACGTTCAATTTAAATTACACAACAAAGAAAATTAGTGACGCAAAAATTGTGTGAAGTGAAAAGTTGCAAATCTGACAAAATTACATGAGTTTTAAATTTTATGTCCACTCGAGTTATTGGTTGAATTTTTAAAAGTGACGTTATGTATCTGCATTGTGGGCCATCGTTGTACATTCCCCCAAACACATAAACAAAAAACATAACAGGCAAACTGGCGGTTCAAAATGGCGTTGGACAAATGCGTCGTTCAAAAAATGCGTCAAAAGACGATGTACGGCGATGATGACTCATCGTTGATGTCGGCGGCCGGGTGGCGTTCGCTAAAGAAAAGCCTGGAAGCGGAACTCGCGATGGGTATTCCAGAAAGACCCCGATCGCCGCACATCTAGAAGGAAGTGTGGGTTTAAATAGAGGCGACCTTCGGGAACGATTATTATTTCGATCGTTCAGTCAAGGAGTCGAGTCCAGCGAGTGTCCAGAAAATCCATACGTCTTGCCCAAAAATGTTAAAAATGCAGCCAGTCAAGCATTAAACAGTTTAAATAAAGTTACTTTCATTTACTGGTTTTCACATTCAGGATATAATTATGGCTTTCCTACCAGCCAACTTTTATAAATGTAAATTGGCATTTAATAGACAGAAACCTATAAAAATTAATTTATTAATAGCTCATTAATCCTGTGCATTTCAGAGTTAACAAGTGGTGCATCTAATTATTATCTGGAATAATAAGCAATTTGCAAAGTGTATTGATTATGTTCGTCAGTGCACTTTACCATGTTGTTGTATGCATTAATACTCGCATTATTTTGCGTATATTTTTTTCTAAATAAATCTTCAAATCGAAATGATTTATGTAAATTTCCTGAACCTCCAGGACATCCAATTTTAGGTCATATCTCCACTATAACATCAACCACAAGTAAAGTATTCAAAAAGTACAAAATTATATTTCGATTTACTAAGTTTAGGCACAATGTACAACTTATCCCGGTATATCGAAAATTATGGCAACACGTTGAAATTAAATATAGGACCATCAGTTTTTCCTTTATCGAAAAGCTTGGTGACTATCGACTATAAATTTGTTAAATTCGTTTTAAGCCACAATAAAATCTTGAAAAAATCACAAAATTACCAGTTCTTTCGACGCTGGTTGGGAAATGGATTGCTGATAAGCGACGGTAGGTTTTGAATTTTAAGGACGAAAGAAACGATTTGGAGGATTTTAGGCGATTACTGGAGAAGATACAGGAAAATTTTAACACTGGCTTTTCACACTGAGATATTGAAGGATTTTGTTGGAGTTTTTGAATCAGTGGGTGATGTTCTGATCGGAAAATTGGGAAAGTATGACGGTAAATCCAGCGTTGACGTACATCGTTTGGTCACTTTGTGTGCCCTAGACACAATCTGTGGTAAATACAGCCTAATTAATACTTCATTGTTTCGAAAATTATGTCCCAGAAACTGCAATGGGTACAAAACTGAACGTCCAAAGTGGCGAGAATTCACAGTATGTGGAAAGTGTGCAACAAATGGGTCGAATCATCATAGAAAGAGCCTTGTCGTTAATAAAAGTTTCAAAATACACATTCTGGTTATCTAGAGATTACTGCATTCAGAAGAATGCACTAAAAATTTTACATGGTTTTACGCTAAGTGTCATCGATTCCAAAAGAAACAAACCTGCAGAAAAAACAACCAAAAGAATGGCTTTCTTAGATTTGCTTCTAAAAGTCTCCCACGACGAGAATATCCTCACGATCGGTGAACTTCAAGAAGAAGTGGATACGTTCATGTTCGAGGTACACAAGTGTGGTTTCTCGACTTTCTCATTTTTGTGGTTTTTAAGGGACACGATACAACAGCTTCTGGTATTTCTTTCATTTTGTATTGTTTGGCCGACCATCTGGAAGAACAGGTTGTCAAAAATTGCTTGATTTCCAGCTTTACCTATCCAACTCTTATTATTTCTAGGAAAAAGTTCTACAAGAACAAGAACAACTGTTCGGAGATGACAAAAATCCACCAGTAACTTATTCAAATTTACAAGACATGAAATATTTAGAGTGCGTTATTAAGGAAACATTTCGTTTGTATCCTCCAGTGCCAATAATTGGAAGATGTACAAGAGAAGAAGTTAAATTTGGTAAATTGTGAAATTTAGGGGGACACATTTCTAGCCTTCCAAATATTCTAGACGATACTGTAATACCCAAAAACACCAACATGGTTTTTTTCATCTACGGCTTACACAGAAGCTCGGAATTTTTTCCAGAGCCGGAAAAATTCAAACCTGAAAGGTTCCAAAATTTTAACAGTGCTTTTCCTTATGCCTACATTCCGTTCAGTGCCGGCCCAAGAAATTGTATCGGTGCGTATTTCTGACACTGTTTTCTTCAGTTATTGTCGTGATTTTAACAGGTCAAAGATTCGCCATGTTGGAAACGAAAAGCATAATTTCGAAAATCGTGAGGCATTTTGAACTTAAACCAACTTTGCCGAGGCACGAGTTGAAATTATCAGTGGAAAGTGTTCTGAAATCGGTCAATGGAATTAAAGTTACACTAAAAAAACGAAATTGATGTAGTTGGTTGTAGTAATTGCTATTTATATTTTAATAGATTTATGTCTAGTAATAATCATGCTGGAATTTAAAGCGATTACGTCTTAGGCTAAGTCGTAACTAGGTCGTAAATTCATTTGTGGCAAATTTGTAGGTTAAAATCATCAGGATCCTTAAGGATTAAAGTCTAAGATCGAATAAGCAATGAGGAGTCAATTACCGAAACCGATTAGATAGTAAATTATTATTAGACATAATTTTCTAAAGTGTTCGTATTACTGGTTGCATATCCATTAGAAATAGACATTATGCAATCTATACTTCTATACTTATATTATAAAGCTGAAGTGTTTGTTTAATTAAACGCGCTAATCTCAGAAATTACTGATTCGAATTCAAAAAATCTTTTTGTGTTGGATAGTCCAGTTATCGTATCTACATATAGGCTATATAACATCACGCTACGATCATTAGGAGCGAAGTAGCAATGAAAAATTCAGGAAAACTGGAAAATTATTCCTGCTTTAACAGCTTCCGTTGCTTATCCTGTTTAAACGATTAAAGTTACGTAAATATCATGTATGACGAAATTGTTCCCCTCTAAAAGTTCTAAAAAAACGTCCGCGACAGCATATGTCTATCTTTCAAGGTCGACTCAGTATAACCTTTTTTATGCTAATGAAATCTGTTCTAAAATAATAATGCATTATGTATGAAATTTTCGCGTCACAGTGTTTGTAACCGAATTCCTCCGAAATGGGTTGATCGATTTGTATGAAATTTTTGTGTATATTCGGTAGGTCTGAGAATAGGTTGTAAACTATTTTTTATACCCCTAAGTGATAAGGGTGGGTCACCCTAAAAAATGTTTGTCTATTTTTTGGACAACATTTTTTACCTAACATCAATATTAACTCCTCGGTCTTCGTAAATATTACCCATATGTTTGAAAATGACATATTTCTCGCTTTAAAAAATTGCAAAAATTCCCTAACTATGGGTCATGATGGAATACCAAGTTTTCTCTTAATAGATTGTGTCTGTATCTTTGTCAAACCTTGCTATAGAATATTCAACTTAATTCTAAAATGCTCCATTTTTCCGGATATATGGAAAAAAGCAATCATTTGTCCAGTGTTCAAAAAGGGCGATGTAACTGACATCACTAACTATCGACCTATATCTCTCTTATGTAATTTCGCGAAAGTTTTTGAATCAGTTATATATAAATACATATATGCCTCAATAAGAAACGTGTTATCACCCTGCCAACATGGATTTATGCAAAAACGTTCTACAACTTCAAATCTAGCCTGCTTTACTCAATATGTTTCCGTAGCGATAAATGATCTAAAACAAGTTGACGTCATTTATCTCGACTTCAAGAAAGCGTTCGATCAAATCGATCATTTCATATTGATTGATAAACTCAGACGGTTTGGTTTCTCAGATACTCTTATACAGCTATTTCGTTCGTACCTTTTCAACCGTGAGCAATATGTAAAATATCATAACTATCAATCCGATATCATTAGGCCTACTTCTGGAGTACCGCAAGGGTCCAATTTAGGACCGTTGCTTTTCCTATTGTTCATTCATGATATAACAAATGCTGCATCATGTGTAAAACTTCTCTCCGCTGATGACATCAAATTATTTCTAAAAATTGACTCTTACAACGATTTATATTCGGATCTTTGATGATGTATTTTCTGTAATTCTTGGTATTGATTACTTGAAAACGGTTGTTTTAAATTTTTCAGTGGGATCTTTGAAAACGGTATCTTCACATTATTCGTCATGAAACAGTTTTACTTTTTTTATACGTTTATTTGAAAAAGAATTGTTAATTTTCCAGGTATCAGCACATTTCCTTGATTCCTCCATTATTTGTTCAAAATTGTCACGTATACTTTGAAATTTGTCTTTTAGATGTTCCATCCATTTACAAGCTTCATCTAAAGTAATATTTGAACTCTGTAAAGTTTTTGAGACCAAATTAATATTTTCTAAACTTTTGCATTGAAATACTAATAGAGCAACAAATTCAAATGAATCCATTTTTTTACGAAGAGCTACAGCTTCATCTATTTCACTTTTCTTTTTTGATGTTAAAATAATTTCAGCTCATAACTGTTGAGCGATTATACCTAATGGCAATTAGAGAATCAAATCTCGATGACCATCTGGTGGGGCATAACTTTTTTAAAGTTTTTTTTGTAACACGCTTATCATTTTCTTTCATCTCAATGTTATGTTGTTGCCATCCATTCTTAACGGAATCATTAAGGACTAAATTGAGGTTATGTGTAGCGCAATGAACATATTCGGCGTAATGATGTTGTTTCAAGTTCTTCATTTTTTTTATACCATTTTCCCAATTTTTTAATTTTCATTTTCTGGATTTGATATCACAATTTTTCGTTTATTCAATTTTTCACATTTTCAATTCCTCGATTTTCCAATTTTCAATATTTAGATTTTACAATAATTTTCGTGTTTTCGACCGCAATTTTTCGATCTTTAAGTTTCTCAATTTTTAATCTTTCGATTTTTGAATTTTCCGTTTCTTCAATTTCTCAAGTTTTTAGATTTCTCGAAGCCTTCATTTTATACTTTTGCGTTTTTTTCATTTTGAGTTTTCAATTTTACAATTTTTCTATTTTATAACTTTTCCATTTTGTTTATTCGGAAAGTAGAAAATTCGAAAAATTGAAAAATCGGAAAATTAAAAAATTGGAAAAAATTGAAGAAACAAAACTTTTTTTAAAATTTTTAATCTGTATTTCAATTTTTCGATTTTTGGAATTTTCTGTTTCTCATCGATTTTTTTGAGTTTTTCGATTTTTCCGTTTATCTTTTTTTTAAGTAAATATTTCATTCTTGAATTTTCCGATTTCGGCCTATTTCGATTTCTCGATCTTTTGAAGTCTCAAGTTTTCGATTTCGATTTCTTGGTTTTTCGATTTTCAAAATTTTCAATTTTTCTAGTATATATTTTAAATTTTAGATTTTTAAAATTTTTCATTTTTCCCTTTTATAATCTTTATGTTTCGATTTCCCGATTTTAATTTTTTAATGTGTTTCAATTTTTCCATTTTTGGAATTTTGGATTTCTCATATCTCAATTTTCCAATTTTAAAAAGTTTTCGCTATCTCAATTTTAAACATCGCAATTTTGGAAATTTTTCAATTTCTATATTTTTCAGATTTTCGATATTTTCATTTTCCGGATTTTGTAATATTCATTTTCTTGATTTTATATCACAATTTTTCATTTTTTCATTATCTTTATTTTTTCAATGTTCCTTTGGATTTTATAACTTTTTGTTTATTCAATTTTTTACATTTTCAATCTTTGATTTTTTAAGTTCTTGATTTCCAATTTTTTTTATATTTCGAAGCTTTCATTTTGTATTTTTTCAGTTTTACAATTTTTCTGTTTTATAATTTTTCGATTTTGTTTATTCGAAAAATTAAAAACTCGAAAAATGAAAAATTGAAACAATGAAAAACTAAAAACCGAGAAACTTAAAAATCTAAAAAAAAAATAATGAATCGAAGAATGGGAAACAAGAAAAACCATTCGAATTGAAAAATTGGAAAATCCAAAAATTGGAAAATCGAAAAATTATAGAATCTTGAAAATTGTAAAGTCCAAAAACTGTGACATTCAAACACCGAAAAATTGAAAAAGTGAACAACTTTAAAAATTATAATTATTAGGAGTGTTACACAATTAAAATGAAAACTAGAAAAACTGCAAATGAAAAATTAAAAAAACGGAAAATTGAAAGTAGAAAATTGAAAAAATAAAGAAAATTAAAAACCCACAGGAAAAATTGCAAATCGAAAAATTGACGAAATTAAAAACTGTAAACTCGTGAAATTTGCAAACTCTAAAATTTGAAACATCCAAAATTTGGAAAATCAAAAACTGAAAAATCGAGAAATCGAAAATTTTCAAAAATCGAAAGATTGAAAAATCGAAATTTTGGAAAATCGAAAAACCGAGGAATTCAAACTGAAAAAAGATCGAGAATTCAAGATGTCGAAAAATCTAAATATCTAAAATTTTAAAAATAGAAAAACTACAATAACGAAAAATTTAACATTTAACAAAAACACAAAATCAAAAAGTCGAAAAATCGAGAAATTGAGAAATGGAAAAATGAAAATTTAGAAAAACCAAAAATTGAAAAGCATAAAAAAAAATAAAATCGGGTATTCGGAACGTAAAAAAAATAAAATCGAAAAATTGAAAAATTTTAAATTTAAAAATTCGAAAACTTGAAAAACCGAAAAACTGAAGAAATGAAAAACCAAAAAATCGACAAATTGAAAAATCTCAAAACTGAAAAGTCGAAAAATTGAAAAACCCAAAAATCGATTTCCGGTAAGTCGAAAAATCAAAATTGAAATGTTGAAAAATTGAGAAATCGAAAACTTGAAAAATCCAGAATCGAAAAAAATAACGAAAAGTAAAAACATTTTAAAATCGAAAAAACGAAAAATCGAGATGTAAGAAATCGAAAATTCCAAAATCGAAAAATTGGAATACACGTTAAAAAGGTTAAAATCGGGAGATCGAAGCATAACAAAACATAAAATCGAAAAATGGAGAATTTTAAAAATCTAAAAACTTGAAGAAATAAAAAATTATAAAAATGGAAAAGCCGAGAAATCGAAATTAAAAAATTGAGACATCAAAAGATCCGAGAAATGGAGAAATCGAAAAACCGGAAAATTTAAAACTGAAATACATATTTAAACTTAAAAAAAAACGATAAATCAAAATATTCAAAATTCGAAAAAACAGAAATTTTAAAAATCGATATATCAAAAAAGTGAAAAATTTTAAATTAAAAAATTGGAGATATTGAAAAATCCCAAAATTGGAACAACGAAAACTTGAGAAATCGAAAAACTGAAAAATCGATAAATTGGAAAGAGGAAAAATCGAAAAATCAAGGAATTGATTAATCGAGAAATTGAAAAATGTAAAAATGATTTTTTTTTTAATTGCAAAAATTGTAAAACTGAAATATCGAAAAATTAAGTAAACTAAAAATCGAGAAATCAAGAAATCGAAAAATTGTAATTCAATTTTGTTTTATTTTTCCACAAAAATTTCGATGTCGAAGATAAAAATTCAACACGGATTCATAGACCATAGGTACACTGTTACTATTTTTTAATTTATATAACATTTATTTGACAAAATTGTAGAACTGAAGAAACGAAAAATAGAAACATTGAAAAACTAGAAATCGAGAAAAAATTAATGAATCAAAGAACGAATTAAATCGAAAAATGTTCGTCAAGTCCAAAAACTAACATTCAAAGATCGAAAAATTAAAAAATTCCAAAAACGAAAAATTGAAAAAGTGAACAACTCTAATAAAAATTATAATTATTATTACATATCTAAAACGAAAACTAGAAAACCTGCAAATCAAAAATTGAAGAAACGAAAAATTGAAAACAAAAAAAATTGAAAAATCCAAAAACTGAAAAATTTCAAATTGAGAAAAAGAAAAAATATAAAAACTCGCGCGTTAAAATATCTCGATTATTAATCACCTTTATTAACAAATTATTATTATTTTATTATTAAGACCCACCACTGACCCGGAAATGACCAGCATTCAGGCAAGATTTCTATCATTACGGGTATTAAGACCAATTGTAGGTGAAACGAAGTTCACGGGGCAGCTAGTTGTAAGTATATATAAAATCTTTGTTGATAAAATAAAGTGTGAATATTTTAAGGAATGTCTCTCTTATTTACACATTTATCTTTCTTGATTATCTAAAGAGGAAAAGCACTTGGCACAGTATCTGTCTTATCACCCCGTAACTAGTTGAACTAATTTCTAAATTTTCCGTGGCTTCGAACACAGAAAAGATTTCGCCATTATATTGTTTACTGCAGAAAATCCAACACGTTTTCTTATCTAACGTGAAGAATTTACATTCGTATATTTAACACACGACAAGGCCGTCTCTGTTACAATATAAATTCCAAGTAAAATTATAAAGCGATTTATTGTCTTTGCTTCTTTAAACAGATACTTTATAGTCGTCCTGCGGTAAAACCCATATATGCAGTGAGCAGCAAAGGGGGGGAAAGGACTGATTTCTCTGCCACTTTGACATTTTAAAATATTTTAAAATTTCGACTTTGAACCTAAATATTTCGACTTATCGACTTTGGATTAGTTTTTCTAGTGGACCAATCGCTCTTGCGCAAACGCGATTTTTTTCATAATTTTTGACCATCCAGTTTCGCCAGAATTGCGATAAATAAATACGTCTTAATTAAAATCAGATTTTCAATGTATTATCTCCAACTTCACCTTTATCTTATTGTTATTTTTAAATAGTCAAAAACCACTCGAGCGCAAATGATACACACTTGGAGCAATCTTTAAACTTTAGTTATGTTACATTTTGTTGTTTAAAATAAGAAGCTGTGATATTTTTCGTATTAATACTAATTTATCACAACAAAACCAGTTTATAAAACACAACCTTGACTGTTCAGTTTTTAATAATTATGTTGGTAGTTGCAGCTTTTATCCTAACAGCCGTTTTATATTTTGTCTTCAAAAAACATCATACGGAAAATGGGTTACATAAATTTCCCGAACCCCCGGGAAATTTCTTCGTAGGACACATACTGCAAGCACCGTCTACTGAAAGTAATGTATAATGTTTTCTTCTGGTGCTTAGTCGTGTACATTCTCCTTGTGATCGAAAATATTTTAATTCACAGTTAGCTCTGATTCTCTGAGGTTGGCGTTATTGTTGTCAAAACTAACTTCGTTTTAATTAATGGTCCCTAATGTGTGCTTCAGATGCAATAGCAGTCACAAGCAAGTTTCTCGACTACGGAAAGACTATCAGACTGAGGTGTGGTCCAGCTGCTTGTCCCATAATCGAAGGCCTCGTAACGAAAGATTACAACCTCATCGAATTCATTCTAAGCAGCAACAAAATCTTGACGAAATCTGAAAATTATAAATTCTTGAGCGCTTGGTTGAGAAACGGACTGTTGTTGAGCGATGGCGATTACTGGAAAAGACACAGAAAAATTTTAACCCCGGCTTTCCATTTCGAGATACTCAAACAATTCGTAGATGTTTTTGAATCGGTGGGGGACATTTTCGTCAAAAAATTAGAAAAATATGAAGGAATGTCAAGCGTGGATTTACACCCACTGGTTATTCTTCTAACGCTTGACATTATCTCTGGTAAGTGCGTTCTATGTACTTCGTTTTTGACAAACTCGTTACAGAGACCGCCATGGGTACGAAAATTGACGTCCAAAGTGGCCACAACTCACACTACTTGAAGAGTGTGAAAGAAATTTGTAGAATCGTCATAGAAAGAGCTTTTTCTCCGATAAGTGCGTTCGACTTTAGTTTCTGGTTATGTAAAGACTACTACAAACAAAAGAAAGCGTTGAAGGTTTTACACGGTTTTACGTCAGAGGTGCTCAATTCCAAAAAAGGACAAGTTTTTGAAAAGACAACGAAAAAAATGGCGTTCTTGGATCTGCTTTTGAAGTTTTCTCGCGACGATGATGTTCTTAGTTACGATGAGATTCGCGAGGAAGTTGATACTTTCATGTTTGAGGTAAAATAGTTAGTTTTTGGAATTTGTAAACGTGTGTAAATTTCTAGGGACATGACACAACAGCTGCTGGTATTTGTTTCATATTGTATTGTTTGGCTGACCATCCTGATGTCCAGGTGACTAAATTACGTTATTATTTAGAATATAATTATAGTTTCGTTATTTTTAGGCGAAAGTGCTCCAAGAGCAAAAAGCGTTGTTCGGTGATGAGAAAAATCCAGCGGTGGCTTATTCAGACTTACAAAACATGAAATATCTAGAGTGCGTTATCAAAGAAACCTGTCGGTTGTATCCTCCAGTTCCGGTAATAGGACGATATACAACAGAAGAAGTCAATTTTGGTAAATTTTGAAATCCTCTGGTTATTTTTTTTAATTTGAAAATTTTTTAGAAGGTTATTTAATACCCAAAAGAACTAATATTGTTTTGTTTATTTACGCTTTGCATAGAAATCCGGACTTTTTTCCGGAACCGGAAAAATTCAGACCCGAAAGATTCGAAAATTTTCACACTTCTTTTCCTTATGCCTATATTCCCTTTAGCGCCGGTGCTAGAAACTGTATTGGTTTGTCTTTTGTGACATTTTTTTGTGGTAAAAATTGTAATCAGCACTTGCAGGTCAAAAGTTCGCCATGTTGGAAATGAAAAGCGTCATTTCGAAAGTTGTTAGACATTTTGAAGTTAAACCAACTCAGCCCAGACACGAACTGAAACTGTCTGTGGAAGCGGTTTTGAAATCAGTAAATGGAATTAAGGTTGTGTTGAAAAAGCGACATTAGTTTTTTTAATAAAATATGACATCAGTGTGTGTCGTTTTGCATTTTTTATAAGTTCCTTAGCAACTGAAAACACGAACAGAAAAATTATTAAATAACACATTAAGCCAAAAATTGAAAACAGTTAAATTTGCTTTGAAAAAGATTGAGCTGATCGCGTTTCCATGAGATATTTCCCTGTCATGGTTAAATTTTGTTACGAAAGAAACCCATACGCCGCCCCAGTACGACGCCTATGGGTTCTCGTATGTACGGCGATGATGACTCATCGTTGATGTCGGCAGCCGGGTGGCGTTCGCTAAAGAAAATCCTGGAAGCGGAACTCGAGATTATTCAGTCAGCCAGTCAGGCATTAAACAGTTTAAAAAAAGTGACTTTCATGTACTGGTTTTCAGATTCAGATTCTTACCAGCCAACTTTTATAAATGTAAACAGGCTTTAATAGATAGAAACCGATTAAAATTAATTATTAATAGCATATTAATGTTGTACCTTTCAGGGTTAACAAGTGGTACATCTAATTATCTGGAGTAATAAGCAATTTGCAAAGTGTATTGGTTATGTTCGTCAGTGCACTTTGCCATGCTGTTGTATGCAGTAATACTCGCATTATTTTGCGTATATTTGTATCTAAATAAATCTTCAAATCGAAATGATTTATGTAAATTTCCTGAACCTCCAGGACATCCACTTTTAGGTCATTTGTCCACTATAACATCAACCACAAGTAAAGTATTCAAAAATTACAAAAATATATTTCGATTTACTAAGTTTAGGCGTAATATACAACTTATCCCAGTATATCGAAAATTATGGCAACACTTTGAAAATGAATATAGGACCATCAGTTTTTCCCTTATCGAAAAGTCTGGTGACCATCGACTATAAATTTGTTAAATTCGTTTTAAGCCAGAATAAAATTTTGAAAAAATCACTAAATTACAAGTTCTTGCGACGCTGGTTGGGAAATGGATTGCTGATAAGCGACGGTAAGTTTTCAATTATAACGACGAAACAAACGATTTGGAGGATTTTAGGCGATTACTGGAGAAGACACAGGAAAATTTTGACACTGGCTTTTCACACTGAGATATTGAAAGATTTTGTTGGAGTTTTTGAATCAATGGGTGATGTTCTGATCGCAAAATTGGGAAAGTATGACGGTAAATCCAGCGTTGACGTCCATCGTTTGGTCACTTTGTGTACCCTAGACACAATCTGTGGTAAATACAGCCTAATTAATGTTTCAGTGTTTCGAAAATTCTGTCCCAGAAACTGCAATGGGTACAGAAATGAACGTCCAAAGTGGGGAAAATTCACAGTATGTGCAAAGTGTGCAACAGATGGGTCGAATCGTCATTGAAAGATCCTTGTCGTTAATGAAAGTTTCGAAATACACATTTTGGTTGTCCAGAGACTACTACATTCAGAAGAATGCACTAAAAATTTTACACGGTTTTACGCTAAGTGTCATCGATTCCAAAAGAACCAAACCTGTTGAAAAAGCAACCAAAAGAATGGCTTTCTTAGATTTGCTTCTAAAAGTCTCCCACGACGAAAATATCCTCACGATCGGTGAACTTCAAGAAGAAGTGGATACGTTTATGTTCGAGGTACACGAGTGTGGTTTCTCGACTTTTTCAATTTTGTGGTTTTTAAGGGACACGATACAACAGCTTCTGGTATTTCTTTCATTTTGTATTGTTTGGCCGACCATCCTGAAGAACAGGTTGTCAAAAATTGCTTGTTTTTCAGTTTTACCTATCCAACTCTTTTTATTTCTAGGAAAAAGTTCTGCAAGAGCAAAAACAACTGTTCGGAGACGAGAAAAACCCCCCAGTAACTTATTCAGATTTACAAGACATGAAATATTTAGAATGCGTTATTAAGGAAACATTTCGTTTGTATCCTCCAGTGCCAATTATTGGAAGATACACAACAGAAGAAATTAAATTTGGTAAATTGTAAAATTTAGGGGACACATTTCTAACCTTCCAAATATTTTAGACGATACTGTAATACCCAAAAACACCAACATTGTTTGTTTCATCTACGGCTTACACAGAAGCTCGGAATTTTTTCCAGAGCCGGAAAAATTCAAACCTGAAAGGTTCCAAAATTTTAACAGTGCTTTTCCTTATGCCTACATTCCGTTCAGTGCCGGTCCAAGAAATTGTATCGGTGCGTATTCCTCACACCGCTTTCTTCAATTATGATCGTGATTTTTACAGGTCAAAGATTCGCCATGTTGGAAACGAAAAGCATAATTTCGAAAATCGTGAGGCATTTTGAAATAAAACCAACTTTGCCGAGACACGAGTTGAAATTATCAGTGGAAACTGTCCTGAAATCGGTCAATGGAATTAAAGTTACACTTAAAAAACGAAAATGATGCAGTTGGTTTTTGTTTGATTGCAGTAATTGCTATTTATACCTTTATAGCTCTTATGTCTAGAAATAATCATGCTGGAATTTAAAGAGATTACGTCTTAGGCTAATCTCCCTAGGTGGCAAATTCATTTGTAAGAAATTTGTAGGTTAGCACCATCACGAAATTTAATGATTAAAGTTCAAGATTGAATCAGCAATTTTTATTTCTGTTATTTTGGAGACGTTTTTTTATCACTTCACTCTTTTAGATATTCCTTTAATCTTTAAATATAAAAATTTACAGTTGACCAACATTTCGTTAAACCTGACAACTGTGAACCTGATTTTACTGCGCCTGTTACTGAAAAAAAAAAACTAAATTCAATTGTTTTATGCTTCCTGGATGTTTAACATACCAGCAGGTCGTTACGGACGCAAACTCTCAGTTGGGTCCCCGCTATGCGGTAGAAACCGATAGCGTTATGTCATCTCGACTTCTATTCTAGTCTGCATCATTTGTGCAGAAAGCGCGATAAATCCTGCCAGCTCGACTAGGAAACGCGCACTCCGCTTCTGCCACGTATTTCGGTGTTATTTAATCTCAACTCCATTTAAATGTTTAATTTCTATAACTCTGATATTAACGAAAACTGAACAAGCGTTAAAGTTCAAAAGAACAATAAACAACATTTAAATTCGACATACACTCTTGTGAAATTTGAAACAACAATAATTCTTATCTGAGATTAAGATTGGACACCAGACAATTTATATGATGGATACATTAATCAACAAGATATTTACAAAACAAAAAAAACAGCAAAGGTTTTTAAAAACAAAAAAGATCTGGTGTGAAATAAAACTTGTATAGATAAAAGTTACATTAGATTAGGAACTACAGAGCATTGAAAGTTTACGTTCAATTTAAATTACACAACAAAGAAAATTAGTGACGCAAAAATTGTGTGAAGTGAAAAGTTGCAAATCTAACAAAATTACATGAGTTTTATATTTTATGTCCACTCGAGTTATTGGTTAAATTTTTAAAAGTGAAGTTATGTAGCTGCATTGTGGGCCATCGTTGTACATTCCCCCAAACACATAAACAAAAAATTGGTCTAAAGAGTTTAGACAGTACTTCCCTCGCTGTCGGAAACTTGACGACTGCATGCCTATTGTGTTTTTTTTCTCATTACATTTTTGTAGTGGGAATTTAAAAAAAAATTGCGATGACGTCATCAACATTTTTGCAAGGACACGTATATCAGTTGGGATAGATGTAGTGTAATACTAAGAATAAAATTATTATATTCTCAAATTTTCGGGAAAATGAATTGGGTCGTTTGAATATTGATTTGTAATAATCAATAAAATAACGAAACAATTTACTCACGTATACCTACGTATCAGAGGCAACTGAAAATCGTGTATGTATAAACATTGTTAATTTAAGATGACAGGCGTAACAGCATACGTGAGAGCCAAACACAGAAACTGTAAACAAAACGACCGTCGGTTTTATTGCTTCGACTTCCGCTTATTATATAAAACATTGGGTTTTATTTTAATTCTTGACGGTGAAATTCACAATTGGTTGATTATAAACATGTCTATTTCACATTCGCGGAATCAAGTGAACGCATAAAACAAATGCAGGTCTGTAATGTTAAAGTCGATGTAAATAAGCGTGCTACCCTTATGTTTCAACCGAGTTTTTCCTTTAACAAATTTTGTGTCTACCAAATTGGGTTGGTTGGGGTGTAATACTAATAATAAGTGTTGCCTTTAATTTAATCAATAAAATAAATTGACTTCATTAATTTTTTTGAACCACCTCTTAAGAAAATCTAAAAAATTTGAATGGAATGATAAATCACAAGTACAAACTCATCATATTTTTTGCATTTTAGATAGGATTTATTCAGCAAAATTTAAGGGTGACGTCATCAATTTTTTTAGGAGGGATGAACAAATACATTTTGAACAAAAGTTTACCATGCTTATAATAACTTTAAAATATTCCCAAGATTTCAAAGCATTCGGTTTTGTAATTCCTGATTAAATCGATAAAATAAATTCACGCCTTCATTAATTTTTTTGAGTCACCCTGCATATGCAAATCCAAAAATATGAATGGAATGATAAATCACAAGTACAGACTCATCATATTTTGTACATTTTAGATACGATTTATTCGGAAAACTTTTGAGCTGACGTCATCAGTTTTTTGTAGAAGATAACCAAATATATTTTGACTAAAAATTTATTATGCTCTTTATAACCTTAAAACATCTGCAAGATTTCAAAGCATTCGGTTTTGTAGTTCCTGATTAAATCAATAAAATAAATTTACGCATTCATTAATTTTTTTGAGTCACTCTGTATATGCAAATCCAAAAAATATGAATGGAGTGATAAATGACAAGTACAGGTTCATCATATTTTGTACATTTTAGATATGATTTATTCGGCAAACTTTCGAGCTGACGTCATCAAGTTTTTGGAGGGGATAAGCAAATATATTTTGACTAAACATTTATTATGCTCTTTATGACCTTAAAACATCTGCAAGATTTCAGAGCATTCGGTTTTGTAGTTCCTGATTAAATCAATAAAATATATTTACGCATTCATTAATTTTTTTGAGTCACCCTGTATATGCAAATCCAAAAAATATTAATGGAGTGATAGTTCACAAGTACAGACTCATCATATTTTGTACATTTTAGATATGATTTATTCCACAAACTTTTGAGCTGACGTCATCAAGTTTTTGGAGGGGGTAAGCAAATATTTTTTGACTAAAGATTTATGATGCTCTTTATAGCCTTAAAACATCTGCAACATTTCAAAGCATTCTGGTTAGCAGATTAAAAATTAAATTTCAAAATGTTGTTTTATAATTTTGATTTTTTTTCCAAAAATCTGGACGTTTCGGGTGAAAAGTCGATTCAGAGTTGTAAACTACATGTGTAGGACTATGTTATTTCATACAATTGAAAACCCATTTACTATGTACAATTTTGAAGTGACGTCATCGCTTTAGTGGTGGGGATGATTCGACAAATTTTGGTTAGCGTTTTACCATCTACATGATATTCTTAATATAAGTACAAAATTTCACAACAATCGGTCGAGTACTTTCGGAGATTATCTGTCTAATAAAAATCCGTGACAACAGACGGACAGACGGACAGACGGACGGACAGACGGACAGACGGACAGACGGACAGACGGACAGACGGACAGACGGACAGACGGACAGACAGACGGGAATGGGAGACCTATTTCTTCGTCTTCTAGGGGTCATGAAAGATCGAGAAAACGTAAAAGTAGAGAGTCGGCCGACGGACTCGATTACAATACTTTCTTTGCTTACGCTCGGGAAGTAAAAACATAACATGCAATCTGGCGGTTCAAAATGGCGTTGGACAAATGCGTCGTTCAAAAAAATGCGTCAAAAGACGATGTACGGCGATGATGACTCATCGTTGATGTCGGCGGCCGGGCGGCGTTTGCTAAAGAAAAGCCTGGAAGCGGAACTCGCGATGGGTATTCCAGAAAGACCTCGATCGCCGCACATCTAGAAGGAAGTGTGTGTTTAAATAAAGGCGACCTTCGGGAACGATTATTATTTCGATCATTCAGTCAACGAGTCGAGTCCAGCGAGTGTCGAGAAAATCCATACGTCTTGCCCAAAAATGTTAAAAATGCAGCCAGTCAAGCATTAAACAGTTTAAATAAAGTTAGTTTCATTTACTGGTTTTCACATTCAGGATACAGTTATGGCTTTCCCACCAGCCAACTTTTATAAATGTAAATTGGCATTTAATAGACAGAAACCTATAAAAATTAATTAATTAATAGCTCATTAATGCTGTGCATTTCAGAGTTAACAAGTGGTGCATCTAATTATTATCTGGAATAATAAGCAATTTGTAAAGTGCATTGATTATGTTCGTCAGTGCACTTTACCATGTTGTTGTATGCATTAATACTCGCATTATTTTGCGTATATTTTTATCTAAATAAATCTTCAAATCGAAATGATTTATGTAAATTTCCTGAACCTCCAGGACATCCACTTTTAGGTCATATCTCCACTATAACATCAACCACAAGTAAAGTATTCAAAAAGTACAAAATTATATTTCGATTTACTAAGTTTAGGCATAATATACAACTTATCCCGGTATATCGAAAATTATGGCAACACTTTGAAATTAAATATAGGACCATCAGTTTTTCCTTTATCGAAAAGCTTGGTGACTATCGACTATAAATTTGTTAAATTCGTTTTAAGCCACAATAAAATCTTGAAAAAATCACAAAATTACCAGTTCTTTCGACGCTGGTTGGGAAATGGATTGCTGATAAGCGACGGTAGGTTTTGAATTTCAGGGACGAAAGAAACGATTTGGAGAATTTTAGGCGATTACTGGAGAAGACACAGGAAAATTTTAACACTGGCTTTTCACACTGAGATATTGAAGGATTTTGTTGGAGTTTTTGAATCAGTGGGTGATGTTCTGATCGGAAAATTGGGAAAGTATGACGGTAAATCCAGCGTTGACGTACATCGTTTGGTCACTTTGTGTGCCCTAGACACAATCTGTGGTAAATACAGCCTAATTAATACTTCCTTGTTTCGAAAATTATGTCCCAGAAACTGCAATGGGTACAAAAATGAACGTCCAAAGTGGCGAAAATTCACAGTATGTGGAAAGTGTGCAACAGATGGGTCGAATCGTCATAGAGAGAACCTTGTCGTTAATAAAAGTTTCAAAATACACATTTTGGTTAACTAGAGATTACTACATTCAGAAGAATGCACTAAAAATTTTACATGGTTTTACTCTAAGTGTCATCGATTCCAAAAGAAACAAACCTGTTGAAAAAACAACCAAACGAATGGCTTTCTTAGATTTGCTTCTAAAAGTTTCCCACGACGAGAATATCCTCACGATCGGGGAACTTCAAGAAGAAGTGGATACGTTTATGTTCGAGGTACACGAGTGTGGTTTCTCGACTTTTTCAATTTTGTGGGTTTTAAGGGACACGATACAACAGCTGCTGGTATTTCTTTCATTTTATATTGTTTGGCCGACCATCCTGAAGAACAGGTTGTCAAAAATTGCTTGATTTCGAGTTTTACCTATCCAACTTTTATTTTTTCTAGGAAAAAGTTCTACAAGAGCAAAAAGAACTGTTCGGAGATGACAAAAATCCACCAGTAACTTATTCAGATTTACAAGACATGAAATATTTAGAGTGCGTCATTAAGGAAACATTTCGTTTGTATCCTCCAGTGCCAATTATTGGAAGATACACAACAGAAGAAATTAAATTTGGTAAATTGTAAAATTTAGGGGACACATTTCTAGCCTTCCAAAAATTTTAGACGATAGTTTAATACCCAAAAACACCAATATTATTTTTTTCATCTACGGCTTGCACAGAAGCTCGGAATTTTTTCCACAGCCGGAAAAATTCAAACCTGAAAGGTTCCAAAATTTTAATAGTGCGTTTCCTTATGCCTACATTCCGTTCAGTGCCGGCCCAAGAAATTGTATCGGTGCGTATTTCTGACACCGCTTTCTTCAGTTATCATTGTGATTTTTACAGGCCAAAGATTCGCCATGTTGGAAACGAAAAGCATAATTTCGAAAATCGTGAGGCATTTTGAAATCAAACCAACTTTGCCGAGACACGAGTTGAAATTATCAGTGGAAACTGTTCTGAAATCGGTCAATGGCATTAAAGTTACACTAAAAAAACGAAATTGATGTAGTTGGTTTTTGTTTGATTGTAGTAAGTAAGTTTATTCAATTGTCCTGGATGTTTAGCATACTTGTCACAGTTTTCGTATTACTGGTTGCATATCGATCAAGAAAAAACATGTAAGTGAATATAAAAATCTTTGTAGATAAAATAAAATGTGACTATTTTAAGAAATCTTGTCTTCCTTATTTACACGTTTATCTTCTTTGATTATCTAAAGAGGAAAAGCGCTACAGGGAAAATGGCACAGTATTTTTCTTATCACCCCGTAACTAGTTGAATTCATTTCTAAATTTTGCGTTGTTTCCGAACACAGAAAAGATTTCGCCATTATATTGTTTACTGCAGAAAATCCAACACGTTTTCTTATCTAACGTGAAGAATTTACATTCCTGTATTTAACACACGACAAGGCCGTCTCTGTTACAATATAAATTCCAAGTAAAATTATAAAGCTATTTATTGTCTTTGCGTCTTTAAACAGAAACTTCATAGACGTCCTGCGGTAAAACACATTATGCAGTGAGCAGCAAATAGGGGGAAAGAACAGATTTTTCTGAAACTTTGCAATTTTAAAAGACATTAAAATTTTGACTTTGAACCTAAATATTTCGAAAGCCGGTTGCCTTATCGGCTTTTTCTCTCCTAGACCGATCACCCTTGCGCAAACAAATTTTTTTCATAATTTTTGACCATCCAGTTGACGTCTTAACTCAAATGACATTTTCAATGAATTATCTCCATTATAGATAATTCTACGTTGCCGGCATATTTTTTTTTATTTGAAAATTTAGAAGAAGACAAATTTGTGGAATTTACGACATGTCTAAGGCAAGATAAATTACATTGAAACAGTTACAAATACTTTGATTATCGTGTCAACTTCACCTTTATCTTATTGTTTTTTTTAAATAGGCAAAAACCACTCGAGTGCAAATGATACACACTTAGAACAACCTATAAAGTTTAGTTATGTTACATTTTGTTGTTTAAAATTTGAAACCAGTTTATAAAACAGAACTTTGACTGTTTAATTTTTAATAATTATGTTGTTAGTTGCAGCCTTTATCTTAACGGTTGTTCTATACTTTTTCTTCAAAAAACATCATACGGAAAATGGGTTACATAAATTTCCCGAACCCCCGGGAAATTTCTTCGTAGGACACATACTGCAAGCACTGTCTACTGAAAGTAATGTATAATATTTTCTTCTGGTGCTTGGGCTTTATTGTAACACTATACAAAGTACATTCTCCTTAAATAACCTTGTGATCGAAAATATTTTAATTCACAGTTAGCTCTGATTCTCTGAGGTTGGTGTCATTGTTGTCATGATTTCAATTAACGGTCGTTAATCTGTGCTTCAGATGCAATAGCAGTCACAAGCAAGTTTCTCGACTACGGAAAGACTGTCAGATTGAGGTGTGGACCTGCTGCTTGTCCCATAATTGAAGGCCTCGTAACGAAAGATTACAACCTCATCGAATTCATTCTAAGCAATAACAAAATCTTGACGAAATCTGAAAATTATAAATTCTTGAGGGCTTGGTTGAGAAACGGACTGTTGTTGAGCGATGGCGATTACTGGAAAAGACACAGAAAAATTTTAACCCCGGCTTTCCATTTCGGGATACTCAAACAATTTGTCGATGTTTTTGAATCGGTGGGGGACATTTTCGTCAAAAAATTAGAAAAATATGAAGGAATGTCAAGCGTGGATTTACACCCACTGGTTATTCTTCTAACGCTTGACATTATCTCTGGTAAGTGCATTCTATGTACTTCGTATTTGACAAACTCGTTACAGAGACCGCCATGGGTACGAAAATTGACGTCCAAACTGGCCACAACTCCCACTACTTGAAGAGTGTGAAAGAAATTTGCAGAATCGTCATAGAAAGAGCTTTTTCTCCAATAAGTGCATTCGAATTTAGTTTCTGGTTATGTAAAGACTACTACAAACAAAAGAAAGCGTTGAAAGTTTTACACGGTTTTACGTCAGAGGTGCTCAGTTCCAAAAAGGGACAAGTTTTTGAAAAGACAACGAAAAAAATGGCTTTCTTGGATCTGCTTTTGAAATTTTCTCGCGACGAAGATGTTCTTAGTAATGATGAGATTCGCGAGGAAGTTGATACTTTCATGTTTGAGGTAAAATAGTTAATTTTTGGAATTTGTAAACGTGTGTAAATTTCTAGGGACATGACACAACAGCTGCTGGTATTTGTTTCATCTTGTATTGTTTGGCTGACCATCCTGATGTCCAGGTGACTAAATCACGTTGGAAATTAGGATTTATATTGTCGTTATTTTTAGGCGAAAGTGCTTCAAGAGCAAAAAGCGTTGTTTGGTAATCAGAAAAATCCAGCGGTGGCTTATTCAGACTTACAAAACATGAAATATCTAGAGTGCGTTATCAAAGAAACCTGTCGGTTGTATCCTCCAGTTCCGGTAATAGGACGATATACAACAGAAGAAGTCAATTTTGGTAAATTTTGAAATCCTCTGGTTATTTTTTTTGATTTGAAAATTTTTAGAAGGTTATTTAATACCCAAAAGAACTAATATTGTTTTGTTTATTTACGCTTTGCACAGAAATCCGGATTTTTTTCCGGAACCGGAAAAATTCAAGCCCGAAAGATTCGAAAATTTTCACACTTCTTTTCCTTATGCCTATATTCCGTTTAGTGCTGGTGCTAGAAACTGTATTGGTTTGTCTTTTGTGACATTTTTTGTGGTCAAAATTGTAATCAGCACTTGCAGGTCAAAAGTTCGCCATGTTGGAAATGAAAAGCGTGATTTCGAAAGTCGTTAGACATTTTGAAATTAAACCAACTGTGCCGAGACACGAATTGAAACTGTCTGTGGAAGCGGTTTTGAAATCAGTAAATGGAATTAAGGTTGGGTTGCAAAAGCGACATTAGTTTTTTTTTTTAATAAAATATTATATTACAATCGTCCACCCGCTTTTTTTTAAATCTAGCACTACCAGTGAGTACTATTAAAGAGGAGAGTGAATTGGCAGAACATTTCTTCATCACCTGAGAACTTGTTTGATCAACAGACCGGAGTGCGCTCAGGCCAATGTCGACTCTAAGTGCTCAGAATTCCTGCGAGAAATAGATATTATTTAGATGTTTTATTTACAAACATAATATCACATCTCACATGTTTCACGTGATTTTGACATGCACTATTTTTTTGCTTAACTAAGAATTAATTCTTTAATTGTGTTTGATACTAACAAAACGTCCTAAATTAGCGTAACCGTAATCATGCAATAGATTTTTTTCGGAAAAGTGCAGTTATTTTTATGTTTTAGAATTAGAAACCTTGTGTTCTATTTTGTATTAGTTTTCCCATATTTTTAGTCACAGTTTTGGTAGTTATTTATTTTTCAAACACTGTGTGAGATTAAGATCGGTAAAATTTTTAGCAATAACCCTTTCAGTGATCCAAAAACTGAAAAATTGAAATATCGAAGAATACAAAAATTGAAAAACCGAAAAATTAAAATATCGAAAAATTGGAAAAATCAGAAATTGAAAAGTTCCCAAAACTGATAATGTTGAAAAAATTGAGAAATCTAAAACTTGAAAAATCGGGAAATCTAAAAATCTAAAAGTTGAATATTTTTAAAAATCGATAAACCAAGACGGTAAAATTAAAAAATCGAAAAATTAAAAAATACACATATTGAAAAATTTTAAATTTAAAACATTGAAAAATTCAAAATCGAAAATTTGGAAAATCGAAAAATTAAAAAAGAAATTGAAAAATCAAAAGTAGAGGAACTGAAAACTCGAGAGATATCGAAAACCCTAAAACCTTAAAAATTGAAAAGTTAAAATACTGGAAAGTTGAAAAATTGAGAAATCGAAGTACCTTGAAAACAATCGAAAAACTGAAACATCTAAAGTTTAAAAAACGAAAAATTGAAAATAAAAAGTAAAATTCGAGAAATCAAAAAATGGAGAACTCGAAATACCAATAAATGCCAAAACGGAAATATCGAAAAATTGAAGTATCGAAAAAATGAGAAATCACAAAATTGAACGAAATATCCAAAAATTGAGAAATTAAAGACATGAAGACATCCAAACATCAAACAATCAAAGAAATAAAAATTAAAAAATCTAAAATTTAAAAATCGAAAAACTGAAAAGTCAAGAAATCTACAACTCGAAACTCGAAAATTCAAAAAATTGGAAAATTGAAAAATCGGATATCAAAAATCGACAAATCGAAACATCGAAAAATTCAAGAATTCACCGAAAAATCGAAAAATCAAAAGATCGAGAAATCGAGGAGTCGAAAAGTCGATAAATCGAAGAACCAAAAAATTGAGAAACCGAAATAGGCCAAAATTAAAAAATCGAAAATTTAAAACTTCGGAAAGTTGAAAAATTAAGATACACAAGAACTGAAAACTCAATAAATCTAGAATTTCAAAAAATTGAAAAATTAAACTATCGAAATGTAGAAAAATTGAGAAGTCGAAATACTTATAAAACTGAAAATCTAGAAAATAAAAAATCAAAAGTCGAAGAATCGAAATATTGAAGAATCCCAAAACTGGAAGAAATATCCAAAAATTGAGAAATTAAAAAATACGAAAATCTACAAATTGAAAAACCAAAAAAGCAAAGTCGAAGAATTAAAAAAAAATTAGAAATTTTGAGAAGTCAAGAAATGGGAAAATAAAAAATAGATGAATTGAGCAATCGGAAAATTGACTATTTATCAGCGTCAATTCGAAAATTTTAAAATTAAAAATCAATAAACTGAAAAATCGAGAAATCGAAACTTCAGAATTAAAAAAATTAGAAAATTGAAAAATCGGATAATTCAAAAATCGAAAAATCGAAACATCCAAAAATTCAAAAATTGGGACATCGAAAAATCCAAAAATCAAAAATTCCTGAAATCGAGGAGTCGAAAAGTCGAAAAATTGGGATACCGAAATAGGCCAAAATTGAAACATCGAGAACATAAAGCTTCTGAAAATTGAAAATTTAAAATACAGAAGAACTGAAAATTCGAGAAATCGAAAAATCCAGAATTTTAAAAATTCTAAATATAAAGCAGTAGAAAAATTGAAAAATCTAAAGTTTAAAAAACGAAAAACTGAGAATCCAGAAAATAAAAAAATCCAAAAATCCAAAAATTGAAAAATCGAAAAATCGAACTATTGAAAAATCCCAAAACTGAAAGAAATATCCAAAAATTGAGAAATTAAAAAACTGGAAAATGGAGAATTCGAGAAACCAAAAAAGCAACGCCGAAAAATCTAAGAATTAAAGAACTGAAAAATCGAGACTTCGAGAAGTCGAGAAATGGGAAAATCAAAAACTGAGAAATCGAAAAATCAAAAATTTAAAACATTGAACAATTAGAATATGGCAAAAAATCAAAAAATGAAAATTCCAAAATTTTAAATTTAAAAATCTATAAACTGAAAAATCGACAAATCGAGAAAGCGAAACTCCAGAATTTAAAAAATTGGGAAATTGAAAAATTGGATAATTCAAAAATCGACAAATCGAGAAATCGGAATTCTAGAATTTAAAAAATTGGGAAATTGAAAAATTGGATAATTCAAAAATCGAAAAACCGACAAATCGAAACATCGAAAAATTCAAAAATTGAGACACGGAGAAATTGAAAAATCAAAACGTGAATCGAGGAGTCGAAAAGTCGAGAAGTCGAAAAATCGAAGAATTAAGAAACCCAAATAGACCAAAATCGAAAAATCGAAAAGTTAGAAATGGAAAAATTCATAAATCTAGACAGTGATTAATGAAAACATCGAAACATGCGAACGTCTATAAATCGAGATCTGAAAAAATTGAAAAATCGAAAATTTAAAATTTCGGAAAATTGAAAAGTTAAAATATAGAAGAACTGAAAACTCGAGAAATCGAAAAATCTAGAATTTTAAAGATTGAGAAATCTGAAGTTTAAAGAACTAAAAACTGAAAATCCAGAAAATGAAAATCGAAAAATCCAGAAATCGAAAAGTCGAAAAGTCGAAGAATCAAAATATTGAAAAATCCCAAAGCTAAAAAATAAAAAATTGGAAAACCGGGAAACCGAAAAACCAAAACAGCAAAATCGAAAAATCGAAGAATTAAAGAACTGAAAAATAGAAACTTTGAGAAGTCGAGAAATGGGAAAATCAAAAATATATGAATTGAGAAATCGGAAAATTGACGATTTAGTAACGTCATAATTTGAAAAATTGAAAAATTGAATACTGAAGAAGTGAAAAATCAAAAAACTGGGAAATCGAAAAATCTAAAATTTAAAACATTGAACAATTAAAATACCCTAAAATTGAAAAATCGAGAAATCCAGACATCAAAAAATTAAAAAATAAAAATTCGAAAACTTTAAATTTAAAAATCGAAAAACCGACAAATCGAAACATCGAAAAATTCAAAAATATAATGGATAATTAAAACATCGAAACATGCGAATGCCAATAAATCGAGAACTGAAAAAATTGAAAAATCGAACATTTAAAATTTCGGAAAATTGAAAAATTAAAATATAGAAGAACTGAAAACTCGAGAAAACGAAAAATCTAGTTTTTTAAAAATTGAAAAATCGAAAGTTTAAAAAACGAAATCTGAAAGTCCAGAAAATGAACAATTGAAAAATCCGGAAACCGAAAAATCGAAAAATCGAAAAACGGAAATATTGAAAAATCCCCAAACTAAAATAAATATCCAAAAATTGAGAAATTAAAAAATTGGGAAATCGAGAAATCGAAAAACCAAAAAAGCAAGGTAGAAAAATCGAAGAATTAAAGAATTGAAAAATAGAAACTCGAAAAATCCATAAATTGAAAAGCCGAAAAGTAAAAAATCGAAAAACTGAGAAATCCAAAAATCGAAAAATTACAAAAATTTAACATCGAGAAATACAAAAATCAGAGGATCGAGGAAAACCGACAAAAAAAGTTAAAAATTAAAAAATTGAAACATCTGAATTTGATAAATCGAGAAATCACAAAATTGAAAAATGGAAAAATTTTAAAAAAGAAAAATTGGAAAATCCAAAATTTAAAAGTTCGTAAATTTGACAACTCGACAAATCGAAAAATCTAGAATTTTAAAAATCGAGAAATCAAAAAATCCAGGAGTTCAAAAATCGAAAAGTCGAAAAATCAAAAATCGAAAAGTCGAAAAATCAAAATATTGAAAAATCCCAAAAATGAAAAAAACACCAAAAAAATTGAGAAATTAAAAAACCTGAAAAATCGAAAAATTGACGAATTGAAGAAGTGAAAAATCGAAACTGTGGGAAGTCGGGAAATGGGAAAATAAAAAAAAAGATTACTTCAGAAATTGGAAAACTGAAAATTTAAAAAGGTCATAATCTGAAAAATTGAAAAATTGAAATAGTTAAAAATCGTAAAATTGAAGGGGACAAAAATTGAAACATTGGAAAATTAAGAAATCAAAAAATAAAAAAATTAGGATCTCGAAAATCTGAAGAATGAAAAATTGAAAAACCCAAAATTGACGTCTTAGGTAAAAACTCAAGACGGATTCATAAACCATAAACGGAGGGTATAAAATTTAAATTACACTTTTACAACATAAAACAATATAAAAATTAAAGAAAAAAGCTACTAGGTACTAAATTTATTGATGAACTACATACAACCTGGTCCATCTGGTATCAATATGAACAAAACATGTAAACAAGTTGTTATTGAGACAGACTCCGCCGATTGGTTTTGTTTTCTATGTGACGAATTCGAGAAAGACCTCGATCGCAGAAGTGTGGGTTTAAACAGAGACCACCTTCGGATTACAAAATCGCGCTTGGTGTTCTTTTACTTTTGTCACTCAGTATACGTTGTTCAACAACTGAAAACACAAAAGGAAAAACTTTTAAATAGCACTTTATTGTTGTGACTTTCAGGGTTAACAAGTAGTAATTATCCGGAACTATAAACATTTTTCAAAGTGCATTGTTCATGTTTGTCGGTGCACTTTACCATGTCGTTGTATATTAGTCCTTAGTCGGTAAACTGCATCTAATCGTGTGCTTGCAGGTCAAAAGTTCGCCATAATCATATTCTTTTGGCGTGAGCTTGTAAAACAATTAGAATATTAAAAAAGAAGGGATTACGAAGTACCACATTAGTGATGTGTCGGTCAAAGTTGAGGAACGATAATTGCATGAGTTAAACGCATTTTGCTAAGTCTATTTTCAATGTTTATCAGTGTTTATCAGTGCTCTTTGCTATGTTGTTATATGCTTCTATCGTCATCCTATTTTGTGTATATTTTTATTTAAAAAAGTCTCAAAACCAAAATGCTTTATCTAAGTTTCCTGAACCGCCGGGGAATCCACTTTTGGGCCACGTGTCTGCTATCACATCAACCACACGTAATGTATTCAAAATTTTCCAAAATTAAATTATACGGGGTTACGGGAGTTTAGGTATAATAAGCAACGTTTCCCACTACATTGAAAATTATGGCAAAACTGTGACAATAAGAATAGGGCCATTGTTTTTTCCCGTATTGAGAGCTTTGGTCACCACTGATTACAAATTTTTTGAATTTGCATTAGGTGGGAGCAAAATTTTAACAAAATCAGAAAATTATCAGTTCTTGCGAGACTGGCTAGGGAATGGATTGCTGATAAGCGACGGTAGGTTGTGACTTTTACGAACGAAGAAAACTGTTTGGAAAATTTTAGGCGACTACTGGAAGAGACACCGGAAAATTTTGACACGGGCCTTTCATACTGAGGTCCTAAAAGACTTTGTTTGCGTTTTTGAATCCGTCGGTGATGTTCTAATAAAAAAATTGGAGAAGTATGACGGAAAACCCAGCGTTGATGTACATCGTTTGATCACCTTATGTACTCTAGACATAATCTGTGGTAAATACATCTGTATTAATTGTTTCATTTTGGTGTAAATTTTCCAGAAACTGCAATGGGAACAAAATTAAACGTCCAAAGTGGGGAAAATTCGCGATATGTGGAAAGTGTGCATCAGATGTGTCGAATCGTGATAGAAAGAGCCTTGTCGTTCATACGATTTTTCAACTGCACATTTTGGTTGTCCAGAGACTACTATATTCAGAAAAGTGCACTCAAAATCTTGCATGGTTTTACACTGAGTGTCATCGATTCCAAAAGAAGCAAAACTGTACATAAAAAAAGCAAAAGAATGGCTTTCTTAGATTTGCTTTTAAAGGTTTCTCACGACGAGAATCTCCTCAAGATCGATGAAATTCAGGAAGAAGTGGACACGTTCATGTTTGAGGTGACCAAGTGACCTTCCGCGACTTTCTCATTTTTGTTGTTTTTAAGGGACACGATACAACGGCTTCAGGTATTTCTTTCATCCTGTATTGTTTGGCCGACCTTCCTGAAGAACAGGTTCTCAAAAACTGCTTCATTCCAGTTTTACCTACTCGTTTGTTATTTCTAGGAAAAAGTTCTACAAGAGCAAAAGGAACTGTTCGGAGATGACAAAAATCCCCGAGTAACTTATTCAGATTTACAAGACATGAAATATTTAGAATGCGTTATTAAAGAAACGTTCCGGTTGTATCCTCCGGTGCCGGTAATAGGACGACTTGCAACTGAAGACGTTAAATTTGGTAAATTTAGAAATTTTGAGGAAATAGTTCTAAGCTGGCACACATTTTAGACGATTGTTTGATACCTAAAAACACCAACATCGTTTTTTTCATTTACGGTTTGCACAGAAGTTCGGAGTTTTTTCCGGAGCCGGAAAAATTCAAACCCGAAAGGTTCCAAAATTTCGACAGCGCTTTTCCGTTTGCTTACATTCCGTTCAGTGCCGGCTCAAGAAATTGTATCGGTGCGTATTTCAGACACCGTTTTTTTCAATTATCGTGGCGATTTTTACAGGTCAAAGATTCGCCATGTTGGAAATAAAAAGTGTAATTTCGAAAATCGTGAGGAATTTTGAAATTAAACCAACTTTACCCAGGCATGAGCTGCAATTATCTGTGGAAGCGGTCCTGAAGTCGGTGAATGGGATTAAAGTTGAGCTAAAAAAGCGAAACTGATGTAATTGCTTTTGTTTCATTAATTTTGTGTGGTGGAAATATATTTCTTTGTAGTTTGCATTTTTTGTAAAAACTAATATCAATTATCGTGGTGATAAACACGTTTTATAGGTGCATTTTTTGCACTTTTATGACCGTGTTAAAACCAATATTAATATACTGGCAGATGTGTATTACCTGTTACTTATTTATGAAACTACGTCAAGACATTTTCAAACAATTATTATGTCACTGCCAAATTTTTATATAAAAAAATCCACTTCTATTTCAGTTTTGTCTTAAATTTGCAGAACTGCAGAACCGTAGCATCTCGCTCAAACTAGACAGTGATACCGACCTTCACTGGTGTTTACCAGAACCTCCAAATCAATTCATTAATAGCGGTAACCTGTTTTATCAATACGAACAAAAAAATATAAATTGCACCATCCAAAACTTACATTTGCACCCGTTAGTTTAAAATTTATTCGTAACCGGTTCGCGAGTGCGGTGACATGTTGCTAGTTGCTACTTTAATCGTCGTTGTATTTTTGTATTTTTTTCTAACGAAAAAAGATGCCCTAGCGAACTTCATCGAGCCACCAGGACATTTGATCTTGGGCCACATGTTGGACATGGCATCCATCACACGTAACGTATTTTCTGTTTCTTAGTTTAAGTGCAAAATTCAGTCATTTCATTTCTGCAGAAGTTCTACACACCCTGAAGAAATTCTTCACCTACGGCAAAACCGTAAAAATCAGGCTCGGTCCGAGCATTTTCCCCATTAGCGAAGCTCTCATAACCGAAGATTACAACCTCATCGAATTTGTTCTCAGCAGTAACAAGTTTCTCAAAAAATCTGCCAACTATTACTTTTTGAGAAGCTGGTTGGGAAACGGTTTGCTAGTGAGCAGCGGTAAGTTCGTTCGCAATTTAAAAAAATCAAAGAAAAGAGACGCATTTCAGGCAACTACTGGAAGAAGCGCAGGAAAATTTTGACCCCAACTTTCCATTTTGAGATACTCAGACAATTCGTCGACGTGTTCGAATCAGTCGGAAACGTTCTTGTTGACAAACTGGAAAAGTACGATGGGCTTCCGAGCGTTGATTTACACCCATTGGTCTCTTTATGCACGCTGGACGTTATTTCTGGTAGTTGTACCCATGTTGTAATCTTGGTTTGTGTGTTAGTTGTGTTGTAGAAACTGCCATGGGTACAAAAATCAACGTACAAAGTGGAGAAAATTCCCAGTACGTGCAAAGCGTGAAAGAGATGTGCAGAATCATCGTAGAACGAATTTTTTCACCCATCAAATTTTTTGACTTGACGTTCTTCTTGTGCAAGGACTACTACATTCAAAGGAAAGCGCTGAAAGTTTTGCATGGTTTTACCATGGATGTGATAAATTCCAGGCAGAAGACACCCATTAACACGACAACGAAGAAAATGGCTTTCTTAGACTTGCTTTTGAAGATTTCTAGAGACGAGAATGCTTTAAGTGTGGACGAAATTCGAGAAGAGGTTGACACGTTCATGTTTGAGGTAATTATATTGTTGTAGATTTTTGCAAATTGCCTCAATGTTTCAGGGACACGATACAACAGCTTCTGGAATTTCTTTCACGTTGTACTGTTTAGCTGAACATTCTGAAGTCCAGGTAAGATATTTTGTCAATTCTAACCAAGCAACTGTTGAATCAAACACTAGGAAAAAGTCCTCGAAGAACAGAAAGCGTTATTTGGAAACGAAAAAAATCCAGTGGTTACTTATTCCGAACTGCAAAGAATGAAATATTTAGAATATGTAATCAAAGAAGCTCTCCGTTTGTATCCCTCAGTTCCAGTAATCGGAAGACTGGCACGCGAAGAAACAGAGTTTGGTAAGTTTTCAAACCGAGAGAATATCTTCCTAATAACAAATTGCAGATGGCTATCTAATACCCAGTTACACCAACATCGTTATCTCCATTTTTCATCTACACAGAAATCCTAATTATTTTCCGGATCCGGAGGACTTTAAACCTGAAAGATTCGAAAGTTTTGACGGTTCTTTTCCTTATTCTTTTGTTCCGTTTAGCGCGGGTTCTAGGAACTGCATCGGTTTGTTTTTTTAATTTTTTTATTCGTGGATTGATTGTTGATTTTAGGGCAAAAATTCGCCGTTCTGGAGATGAAAAGTGTTATTTCGAAAATAATTAGACATTTTGAGATAAGGCCGACTTTTCCGAAGCACGAACTGGAATTGTCACTGGCAGCTGTTTTGAAATCGGAAAATGGAGTCAAAGTGGTTTTAAAAAAACGAGATTAGTTTACTATTTTACTGCCTACTAAATTGTTTTTACGACATGGATTGTTTCAAGGTTTTGTTCTTGGAGTACTTTTCTAGCAGTCAAAAATGACCCGTTGCTTCAAGCACAATTCCTGCGTGATAATTAGCTATGCTAAATACATTTTTTTAAATGTTAATTGATCTTTAATTGATCTGTTACAAACATTTTAAGATTCATTGATTCACTCTAATTAGTCTTATTTTTGTTTACAATAACAATAACGCTAAACGTTTAAAGATTTAAATAAAGTTCTTGACCTCAAACCTGTCTCGTCTATTTTTTTTTTCTATTCGGTCGGTTAAAAATACCGTGTTATAACAGACATTGGTGAGATTAATAAACTTTCACGGAGTTTTGTCCGGCTGCATCACCGCAATGGTTGATTAAAATTGTTAATTATTAATATTATATCTGAGCTAAAATAGATAGTTACCATCCAGAAGTACAGGTGGCTAAATTACGTCAGTATTGTTACGATGTTCGGTGAATCAAAATCCGGCGTAGGCAAAACTCAACAATTTATTCCTTACTAACTCAAATATGCCTATCAGGTTGCCGTCCTTGTCTTTACAATATATTACTCGTGGTTAATAGCCTCTTTTCTCATTTTTCACGTCCCGGTAGAAGTTCCTTATTTCATTCTTGTTGAAGTTTTCTTCTATTTGTCGTATTTGTTCTTCCATCTTTGCTCGTTTCTTATTTCTGCATATCTTCCTCTACTCTTTCCTTTTTTCTTGGTAATCTTTTTGTTCTTCTCATTTTTTGATTTTAGATATTTCTGTCTGGCTGACCTCCCCGCTTCTATTGCTTTTCTACATTCCTCGTCAAACCATTCGTTTCTATTTTTGTTGTCTTTTTTGACGAACCCTAGTACTTCTTCCGAGGTCTTCCATATGTTCTCTTGTAGTTCTTCCCACTTCTCTTCTATAGGTATGTCTTGCTCTGTTGATCTTATTCTCTCATTCATCTTTTGTTCGTATTCCTGTTGTGCTTCAGCTTTCTTAAGTTTGTTTACATTTATATCACGTTGCGTCTTCTTTCCTTCTTTTTTCTTCGGTATTTCTTGTTTGAGGTCTGCTCTCACTAGAAAGTGGTCTGAATTCGCTTCTGCTCCCCTGTAGCTTCTTAATCTGATTATTAAAGGTTGGGCATCTCTCCTTTCTACCAGTATGTGGTCTATTTGGTTGACCGTTTTTCCGTCAGGCGACATCCATGTGCCTTTGTAGATCTCTTTCTGCGCAAAGAAGGTGCTTTTGACTACCATTTCATTTTCTTCTGCAAACTCTATCAGTTTTTCTCCATTTTGATTCGTTTTTTGGTGTTTGCTTTCTTTCCCGATTGTTGGCCTGTAGCAATTCTCTTTACCTATCATTGCGTTGGCGTCTCCTATAACCATTTTAATATCATGCTTTGGTATTTTCACATATTCTTTTTCTAGTTCTTCGTAATATTCTGTTTTTACTTCTAGATCTTTCTCTTCAGTCGGTGCATGTATATTCAGTAGGCTTATTTTCCTGTACTTACTTCTCAATCTTATATAGCTCATTCTTTCTGAGATTGGTTTGAAAGTAATTACTGCTCCTTTCAGGCTCTTTTTCACCATGAATCCTGTTCCTAGTTCTCTGTTGTCAATTCCGCTATTAAATAATAAGTAGTTGTCTGTTTCAGTGATGAATTTGCCTTTTTGTTTCGTCTCTTGTATAGCTGCTACGTCTATATTATACCTTTGTAATTCTTGAACTATTTGTTTGAGTTTTCCTTCGCTATATGTTCCTCTAACATTCCATGTTCCTATTCTAATTTTCGGGTTTTTCTTTCTCTTCATAATTCCTATCGGGTCATCCATGAGCTTTGCATACGTCGTCATTGTTTTCCGGTGTGTGGTTTCTTCCTCTGTTAGTTTTTTGGATTTTCTTTGGGGTGCGACGGTGCTTTCACTAATTTGTCTAATTTAGTGTCCCAATCCCAGACTTTTCCTGCCCATATCATCTTTTTGTACCCTACTTTTGCCTCGACTCCTTTCCCTTTTTCTGCTGCTGCTATTCCTCTTATTTTCTTCTGTATCTCGCTCTCTTGTTTGGTGTAATCATCTTCAATGAACGTTTTTGATCCTTTTAATTTGTTCTTCTGTTTCATGATTGCTCTTTTTGTGTCCCAGTTCTCTATCTTTGCTACTACTATGTCGTATTTTTCGCTGACTAATCTTGCGTCTTGTATCTTAGTTTGGATTCCTACCTTATTTTTTAGGAGTTCTTCAACCTCTGCTGTTATTTCGCTTCCTTGTAGTTTCCCTCTTTTGATTACGATGTTGTTTCTCCTTTCTGGTTTTTCCAGTTTTTCTAAGTGTTGCTCCACTCTTTCTAATCTTTCGGTCAGTCTTTGATTTTCTTCTCTTAGTGTTGTTACTTCTGTTTGGTATGCTCTTTGGTCTCTTTTCATTTCTGCGATTTCCTCCATTAACGTTTTGAACATATTCTTTACATCGTCCATGTCTCCTGCTTGTACCCTCTTCTGCTTCCTCTGTACTCTTTGACCTTCCGGTGATGGTGAAAAGGAGGTTTCTCTTTTTCGTTTCTGGTTGTATTGCTAGTTTGTGTCCTTTTTCCGGTTCAGGATTCCCGTTTAGCATTCCCTGGCCGACTTTCTTGCTTTCTGTGTATCTAGTACGTTCCTGTGTTGTTTACTTCGTGCCGCGATAAGAACTGTCACCCAAACTATCTCTTCGGAGGTTAGGTTCTTTTGATTCCACACTTTCCCTAATAATTGCTGTCCTTACACTTCTTGGTGCTTCTTACTCTTATTCCACTTCACTTCTTTGTTTTCTACTACTTCTCTTTCACTTTTGACGCTCGATATCTCTCGATTTTCGAGTTTGGATTTCGGAGCGTGTTCTGCTTATCGTAGTCAAGGAAAAATGCCAGAACAATGGAGTGAAGCAGTACTTTGCCCGATATTTAAAAAATGAGATATTACAAAATGCGAAAATTATCGCGGAATAGCGCTGCTAGACGTAACGTATAAGGTAATGGCCACTTGCATCAACCGAAGACTAAAGCAGCATATGGAAAAAATAGTAGGAGAATATCAAGCAGGGTTTAGGAAAAATAGATCTACTGTAGACCAGATATTTATATTGAAGCAACTACAAGAAGTACATTACGAGCAGGGAATCAACTTATATCTGCTGTTCATAGACTTTAAAATAGCCTACGACACGGTTAACAGGAAAAAACTGCTAGAAGCCATGAAAGAACTGGGAGTCCCAAGAAAACTAATAAAACTGACAAAGATGACCCTGCAGAGCACCAGAAACAGAGTCAGGATAAATGGTCTGTTATCAGAACCATTCCAAGTAAGAACAGGACTCCGGCAAGGAGATCCAATATCAACTACCCTGTTCAATCTAGCACTCGAAGCAATAATAAGGAGAAGTGGCATCCACAGAACGAGCACAATATACGAAAAAAGACACCAAAATATAGCCTTTGCAGATGACGTGACATGTTTAACGAGAACAGAAGCAGAAATGAAGAAAATGACAAAAAATCTAATCAGAGAAGCGAAACGAATGGGTTTAGCGATCAACCAAGAGAAAACGAAGTTTATGAAGATGGAAACAAAACAAACCCCAGCAAAACCACCGAAAGTAACTACAGAAGAAGGAACAACATACGAATTCGAAGAAGTAAATAGATTCAAATATCTAGGAGTAGTAATTACAAACAAAAACGGTCAGCCGAAGACGAATTTGTATTTTTGTAAGAACCAAATTAGAATCAAATTTTATTTTTTTTACATTTGAACCGAAGGGGGCCCCTTAACTTTGGGGCCTGATGCTCCAGCATCACAAGCATCCCTATAGATCCGCCTCTGACTATTACAGTAACTATGTATAAACTATTTTCGGCGCAACTTGGGCTGGCTCTTCTTAACAATCGCTGGACTCGTGGTTCGACTGAATGCCTCTGTTCCCCATTGTGGCCTCTATTTAAACCTATTCATGCCTCTCGATCGATCCAGAACGCCGCGTTTTCTGGGCCCGCAATCGAGATTTCCGGTAAGCCGCTCCAGTCTTGCGTTTGTGGAACGCCTCGTCGACACCGTCAGCAATGATGACTCACCCATCAACGACGTATGTACAGTTCCTACACTACATCAGTACCCACAAAACCATAAATCACAAATTCAATGCAGCCCTGAAAAAGACGAATAACAAAGCCCCAAAACATAACTCGAAAATTTGCAAATCTTAATTAATTAACACGCATGTCCTAATCTACATATAGTACCATTCAAATAGATAAACAAACTCAACCACCAATCCCCGAACGTAGGAATAAAATTCACATATTCGCAAATCGCAAATATCACTGCGCTTGTCAGACAGTGCAAACAACTTGTGCAGAACAGTACACCATAAAAATCGCCAATCGCAATTACTTTCATCAGGATTTTTCGATAATTTACCGCTCTTTTTTTTGATAATTATTCCAACGTTACCTTAATTAGCGTATTCAACCCCTCGTTTGCGACACGGATATTTTAGATGAGTTTTTGGGAAGTTTCCGAATCGAAACCATTTTAATTTGATTTTCTTGGAGTCGACAATTTTATTTTGAATTTATTGCCGTTTAAATATGATTCCGTTCTCTGATTATTTTGCCATAGTTTTTGGAAACCTCGCATTTCATTTTAATTTAATAATCCCACTGTACTTTAGGGCATTTAGTCAATTAAAGAAAGTAAAATTTATTTATCTCTCTCTTTACATGTTTAAATTCACGAGTTAGCGTAGATTTAAGCGCAGGATTTTAATTCGTTAATTTTAGTTGTTCTCCTTTTTCTCAGTAGGAAATTTCCTTGAATTTTCTCTGAATTATTAGTTCAATTGTTTTTAGCTGTTTTAATAGTACTTAATTAGCACATAAATGCCCAATCGCAGTTTATTAAATACTTAAGGTTAGTGGTTTTTGAAGTTTATTTATCACGCACGTAATATTAATATTGTTTAGAAGATATCGCACATAATTAGGGATTTACTGAATTAATTTCAAATAATTAGAGTCGTGGGTTATGTTCATAGGTTTTTAAGTTTTTTTTTTATTAATGAAATACAATTGTTTTATTTTGCCGTTCTGCATTTACATATTTAATCAATTATTCTTTTGATATGCTTGTAACTCTTTCTTTATGTATTAAAATGTTAGAATTGTTCTTAACACTGATGAGATTCAAGAGGAAGTTGACATGTTAAGGACACAACAGTTCCTGGTATTTGTTTCATCTTATATTGTTTGGCAGACTAACATATATTGATGATTTTGAAAAGACCATTTTGTATAAACAATAAATATACTCACGATGTAGTAAATATTACGTTCTCTTAATTAACTTAACCACTATTAATTATCGTGGTCATTAACAAGTTTTATAGGTGCGGTTTTTGTACGTTGTTTCCCGTGTTAAAACAAATATTAATTTACTGACAAGTGTATAACTATTATGTCACTAGTTACATTTTTTATGGGAAAACCCAGTTTTATTTTAGATTTGTGTTACATTTTCGGAATTGGAAAAGCTCAGCACTGTGTTAGAGTAGGTACGAAATCTCGTGAACCGTGAGTCAGTTTTATGTTCATAATTTTCTGCAGAAGCTCTACATGCCCTGAACAAATTCTTCAGCTACGGCAAAACAGTAAAAATCAGGCTTGGTCCGACCATTTTCCCCATTACGGAAGGTCTGGCAACGGAAGATTACAACCTCACCGAATTTATTCTCAGCAGCAACAAGTTTCTCAAAAAGTCTTTAAACTACTACTTTTTCAGAAGTTGGTTGGGAAACGGTTTGCTAGTGAGCAGCGCTAAGTTCGTTTGCGATTTCAGAAAGAATCAAAGAATAGAAACCGACTTCAGGCAACCACTGGAAGAAGCAGAGGAAAATTTTGACCCCAACTTTCCATTTTGAGATACTCAAAGAATTCGTCGACGTGTTCGAATCAGTCGGGAACGTTCTTGTTGACAAACTGGAGAAGTACGATGGACATCCGAGCGTTGATTTACACCCATTGGTCTCTTTATGCACGCTGGATGTTATTTGTGGTAGTTGTACCCATGTTGTAATCTTGGTTTGTGTGTTAGTTGTGTTGTAGAAACTGCCATGGGTACAAAAATCAACGTCCAGAGTGGGCAAAATTCTCAGTACGTGCAAAGCGTGAAAGTGATGTGCAGAATCATCATGGAGCGACTTTTTTCGCCCATAAAATTTTTTGACTTGACGTTCTTCTTGTCCAAGGACTATTACATTCAAAGAAAAGCGCTGAAAATTTTGCATGGTTTTACGATGGGTGTGATTAATTCCAAGCAGAAGACACCCATTAACACGACAACGAAGAAAATGGCTTTCTTAGACTTGCTTTTGAAGATTTCTAGGGACGAAAATGCTCTCAGTGTGGACGAAATTCGAGAAGAGGTTGACACATTCATGTTTGAGGTAATTATGTTGTTGTCGATTTTTGCAAATTACCTCAATGTTTCAGGGACACGATACAACAGCTTCTGGAATTTCCTTCACGTTGTACTGTTTAGCTGAACATTCTGAAGTCCAGGTAAGATATTTTGTCAATTTTAACTAAACAACTTTTGAATCAAACACTAGGAAAAAGTCCTCGAAGAACAGAAAGCGTTATTTGGAAACGAAAAAAATCCAGTGGTTACTTATTCCGAACTGCAAAGAATGAAATATTTAGAATATCTAATCAAAGAAGTTCTCCGTTTGTATCCCTCAGTTCCAGTAGTCGGAAGACTAGCACGCGAAGAAACAGAGTTTGGTAAGTTCTCAGACCCAGAGAACATCTACTTTAAAACAAGTTGCAGATGGCTATCTAATACCCAGACACACCAACATCCTTATCTCCATTTTTCATCTACACAGAAATCCCAATTATTTTCCGGATCCGGAGGACTTTAAACCTGAAAGATTCGAACGTTTTGACGGTTCTTTTCCTCATTCTTTTATTCCGTTTAGCGCGGGTTCTAGGAACTGCATCGGTTCGTTTTTTAATTTTTTTATTCGTGGATTGATTCTTGATTTTAGGGCAAAAATTCGCCGTTCTGGAGATGAAAAGTGTTATTTCGAATATAATTAGACATTTTGAGATAAGGCCGACTTTTCCGAAGCACGAACTGGAATTGTCACTGGCGGCTGTTTTGAAATCGGAAAATGGAGTCAAAGTGGTTTTAAGAAAGCGAGATTAGTTTACTTAATATTTTACTGCGTGTCCTTGAAGCACTTTTCTAGTAGCAAAAAATGCGCCATTTTAATATTCTTCAAATACAATTCCTGTGTGGTAATTAACATTTTTCAAGATTTATTCATTCACTGTGACAAACTAGTCTTATTTTTTTACAATAACAGTTACACATACACATTAAAAGCTTTAAATAAAGTTCTTGACCTCAAACCTGTCTCGTCTACTTTTTTCTATTCTGTCGATTAAAAATACAGTGTTAAAAAAACACATTGGTGGTATTAATAAACTGTCACGGAGTTTTGTCCGGCTGAATCACCTCAATGTTTGATAAAAAAAATTCCTGAGTTTTTTTGTCTTTATCTTCTTGATTATATGAGCAGAAAAAGTATAGTGTTAAACCCGTGAGAAACTGGTCATTCCACTCGGATGAGTTCCTCCACTCGACTTTGGCTCGTTCCGGAAACTATCGTCCTTGTGGAATCCCCAACTTTCTCACTCGTTGAACAATATACTATTGAAAATATGACATAAGTTCGTGTTTACAACATGGTAGAGGACGTTTTAATCATTTTTTGTTAAAGAAAACTTTATTTCCTACTTTTAGGCAACCAGTAATACCCAAATGCAATTAATAAATTTATAAATATCTAGAGTATGTTATCAAAGAAACTTGCCGGCTGTCACAAAATTATCAGAGCTTGTGAGACTGGTTGGGAAATGGATTGCTGATAAACGACGGTAGCTTCTGATTTTTAAGAATGAAAGCGAGGAGTAAACCGCAGAGGAAATCAATTGTACACGCAAAGGAAATCAAAAGGAAATCAAGAGGAAATCAACGACAAATCAAGAGGAAATCAATGAGAAATTAACGAGAAATCAACAAGAAAACAAAGGAAATCCAAAATCATCATAGCAAATCCAGTAAAACCAGATATTTTCTAGAACTAATAAACGTAACATGTACGACATAAGTCATAGCATTCATCATAAGAAAGAAAATATCTATTTAATCTTAAAAGTGGAGATTAAATAACCTTTTAAGGGCATAATGATAGAAAATTCCAGTATAATATCATTAACTGACATCATGATATTTCAGCTTGACAAATATTAAAGTTGTAGTTAATGAAGTGCAGTTCCAATGAGAAATGATACATTATATTGCTTTATACCTACAAATCAAATTTATAATTTCACCCCAAATTAGTTTTTAAAAATTGAGTTTGTGATATGAGGTACCAAATTCATTAAGTTCAGGTAGTGCAAAACTATAGTTTTTCCTCCCTATCAAATTAATTTGACAAATATTAAAACCCTAAGACGCACATCATTTCCCAACAATCAATATCAAAGCTATTAACCAACTTTTTCCCCATAATAGAACAAGTTAAAAACGTTATCTGTGAAAACAAATTAACATCTAATTTAACAGAAAGCATATATTACAATTTTGATAGAAATGAAACAGAAAAACTGCCAGATACAGAAGGGCCAAAGATAAATGAATTTCTCCAAATGCTCCATGACATTTCATCAAAAAATGCGTCAAAATCAAGTAATCAGAATAAGTATAACGCCACTTTAAAAAAGTTTTGCCTATACCTCTATTACATATGAGGTCGTCTATTGTATGAAACGCTGCAATCGAATTTACCAACATTCTTACAATATCTTCTTTAAATAGATACATTGCTGAGAATAGTACAAAACTGGACGAATGTGTTATGGACTTCCAAGGATTAAAATTATTCCTGGAAGAAAGAAATTTAAAGAAATTTGTTTGGATCAGTGAAGATGCGACTCGAATAACGGGTCGCATAGAATATGACTCTCGATCTAATAAAGTGGTGGGATTTGTGCTTCCTTTAAGAAATGGGCTACCGGAAACAAACCATTACATAGCTTTTTCCGCTCAAGCTATTCAAGAGTACTTCAAGACTGGAACAAAAGCTCATTATGCGTACATAATTGTGGCACAACCCCTATCTGATAATTTTCCTTCGTACTGCCTCGCCATTTTTGGGACCAACAATAAATGTACTTATCAAGACGCCAAAAAAAGATTTGCCATTATGCAGAAAGATGCCCAAAAGTATGGAATTTCAATTCTAGGTTTAAAATCAGACTCAATATTACCTCTAGGGAATTATGTTGCTACAGTTGCTTACCTTGAAATATTAGTAAAAAATTACACCAAAAATCAACATATGCTAACAATAACGGATTTTAAAACAGAAGACAAAACGAACTATGCAGCGGCAGAAAAAGTGTGTAGCCCGGAAGTAAGAAAAATGATAGCCGACAACATTGACAATAGTGCAGGAACAACAGCTTATTTGAAACTAATGTATCTTATATCGGCAGCATTCCTGGACAAAACGTTATCTTTTGTAGAAAGGATATATAATATTTGGTATTGCATATTTTTCCTACGAATGTGGAAAAAATGGATTAAGGACCAAAGACAGTATACAGTAAAAGATAACTTTTTATCTTCCAACTGCTACACATGCGTTGAACTCAATGGACACGCATTAATAAAAATAATTAAAATTTTTCAAAAAAGTAATCTTACTGATGCCTTGCCTTGGAAGTTTAGCTCTCAAACTTGTGAGAGTATGTTTAGAAGCCTTAGATCAATGACCTCAACTTTTAGCACAATTGTTAATTTTAGTATAAGAGATATTTTGCAGACTGCAAATTATAAACAACATTAAAAACGATTTGGATAAAAAATTCGTTTTCCTAGAGAAGTCAGGAAAAAAAGTTCAATCATGAAGAGAGATTTTGTGAAAAATGATGACTTAGAAAACATTTCAGATAAAGATATACAAAGCACTGTAGAATCAGCTTTACGGGATTGTCTGCGTGACACTGAAGATTTAGGAGTGAAAGTGATAGATTTCAACTATGTACGTAGACAATGAATGCAATGACGAAGTTGAAGATGAAATGTTTAGTGAAGAACAGTGCGATCGCATTGAAAATTACAACATTTCTCAAATAGCCATGAAACGTAACTGTTTTCAAAGTTTGGAAAACGATCCAGTTGACCAAGATGAAGATTTACTGAATGATCTTTGCACAATTTCGTACGAATCTAAGAAATTTGACAGAGACATACACCTTAGAAGTTTTGATAGTGACGATATTTTTGTTGAGAAAGGTGATCTAGTCAGAATACGCTTAGATAATACAACAAAAGTTATAAAAAAGTCTTCACTTTGCTGGCTGTTAGACAATGAAAAGGATCGCGTCAGTGTGGATGGTCTCAAAAGATTTATTCAAAATAAGAAATGTAATAGTAGTAGAGTTAACTCAGAAACAGATACCTGCCTTCAACATAAAGATGCATCTCAAATTCAAAAACCAGTCCAAATTGGAAAACAAAAAAGACGCTATAATATATCAAGTGACTCATCTGATTTAGACAACCCAAGTAGTTTCGAATATGATGACAGCACGGACACCGAAAGTTTGAATTCTTCCAATTATTCTGATGATTTGAATCCTCGTTTGAATCTCAAAGCTGAAAATAGTAAGACTGATAGTTCTAAACCAGACTTAAATATAGACGATTATATTATAGTACAATTAACAACTCAAAAACAAAACAAAAAATGTTACATTGGTAAAGTGTTATCACTTAACCCTATTTTTTGAAAAGGAATCCAAAAATTCCGGATGCTTTTATGTTTCCGGACATTAAAGATCAGGGGGAGATCCAAGAAAATGAATATATAATGAAACTACCTCCACCTCAGGTACTCAGAAGAGGCAGTTTATTTTTTGAAAAAAAATTATTGAAAAAATATTTGATTTAATTCTAGTTTTTTTTTAAATGATGTGATTAAAATTTGTGATAATGTAACCTCAACCTGGATCGAGATTTGTACAAGTATATATCGTAGAGAATACTAAAGTAAGAAACTGTGCAAAATTCTAGGTGCCCATGAACACTTTTAAAGGGGAAAATTACCTCTGAAAATTTATCAAATGGGGTTATCCACTCCTTTATTGTGCAAAAAAAGTTCTTACGTGTTAAATTTTGCATTTCAAAAGTTTTTTTCTAATATGCTTCATTTGAAAGTTGTGAACAAAAAATTAAAAGTGTCATCATCTGTATTTATGGGTAGCTAGAATTTAGCACAGTTTTTTACTTCAACATCATCTACAATATATACACAAATCTCGACCCAGGTTACGGGGTAAGTATTTTTTAAGAAGTTGTTTTATTTTGTGATATTTTGTTATGATCCAACAGAAATGTTTTACTTTTATGTTTAGAGTTACCGTTTTTTTTAACATTTAATAAAATAAATGAAACTACTTGTTTTTTCTGTTTATGCTACCATAATAAATGAATAAACCCAATTTTTAAAAAGTAATGACTTAAGTCGTTATTATAAGTTTGATTTAGTAGGTCAAACTTTAACATGCACAACACAGAGATGAACCTAACAGAATGATTTTGGACTATTTGGTATTCATTAATTACCTCTGTGAACGTATGAGCCAGTCGTTGTTGCCTTATGAGTATGAGTCATTGATAAGTAAAAACTGCTGACGTAACTAAAAATATCCTTGGCCTTATGTACTTTTAATTTCGTAAAGTGAAAAGCAAAATTTCATAATATAATTTATTAAAAAATTAATAATAATATAAAATATAATATAAATTATTAAATCTTTGAGTGATTTAAACGAACTAATTTGTACACACCAGACATTTTTAATTTCAAAATTAAAATAGACCATAAAGTTTTCTGACTGAATGTGCAAAAAATCTAGAATATTGCATATGCCCACTTTTAGAAGAAACATTTGACCCAAGAAAGTGTAAAATTCGAACGTATACTTACTCTATTGATTTAGACATCTAAAACTTCGATTTCAGAGTAGCGTTCTTTTTGTAAGTAAAATCAGATTTTTTTTCTTAAACATTTCAGTTTGTTGCTTAGCAGCACAATACACTTTATTTATTATTTTTTTTCGTCTAAAGGGAAAGCACTTCAGCTTACCTAGTCACCGTACGGTAGTAAACACTTGGTAAAAAAAGGTTTAAATTCAACATCATTATCGGCAAAACAAAAAAGTCAAGTTAAAAATAAGTTAACAATCGCCCTGTAGTACATTATGTAAACAAAAAAAAAATCACAGGAAATCATAGAAAATCAAGAGGAAATCACAGGAAATCAAAGGAAATCAAAGGAAATCAAAGGAAATCACAGGAAATCAAAGGAAATCAGAGGAAATCAAAAGAAAGGAAATCGACAGGAAATCATTGTCAAAAGGAAATCAATTGTACACTTGATGGTCGGCGGTTTACCCCTCGAATGAAAGGCACGATTTGGATAGTTTTAGGCAATTACTGAAGAAGACACAGGAAAATTTTAACACTAGCTTTTCATATTGAGCTACTGAAGGACCCTATTGGGGTTTTTGGACCAGCCCTTAAAGCAGCCCTACTATGGCACACGGTGGCCCTTCTATAACAAGCCTACCTTTATTTATAGGCCGGATTTCTGAGTTGCTTATTGTTTTCTCTATATTTAATTATTCCAAAATACCCAAAAATTCGAAAATTTTGACACTCTTATCCTTATGCCTACGTTCCATTTAGTGCCGGTGCTGGAAACTGTATTGTTATGTGCCGACAGGTCAAAAGTTCACCATAATCACATTCTATTATAAAATAAATAAAATATTAAAAATAAGGAAATATAGAGTAGCTCATTAATGGGCGTCGGTCAAAGTTTAAAAATGATAATTGTCTTGAGTTGAACATATTTCGCTAAGACTATTTTTAATGTGTATCAGTATTTATCAGTACACTTCGCCATGCTGTTATACGCTTCTCTCGTTGTCCTATTTTGTGTATATTTTTATTTAAAAAAGTCTCACAACCAAATTAATTTACGTAAGTTTCCTGAGCCCCCAGGGAATCCACTTTTAGGTCACGTGTCTACTATTACGTCAACCACACGTAATGTATTCAAATATTACCAAAATATATACTGACTTATGGAAGTTTAGGCATAATAAACAACGTTTCACAATATATCGAAAATTACGGCAAAACTGTAACACTAAGAATAGGGCCAACATTTTTTCCCGTTTTGAGAACCTTGGTAACCACCGATTACAAATTTTTTGAATTTGCATTAGGCGGAAACAAAGTCTTAACAAAATCTATAAATTATCAGTTCTTGCGAGACTGGCTAGGGAATGGATTGCTGATAAGCGACGGTAGGTTTTCAATTTTAGGAACGAAGAGAATTGTTTGGAAAATTTTAGGCGATTACTGGAAAAGACACCGGAAAATTTTGACACGAGCCTTTCATACTGAGGTCCTAAAAGACTTTGTTAGCGTTTTTGAATCCGTCGGTGATGTTCTAATCAAAAAATTGGAGAAGTATGACGGAAAACCCAGCGTTGATGTACATCGTTTGATCACCTTATGTACTCTAGACATAATCTGTGGTAAATACATCTGCACTGATTATTTGATTTTGTTGTAAATTTTCCAGAAACTGCAATGGGTACAAAACTGAACGTCCAAAGTGGGGAAAATTCACGATATGTGCAAAGTGTGCAACAGATGTGTCGAATCGTGATAGAAAGAGCCTTGTCGTCGATAAAATTTCTCAACTGCACGTTTTGGTTGTCCAACGACTACTATATTCAGAAAAGTGCGCTCAAAATCTTGCATGGTTTTACACTGAGTGTAATCAATTCCAAAAGAAACAAAACTGTACATGGAGAAACCAAAAGAATGGCGTTCTTAGATTTGCTTCTAAAGGTTTCTAACGACGAGAATGTCCTCAAGATCGATGAAATTCAGGAAGAAGTGGATACGTTTATGTTCGAGGTATCCAAGTGTCCTTTCGCGACTTTCTCATTTTTGTGGTTTTTAAGGGACACGATACAACAGCTTCTGGTATTTGCTTCATTTTGCATTGTTTGGCCAACCATCCTGAAGAACAGGTTGTCAAATACTGATTCAGTTTTACCAATCCAACTCGTGTTATTTCTAGGAAAAAGTTCTACAAGAGCAAAAAAAACTGTTCGGAATTGACAAAAATCCAATAGTAACTTGTTCAGATTTACAAGACATGAAATATTTAGAGTGCGTTATTAAGGAAACTCTCCGGTTATATCCTCCAGTGCCGGTAATAGGACGACTTACAACTGCAGACGTTAAATTTGGTAAATTTTGAAATTTGGAGGATACAGTTCTAACCTGCCACACATTTCAGACGATTGTTTGATACCTAAAAACACCAACATCGTTTTTTTCATTTACGGTTTGCACAGAAGTTCGGAGTTTTTTCCAGAGCCGGAAAAATTCAAACCCGAAAGGTTCCAAAATTTCGACAGCGCTTTTCCGTATGCCTACGTTCCGTTCAGCGCTGGTTCAAGAAATTGTATCGGTGCGTATTTCTGACACCGTTTTCTTCAATTATGGTGATTTTTACAGGTCAAAGATTCGCCATGTTGGAAATGAAAAGTGTGATTTCGAAAATCGTGAGACATTTTGAAATTAAACCAACTTTGCCCAGACATGAGCTGCAATTATCTGTGGAAGCGGTCTTGAAGTCGGTCAACGGGATTAAAGTTACGCTAAAAAAACGAAAATGATGTAGTTGCTTTTGGTTTCATTGATTTTGTAAAGACTCTTTTTTTACAGACAATAAATATACTTGCGATCCAGTAAATATCACGTTCTCTTATTTATTTTATCCACTATTAAGTAATTATCGTGGTGATAAACACGTTTTTATAAATTTATGGCCGTGTTAAAACAAATATTAATTTACTTGCAAATGTGTATTAATTATTTATGAAATTACGTAAAGTCATCTTCAAACAACAATTATGTCACTGGTTTATATATAAAAATCCACTTTTATTGTAGATTTGTCTTGCATTTACCTTCAATGTTGTTTATTTAAACTTCTAAAATCAGATAACTACCGATAACCTGTTTCGCCAATAAAAATAAAGAGATGTAAATTACAATATAAAAAATTCTTCTTCACTTATTAGATTCATTTTTTTAAACATCGCAATCGGTGAATGAGTGCTGCGACATGTTGTTAGTTGCTACTTTTCTCCTTGCTGCATTTTTGTATTTTTTTCTAACGAAAAAAAATGCTCAAGCGAACTTCATTGAACCACCAGGACATTTGGTCTTAGGCCACGCGTTGGACATGACATCCACCCAGGGCCGGCTCAACACGGTAAGCGAAAGATGCACCGCATCGGGGCGCCCGTGACAAGGGGCGCCGGGCGGCGGGCGCCGCCTATGCTTTTATATTAACTCTATAAAAATAAATTAATATTAGATTTGCATTGAATCACTACCAACAAAATATTATAGCAGTAACATACCACGGCGCCCATCGAAAACTTTTGAGAAAAAGCTACATGTTAACATTCCACTATGACTAGCAAAACAGACCCCAAGAAGTCAATTCCTGGCACTTTCAAACTGTAATAATTGAAAAAGAGTGCGCCTTTGGGTTGGGTGATGAGACCTTTAGATCAATACCGACAAAAAATAACCAGATTTATGATGCATTATCTGGGTAACAATTTGACGTGACAGCGGTATGACCACAACCAGATGTTTTTCCTAACATTTGTCACGTTTGTTTTTACCATAAAAATCCATGTCGGCATACTTAAAAATTTTATTTTCCAAGTCTAGTCGGTTGGTTTTGGTTGTGGTGGTTGTTCAACAGTTTTGTTATATTTTTCACTGTTCCTGTTTGTAGCCGAATTTGGTTCTGTGTATCATTTCGTGGCTTTTTGTCATCATTAATTTTAAATTTAAATTTCGATTAACATTGAGGCAAGTCTAAATTTAAGATAACTTTGAAATCGTATCAATTTTACAATAATAAAAAATTGAAAAACTTTTGCAATATAAATATTTTTATACTTATACTATGTATAGTTTAGGAAATATCGTTGTACCCTATAAAATTTTATTGACAATAACGAGACGGACAGTAGTACAATGGTAAGAAACATTTATGGCTCACATCAGTCCCCCCGAATTTGTCGGAGAATATTTAGCAGGTAATTGTACGCACAGGGTCGGACTTCCGCTGCTTTGGAAATTTAAGGTCTGCGAATTCCCGCCACGCGACAACTTTAAGTTGTAAATATCTCTTGCTATTGTACTATTGTCCGTCTCGTCATTGTCAATAAAATTTTATAGGGTACAACGATATTTCCTAAACTATAGAAAAGTTGTTGCCCGCAGCTCCGTTTGCGTGGAATTCGCAAACTCATCATTTTTCATACATGATCGTTTTCCGGGTTGGAACCGTGTAAAGTGAGTTTTTGGGCTCAACGTTTCGCACACTTTCGTAAGTGGCATCTTCAGGAGCAGGGTTAAGAATAAGACAAAAAAGCACGGTAACTCAGTATGTCAACCATACCAGAGGCGAAATTTTTTTGAGAAATTACACGGTTCCAACCCGGAAAACGATCATGTATTGATTCCGACCGTGCAAACCTTCGAAATTATCATTTTTCATCTCGTTCACTCCTCCAGTGCCCCACAAAGTGTCATCCCCTATTTTGTCCCCGTAGGGGCCGAATTTCCAGAAATCTTTTCTTAATGGGTGCTTATGACAGAAAAGGAACCTACTGTCCAAATTTCATGTTTGTAGCTTCAGTAGTTTAGGCTTTGCGTTGATGAATCAGTCAGTCTGTCAGTTAAGACAAACATTTTTATATACTAAGATTGATTCATCATAATTTTATGCATGTTTGTTAATAAAAAGTACCTCTCCACAAAAATATGTGATTATAAAACTTTATTTGTTTTTTTTTACAAAAAATTTTTTAAGGGCGTTCAACAGTAAGTTGCATCGGGGCGCCTGGTCCCTTAGAGCCGGCCCTGCATCCACCACACGTAACGTTTAAAGATATTTTAAAACTTAAGAACAGAAACCGAGAAATAAAACTTTAGTTTCTGCTTTTTAATTGTTTAGTTCAAGTGCAAACTCAGTCAGTTTTATGTTCGCAATTTTCTGCAGAAGCTCTACATGCCCTGAACAAATTCTTCAGCTACGGCAAAACAGTAAAAATCAGGCTTGGCCCGAGCATTTTCCCCATTGCGGAAGGTCTGGTAACGGAAGATTACAACCTCATCGAATTTATCCTCAGCAGCAACAAGTTTCTCAAAAAGTCTTTAAACTACTACTTTTTCAGAAGCTGGTTGGGAAACGGTTTGCTAGTGAGTAGCGGTAAGTTCGTTTGCAATTTCGAAAAGAATCAAAGAAAAGAGACCGATTTCAGGCAACTACTGGAAGAAGCGAAGGAAAATTTTGACCCCAACTTTCCATTTTGAGATACTCAAAGAATTCGTCGACGTGTTCGAATCAGTCGGAAACGTCCTTGTTGACAAACTTGAGACGTACGATGGGCATCCGAGCGTTGATTTACACCCATTGGTCTCTTTATGCACGCTGGACGTTATTTCTGGTAGTTGTACCCATTTGGTAATCTTGGTTTGTGTGTTAGTTGTGTTGTAGAAACTGCCATGGGCACAAAAATCAACGTCCAGAGTGGTCAAAATTCTCAGTACGTGCAAAGTGTGAAAGAGATGTGCAGAATCATCGTAGAGCGACTTTTTTCACCCATCAAACTTTTTGACTTGACGTTCTTCTTATCCAAGGACTACTACATTCAACAGAAAGCGTTGAAAGTTTTGCATGGTTTTACCATGGGTGTGATAAATTCCAGGCAGAGGACACCCATTAACACGACAACAAAGAAAATAGCTTTTTTAGACTTGCTTTTGAAGATTTCTCGAGACGAAAATGCTCTCACTGTGGACGAAATTCGAGAAGAGGTTGACACATTCATGTTTGAGGTAATTATGTTGTTGTCGATTTTTGCAAATTACCTCAATGTTTCAGGGACACGATACAACAGCTTCTGGAATTTCCTTCACGTTGTACTGTTTAGCTGAACATTCTGAAGTCCAGGTAAGATATTTTATCAATTTGTACCAAGCAACGTTTGAATCAAATACTAGGAAAAAGTCCTCGAAGAACAGAAAGCGTTATTTGGAAACGAAAAAAATCCAGTGGTTACTTATTCCGAACTGCAAAGAATGAAATATTTAGAATATGTAATCAAAGAAGCTCTCCGTTTGTATCCCTCAGTTCCAGTAATCGGAAGACTAGCACGCGAAGAAACAGAGTTTGGTAAGTTTTCAAACCCAGAGAACATCTACTTAATAACAAATTGCAGATGGCTATCTAATACCCAGACACACCAACGTCCTTATCTCCATTTTTCATCTACACAGAAATCCCAATTATTTTCCAGATCCGGAGGACTTTAAACCTGAAAGATTCGAACGTTTTGACGGTTCTTTTCCTTATTCTTTTATTCCGTTTAGCGCAGGTTCTAGGAACTGCATCGGTTCGTTTTTTAATTTTTTTTATTCGTGGATTGATTGTTGGTTTTAGGGCAAAAATTCGCCGTTCTGGAGATGAAAAGTGTTATTTCCAAGATAATTAGACATTTTGAGATAAGGCCGACTTTTCCGAAGCACGAACTGGAGTTGTCACTGGCGGTTGTTTTGAAATCGGAAAATGGAGTCAAAGTGGTTTTAAGAAAGCGAAATTAATTGCGTTATTGCTTTAAATTATTTTTACAACATGGATTGTGTCAAGGTTTTGTCCTTGGACCACTGCTCTTTTTGGCGATCAGAACTCCCTCTTTTAATATGATTCAAACGCAACGTGCGTGATATCTAACAATGCTAAACATATTTTTAAATGTTAATTAATTCGTCAGAGACACTTCTAATTTCATCATAATGAATCAATTATTCTAATTAATTAGGCTTAACTTTTATCAATAACATTCCCACATAAATATTCAAAGATTTAAAGAAAGTACTTTAACTCAAACCTGTGTGCTTTTTATTTTTTTAATTTCGGTCATATTAAAAATATCATGAATACTCACATTGATGACGTTAACGAACTAAAGAATATCACGAAGTTTGGGGGGTTATTATCACCTTAATGTTAGAGTACTGTTTTTGAAAATAAAAAAAAAGCTCTGTTTAAAACAAGGTGGAAGACTTTTTGAACATTCTCCAAAGCTAAACTTTACTTCCAACGTTTAGGCAACTAGTAATAAGATTATTTAAACATTAATTTAATTTCACAATTTTTGCTTATACAACCAACAATACGTCAATAGCCGATCTATTAAGAGAATGATTCTTCAATGACGGCATATCAATTTAATCATTCCATGGAGGAAATACTTTGGTGCAAAAACTAATTGATTCTCCCCTACCCCTACGTACGTCCATTCTCCTTCTTCATCTCCTTCCTTGTTGCTATTTAAAATTTCCCATCCCATTTCTTTTATTGTCTTCCACGATATTTTCCCTTCTTTGTTATTTGCTTTGTCTTTTGATCCCATTTTCTCTCCCTTTCCTTTATCTATTATTTTTGTCCCCTTATCGTCCAGTCTTGCGTTAAGTATTTTTTCATCTTCTTTTTCTTTTGTTTCCTCTATGTTTATCTTGGTTTAGTCCATTTTCTTGCTATAAACGACTATTATTTCCCATCGATTATTACCCAGCTGTATTACTTTCTTCATTAGTCCGTTTTTATTATTACTTTCCTTTTCCAATTCTTGAATTTCTTTCCAAATTCCCATTACTATTCCCCCGCTTGCTCTCCCCTTAGATGAATTAGAACAACTGATAAAAGATGTAGGAATGAAGATAGAATTTAGGGTAAGAACAAGTAGAGGGAGAAAAAACGACTGCTGGAACGAGGAACGTTACGTCTTAAAATGAGAAAAAGGGAAGCCATTTAAAAAATGGAAAATTCAAAAGATAACAAGAGTTCCTCAAACAAATAGGGTGAAGGAAAAGCAACAGACGAGGAAAATGAGATAGTTTAAATTCCTATTTAAAGCCCAAAGGGTACAAATCAAACTTGATTGATCGATTGACTGAATTGATTGATCATTCTATCCAACTATCACTAACTTTATTAATTTGTATAATTTAATTAAAATTTGAAATTTTATTAAAAAAAAACGGACATCTGATTTTCGGGTTCGTTTCTTTTTAAATTAACTGCATACTCAAAACTGGTTTTGTCTACTTGCGACACCACTTATGCAAGTGTAATCAACAACTTGATATGACGCTGATTTTATTAATTTATTTTTAACTTAATTGTGCGCATAAAAATAATCTGTTGCAGTGCACACCAGACTAGCAATGTTGTTGTTTGTCGTTTTAATTCTTTTAGTCTCAATCTACTTTTTTCTGAAGAAAACACAAAAGAAAAATGGTTTGGATAAGTTTCCCGAACCAGATTCACACCCAATTCTCGGTCACGTGTTACTAGTAACATCAACTAGAGGTGAAGAACCACCACAAAATAATAATTCGTACCACAAGGGCTGTTTCAGAGGTTATAGATGTTAGCATGCAACTCATCAAAAACTATGGGAAAACCGTGAAACTAAGGATAGGGCCAACATTCTTATCCGTACGCACTGCTCTTTTGACTGCCGACTATCACTTGATCGAGTTTATTTTGAGCGGAAACAAAATTTTGAAGAAGTCGGAAAATTACCAGTTCTTGAAACACTGGTTGGGTCAAGGACTAGTGATAAGCGACGGTAAATATTTATTATTACTATTTTCACTTAACGCTCATAAATTTGGTACAAATTTTAGGTGATTATTGGAAGAAGCACCGAAAAATATTGACCCCGGCCTTCCACTTTGAGATACTGAAAGAGTTCGTTCCGGTTTTCGAATCGATGGGTAACGTCCTGATTGAAAATCTAGCAAAATGTGAAGGGACACCTAGTTGTGATCTGGATGCTTTTGTCACGTTGTGTACTCTGGACATCATCTGCGGTAAAAATTTAAAACTGTAACTGAAAATGGATCAACCACAATTTTTTTTTGTAGAGACAGCCATGGGTACAAAAATGAACGTCCAAAGCGGCAAAAACTCCGATTATGTTCGAAGCGTGAAAGAAACATGTCGAATCGCCGTTGAAAGAGTTTTGTCGCCTTTAAGATTTTTTGATTCTACATTCTGGTTGTGCAGAGATTTCTACCGTCAAAAGAAGCAGTTAAAAGTTTTACACGATTTTACACACAACGTTATCAATTCCAAGAAAAATCATAAATCCATCGATAAGAATACTAAAAGACCGGCGTTTCTAGATCTGCTTTTGAAGTTTTCTGAAGATGAGAATATCCTGAGCACTGAGGAAATTCGTGAGGAAGTTGATACGTTCATGTTCGCGGTAAGCAAAAATGGGTTTTGGGTTTTAAAAACGTTTGTGATTTTTAGGGACATGACACAACAGCCTCTGGCATTTGTTTCACGTTGTACTGTTTGGCTGATCATCCCGAAGTTCAAGTAGTTATTGAAATATTGCACGATTGGGAAAAATTATTTCAGTTTTTGATTTTAGAAACAAGTTCTTCAAGAACAACAAGATTTATTCAGTGATGAGAAAAATCCTGTCATAACTTACTCAGAGTTACAAAATATGAAATATCTAGAACACGTCATCAAAGAAAGCTGTCGTCTGTATCCTCCAGTAGCAGGGATAGGACGATACACAACTGAAGATACAGAATTTGGTACTATTTTGGAAAAACTTTAGAGACTAGAAGTTTTCAATGCTAAAAATTGGTTGCAGAAGGTTGTTTAATCCCGAAATACACCAACATCATGCTTTTCATTTATGGTTTACACAGAGATCCAAATTATTTTCCGGAACCGGAAAAATTTATGCCGGAAAGATTCGAGAATTTTGACCCTTCCATACCGTATGCTTATATTCCGTTTAGTGCTGGTTCGCGAAATTGTATTGGTAGGTATAACAATCCTCAATGTTTTACAAGTGTTTTTAATGTGTTTAGAGGTCAAAGATTCGCCATGTTGGAAATGAAGAGTATTATTTCTAAAATTGTGAGACATTTTGAAATAAAACCAACTTCTCCAAGGCACGAAGTGAAATTGTCCTTTGAGGGTGTTTTGAAATCAGCGAATGGCATCAAGGTCGTTCTTAAGAAACGACGTTGAAAGAAATTGAAATGATCTTTTGAACCAATCTTTACGTGGTCTAGCCTATTTATTTTCTTGAAATTCTGAATTTTTATGCCATAAATAGACAAAAATTAGGTTATGTTATATTTTGAAATATACATTTTGATTAAAAAGAACTGTTTTACTTTTATAGATGAACCAACAAGTCTGTAAAAAACAACAAGAGTTTTTCAAATTCAGTTTTTTTTTTATTTAAAAGACAACTCTTTTCCTTGTATGAAGATGAACGCTGGCGATAAACATCTCAATAATATAATGAAACAACGAACAATTCTGCTCCCAAACGAAAATAGCAGAAACGAAAGTTCAATTAAATAATACAGATACCATAATTGATACCCTAAAAGTGTCGAACATTACGAAAAGTGGCAAGTTTGAAATATTTTTAGTTTTTACTTCCCGAGCGTAAGCAAAGGAAGTATTGTAATCGAGTCCGTCGGCCGAATCTCTACTTTTGCATTTTCTCGACCTATTATGACCCCGAGAGGATGAAGAAATAGGTCTTCCGTTTCCGTCCGTCTGTCCGTCTGTCTGTCTGTCTGTCTGTCGGCCTGCCGTCCCGGATTTTTATTAGACAGATAAATCTCCGAAAGTACTTGGGCCGATTGTTGTCAAATCTTGCATTTATATTAAGAATATCTTGTAGATGGTAAAACGCTAAACTAAAATTTCTCTAATCATCCCCACCAATAACGTAATGACGTCACATAAAAATTGTACATAGTAAATGGGTTTTAAATTGTATCAAATAACATAGGGCCGGTTGCATAAACGCAAATCAAATTTAATCCCTGATTAACTCCATAGTAACGATTGTTATTATCTTATTTACAATTGTTCTTAATCAGAGATTAAATTTAATTTGCGTTTATGCAACCGGCCCATAGTCTTACACATGTTGTTTATGACTCCGAATTGAGATTTTACCCGAAACGTCCAGATTTTTGGAAAAAACAATTAAAATTAGGAAACAACATTTTGACACGTAATTTGGAATCTACAAAACCGAATGCTTTGAAATCTTGCAGATGGTTTACAGTTGTGATAAGCATGATAAGTTTTTATTCAAAATATATTTACTTGTCCCCTCCAAAAAATTGAAGACGTCACCTGAAAAGTTTGCTGAATAAATCCTTAATGTACAAAGTATGATGAGACAATACTTGTGATTTATCATTCTTCCATTCATATTTTCTGAATTTGCTTATACAGGGTGACTCAAAGAAATTAATGAATGCGTGAATATATTTTATTTATTTAATCAGGAACTACAAAACCGAATGCATTGAAATCGGGGAGATGTTGTACAGTTCTCATAGGCATGGTAAATTTTTGATCAAAATATATTTGCTCATCCCGCCCTAAAAAATTGATCACGCCACCCCAAAATTTTTCCGAAAAAAGGCTACCTTAAATGTGCATTGTGCAAAGTATGATGAGTCTATAATTATGATTTATCACTGCATAAATAGAATTTATGCAGTGATAATAAAATAAATTGCAAAACTGAATAGTTTGAAGTCTTGACGTTTTGAAGTTATTCTAAGCATGGTAAATTTTTAATGAAAATGTATCTGTTTATCAACCCCAAAAATTTGATTACGGTGTCTCAAAATTTTGCTGAATTTTTCGCAAATGTGCAAAATATGAACAGACTTTTAATCATTGCATTCAAATTTTTTAGGTTTGCTTAAACAGGTGACTCAAAAAAATTAACGGATCTGTCAATTTATCATTGATCAAATTAAGAACGAGCTACCCCATTTTTTTGCAAATGTGAGAATAAGGTAAGGATTATAATAATAACATTCAGAATAATTTGTTCAATGGAGGCTTATGAATATAGTCATCTGTTTTGGGGCGATAAACTCATTCAAATGAAACAAATATCTACGTGACATTCTTCCGATATAATATATTCCCGTTGATAATGTGCTGTAAATAATGTCTTTGCACTCATAACCTTTCTTGATGACCTCGGCGCATGCAACAAAAAAGAGAAGAAATATTTAAAGAAGATGGGAGGAAAACAGAGTGACTGAAGAAAAAACAACAGACGAGGAAAAGGAGATAGTTTAAGTTCCCATTTAAAGCCCAAAGATTACAAACCAAACTTGATTGATCGATTGATTGCATTGATTGATCCTTCTATCCAACTATAAGTAACATTATTAAATTCACCAAAAATTAGGAAACAAGCTCCTTAATTTGTATAATTTAATTAAAATTTAAATTTTTATTAAGAAGAAAACTGTTTTACTTGTATGAAGATGAACGCTGGTGATAAACATCTCAATAATATAATGAAACAACGAAACAATTCTGCTCCAAGACAAAAATAGCAGAAACGAAAGTCCTATTTCATAGCGCAGATAACATAATTGAAACTTTAAACGAGTCCAACATTACGAAGAGTGGCAAGTTTGAAATGTTATTAATTTTTACAAGTTGCTAGAAGTTTTCTATATCATAAGAATTTCCCCCAGACATTTGATTCTTGCGTTCGTTTATTTTTAAATTGACTGCATGCATAAATCAAAACTGGTTCTATCTACTTGCTACACAACTTATACAAATGTAATCAACAACTTGATATGACGCTGATTTTCTGAATTTATTTTTAACTTAATTGCGCGCATAAAATAATCTGTTGCAGTGCACATGAGAATCGCAATGTTGTTGTTTGTCGTTTTAGTTCTTTTACTCTCAATCTATTTTTTTCTGAAGAAAATACAAAAGAAAAATGGTTTGGATAAGTTTCCCGAACCAGATCCACACCCAATTCTCGGTCACGTGTCACTAGTAACATCAACCAGAGGTGAAGAACCACCCAAAAAATTTTAATTCGCACGACAAGGGCAGTTTCAGAGGTTATAGATGTCAGTATGCAACTCATCAAAAACTATGGCAAAACCGTGAAACTAAGGATAGGGCCAACATTTTTTTCCATACGCACTGCTCTTTTGACTGTCGACTATCACTTGATCGAGTTTATTTTGAGCGGAAACAAAATTCTTAAGAAGACGGAAAATTACCAGTTTTGGAAACACTGGTTGGGTCAAGGACTAGTGATAAGCGACGGTAGATATTTATTATTATTATTTTCAGTTAGTGCTCACGAATTTGGTAAAAATTTTAGGTGATTATTGGAAGAAGCACCGAAAAATTTTGACCCCGGCCTTTCACTTTGAGATACTGAAAGAGTTCGTTCCGGTTTTCGAATCGGTGGGTGACGTCCTGATTGAAAATCTAGCAAAATGTGAAGGGACACCTAGTTGTGACCTGGATCCTTTTGTCACGTTGTGTACTCTGGACATCATCTGCGGTAAAAATTTAAAACTGTAACTGAAAATGGATCGACCATATTTTTTTTTGTAGAGACGGCCATGGGTACAAAAATGAATCTACAAAGCGGGAAAAACTCCGATTATGTTCGAAGCGTGAAAGAAACATGTCGAATCGCCATTGAAAGAGTTTTGTCACCTTTAAGATTTTTTGATTCTACATTTTGGTTGTGCAGAGATTTCTACCGTCAAAAGAAGGAGTTAAAAGTTTTACACGATTTTACACACAACGTGATCAATTCCAAGAAAAATAATAAATCCATCGATAAGAATACTAAAAGACCGGCGTTTCTAGATCTGCTTTTGAAGTTTTCTGAAGATGAGAATATTCTCAGCACTGAGGAAATTCGAGAGGAAGTTGATACGTTCATGTTCGCGGTAAGCAAAAGTGGGTTTTGGGTTTTGAAAACACTTGTGATTTTTAGGGACATGACACAACAGCCTCTGGCATTTGTTTCACATTGTACTGTTTGGCTGATCATCCCGAAGTTCAAGTAATTGTTGAAATATCGCACGATTGGGAAAAATTATTTCAATTTTTGATTTTAGAAACAAGTTCTCCAAGAACAACAAGATTTATTCGGTGAAGAGAAAAACCCTGTCATAACTTACTCAGAGTTGCAAAACATGAAATATCTAGAACACGTTATCAAAGAAAGCTGTCGTCTGTATCCTCCAGTAGCAAAGATAGGGCGATACACAACTGAAGACACAGAGTTTGGTACTGTTTAGAGACTAGAAGTTTTTAATGCTAAAAATTGGTTTCAGATGGTTGTTTGATTCCCAGATACACCAACATCATGCTTTTCATTTATGGTTTACACAGAGATCCGGATTATTTTCCAGAACCGGAAAAATTTAAGCCGGAAAGATTCGAAAATTTTGACCCTTCCATACCGTATGCTTATATTCCGTTTAGTGCTGGTTCGCGAAATTGTATTGGTATGTATAACAATCCCCAATGTTTTACAAGTGTTTTTTGTGTCTTTACAGGTCAAAGATTCGCCATGTTGGAAATGAAGAGTATTATTTCTAAAATTGTGAGACATTTTGAAATAAAACCAACTTCTCCAAGGCACGAAGTGGAGTTGTCCTTTGAAGCTGTTTTGAAATCAGCGAATGGCATCAAGGTCGTTCTTAAAAAACGACCTTGAAAGAATCTGTAATGGTTGAAAAAATATCAAAGCATGCTCTCCCACATAGGACTTTTGGACAAATTTTTATCTGGTCTAGTCAAAAATCACAAATAGACAAAAATTAAATTATGTTATATTTGGAAATATACATTTTCATTAAAAAAAAATGTTTTACTTGTATAGATGAACCGTGCAACAGACGAGGGAGGAAATCCTTTAGGTTCCTGGATCGCACTTAAAGGGTACAAATGAAATTTGATTGGTCTTTTTTCCCCTATTAGGAATCACTAATTTTAATAAATTCACAAAAACTTAGGAAACAAATTTTTTCGTTCATATAATTTAATTAATTAATTTTAATTTCTGAACGTAAGCTATGAAATTATTAATTACAATATTAGTTCATTTTAATTAATTATTAAAATTACCAGTTCGCGAAACAACGGGTGGGCCAAGTACTACTGGTAAGTAATTAATTTTTACAACGTGTTATTAACTACAAAACTATACTACCACTAGGAAAATACAAAGTAATACCTAACTATTAACGTACATAGTGTTTTACTTACTTTAGAGGTAACTACTTAAATTACAACCTAACCTCCACTAAATACAACGAGTACGTGACTTGAAAGATACCCGAACGCATCCACTTTCTGATTACTAAAGATAGTCAGAAATAAGTTTTTGACTCCCACCATTGTTCCCAGAGGCGTGCGGCAGAACTGATCGCGTGCAGTCTCACCTTGCTGTCGTTCGGACGCCTAAGAAGTGCATGTAGTGGGGGTAATCGACAAGCTCTTACTTATTTTCGCCTAACGCTACTAATTACACTGACCAACACGAATTTTATATGATGGCTAAAAAGTGGATGCTCTTACGTAATCGAGTCACCTGAACACGATGGTGACCTTGGAATTATCTAACACCCCAGTTTTAGAGAGAATCCAAGGAAGATATTTGAAATGAACACTAGTTCTTGAAGAGAAACACAGGTGTATATGTATAGTGAGGGAAGAAATGAAAAGAGAAAAATTACGAGTAGAAGCGAGAAGGAGAGTCGTAAAATACGAAGAACGAATAGGAGAAAGTCCACACTACTAGATACTCCAAGAATGAGCGAAAGAGAAAAACAAGGATTATGATTAAGATCTTTGGAAGATGAAGGTAAAATACTACGAGCGAGGAATTGCAGGTGCTCTGTAGACGAGATCTTGATAAAAAGGAACAAGAGGGAGATCGCACATTAGCTATTATAGGAAGTTATTGGAGAACATAGGTGATAGAACTAGAAGATATGATAAAGTCTACATTTTTAGAGGTTTTAATTTTCCGGGGGTGGATTAGCCGATTAACGGCAATCGTTTACATACGCCATCTGCTCAGCTTCTGGTGGATTTGCTGATCGGTAGTCGGGATTCGTTAAGCTAGATTTGTAAGGCGAAAAGCGCATAGCGGACAACAAAAATCCAAAAAGTCTTTTTAAACATATTCGTACCAAACTATCTGGACCAGTTAGATCACTTGTGATCGAACCTTTAGAGTGAAGATTGGAGACACTGTCAGTAGATCGGTTGATGTTCTGAGTGAGGTGCCTCAGGGGTCGGTACTTGTTCCTCTGCTTTTTATTACGTACACAGCCGACATTAAGAATTTTATAACATCGTCCTTTGGCATGTTTGCAGACGACATCAAGCTCTACAACAGCTGCGACAAATTTTCATCCCTACATCTGACCTTCGTTCGATTTATAAATGGTCTCAAGTTTCGTTATTGCCTATAAACTTGAGATAGACAAATCCGTTAGCTTGCATCTTGGTAAGGGAAATCCCCGACACGTGTATAGTACCGGAAGCTTCGGGCTATTAAGAAACGACCTTGAATGTATTTGTAATGGTTGAAGAAATATTAAAAAGTGCTCGAGTATAGAGCATAAGAAATTAAGTGTTTGTCCATTAAACTGAAAATCTTTGTCTTTTCTTGAAATTATGAATTTTTGGAGTTTTAACTCCTTTCTTGTGGTATTATAGAACATGTATACGATGTGCGCCAAAATAGGGTGTTGAGTTCGAGCCACGAGCTCAAACTCGGTGTCGGTGTCGAGGTCGAGGTCACCGATCTAGGTAAGCGAAGAAAAACGTTTGCTTCATTTTGTCAAAAAATACAAATGCAACATATTTTTAGTTTTTATTATTTTTTAAGAGAAAATTAATGACTTCGCCGCGTACAATTGATATAATTGACAACCCAGAGTTAAAACTCCATCCGTGCGTCCCGGGGTCAACGCATTTTTTTATGCACACATAAATAGACAAAAATTGGGTTGTTATATTTTGAAATTTAAATTTTTATAAAAATTCGTATGCAAATGAACGCTCGTGATAAACTCCTCAATAATATAAAAGCTGGTTTTGTTTACTTGCTACAGAACTTACGCAAGTTTAATCAACAACTTGATATGACACTAATTTGATTAATTTATTATTAACTTAATTGTGAGCATAAAAATAATAATTATTGTTGCAGTGCACACGAGAATAGCAATGTTGTTGTTTGTTGTTTTAGTTCTTTTACTCTCAATCTATTTTTTTCTGAAGAAAATACAAAAGAAAAATGGTTTGGATAAGTTTCCCGAACCAGATTCACATCCAATTCTCGGTAACGTGTCACTAATAACATCAACCAGAGGTGAAGTACCACCCACAAAATTATAATTCGTATCACATTATCACAAGGTCAGTTTCAGACTTCATAGATGTTGGTATGCAACTAATGAAAAAATATGGGAAAACCGTGAAACTAAGGATTGGGCCAAAATTTTTATCCGTACGCACTGCTCTTTTGACTGCCGACTATCACTTCATCGAGTTTATTCTGAGCGGAAACAAAATTTTGAAGAAGTCGGAAAATTACCAGTTCTTCAGACACTGGTTGGGCCAAGGACTGCTGATAAGCGACGGTAGATATTTATTATTATTATTTTCGGTTAGTGCTCACGAATTTTGTAAAAATTTTAGGTGATTGTTGGAAGAAGCACCGAAAAATTTTGACCCCGGCCTTCCACTTTGAGATACTGAAAGAGTTCGTTCCGGTTTTCGAATCGGTGGGTGACGTCCTGATTGAAAATCTAGCAAAATGTGAAGGGACACCTAGTTGTGACCTGGATCCTTTTGTCACGTTGTGTACTCTGGACATCATCTGCGGTAAAAATTTATAACTGTAAGTGAAAATGGATCGAGCACGAAATTTTTTTGTAGAGACGGCCATGGGTACAAAAATGAATCTACAAAGCGGGAAAAACTCCGATTATGTTCGAAGCGTGAAAGAAACATGTCGAATCGCCGTTGAAAGAGTTTTGTCACCTTTAAGATTTTTTGATTCTACATTCTGGTTGTGCAGAGATTTCTACCGTCAAAAGAAGGAGTTAAAAGTTTTACACGATTTTACACACAACGTGATCAATTCCAAGAAAAATAATAAATCCATCGATAAGAATACTAAAAGACCAGCGTTTCTAGATCTGCTCTTAAAGTTTTCTCAGGATGAGAATATTCTCAGCACTGAGGAAATTCGTGAGGAAGTTGATACGTTCATGTTCGCGGTAAGCAAAAATGGGTTTTGGGTTTTGAAAACACTTGTGATTTTTAGGGACATGACACAACAGCCTCTGGCATTTGTTTCACTTTGTACTGTTTGGCTGATCATCCCGAAGTTCAAGTATAGTTATTGAAATGTCGCACGATTGAGAAAAATTATTTCAATTTTTGATTTTAGAAACAAGTTCTCCAAGAACAACAAGATTTATTCGGTGAAGAGAAAAGTCCTGTCATAACTTACTCAGAGTTACAAAACATGAAATATCTAGAACACGTCATCAAAGAAAGCTGTCGTCTGTATCCTCCAGTGCCTATAATAGGACGATACACAACTGAAGATACAGAATTTGGTACTATTTTGGAAAACCTTTAGAGACTAGAAGTCTTCAATGCTAAAAATTGGTTGCAGAAGGTTGTTTAATCCCGAAATACTCCAACATCATGCTTTCCATTTATGGTTTACACAGAGATCCAGATTATTTTCCGAAACCGGAAAAATTTAAACCGGAAAGATTCGACAATTTTGACCCTTCCATACCGTATGCTTATATTCCGTTTAGTGCTGGTTCGCGAAATTGTATTGGTATGTATAACAATCCCCAATGTTTTACAAGTGTTCTTATGTGCTTACAGGTCAAAGATTCGCCATGTTGGAAATGAAGAGTATTATTTCCAAAATTGTGAGACATTTTGAAATAAAACCAACTTCTCCAAGGCACGAAGTGGAGTTGTCCTTTGAAGGTGTTTTGAAATCAGCGAATGGCATCAAGGTCGTTCTTAAAAAACGACCTTGAAAGAATCTGTAATGGTTGAAAAAATATCAAAACATGCTCTCCCACATAGGACTTTTGGACAAATTTTTATCTGGTGCAGTCAAAAATCACAAATAGACAAAAATTAATTTATGTTATATTTGGAAATATACATTTTGATTAAAAAAAATGTTTTACTTGTATAGATGAACCCTGCAACAGACGAGGGAGGAAATCGTTTAGGTTCCTGGATCGCACTTAAAGGGTACAAATGAAATTTGATTGATCGACTGATTGGATTGATTGATCTTTTTTCCCCTGTTAGGAATCACTAATTTTAATAAATTCACAAAAACTTAGGAAACAAGTTTTTTTCTTTCATATAATTTAATTAATTAATTTTAATTTCTGAGCGTAAGCCATGAAATTATTAATTATAATATTAGTTCATTTTAATTAATTATTAAAATTACCTTATCTTTATTACGGTCTTCTCCATGATTTATTTCAATTGATTTTATGTCTTCTTCTTTTTCTGTCAAGAGCTCACTAAATGTAATTCATCCATACCTCTATTTTACTTTGTTGGTTTATTTTCTTATAAAAGTTTTAATTTGTATTTATTGATTGTACCATTTTTTTGGGGTTTGTTTCCACGTTTGCCTATTGTTTGTTGGGCCGCTGTTTTCATGATGGTTTTCATCCTTACCTAAATTCCTGTTTCATTTCAATGATGCATTCTTATGTTTTTTAGTTCTGTTTATTTTTTGTTTCACTTTTGCCACCACCAGATGAGAATTCCCCACCAGATATCTGATTTTAAGAAAACGTGAAAATTTTGAAGATCTCGTTTTTCCGTTTTTCTAGTAACCAAAAAAACTATCTTTCTATTCTTAAACATTGTGGCCAATTAGTTATTTTTTATTTATTCACGTATTTTAAGATCCACAATAATTATATAATCTATCAACCAATATTACTCACTTACCAGCGATGGGTAAACCGCAGAGGGAATCAATTGTACACGCTAGAGGAAATCAAAGGAAATCACAGGAAATCAAAAAGGGAATCAGAGGAAATCAAAGGAAATCACAGGAAATCAAAGGAAATCAAAGGAAATCAAAAGGAAATCAACAAGAAAACGCGAGTTCTCAAAGCGATGCGATTAAATTCTTGCCCACCTATTTCATCCGACGAAAATCATTTCTTGGGAATGGTACCAAATGGGTTTTAGTGACAGCGATCTGACATCATATGTCCAAGACACTATACATATTATTACAAAGTTAAGAACAAAGTTTTTAAAATCAGACTCAATATTACCTCTAGGGAATTACGTTGCTACAGTTGCTCACCTTGAAATATTAGTAAAAAATTACACCAAAGATATGCTAACAATAACGGATTTGAAAGCAGAAGACAAAATGGACTATGCAGCGGCAGAAAAAATGTGTAGCCCGGAAGTAAGAAAAGTGATAGCCGACAACATTGACAATAGTGCAGGAACAACAGCTTATTTGAAACTAATGTATCTTATATCGGCAGCATTCCTGGACAAAACGTTATCTATTGTAGAAAAGATATATAACATTTGGTATTGCATATTTTTCCTACGAATATGGAAAAAATGAATTAAGGACCAAAGACAGTGTACAGTAAAAGATAACTTTTTATCTTCCAATTGCTACACATGCGTTGAACTCAATGGACACGCATTAATAAAAATAATTAAAATTTTTCAAAAAAGTAATCTTACTGATGATATGTTCTTGCCTTGGAAGTTTAGCTCTCAAACTTGTGAGAGTATGTTTAGAAGCCTTAGATCAATGATCTCAACTTTTAGCACAATTGTTAATTTTAGTGTAATAGATATGTTGCATCGAAGTGACAGACTGCAAACTATAAACAACATTAAAAACGATTTGGATAAAAATTTCGTTTTTCCTAGAGAAATCAGGAAAAAAAGTGCAATCATGAAGAGAGATTTTGTGAAAAATGATGACTTAGGAAACATTTCAGATAAAGATATACAAAGCACCGTAGAATCAGCTTTACGGGATTGTCTGCGTGACACTGATGATTTAGGAATGAAAGTTATTGATTTCAACTATGTATTTTTGCCTCCGTGTAAAGACAATGAATGCAATGACGAAGTTGAAGATGAAATGTTTAGTGAAGAACAGTGCGATCACATTGAAAATTACAACAATTCTCAAATAGCCATGAAACGTAACTGTTTTCAAAGTTTGGAAAACGATCCAGTTGACCAAGATGAAGATTTACTGAATGATCTTCGCACAATTTCGTACGAATCTAAGAAATTTGACAGAGACATACACCTTAGAAGTTTTGATAGTGACGATATTTTTGTTGCGAAAGGTGATCTAGTCAGAATACGCTTAGATAATACAACAAAAGTTATGAAAAAGTCTTCACTTTGCTGGCTGTTAGACAATGAAAAGGATCGCGTCAGTGTGGATCGTCTCAAAAGATTTATTCAAAATAAGAAATGTAATAGTAGTAGAGTTAACTCAGAAACAGATACCTGCCTTCAACATAAAGATGCATCTCAAATTCAAAAAAAATTTGAATCTCAAGGCTAAAAATAGTAAAACTGATCGTTCTAAACCAGACTTAAATATAGACGATTATATTATAGTACAATTAACAACTCAAAAACAAAACAAAAAATGTTACATTGGTAAAGTGTTATCACTTAACCCTATTTTTTGTGATTTTTTGAAAAGGAATCCAAAAATTCCGGATGCTTTTATGTTCCCGGACATTAAAGATCAGGGGGAGATCCAAGAAAATGAATATATAATGAAACTACCTACACCTCAGGTACTCAGAAGAGGCAGTTTAGTTTAAAAAAAAAAAATATTGAAAAAATATTTGATTTAATTCTAGTTTTTTTTTTAAGTGATGTGATTAAAATTTGTGATAATGTAACCTCAACCTGGGTGGAGATTTGTACAAGTATATATCATAGAGAATACTAAAGTAAGAAACTGTGCAAAATTCTAGGTGCCCATGAACACTTTTAAAGGGGAAAATTACCTCTGAAAATTTATCAACTGGTGTTACTCACTCCTTTATTGTGCAAAAAAAATTCTTACGTGTTAAATTTTGCATTTCAAAAGTTTTTTTCTAATATGCTTCATTTGAAAGTTGTGAACAAAAAATTAAAAGTGTTATCATCTGTATTTATGGGTAGCTAGAATTTAGCACAGTCTTTTACTTCAACATCATCTACAATATATATGCAAATCTCGACCCAGGTTATGGGGTAAGTATTTTTTAAGAAGTTTTTTATTTTGTGATATTTTGTTATGATCCAACAGAAATGCTTTACTTTTATGTTTAGAGTTACCGTTTTTTTAAACATTTAATAAAATAAATGAAACTACTTGTTTTTTCTATTTATGCTACCATAATAAATGAATAAAGCTAATTTTTAAAAAGTAATGACTTGAGTTATTATTATAACTTTGATTTAGTAGGTCAAACTTTAACATGCACAACACAGAGATGAACCTAATAGAATGATTTTGGACTATTTGGTATTCATTAATTACCCCTGTGAACGTATGAGCCAGTCGTTGTTGCCTTATGAGTCACTGATAAGTAAAAACTGCTGACATAACTAAAAATATCTTTGGCCTTATGTACTTTTAATTTCGTAAAGTCAAAAGCAAAATTTCATAATATAATTTATTAAAAACTTAATAATAATATATAATATAAATTATTAAATCTTTGAGTGATTTAAACGAACTAATTTGTACACACCAGACATTTTTAATTTCAAAATTAAAATAGACCATAAGGTTTTCTGACTGAATGTGCAAAAAATCTAGAATATTGCTTATGTCCACTTTTAGAACAAACATTTGACCCAAGAAAGTGTAAAATTCGAACGTATACTTACTCTATTGATTTAGACATCTAAAACCTCGATTTTAGAGTAGCGTTCTTTTTGTAAGTAAAATCAGATTTTTTTTCTTAAACATTTCAGTTTGTTGCTTAGCAGCACAATACATTTTATTTATTTAGTTTTTTCGTCTAAAGGGAAAACACTTCAGCTTACCTAGTCACCGTACGTTAGTAAACACTTGGTAAAAAAAGGTTTAAATTCAACATCATTATCGGCAAAACAAAAAAGTCAAGTTAAAAAAAAGTTAACAATCGCCCTGTAGTACATTATGTAAACAAATTTTTAGGAAATCAAAAGGAAATCAAAGGAAATCAAAGGAAATCACAGGAAATCAAAGGAAATCAAAATAAATCGGGGGAAATCAACAGGAAATCATTGTCAAAAGGAAATCAATTGTACACTTAATGTTTCAGAAGAGCTAAACCCTTCAAAGCACTAGAGCAAGGTTGTTGTCTTTTACCAACCCTTTTAGTAATCTTAGAAAAGTGAAAAAAGAAATTGGAAGATATGGAAATAGGGTGTTCATAAAGGTCGAAATTTCCATTTCTACGAAGAGTGGGTAAGCAGAACGAACTGATGATTGAGAATTAAAGATGAGATGCTAAATGTGGCATGCGACAATAGACGTATGTAGAACCCCCATTCATATAAAAACAATGTTTAAGTGAAATTTTAGTGTTTGTTCCTTACATATGATATAAACACTTACCAAAAGCCGAATAACTATTTTAAATAGCGTAAAGTTTTATCCTTTCTAAAAAATGGATACCGTTAACTTGATCATTGCTACTGAAAACTGTATCGGCAACAATGTTTATATTTCTGGTCGCATTTCTTCCTTTTTCTCGTAACCCATGGGATATCTCTGAACACAAAGTTCACTTATGCGGCTACCAGCCGTGACCTTAATACCTGCACACGTTTATTTTATGCTTAAAACCGGCTTCTTCTTTTGTCGTCAGCAAAAATCAAGCAATAAATGTGAAACTTATACGCAAGGTAAACAACACACTGAATTCAATGCTTTATTATAAACGCATTTGTGCATTGTGCAGTGTACACAGAATGGCAATTCTAGTGTTGTCAGTTTTGGTTCTTTTACTGTCACTCTACTTTCGTCTGAAGAAAAGACAAAAGAACGACGGTTTGAACAAGTTTCCCGAAGGGCCCTCACACCCACTTCTTGGTCATTTGCCACTAATGACATCAACCACAGGTGAAGAACCACCCTCAAAAATATAATCCGTTCCACAAGGTCAATTTCAGACGTCATAGATGTTAGCATGCAACTCATCAGAAACCATGGGAAAACCGTAAAAATAAGAATAGGGCCAAAAATTTTGCCCATGCGTACTTCTCTTCTGACTGCCGACTCTCACTTAACCGAGTTTATTTTAAGCGGTAACAAAATTTTGAAAAAAACGGAAAATTATCAGTTCTTGAAACACTGGTTGCGAAAAGGGCTGCTGATAAGCGACGGTAGATTTTTGTTATTACTATTATTAGTTAGTATTCACGAATTTGGTAAAAATTTTAGGTGATTATTGGAAAAGGCACCGAAAAATTTTGACTCCAGCCTTCCACCTTGAGGTACTGAAAGAGTTTGTTCAGGTTTTCGAATCGGTGGGTGACGTACTGATTGAAAAGCTGAGACGGTGTGAAGGGACACCTAGTTGTGATTTGCATCCTTTTGTTACGTTGTGTACTCTGGACGTCATCTGTGGTAAAAATTTCTAATTATAATTAAAAATGGATCAACCACGAAAGTTTTTTGTAGAGACGGCCATGGGTACAAAAATGAACGTCCAAAGCGGGAAAAACTCCCACTATGTTCAAAGCGTGAAAAAAACATGTCGAATCATCATTGAAAGAAGTATGTCAACTTTAAAGCTTACTGATACGACATTCTGGTTGTGCAGAGATTTCTACACTCTAAAGAACGAGTTAAAAGTTTTGCACGATTTCACACACAACGTGATCAATTCCAAGAAAAATAATAAATCCATCGATAAGAATACTAAAAGACTGGCGTTTCTAGATCTGCTCTTGAAGTTTTCTCAAGATGAAAATATTCTCAGCACTGACGAAATTCGCGAGGAAGTTGATACGTTCATGTTCGCGGTAAGCAAGACCGGATTTTGGGTTTTGAAAACGTTTGTGGTTTTTAGGGACATGACACAACAGCCTCTGGAATTTGTTTCACGTTGTACTGCTTGGCTGATCATCCCGAAGTTCAAGTAGTTATTGAAATATTGCACGATTTGGAGAAATTATTTCAATTTTTGATTTTAGAAACAAGCTCTCCAAGAACAAAAAGATTTATTCGGTGACGAGAAAAATCCTGTCATAACTTACCCAGACTTGCAAAACATGAAATATCTAGAACAAGTTATCAAAGAAAGCTGTCGGCTGTATCCTCCAGTGCCTATAATAGGACGATACACGACAGAAGACACAGAATTTGGTACTATTTTGGAAAACTAGAACTTTTCAATGCTAAAAATTGCTTGCAGATGGTTGTTTAATCCCGAAATACACCAACATCATGCTTTTCATTTACGGTTTACACAGAGATCCGGATTATTTCCCGGAACCAGAAAAATTTAAGCCCGAAAGATTCGACAATTTTGACGGTTCCTTATCATACACTTATATTCCGTTTAGTGCTGGTTCGCGAAGTTGTATTGGTGTGTATAACGCTTGTCGTATGTTTTACATTTGTTACAATAATGTTTACAGGTCAAAAATTCGCCATGTTGGAAATGAAAAGTATTATTTCGAAAATCGTGCGACATTTTGAAATAAAACCGACATCTCCAAGGCACGAGGTGAAGTTGTCCGCAGAAACTGTTTTGAAATCATTGAATGGAATCAAGGTCACACTTAAGAAACGACCCTGAAAAAAGTGTTAATGGGTTTTCAGTATTTTTTTACAAGAATATATACAAGGTGATTATTTTACCTGTTCAATGCAACAAAATCTAGCATATACTTAATGTCCGGAAGGAGTACAAAAAAAGATTAAAAAGGTTTTCTACGATCCGGATTTTATCTTCAATATCACAAGGTTTTACTAGTGAAAAACTGTAATAACAAGTCGTCATTACGTATTCATATCATTTGGAGGTCCCGTTTTGATAGCCTTTTTCTCCTTGACAGAGCTCTTGTGACAATATTCAAAACATGGAGAAGATCATAACAACCCTGGATCTACACAGAACCTCATTTACCATCCTACAGTGACCATAATCTCTCCTCCCTTGGGTCGGTACCTGCGGTGGGTTGGTCCTTTGGGTTGCATAGTTACAAAAAATAATTCTTCTCACTGGAACTGATTTTGTAGGCGACAACTGGGCACCCCAGATACGTACATTTTTTTACGACATATTTTTTTTACGAATACTTTGTCTAAGACGAGCTTGTTTCATAGACGAACAATATTTTTTTGTTATTAAACCAGGACCGTTTTAATCACAATATATTTACTTATCCCCTCTAAAAAATTCATGACGTCACCTCAAAATTTTGCTGAATAAATCCTATCTAAAATGTATAAAATATGATAAGTCTCTTCTTGTAATTTATCATTCCATTCATATTTTTTGCATACGGATATACAGGGTGACTCAAAAAATTTAATGAATGCGCAAATTTATTTTATTGATTTAATCAGGAACTACAAAACCGAATGCTTTGAAATATAATGTGAAAAAAAAACATAATTGACATGCAGTCGTCACGTTTCCGATAGCGAGGGAAGTACTGTCTGAACTCTTTAGACCGATTTTTTTTATTTTCTCATTTCTCCATTTCTCAATTTTTCAATGTTTCAGTTTGGGATTTTTTCACTGTTTCGATTCTTTAATTTTCCTTCCAATTTTAGGTTTTTCAATATTTCAGCTTTGGAATTTTGCACTATTTCGTTTCTTTAAGTTTTCAAATTTTTGATATTGTTTTCTCGGTTTTTAAATTTTTCGATATTTTAATTTTTCAGTTTTTAAAGTTTTAGGTTTTTAGATTTCTCACTATCTCGACTTTTCAATTTTTCAGTTCCGTGATTTTTCAATTTGTCGAATTTTTAAATTTTAGATTTTTTGTTTGCTTTGATGTTTTGAGTTCTCGATCATTCGATTTTCTGAGTTTTCAGGCTTGGATTTTTTTTGTTGTTCAATTCTTGGATTTTTAAAATTTTTGTTTTTTAAATTTTCCTATTTATCAACTTACTGGGATTTCAATGTTTTGATTTTTTTATTGTTCAATTTCTCGATTTTTTGAATTTTTAGTTTTTGATACGATTTTTTTTCAAAAATTTTCAGTTTTTCAATTTATTAACTTTACGATACTTCAGTTTTGCTCATTTTCGATTTCTCAATTTTTCGATATATTACTGTTGGGATTTTTCAATCTATCGATTCTTCGATTTCTCGATTCTTCATATTTTCGGTTTCTCCAATTTCTTCATTTTTCGATTTCTCAATTTTCCGATGTTTCAGTTTAACGATTTTTAATTTTTTTTATTTTTCAGTTTTCAATTTTTGACGTTTCTAAATTTTTCGATTTCTCAATTTTTCGATTAACTGATTTTTTGATTTTCCCATTTCTCTATTTCTTGATTTTTCAATTCTTTCTTCAATTGTGATTTTTCAATTTTTGGATTTCTGAATTTTTCAATGTTTCAGTTTTGGATTTTTTCACTTTTCCGATTCTTCAATTTTCTTTCCATTTTTCAGTTTTTCAAGATTTCAGTTTTGAATTTTTTCACTTTTTCGATTTTTCAGTTTTCCTTCCGTTTTTCAGTTTTTCAGTATTTCAGTTCTTCAATTTTTTGATGTTTCGATTTCTCAGTTTTTCAATTTTTCGATAGGTATTTTAATTTTTCAATTCAGTTCTAGAATTTCCGTTAATTGTTTTGTTTTCCTTGATGTTTTGATTTCTCGATTATTCGATTTTTAAATTATTTAATTTTTATATTGTACAATTTCTGGATTTTTAGATTTTTCAATTTTTCGGTTTACCGATTTTTTTTCATTTAAAATGTTTCAATTTTTCAATTATTAACTTTTCGATTTTTCAATTTTCGTCTGATTTGATTTCTTAATTTTTTGATTTTTTGACTCCTCTACTGTTGATGTTTTGATTTCTTGATGTTTCAGTTTTTGAACATTCCGATGTTTCGATTTTTCGACTTTTTGGCTTTTCGAGTGTTCAATTTTTTGATCTTCAGAAAGAAGCCTTAAAAATTTTACACGGTTTTACACTCAACGTGATCAATTCTAAAACAAGCAAATCCAGCGACAAGAAAACTAAAAAATTGGCTTTCCTGGATCTGCTCTTGAAATTTTCTCGAGATGAAAATATTCTTAGCACTGACGAAATTCGAGAGGAAGTAGATACGTTCATGTTTGAGGTAAGCAAGACTGGGGTTTGGGTTGGACAACATTTATGATTTTTTAGGGACATGATACAACATCCTCTGGTATTTGTTTCGCGTTGTATTGTTTGGCTGATCATCCAGAAGTACAAGTACGTACTGAAATATTGACGATTTTCATAGATTCTCTTCGTTTTTTATTTCAGGAAAAAGTTCTCCAAGAACAGAAAGATTTATTCGGTGAAGAGAAAAATCCTGTCATAACTTACTCAGAGTTGCAGAACATGAAATATCTAGAACACGTTATCAAAGAAAGCTGTCGTCTCTATCCTCCAGTGCCAGAAATTGGCCGATGTACCACTGAAGACATAGAATTTGGTACTTTTTTGGAAAAACGCCAACTACTTAATACAAGTTTCCAAATTTAAAAATTGGTTGTAGATGGCTGCTTGATTCCCAAAAAGACCAACATCATTCTTTTCATTTATGGTTTGCACAGAGATCCAAAGTATTTCCCGGAACCGGAAAAATTTATTCCTGAAAGATTCGAAAATTTTGACGTTTCGTTTCCATATGCTTATATTCCGTTTAGTGCCGGTGCACGAAATTGTATTGGTTTGTACAACACTACTGTGTGTTTTAATAATGTTATATTAATATAATATTTACAGGTCAAAGATTTGCTATGTTGGAAATGAAAAGTATCATTTCGAAAATCGTGAGACATTTTGAAATAAAACCAACTTCTCCAAGGCACGAAGTGAAGTTGTCGGTGGAAGCTGTTTTGAAATCAGTGAATGGAGTCAAGGTTTCACTTAAGAAACGACCTTGACAATTCTTTTAGTTGTCTCTAGATTTTGTAGAATTAGGTCTGATAGATATTATCTTATAGATAAGCTAAGCGACTTGCCACTTTCATGTTTTCTCGACGTTTCACGACCTCTACAGTACGAAAAAAGTGGTCGCCGTTTCCGTCTATCTGTCTGACTATCTGCTGTCTGTATCAAAATTGTATAACTTAACTTTGAAACTGATAAATTGAATTCTCTGGAATCTTTTTATCCTCTCCCAAAAATTTATGACGTTTTTTCATTTTCTTTCATTTTTCCAATTTTTTCAGTTTTCATTGTTTCAGTTTCATCATTTTTCGTTTTTTCAACTTTAATTTTTACTTCCCGAGCGTAAGCAAAGGAAGTATTGTAATCGAGTCCGTCGGCCGACTCTCTACTTTTACGTTTTCTCGATCTTTCATGACCCCTAGAAGACGAAGAAATAGGTCTCCCATTTCCGTCTGTCTGTCCGTCCGTCTGTCCGTCCGTCTGTCCGTCCGTCTGTCCGTCCGTCTGTCCGTCTGTTGTCCCGGATTTTATTAGACAGATAATCTCCGAAAGTACTCGACCGATTGTTGTGAAATTTTGTACTTATATTAAGAATATCATGTAGATGGTAAAACGCTAACCAAAATTTGTCTAATCATCCCCACCACTAATGCGATGACGTCACTTCAAAATTGTACATAGTAAATGGGTTTTCAATTGTATAAAATAACATAGTCCTACACATGTAGTTTACAACTCCGAATCGACTTTTCACCCGAAACGTCCAGATTTTTGGAAAAAAAATCAAAATTATAAAACAACATGTTGAAATTTAATTTTTAATCTGCTAACCAGAATGCTTTGAAATGTTGCAGATGTTTTAAGGCTATAAAGAGCATCATAAACCTTTAGTCAAAAAATATTTGCTTATCCCCTCCAAAAACTTGATGACGTCAGCTCAAAAGTTTGTGGAATAAATCATATCTAAAATGTACAAAATATGATGAGTCTGTACTTGTGATCTATCACTCCATTCATATTTTTTGGATTTGCATATACAGGGTGACTCAAAAAAATTAATGAATGCGTAAATATATTTTATTGATTTAATCAGGAACTACAAAACCGAATGCTCTGACATCTTGCAGATGTTTTAAGGTTATAAAGAGCATAATAAATGTTTAGTCAAAATATATTTGCTTATCCCCTCCAAAAACTTGATGACGTCAGCTCGAAAGTTTGCCGAATAAATCATATCTAAAATGTACAAAATATGATCAGTCTGTACTTGTGATCTATCACTCCATTCATATTTTTTGGATTTGCATATACAGGGTGATTCAAGAAAATAAATGAAAGCGTAAATTTATTTTACTGATTTACTCAGGAACTACAAAACCGAATGCTTCGAAATCTTGAAGATATTTTAAAATTATCATAAGCATGGTAAATTTTTGATCAAAACGTATTTGGTCGTCCCCCTAAAAAATTTATGATGTCACCACAAAATTTTGCTGAAAAAATCCTATCTAAAATGTACAAAATATGGTGAGTCTCTTCTTATGATTTATCATTCCATTCAAATTTTTTCGATTTGCATATACAGGGTGACTCAAAAAAATTAATGAATGCGTAAATTTATTTTATTGATTTAATCAGGAACTACAAAACCGAATGCTTTGAAATCTTGCAGATGTTTTAAGGTTATAAAGAGCATAATAAATTTTTAGTCAAAATATATTTGGTTATCTTCTACAAAAAACTGATGACGTCAGCTCAAAAGTTTGCCGAATAAATCGTATCTAAAATGTACAAAATGTGATGAGTCTGTACTTGTGATTTATCATTCCATTCATATTTTTGGATTTGCATATGCAGGGTGACTCAAAAAAATCAATGAAGGCGTGAATTTATTTTATCGATTTAATCAGGAATTACAAAACCGAATGCTTTGAAATCTTGGGAATATTTTAAAGTTATTATAAGCATGGTAAACTTTTGTTCAAAATGTATTTGTTCATCCCTCCTAAAAAAATTGATGACGTCACCCTTAAATTTTGCTGAATAAATCCTATCTAAAATGCAAAAAATATGATGAGTTTGTACTTGTGATTTATCATTCCATTCATATTTTTTAGATTTTCTTAAGAGGTGGTTCAAAAAAATTAATGAAGTCAATTTATTTTATTGATTAAATTAAAGGCAACACTTATTATTAGTATTACACCCCAACCAACCCAATTTGGTAGACACAAAATTTGTTAAAGGAAAAACTCGGTTGAAACATAAGGGTAGCACGCTTATTTACATCGACTTTAACATTACAGACCTGCATTTGTTTTATGCGTTCACTTGGTTCCGCGAATGTGAAATAGACATGTTTATAATCAACCAATTGTGAATTTCACCGTCAAGAATTAAAATAAAACCCAATGTTTTATATAATAAGCGGAAGTCGAAGCAATAAAACCGATGGTCGTTTTGTTTACAGTTTCTCTATTTGACTCTCACGTATGCTGTTACGCCTGTCATCTTAAATTAAGAATGTTTATACATACACGATTTTCTGTTGCCTCTGATACGTAGGTATACGTGAGTAAATTGTTTCGTTATTTTATTGATTATTACAAATCAATATTCAAACGACGCAATTCATTTTCCCGAAAATTTGAGAATATAATAATTTTATTCTTAGTATTACACTACATCTATCCCAACTGATATACGTGTCCTTGCAAAAATGTTGATGACGTCATCGCAATTTTTTTTTAAATTCCCACTACAAAAATGTAATGAGAAAAAAACACAATAGGCATGCAGTCGTCGAGTTTCCGACAGCGAGGGAAGTACTGTCTAAACTTTTTAGACCAATTTTTTCAATTTCTCGACTTCCATATTTTTGAATTTTTCATTTCTTCAAGTTTTCGATTTGCAATTTCCCAATTTGCAATTTTTCTAGGTCAGAATTTTTCATTTTTCACTTCTCTGTTTCTCAATTTTAAATTTTTCATTTTTCAATTTTTCGTTTCGTTTTTTCATTTCCTTTATTTTTGTAATGTTTTTTCGATTTTATTTTTTTTGTCGACTCCTTGATTGTCCAAATAAATTTTTCAATTTTGCATTTCCACTTATCCGATTTTCCGATTTCTTTAGATTTTCAATATTTCGATTTTACAATGCATATTTCGTTTTATTTTGCAATTTTGTGATATTGAAGTTCCCCAATTTTTGTAATTTTTCCATTTTTTTGATTCGAAAAGTTGAAAAATCGAACAACTAAAAATTTGGAAAAAATTGCAAAATCAAAAAAGTGGAAAATTGAAAAGTGAAGCATTGAAAAACTAAAAATCGTGGAACCTAAACATTGAAAAAAAGAATGAATCGAAAAATCGGAAAGAAGAAAAAAGGAATTGAATCGAAAAATTGAAAAACCAAAATATTGTAAAATCGCCAAAATTGTAAAGTCGAAAAACATTGTAACATTGAAAGATCCAAAAATTGAAAAAACAAAAATTAAAAAATCCACAATTGAAAAATCAAGAAATTAAAAACTGAAAAATCGCAAAATTGGAAAACTGAAAATTTCAAAAATCGAAAAATTTGACAAAAATTAAAAAATCGAATTATAAATACAAAGATCGAAATAATAAAGAAAATTAAAAACCCGAACGGAAAAATTGCAATGTGGAAACTTTAATATTAAGAGTTGCATGTCTTAAAACTGAAGAAACAAAAAAAGAATGAAAAATTGAAAAATTATAAACCGAAAAAAAATTTTAAAAACTGAAATCGAAACACAGAAAAATCGAAAGTTGGTAAAAATAAAGAAAATAAAAAAAAACGAAAAATTTAAAAATTGTAAAATCTAAAAATTGAGAATGAAAAATTGAAGCAAAGAAAAACTAAAAAAAATAAAAATATATGAAAACGAAACATTGAAAAATCGAATAACTGCAAAAGTAAAGAAAATAAAAATCGAAACCCAAAATTGCAAATCGAAAAAAATGATGAAATGAAAAATTGAAAACTCGTGAAATTAAAAAATTTGCAAAATTTAAAAAATTAAAACATCCCAAAGTTGGAAAATCGAAAAACTTAAAAAATTAAAAAATGAAAACTCGAAGAGCTGCATAAGTTAAAACTGAAGAAACAACTTAAAAACGAAAAACTGAAAGAATTGAAAGTGAAAAAACAAAAAATTATAAAATCGGAATACTAAAAATCGGAAATTTGTAAAAATAAAAAAATAAAAAAACGAAACGAAAAATTGCAAGTCGAAAAATTGTAAAATTCCAGAAAATTAATTGAAAAATCCCAATTTAAAAATTCAAAAATTAAAAACTGAAAAATTTCTAATCGAACACTGAAGAAAATGGAAAAGAATTAAAAAATTCACAAATCTAAAAATTTCTCAAAAATTATAAAATCAGAACATTGAAAATCAGAAAATTGAAATAATAAAGAAAATTAAAATCCAAAACGAAAAATTGCAAATCGAAAAATTGCAAAATTTAAAAAATTGAAACATCCGAAGGTTGGAAAATCGAAAAACTGTAAAATTTTAAAATGAAGACTCCAAGAGTTGCATGTCTTAAAATTGAGGAAGAAATAAAGGAATGAAAAATTGAAAAATTGTAAATCGAAAAATTGAAGAAACGAAAAATTTTTAAAATTGATGAAACGAAAAACTGAAAAAACCGACTTTGAAAAAACAAAAAAATTTTAAGTCGGAACACTGAAATATTGAAAAATTGTAAAAATAAAGAAAATAAAAAACCGAAACGAAAAACTGCAAATAAAAAAAATGGTGAAATAAAAAATTGAGAAGTCTTGATATTAAAAAAATTGCAAAATTAAAAAAATTAAAATATCCGAAAGTTGGAAAATCGAAAAACTCAAAAATTAAAAAATTAAAACTAGGAGAGTTGCATGTCTGAAAATTGAAGAAACAAAAAAAGAACGAATAATTGAAAAAATTGGAATTGAAAAAACAAACATTAGAAAATCGGAACACTGAAAGCTCAGAAATTTGTAAAAATAAGAAAATAAAAAAAACGAAAAAATGATGAAATGAAAAACTGAAAATTTTGAAAGAATTGAAATTGACAAATCAAAAAATTAAAAATCGGAGCAAAGAAAAAACGACAGTCTGTAAAAATAAAGAGAATAAAAAACCCTAAACGAAAAATTATAAATCGAAAAATTATAAAATCTAAAAATTGAGAATGAAAAATTGAAAAATCGCAAATCGAAAAATTGAAGAAAAGAAAAACTAAAAAAATTAAAATTGGTAAAATAAAAAATTACAGAAACGAAACATTGAAAAATGGAATAATTGAAAAAGCAGAGATAATACAAACCGAAATGAAAAATTGCCAAATCGAAAAATTGAACACTTAAAAATTTTAAATTCGAGAAATTCAAATTAAAAAAAAATTAAAATAAAATGAAGAAATTTGTAAAAATAAAAAAATAAAAATAAAACGAAACGAAAAATTGCAACTCGAAAAAATGATGAAATGAAAAATTGAAAATATCTTAAAAAATTAGAATTCAAAAATCAAAAAATTAAAAATAGGAGCATAGAAAAAACAAATATTGGAAAACATTAAGAAAATAAAAAACCGAAACGAAAAATTGCAAACCAAAAAATTGAGATTGAAAAATTGAACAATCGCAAATCGAAAAATTGAAGAAAAGAAAAACTAAAAAAATCAAATTGAAAAAATGGACTATTTGAAAAACTAGATAAAGAAAATAAAAACCAAAACGAAAAACTGAAAAATTAAAAATTGGAAATTCGACAAACTAATTCAAAAATCGCAAAACCTAAAAATTGAAAAATTAAAAACCGAAAAATTTAAACTTAAAACTCGAAAAATTGCAAATCGAAAAACTGAAAAAAAAGAAAACAATAAAAAATTCAAAAATCCCAAAAATTTCACAAAACTTATAAACTCAGAACATTGAAAATTAGAAAATTGAAATAATAAAAAAATTTAAAAACGAAAACTCGAAAAATTGCATGTCTTAAAATTGAAGAAACAATGAAAGAATGAAAAATAGAAAAATTGTAAATCGAAAAATTGAAAAAATTGAAGAAACGAAAAACTGAAAAAAGCTGACATTGAAAATCCAAAAAATTATAAGTCGGAACACTGAAAAATCGAAAATTTATAAAAATAAAGAAAATAAAAAACCGAAACGAAAAACTGGAAATGGAAAAAATGATGAAACGAAAAATTTGCAAAATTTAAAAAATTAAAACATCCCAAAATTGGAAAATCGAAAAACTAAAAAGTTAAAAAATGAAAACCCGAAGAGTTGCATGTCTTAAAGTTGAAGAACCAAAAACAGAATGAAAAATTGAAAAATAGCAAAATCAAAAAATTGAAAAATTCAAAACTGAAAAATTTATAAGTTTTCAAAGAAGCCGGATTTGTTGGGCTGCACTTCAGGGGCGAGAGAGTTCTATCGAAATAACCTTCAACCATTTTTTTTTAATTTTTATTTTAAGAATCCTGGTGGAACTAGTAATAATTTTCTTTCTTTACTAAACTTAAATTTATAGAACGATTTCTCTGTTTTAGCCATTTATCATCGTCCTTGACTTCGTACGTACATTTATCATTAGTTTATGCAAGTCGATACAATAGAAAAAAAACTAAAAGTGATAACATTCGATAACAAAAACAGATTGCTAGAAATATTACAAAACATTACACAATAAGACAAACGCATATCTTATGACGCTGATTTTACTGGTTTGTTGTCAAATTAATTATACTCCTAAATTAGTACTAATACAGTGTACACAAGTACCCAATGTTGTTCTTTGTAATTTTCATTGTTTCTCTTTCACTCTATTTTCTTCTAAAGAAAAGCCGAAAAAAAGATGGCTTAGATAAGTTCCCGGAACCACCAGCACATCCCCTTCTTGGTCACCTACCCCTAGTAACTTCATCTACAAGTGAAGCACGTACCAAAGTGTAACAGAATTAGTACCCGAAGTACATTTTTAGGTGTAATAAGTGTCAGCATGAAAATCATCAAAGACCATGGAAAAACCGTAAGAGCGAGACTAGGACCTACATTTTTTCCCCTACGAACTGGTCTTTTCACTGCCGACTACCATCTAATCGAGTTTATTTTGAGCGGGAACAAAGTTTTGAACAAAACGGAGAATTATCAATTTTTTAGAGAGTGGCTGGGAAAGGGACTCCTGATAAGCGATGGTAGATTATTATTATTATTTAGTATTCACAAATTACGACAAATTATAGGTGACTATTGGAGAAGACACCGAAAAATTTTGACGCCGACGTTCCATTTTGACATTCTGAAAGGATTTGTCGAGGTTTTTGAATCAATGGGGGATGTATTAGTCGGAAAAATGGAAAAATATGACGAAACGCCGAGTTTGGATTTGCATCCATTTGTCACGTTGTGTACTCTGGACATTATTTGTGGTGCGTACAACACAATTTCGCACTGTGAATTTTGTTAAGTACATTATTGTTCTAGAAACTGCCATGGGTACAAAAATGAACCTCCAAAGTGGCAAAAACTCTCAATACGTTCAAAGCGTGAAACAAATGTGTCGAATTGTCATCGAAAGAGCTTTTTCGCCTCTAAAAATTTATAACTCTACTTTCTGGTTGTGCAAAGATTACTATCTTCAAAAGAAAGCGTTGAAAGTTTTACACGGTTTCACAACGAACGTCATCAGTTCCAAAAAAAGTAAGCCCATTTTCGACAACACGAAAAGACTGGCTTTTTTAGACTTGCTTCTAAAATTTTCTCGAGATGACAATGTTTTCAGCAATGATGAAATTCGCCAGGAAGTTGATACTTTCATGTTTGAAGTAGGTAAGCAAGTTGTGTTACGAATTTGAAAATGTTTGTGATTTTCAAGGGACATGATACAACAGCTGCTGGAATTTGCTTCACGTTGTATTGTTTGGCTGATCATCCGGAAGTGCAAGTATTTATTGAAATATTGACCCGATTTTCAAAATTATTGAAATTTTTTATTTCAGGAAAAAGTGTTTCAAGAGCAGACAGAATTGTTCGGAGACGAGAAAAGTCCGGCCATAACTTACTCAGAATTGCAGAAGATGAAATATTTAGAAAACGTTATCAAAGAAACATTTCGTATTTACCCCCCGGTGCCTCAAATCGGGCGATACACAACTGAAGATGTAGAATTTGGTACTTAATTTTACTCGTTACAAGATTTCGGTTTTAACAATTGATTACAGACGGTTGTTTGATTCCCAAACACACCAACATCATTCTTTCCATTTATGGTTTACACAGAGATCCGGATTATTTCCCGGAACCAGAAAAATTTAAACCTGAAAGGTTTGAAAATTTTGGCGGTTCCTTGCCGTACGCTTATATCCCGTTTAGCGCTGGTTCCAGAAATTGTATTGGTGCGTATAACACACTTTGGATGTTTTCAAAATTTATGTTAATGATTGTAGGTCAAAGATTCGCCATGTTGGAAATGAAAAGTCTTGTTTCGAAAATTGTGAGACATTTCGAAATAAAACCAACTTCACCAAGACACGAAGTGAAGTTGTCTGTAGAAGCTGTTTTGAAATCAGTGAATGGAATTAAAGTTTCACTTGTGAAACGACTTTGATACGATTTTTAGTTTCTATTTTGGTTGTTGCTTTATTACAATGTGTATGTTTGGTTGCCGACCTAACGAAGGTCACATCTTTGTCTGTCAAAAACAACTATTAATAATATGTACAAAAATTTAAATTTAAGTGTTTAGCGATATTGTACTTTTAACAATTCTTTCTTAACAAAAGGAGTATTGAAATTTTTATGGAAAATATCGAACTGATTATTATTAGAAATACTATTATAGAAACGAAAACAATTTTAAATAAATGATCTATAGTTATGTCCACTAATTCTAAGTTATCGCAAAAAAATGGTGATCAAATTAAAGCAAGTCGCATTTAATAAAAACTAAAATATTAATTCAGGTATTCAAAATGAGTTACAAAAGCAACCTATATATTTCTCTAGTATATTTCGTTAGTAAAATGTTAAAAACTATTAAAATGTAAACTCAATTATCAAAATAAAGTGGAAATGAAAGAAGGACATTTTAGAGGAGTTTAAATCAATATGCCTTTCCTCTTTTCAGTCTTCCAACTTGTTTCCGTAGTTCATCTACTCTAATATCGGTCTCTCTTTCTCTGTCATCATTCTCGGTTTTACTCTTTTACGTACAATTCACTCCTCATTTCATTCAACAGTTTCATAAAAGACTTCTTCGCTTTTGCTCTAATCTTATACCATTTATTTTTATTAGTTGTTTTCTTGTCTTTCGTCACACCGTTTTCTGTATTTATTTTTTGTCTAACAGTACTTTTATTCTGGTTTTAAATCTCTGCATCAGCTTTCCCGCCATTTGTTTCTCTTTTCTAAGTTCTTCATTACAATTCCTTTCTCATCGCTACTTTTTCACTCGCTCTTTTTAATATTTCCATTTTTTAAAATCGAAGATTTCATTTTATATATATTTTTTTAGTCAGCTTGCCTCAATTGGAACACCTCTATTTTTTAGACAGTATGTCATTTGCTAATAAAAGGTCTGCAAAAATCAGTCCTATGTTAGCAGGTAGTGACCCCACCCACCCACCCCCTTCTCATTCTAACGACAAATTTTATTCCTGTTTAGTATACGTTCCACCTTTCATTCAGAGCAGATAAAATAATTACTGAAATGGAGACGGGGTGGGTGGGCGGGGTAAATTATTTTTTCTTCTGTCGAGTGGAATTGAGAAATAATAGTACCTAGACTGTAAAAATTAAAATTCAGTTGTGCCATTTTTTAAAATGGAAGATTTCATTTTATATGTAATTTTTTAGTCAGCTTGCCTCAAATGAAACACCTCTATTTTTTGGACAGTATGTCATTTGCCAATAAAAGGTCTGCAAAAATCAGTCCTATGTAAGCAGGTAGTGACCCCACACACCCGCCCTCTCCTCATTCTAACGACAAATTTTATTCCTGTTTAGTATACGTTCCACCTTTCATTCAGAGCAGATAAAATTATTACTGAAATGGAGACGGGGTGGGTGGGCGGGGTAAATTACTTTTTATTCTGTCGAGTGGAATTGAGAAATAATAGTACGTAGACTGTAAAAATTAAAATTCAGTTTTGCCATTTTTTAAAATGGAAGATTTCATTTTATTTATAACTTTTTAGTCAGTTTGCGTCAAGTGGAACACCTTTATTTTTTAGAGAGTATGTCATTTGCCAATAAAAGGGCTGCAACAATTAGTCCTATGTTAGCAGGTGTTGACCCCGCCCACCCACCCTCTCCTCATTCTAACGACAAATTTTTTCCTGTTTAGTATACGTTTCACCTTTCATTTAGAGCAGATAAAATAATTACTGAAATGGAGACGGGGTGGGAGGGCGGGGTAAATTATTTTTTCTTCTATAGAGTGGAATTGAGAAATAATAGCACCTAGAATGTAAAAATTAAAATTCAGTTGTGCCATTTTTTAAAATGGAAGATTTCATTTTATATGTAATTTTTTAGTCAGCTTGCCTCAATTGGAACACCTCTATTTTTTAAACAGTATGTCATTTGCTAATGAAAGGTCTGCAAAAATCAGTCCTATGATAGCAGGTGTTGACCCCGCCCACCCACCCTCTTCTCATTCTAACGACAAATTTTTTCCTGTTTAGTATACGTTCCAGCTTTCATTCAGAGCAGATAAAATAATTACTGAAATGGAGACGGGGTGGGTGGGCGGGGTAAATTATTTTTTCTTCTCTCGAGTGAAATTGAGAAATAATAGTACCTAGACTGTAAAAATTAAAATTCAGTTTTGCCATTTTTTAAAATGGAAGATTTCATTTTATATATAATTTTTTAGTCAGCTTGCCTGAAATGGAACACCTCTATTTTTTAGACAGTATGTCATTTGCCAATAAAAGGTCTGCAAAAATCAGTCCTATGTTAGCAGGTAGTGACCCCACCCACCCACCCACTTCTCATTCTAACGACAAATTTTATTCCTGTTTAGTATACGTTCCACCTTTCATTTAGAGCAGATAAAATAATTACTGAAATGGAAACGGGGTGGGTGGGCGGGGTAAATTATTTTTTCTTCTCTCGAGTGAAATTGAGAAATAATAGTACCTAGACTGTAAAAATTAAAATTCAGTTTTGCCATTTTTTAAAATGGAAGATTTCATTTTATATATAATTTTTTAGTCAGCTTGCCTCAAATGGAACACCTCTATTTTTTAGACAGTATGTCATTTGCCAATAAAAGGTCTGCAAAAATCAGTCCTATGTTAGCAGGTAGTGACCCCACCCACCCACCCTGTTCTCATTCTAACGACAAATTTTATTCCTGTTTAGTATACGTACCACCTTTCATTCAGAGCAGATGAAATAATTCCTTAAATGGAGACGGGGTGGGTGGGCGGGGTAAATTATTTTTTCTTCTGTAGAGTGGAAATGAGCAATAATAGTACCTAGGCTGTAAAAATTAAAAATTCAGTTGTGTCATTTTTTAAAATGGAAGATTTCATTTAATATATAACTTTTTAGTCAGTTTGCGTCAAATGGAACACCTTTATTTTTTAGAGAGTATGTCATTTGCCAATAAAAGAGCTGCAACAATTAGTCCTATGTTAGCAGGTGTTGACCCCGCCCACCCACCCTCTCCTCATTCTAACGACAAATTTTTTCCTGTTTAGTATACGTACCACATTTCATTCAGAGCAGATAAATTAATTATTAAAATGGAGACGGGGCGGGTGGGCGGGGTAAATTATTTTTTCTTCTGTAGAGTTGAATTGAGCATCAATAGTACCTAAGCTGTAAAAATTAAAAATTCAATTCTGCCATTTTTTAAAATCGAAGATTTCATTTTATATATAATTTTTTGGTCAGCTTGCCTCAAATGCAACACCTCAATTTTTAGAGAGTATGTCATTTGCCCATAAAAGGTCTGCAAAAATCAGTCCTATGTTAGCAGGTAGTGACCCCGCCCACCCACCCTCTTCTCATTCTAACGACAAATTTTATTCCTGTTTATTATACGTACCACCTTTCATTCAGAGCAGATAAAATAATTACTGAAATGTAGACGGGGTGAGTGGGCGGGGTAAATTATTTTTTTTCTGTCGAGTGGAATTGAGAAATAATAGTACCTAGACTAAAAATTAAAATTCAGTTTTGCCATTTTTTAAAATGGAAGATTTCATTTTATATGTAATTTTTTAGTCAGCTTGCCTCAAATGGAACACCTCTATTTTTTAGACAGTATGTCATTTGCCAATAAAAAGTCTGCAAAAATCAGTCCTATGTTAGCAGGTAGTGACCCCGCCCACCCACCCTCTTCTCAATCTAACGACAAATTTTATTCCTGTTTAGTATACGTTCCACCTTTCATTCAGAGCAGATAAAATTATTACTGAAATGGCGACGGGGTGGGTGGGCGGGGTAAATTATTTTGTCTTCTGTCGAGTGAAATTGAGAAATAATAGTACCTAGACTGTAAAAATTAAAATTCAGTTTTGCCATTTTTTAAAATGGAAGATTTCATTTTATATGTAATTTTTTATTCAGCTTCCCTCAAATGGAACACCTCTATTTTTTAGAGAGTATGTCATTTGCCTATAAAAGGTCTACAAAAAGCAGTCCTATGTTAGCAGGTAGTGACCCCACCCACCCACCCTCTTCTCATTCTAACCACAAATTTTATTCCTGTTTAGTATACGTACCACATTTCATTCAGAGCAGATAAAATAATTATTGAAATGGAGACGGTGTGGGTGGGCGGGGTAAATTATTTTTTCTTCTGTCGAGTGAAATTGAGAAATAATAGTACCTAGGCTGTAAAAATTAAAAATTCAATTCTGCCATTTTATAAAATGGAAGATTTCATTTTATATGTAATTTTTTAGTCAGCTTGCCTCAAATGGAACACCTCTATTTTTTAGACAGTATGTCATTTGCCAATAAAAGGTCTGCAAAAATCAGTCCTATGATAGCAGGTAGTGACCCCGACCACCCACCCTCTTTTAATTCTAACGACAAATTTTATTCCTGTTTAGTATACGTTCCACCTTTCATTCAGAGCAGATAAAATAATTACTGAAATGGAGACGGGGTGGGTGGGCGGGGTAAATTATTTTTTCTTCTATAGAGTGGAATTGAGAAATAATAGTACCTAGACTGTAAAAATTACAATTCAGTTGTGCCATTTTTTAAAATGGAAGATTTCATTTTATATATAACTTTTTAGTCAATTTGCGTCAAATGGAACACATTTATTTTTTAGAGAGTATGTCATTTGCCAATAAAGAGTTTGCAACAATTAGTCCTATGTTAGCAGGTAGCATGTCATACTATTCGTAAGTTTCTTGAACAGTCTGATAATGTCAGTCAGATTAGATTAGCACCAGTAGGTCAGTGACGTAATGATAGAAGTCTTGCCTGAATGCCGGTAATTTCCGGATCAGTGGTGGGTCTTAATAATAATAACTAGATGAATGAAAATTCATCAGACAAAACTGTTGAACTACCTTGTCCACTTTGTTTACAAAAATAATTTGCACATTTAGAATGGTCCCCTAATATGTGGTTGGGTCCATTCAGGATGTCATTTTTAAAATTATTTTTTTTGCCAAGGAACGTAGTTTCTGTAGTTATATTAATTTTAATCAACTAATATAGGCGTATAGTTGGTTGCATAACTTGCGTGAATTTTTTTGATGTTATTGTTTTGATGTATCTGTAAATAAATAGATATGTATTTATTTTATTTGCAAAATTTTCACTAAAATTAAAAAAGAAGATTTAAGAACAACACAAACCAAATGATGATCAAAAATCACCAGCTGAATATCCCCAGATTGTGGATCATGTCCGCATTTTCCTGCAAACGACAAACAACCAAACTCGGTTTTTCGACGATAAATCGTCCTAAAATCATTTAAAATCACCGTTTTACAAAATTCTGTTAATGATTCAAACACATTTTCCTCAATAAGATATCCACAATTACACGATTGCTTATCGATCACGTACTATCGTCAGTCGTATCAATTATGTCAACAAATTTGGGTTTTTCGCTGTAATGTTGGTGAGCATTAAAGGGGAAGCCCCTTTAGGTGTGTCAGCTGTGTGTTCCCAAAAAATCCACAAACAAAGAAAACATGGGTGCACTATTATCCACTGAAAACAACGACGAGTATTTGCAAGACAGTTCATGCTCTGAAGACGAAGAAGATCCAGAAGAAAACTCAACCAATGAAGAACCCCACAGGAGACTCTCTCCGAACTATGATGAAATCACGCGGCTAGCTTACGGTAAAAACCACCCTCAACACACACGGAAGCCATAACCCCACTTTTGAACCCACTTTTTTCCAGATTTAACCTTGGACTCCGCTACAGATACCACAGATGCAGCCCCTCCGGCTGCCACAATGACGATTACTTTAACAGTAGATCAGGTGATGGTGGTGGAGAATCATCTTGACACATATGAAAAAGTAACACAAGTTTTTACAGAAATCACAAAATTGAGTTACTGTTTTAGGTGTCTTTGGTGTATTTGCTGTATGATAACCCCGCTGTAGCGCTAGAACACTTGACTAAGTTGGTTAATGGCAGCAACGACAAGCTTATCTACAACTGGGCTATTTTCCAAAACTTGAAAAACTTAAAGTGGCAAGAAAAGCTTGTTGAAGCTTTATGTATTATACAGAACTATGAAGTTGTAAGGATGCTGGGTTTTACAAGAGACAACCTAGTTGTAAGGTTTTCCCCCCATCTTTACTTTGTGAACATCTATGTGAACAAAATCCGGAAAGCTCTCTATTGTTTGTGTGAGGCTTTTGATTCCACAGATGGCGATAATCTGCTGGGGTTAGTTTGTCCAGACTTTCAGAATAAGGGGTTTAATTTTAAAGTGTACAACCCGGAATATCTGGAGCTGTATTTGTTGCACTGGGAGATCATAGGGTACATTAAGCAAGATAATTTGACTAACTTGTGTGCAATTTTAAAAGTCATGGATCAGCTGGACTGGTATGAGAAATTGAAACAGTTAATTCCAGCAGTGGTTACACACAGCAGCGAGAAAACAAAAACGTCTCTTGATAGTAAAAAACCAAAGAGTATTTTTGACGATATTTTGAATCCATCGTCGAGTTTGTTCTCGCTTCAGTCGTCCTTAGATACGCCAATCAGTGCAGATAATGCAGTTTTTGTGAATTCGGATAACAAATATGATGTTAACCCTGGATGTCCTGGGGTCTGCTTGATTATTAACCAGGAAAATTTTTACAGGGAGATAGAGCCGTCTCTTCAGGTGAGTTTTCTCGCTAGAATTAAAGGTCTCCCGTTTCCGTTTATCTGTCTGTCTGTCCGTCTGTCTATATCTCCGAAAGTACTGTGTTTCACGTTGCTGAGAATAAAAAAAATCATCACATTGGAGTTGGGGTGGGTGGGCGGGGTTTATATTTTCCTCTTTTTTCTTAGTGTATATAGTATTGTTTCAACAACACGATATTCAAACACATGATTTTAACTTCTTGCAAAGAAATAAGTATAAGTAACGTTGAAATATCGAAGTTTTTAGAAATCCTCAAAAATTCGCATTTCCTACCGATTCTTCCGAAAATGTTGCTCCGTGACCATCAAAGACTATATTTTTAGAATCAGCATGTCGAGATCTACGTCATTGAATTTTTTCGCAATTTTTAGACAATGGTCCCCGCTTCTTCAAATTTCGGCCAAATTTTGACATTTTCGAGACTTAACTAAAGACATTTTCTTGTAGATTTCGAGCTCTAGAACTCACTTCCGGCTTCGTTTCTTTAATAACTGCAACCGTTTTTCCTGAATCGACCGTTGAAATATCGAAATTTCTAGAAATTTTCAAAAATTCGCATTTGGTACCGATTGTTTCGAAAATGTTGCTCCGTGACCATCAACACACTATATTTTTAGAATCAGCACGTCGAGATCTACGTCCTTGAATTTTTTCAGTTTTCAGACAACTTTTTTTACAAGTGAATTTTTTTTTTCGACTTTTCAATTTTTCTATTTGCAATCTGTCAATTTTTCGAATTTCGAATTTATAGATCCTATTTTAAATTTTTGTTTTTTCAACTTGCCGATTTTTCAGTTTTTCGTTTTTCTATTTTTGGATATTTCCATTTTTCAGTTTACCGATTTTTAATTTTTCGAGTTTCCAATTTCTCGTTTCTTCAATTTTTCAGTTTGCAATTTCTCAACGAGCAAATTTTTGATTTTACAATTTTTGGATTTGAATTTTGCGATTTGCAATGTGTCAATTTTTCGAATTTCGACTTTATAGATGCTATTTTAAGTTTCTGTTTTTGCAACCTGGCGATTTTTCACTTTTTAGAATTTTCAAAATTTCGATTTAACAATATTTCGTGCTTCAGTTTTTCGGTATTTGAATTTTACAATTTTTTGTTTTTTCAATTTTTCGTTTTTTCGGTATTTCCATTTTTCAGTTCACGATTTTTTTATTTTTTTCGAGTTCTCGTTCCTTCAATTTTTCAGTTTTTTACAGTTTTTCGACTTTTCGAATTTTTAGTTTTTAAAATTTTTCGTTTCAATATTTTCATTTTTCAGTTTCGCGATTTGTAAGTTTTCAATTTGAAATGATTAAATTATTGATTTTTCAACTACTTTTTAATTTTTCAATTATCGCTTTTTTAAGTTTTCAATTTTTCTAATATGTCTAATTTTTGAATTTTTCAATAACTGGATTTTTAATTTTTGTTTCTTCAATTTGCAATTTTTTATTTTACAATTTGTCCATTTTTAGACATTTGATTTTTTTTTTCCTTTTTTCGGTTTTTTAATTTTTCAGTTTTTCGTTTGTTCAAATTTTCGATCAAGAAATTTTTGATTTTCCACTTTTTCTATTTGCAGTTTTTCGGATTTATAATTTTTCCATTTTTTGTTTTTCTGAGACTTTACAATTTTTCATTTTTCTAACTTTCTATACTTTCGATTTTTCATTTTCTCGCTTTTTAATTTTTTGATTTTTCAATTTCACAATTTTTCAATTTTTTCAGTTTCTGCATTTTTAGTTTATCGTTTTTTTTTGACTCAATTTTTCGATTTTACAATTTTCCGTTTTTTCACTTTTCGTTTCTTCAATTTTGGATTTGAAAATTTTTGAAGTTTGCAGTTTTTCGATTTTTTAATTTTTTTTTTTTTTAGAAAAAAAAAAGCGAAATATAAGCCCCGCCCACCCGCCCCATCTCAATTCTGATGATTTTTTTTTATTCGTCGTAAGCCGAGGGGTGGAGCTTAATTGCAAAATCCTTATTTCTCAATAAGAAATAAAAAACATGTTATTGAGTATCGTGTTGTTCAAATACTATGTGTATTAAGAAAAAACAAGTCCAAAAATTAAGCTCCTAATATTCATACCAACTTTTGAATTTTTCAATTATTTGATTTTTAATTTTTGTTTCTTTGATTTGCATTTTTTTTAATTTTACAATTTTAAAATTTTTAGACATTTCAATTTTTCAATTTTTCGATTAACAAATTTTTGATTTTCATTATTTTACAATTTTGTCAATTTTTAGACATTTGGATTTTTTTCCTTTTTACGCTTTTCAGTTTTTCGTTTGTTCAAATTTTCGATTTAGAAATTTTTGATTTTACATTTTTTCGATTTTACTTTTTTCGGTTTTTCAATTTCTGAATTTTTAGTTTTTCAATTTCTTATTTTAACAATTTTTCAATTTCTCATTTTTACAATTTTTCGTTTTTTCAGTATTTCCATTTTTCAATTTCCTGATTTTTAATTTTTCCATTTGTTAATTTTCCGATTTTATAATTATACAATTTTTCGACTTTTTTGACATTTTCGTAACTTAACTAAACACATTTTCTTGTAGATTTCGAGCTCTAGAACTCACTTCCGGCTTCGTTTCTTTGATAACTGCAACCGTTTTTCCGGAATCGACCGTTGAAATATCGAAATTTTTAGAAATTTTCAAAAATTCGCATTTCCTACCGATTGTTCCGAAAATGTTGCTCCGTGACCATCAACACACTATATTTTTAGAATCAGCATGTCGAGATCTACGTCCTTGAATTTTTTCGCAATTTTTAGACAACTTTTTTTAAAAGTGAAATTTTTAGAAATTTCGATATTTCAACGGTCGATTCCGGAAGAAAGGTTGCAGTTATCAAAGAAACGAGACCGGAAGTGAGTTCTAGAGCTCGAAATCTATAAGAAAATGTCTTTGGTTAAGTTTCGAAAATGTCAAAATTTGGCCGAATTTTTTTTTTTTTAAATTAAAAAAAAATAAAAAATCGAAAAACTGCAAACTTCAAAAATTTTCAAATCCAAAATTGAAGAAACGAAAAGTGAAAAAACGGAAAATTGTAAAATCGAAAAATTCAGTCAAAAAAAAAAACTAAAAATGCAGAAACTGAAAAAATTGAAAAATTGTGAAATTGAAAAATCAAAAAATTAAAAAGCGAGAAAATGAAAACTCGTAAAGTCAGAAAAACAAAAAATGGAGAAATTGTAAATCCGAAAAACTGCAAATAGAAAAAATGTAAAATCAAAAATTTCTTGATCGAAAATTTGAACAAACGAAAAACTGAAAAATTGAAAAGTCGAAAAAAGAAAAAAAAAATCAAATGTCTAAAAGTTGACAAATTGTAAAATAAAAAATTGCAAATTGAAGAAACAAAATTAAAAATCCAATTATTGAAAAATTAAAAAATTAGACATATTAGAAAAATTGAAAACTTAAAAAACGATAATTGAAAAAGAAAATTGTAACATTGTAATATTGCAGATCGAAAAATCAATAATTTAATAATTTCAAATTGAAAGAGTGAAGAAACAAAAAAATTGAAAAATTGAAAACTTACAAATCGCGAAACTGAAAAATGAAAATATTGAAACGAAAAATTTTAAAAACTAAAAATAAGCAAAGTCGGAAAATTGTAGAAAACTGAAAAATTGAAGGAACGAGAACTCGAAAAATCAAAAATAAAAAATCGGGAAACTGAAAAATGGAAATACCGAAAAAACGAAAAATTGAAAAAACAAAAAATTGTAAAATTCAAATTTTGAAAATTCTAAAATGTGAAAAATCGGCAGGTTGCAAAAACAAAAACTTAAAATAGCATCTATAAACTCAAAATTCGAAGAATTGACACATTGCAAATCGAAACATTCAAATTCGAAAAATTGAAAAAACGAAATATTGCAAAGTGGAAAATTTGTAAAATCGGAAAATTAACAAATCGAAAAATTGTAAAATCAAAAATTTGCTCCTCGAGGAATTGATCAGTGAAAATATTGAAAAAACCAAAAATTCTAAACAAAAATTGTAAAATCAAAAAATTGCAAACTGAAAAATTGAAGAAACGAGAAATTGAAAACTCGAAAAATTAAAAATTGGCAAAGTGAAAATGGAAATATCCAAAAATAGAAAAACGAAAAACTGAAAAATGGGCAGGTTGAAAAAACAAACATTTAAAATAGAATCTATAAATTCGAAATTCGAAAAATTGACAGATTGCAATTAGAAAAGTTGAAAAATCGAAAAATTCTAGAGTCGAAAAATTGTATAATTATAAAATCGGAAAATTAACAAATGGAAAAATTGCAAATTCAAAAATTTGAACGTCGAAAAATTGAACAAAAGAAACATTGAAAAATCGAAAAATTAAAAATCAGGAAATTGAAAAATGGAAATACTGAAAAAACGAAAAATTGTAAAAATGAGAAATTGAAAAATTGTTAAAATAAGAAATTGAAAAATTGTACAATTGTAAAATCGAAAAATTGCCAGTCGAAAAGGAATTGAAATAGAAAAACTAAAAATTCAGAAATTGAAAAACCGAAAAAAGTAAAATCGAAAAAATGTAAAATGAAAAATTTCTTAATCGAAAATTTGAACAAACGAAAAACTGAAAAATCGAAAAAAGGAAAAAAATCTAAATGTCTAAAAATTGACAAATTGTAAAATAATGAAAATCAAAAATTTGTTAATCGAAAAAGGAAAAATTGAAATGTCTAAAAATTTTAAAATTGCAAAATTAAAAAAATGCAGATCAAAGAAACAAAAATTAAAAATCAAATAATTGAAAAATTCAAAAGTTGGGATGAATATGGGTGGAGCTTAATTTTTGACTTGTTTTTTCTTAAAACACATAGTATTTGAACAACACGATACTCAATAACATGTTTTTTATTTCTTGTTGAGAAATAAGGATTTTGCAATTAAGCTCCACCCCTAGGCATACGACGAATAAAAAAAAATCATCAGAATTGAGATGGGGCGGGTGGGCGGGGCTTATATTTCGCTTTTTTTTTCTTTAAAAATAAAAAAATTAAAAAATCGAAAAATTGACAGTCAAAAAAAAAACGAAAAACTAAAAATGCAGAAATTGAAAAAATTGAAAAATTGTAAAATTGAAAAATCAAAAAATTAAAAAGCGAGAAAATGAAAAATCGAAAGTATAGAAAGTTAAAAAAATGAAAATTGTAAAGTCAGAAAAACAAAAAATGGAAAAATTGTAAATCCGAAAAACTGCAAATAGAAAAAATGGAAAATCAAAAATTTCTTGATTGAAAATTTGAATAAACGAAAAACTGAAAAATTAAAAAATCGAAAAAAGGAAAAAAAAATCAAATGTCTAAAAATTGACAAATTGTAAAATAAAAAATTGCAAATTGAAGAAACAAAAATTAAAAATCCCATTATTGAAAAAGAAAATTGTAAAATCGTAAAATTGCAGATCGAAAAATTCAATAATTTAAAAATTAAAAAGTTGAAAAATCAATAATTTAATCATATAAAATTGAAAACTTACAAATCGCGTAACTGAAAAATGAAAATATTGAAACGAAAAATTTTAAAAACCAAAAATTCGAAAAGTCGAAAAATTGTAAAAAACTGAAAAATTGAAGGAACGAGAACTCGAAAAAAATAAAAAATCGTGAACTGAGAAATGGAAATACCGAAAAAACGAAAAATTGAAAAAACAAAAAATTGTAAAATTCAAATACCGAAAAACTGAAGCACGAAATATTGTTAATTCTAAAAAGTGAAAAATCGCCAGGTTGCAAAAACAAAAACTTAAAATAGCATCTATAAACTCGAAATTCGAAAAATTGACACATTGCAAATCGAAAAATTCAAATCCAAAAATTGTAAAATCAAAAATTTGCTCGTTGAGAAATTGCAAACTGAACAATTGAAGAAACGAGAAATTGGAAACTCGAAAAATTAAAAATGGGTAAACTGAAAAATGGAAATATCCGAAAATAGAAAAACGAAAAACTGAAAAATCGGCAAGTTGAAAAAACAAAAATTTAAAATAGGATCTATAAATTCGAAATTCGAAAAATTGACAGATTGCAAATAGAAAAATTGAAAAGTCGAAAAAAAAAATTTCACTTGTAAAAAAAGTTGCGAAAAAATTCAAGGACATAGATCTACGACGGCGAATTTACAAAAATTCGCATTTCATAGCGATTCTTTCAGAAATATTGCTCCGTGACCATCAACACTCAATATTTTTGGAATCAGTATCTCGAGGTCTACGTCCCTGATTTTTTTCGCAATTTTTAGACAACTTTTTTAAAAAGGAGATTTTCCCAATGGTCCCTCCTTCTTCAAATTTCGGCCAATTTTTGACATTTTTGAAGCTTAACTAAATACATTTTCTTTACGGTATTTTGTATTAACCAGGACCTTCTGCCTCCCTCGGAAACTAAGTTAGATCCCAGAATGGGTACCCAACACGATAAGAGGAAACTGATCGAAACCTTTGAACAGTTCGGCTTTAGAATCGAAACCGCAGACAATTTAACCCATTCAGACATACCCAAAGAAATTGAGAAAGTCATGAACTCCATCACGACCGAATCTAGCTTTTTCGTGTGCATCATGTCCCACGGGGACGAAGGTAAACCTCAATATCTTATATCAATATTATCATTATTATTATTATTGTTAATGTTGTTCAACAGGCGTCATCTATGGCGTCAACAGTTGCCGCGTCCACGTGAAGAAGCTCAAAAACCTTCTGTGCAGCAAAAACCGACGCAATCTTTCCGGCAAACCTAAAGTTTTGATTCTTCAGTCGTGCCAAGGCACCAGGTGCCAACCCAGTAATAAAATAATAAACCCGACGTGACAAGAAACCTAATTTTGGTTTTCTAGTTGCCTCGTTCGAGCCAGACAACGATAATATTGTCATAGACGGCCCTTCCATGTCCACGTCTGAGGTGATTCCACCGCTTGCCGATCTGTTCACGTTCTGGGCAACCGTACCAGGTTATGGTGCCATAAGGAATAAGAAAACTGGGTCGTGGTTTATACAGTCGCTGTGTGAAAAGCTGACCACTCTTGGGGATAAGTATGTGGGAACGACGGGTTGAAGGGTCTCTAGGGGGTGTTTTTAGGCACCATTTCGAGGATATTTGTACGTCGGTTGTGAGGGATGTGAGCAGTAAAAAGTGGTCACAGATTAAGGAGGAGGTGGCCATGGTGCCGTCGAAGGACAGCACTTTCAGGAAGCTGTTTTATTTTCCGCCCATTAGGAAGTAGCTTTTGTATCGATAAATGCGCGTTATGACTTGATTTCTGTGTTTTTATTATAAATAATGATTTAATGTTAGCTTTTATTGTTAATTATGATCAGCTAACTTTGACACAAGAATCACGCAACAAATTTTCAGCAGATTATTTTCACTAGCATTGAGTGATTTTCGCCTTTCTGTACTCTTTCATAAAAGTCACAGTTCGTTAAAATAGTGTGGTTATGTTGAAATTGTCACATCTCAGGTGTCCTCTGTTACGTGAGATAATATAATTAGTTTTTTTTGTTTGACGAAGTGTCAAATATAGTTGATCATATGGTATTTAAATAAAAGTATGATATATTCAAACGAAAATTAAGTACCCATATTTAGTAAATATTATATGTTTTACATAAGTACTTCTAATATTGTTATTTTACACTAAAGTCGCCTTAAAGGTACAAGGTTTTTTTAATTAGTGTTAATTTCACGTTGATAAATGTGTCTTATTATTATAAGAAAATAATGAAATTTGAATTATGGCTTTGATAAAAAAGTCCCCAGTTGAATATCCCTAAGTCATAGATCATGTCCTTTTTTTCCACCCGTGTTTTCCGCAACCAAACTCAATTTTTTTTTTTAGGAAAATGCGTTCAATATTACCGCCGACAAAGGTTTGTCTGTAATACAAATACATTTGTGTCTGTAACTTACCCACATTCACACTTTTCCTTTCGGATCACGTACTATCGATAGTCGCAGCAAACGTGTCAATAAATTTGGGGATTTGCGTCATAACGTTGGTGGGCATTAAAGGGGAAGCCCCTTTAGGTGTGTCAGCTGTGCTGTGCATTTCCAAATAATCCAAAAATAAAAAAAATGGGTGCAATGTTGTCCAATGAAAACAACGACGACTATTTGCAAGACAGTTCATACTCTGAAGACGAAGAAAATTCAACCAATGAAGCACCCCATAGAAGAATTTCTCCGATCTATGATAAAATCGGTAAAAACAATTCCTAATACAAACCAAACATAACCCCACTTTTGAACCTATCAGAGCCCCCTTAATTCCAGACTTAACCAACAATATTTGCTTGGACTCCCCAACAGATACTACAGATGCGGCCCCTCCGACTGCCACAATGGCGACCACTTTGACAGTAGATCAAGTGATGGTGGTGGAGGATCACCTTGACATCTTTGAAAAAGTGTCTTTGGTGTATTTGCTGTACGATAATCCCGCTGTAGCTCTAAAACTCTTGACTAAGTTGGTTAATGGCAGCAACGACAAGCTTATCCATAACTGGACCATTTTCCAAAACATAAAAAAGTCAAAGTGGCAAGAAGAGCTTGAGGAGGCTCTTTACATTATACAGAATTACGAAGTCTTGAGGATGTTGGGTTTTGCAAAAACCGACCTAGATGTAAAATTTCCGCCGCATTTTTGCTTTGATAAAATATATGTCAACAAAATCCGAAAAGTTCTATACCGTTTGTGTGACGCTTTTGATTCTACAGATGGCGAAAATTTGTTAAGGTTAGTTCACACAGACTTTCAGAAGAAGGGGTTTAATTTTACAGTGTATAACCCGGAATATTTGGAGCTGTATTTGTTACACTGGGAGAGCTTAGGGTACATTAAGCAAGATAATTTGAGTAATCTGTGCAACATTTTAAATGTTATGGAGCAGCTGGATTGGTGTGACGTATTGAAACAGTTATTTCCAGCTGTGGGTACGCGCGTCAGCGAAAAAACAAAAACATCGACTTTGTTCTCGTTTCAGTCGTCTCAAAGTACTCAGATTAGTGTAGATAAGAATGCAAATTATGATACTATTGAAAAATATGATGTTGACCCTAAGTCCCCAGGGGTCTGTTTAATTATTAACCAAGAATATTTTTACCGGGAGATAGAGCCAGATCTTCAGGTAAGTTTTGACCCTAGAATTGGGGTCTTAGTACTATTAGTTTTTTTGTTCGTCGTTGCTTTAATGTCATTTATCTTCGTTTATTTAAACGTCTACACTAGAACACTGCTCTCTTTGATATTCGTGTCCTCTTTGTTTATTTCCCCTAGTCTCAATTTGAAGTCAATGTTATAATTAGGGTTCACTTGCAAACTCCTTGGTCAGAAGTGCTAAAAGTCTGTTTCTTTGTTTCTTCAAAATAATTTACACGTAGCGGAAGCGGAGTGCGCGGTTCCTTGTCGAGCTGGCACCCGCGCCAACTGCACAAAAGATGCAGCTCTTGAATAGAAGTCAGGAACGATCGGGGTGACGTGACGCTGTCACCTTATCTATCCCCGCTTAGCTCGGCACGTTTCTTCGTTAGATAGAGTAGAATCACCGTCATGGGGGGAGAACAGCCACGACCAGGAGCCCCAAACTCCGCTCGTGCTACAACGCTCCCTGTGGGGAATTCTACTGTCTTCCAGAATGAAATTGGGATAGTTCATCGCCACACTCTCATATGACTCTGGTGCCGCTACCGCTGCAGAGAGTTTTTTATTAAAATGTGGTTTTTTGTTGACTGCCACAATTTAAATTTTGTAGCTGAGCATTAACCGGCACAACTTAGTCGCAACTTTTTTTTTTGCTTTTTTTGTCAGTGGAGGAATAAATAAATTTCAATTCAGGACACCACAACATTGACTTTCCTTTTCCTTAACGCCGAACTTACTAATACTAACTGCTTCAGTTTGAGCAATCATCACTCCTTCTTCTCTCTTTTTTGTCTCAATCGACCTGTTATCAGAAGGTTCTAGACCAAATTTTGTGCTTTTCCTGGATTACTCAAAGGAAGCGAAGCCCCATAAAGATACCTAACAATCAGTAAACAGCTTAATTGCAAGATCCATATTTGTCTAGAACAATTTACCATTTTAAACACATTTTAAGCTTCTGAAAAAACGACTGCGTATATTAAGACAAAGACAAAATAGAAGCCCCACCCACCCGCCCTGTCTCAATTCTGATGATTTTTTTTTATTCGTCGTACGCTGAGGGGTGGAGCTTAATTGTAAAATCCTTATTTTTCTACGAAAAATTACCATGCGAAATATGTTCTTAAGTAATCGTGTTATACAAAGAAAACTAAATGTATTAATTAAAAAAAAAAAAACAAAAGTGAAGCCCCACCCATCTGTCTCGATCTCAATCGTGATGAATTTTCCACTCGTAGTCAGAGCGAGGGGCGGAGCGTAATTACAAAAATGACGTTTCCCTACCAAATTTACCATTTTAAACATATTTTAAGTTTCTTGTTGCCGAAATAAGTCTACACATATTGAGAAAAAAAGGCAAAATGTAGCCCCGCCCACCCGCCCTATTTCAATTGCGATGATTTTTTTTAATTCGTTGTGAGCCATGGGGACAGAGCTTAACTGCAAAATCCTTATTTCTCTGCGAGAAATTAAAAATATGTTTGTGAGTGTTTTCAAAGAATACTATGTATATTAAGAAAAATAAAGCTAAAGATTAGGTCCCACCCATACGCGCCACGATCTCAATTCTCAATTGTGATGAATTTTTGATTCGTTGTCAGATCGAGGGGCGGGGCTTAATTGCAAGATCCATATTTGTCTACAAGAATTTGCCATTTTAAACATGTTTTAAGTTTCTTGTTCTGAAAAAACGACTGCGTATATTAAGAAAAACAGACAAAATGTTTATATAACACTCACTTATGTGGTAGGGTTTACAGTTTAAAGTTTTATTCTTATTTCATTTTATGGTATGTTTTGTTTTTCTTATTAGTTTTTCGTTATGTTTAATTAATATAGTCCTACTATTGGAAGATTCTGTTGGGCAATTAAATTTTTTATTTATTTATTTATTTAATTGTGATGTTTTTTTTAATCGTCGAGTCAAAGGAGCGGAATTCAATTACAAAATTCTTATTATTTCTCTACTAGAAATTACTATGTAAGACATGTTTTTGAGTATCGTTTTATTCAACGAATACTAACTATGTATATTAAGAAAAAATTAAAGCCAAAGATAAAGTCCCACTCATACCTGCTCTGATCTAAATAGTAATCAAGTTTTCATTAACTGGCAGATTTAGGGGCGGAGCCTAATTGCAAAATCCATATTGCCTTACATAAATTTAAAATTTTAAACGTGTTTCAAGTTTCTAAGAATAAAAAAATCATCACAATTGAGAGGGGGTGGGTGGGCGGGGTTTCTATTTTGCATTTTTTTTTCTTAATATACATAGTATTCTTTGGACAACACGATACGCAAAAACATGTTCTTAATTTCTTGTAAAGAAATAAGTATTTTGCAGTTATGCTCCGCCCTCTTGGTTAACGGCGAATAAAAAAATCATTACAGTTGAGACAGGGTGGGTGGGCGGGCTTACATTTTGTCTTTTTGTTTTAATATGTGTACACTTCATTTCACAACATGAAACTTAATACATGTTTAAAATGGAAAATTTGTATAAGGAAATATCGATTTTGCAATTAGGCTCCGCCCCGAGGGGTAAACCGCCGACCATCAAGTGTACAATTGATTTCCTTTTGACAATGATTTCCTGTTGATTTCCCCCGATTTCTTTTGATTTCCTCTGATTTCCTTTGATTTGCTGTAATTTCCTCTTGATTTCCTATGATTTCCTGTGATTTCCTCTTGATTTCCTGTAATTTCCTCTTGATTTCCTATGATTTCCTGTGATTTCCTCTTGATTTCCTATGATTTCCTTTTGATTTCCTCAAAATTTGTTTACATAATGTACTACAGGATGATTGTTAACTTTTTTTTAACTTGACTTTTTTTGTTTTGCCGATAATGATGTTGAATTTAAACCTTTTTTTACCAAGTGTTTACTAACGTACGGTGACTAGGTAAGCTGCAGTGCTTTCCCTTTAGACGAAAAAAATAAATAAATAAAATGTATTGTGCTGCTAAGCAACAATCTGAAATGTTTAAGAAAAAAAATCAGATTTTACTTACAAAAAGAACGCTACTCTAAAATCGAGGTTTTAGATGTCTAAATCAATAGAGTAAGTAGGTATACGTTCGAATTTTACACTTTCTTGGGTCAAATGTTTGTTCTAAAAGTGGACATATGCAATATTCTAGATTTTTTGCACATTCAGTTAGAAAACTTTATGGTCTATTTTAATTTTGAATTTAAAAATGTCTGGTGTGTACAAATTAGTTCGTTTAAATCACTCAAAGATTTAATAATTTATATTATATATTATTATTAAGTTTTTAATAAATTATATTATGAAATTTTGCTTTTGACTTTACGAAATTAAAAGCACATAAAGGCCAAGGATATTTTTAGTTATGTCAGCAGTTTTTACTTATCAGTGACTCATAAGGCAACAACGACTGGCTCATACGTTCGCAGAGGTAATTAATGAATACCCAATAGTCCAAAATCATTCTATTAGGTGCATCCTTGTGTTGTGCATGTTAAAATTTGACCTACTAAATCAAACTTATAATAATAACTTAAGTCATTACTCATTACTTTTTAAAAATTGGGTTTATTCATTTATTATGGTAGCATAAACAGAAAAAACAAGTAGTTTCATTTATTTTATTAAATGTTAAAAAAAAAGGTAACTCTAAACATAAAAGTAAATCATTTCTGTTGGATCATAACAAAATATCACAAAATAAAACAACTTATTAAAAAATACTTACCCCATAACCTGGGTCGAGATTTGTGTATATATTGTAGATGATGTTGAAGTAAAAAACTGTGCTAAATTCTAGCTACCCATAAATACAGATGATAACACTTTTAATTTTTTGTTCACAACTTTCAAATGAAGCATATTAGAAAAAAACTTTTGAAATGCAAAATTTAACACGTAAGAATTTTTTTTGCACAATAAAGGAGTGGGTAACACCATTTGATAAATTTTCAAAGGTAATTTTCCCCTTTAAAAGTGTTCATGGGCACCTAGAATTTTGCACAGTTTCTTACTTTAGTATTCTCTACGATATATACTTGTACAAATCTCGACCCAGGTTGAGGTTACATTATCACAAATTTTAATCACATCATTTAAAAAAAAACTAGAATTAAATCAAATATTTTTTCAATAATTTTTTTTCAAAAACTAAACTGCCTCTTCTGAGTACCTGAGGTGGAGGTAGTTTCATTATATATTCATTTTCTTGGATCTCCCACTGATCTTTAATGACCGGAAACATAAAAGCATCCGGAATTTTTGGATTCCTTTTCAAAAAATCACAAAAAATATGGTTAAGTGATAACACTTTACCAATGTAACATTTTTTGTTTTGTTTTTAAGTTGTTAATTGTACTATAATATAATCGTCTATATTTAAGTCTGGTTTAGAACGATCAGTCCTACTATTTTCAGCCTTGAGATTCAAACGAGGATTCAAATCATCAGAATAATTGGAAGAATTCAAACTTTCGGTGTCCGTGCTGTCATCATATTCGATACTACTTGGGTTGTCTAAATCAGATGAGTCGCTTGATATATTATAACGTCTTTTTTGTTTTCCAATTTGGACTGGTTTTTGAATTTGAGATGCATCTTTATATTGAAGGCAGGTATCTGTTTCTGAGTTAACTCTACTACTATTACATTTCTTATTTTGAATAAATCTTTTGAGACGATCCACACTGACGCGATTCTTTTCATTGTCTAACAGCCAGCAAAGTGAAGACTTTTTTTATAACTTTTGTTGTATTATCTAAGCGTATTCTGACTAGATCACCTTTCTCAACAAAAATATCGTCAATATCAAAACTTCTAAGGTGTATATCTCTGTCAAATTTCTTAGATTTGTACGAAATTGTGCAAAGATCATTCAGTAAATCTTCATCTTGGTCAACTGGATCGTTTTCCAAACTTTGAAAATAGTTACGTTTCATGGCTATTTGAGAATTGTTGTAATTTTCAATGTGATCGCACTGTTTTTCACTAAACATTTCATCTTCAACTTCATTGCATTCATTGTCTTTACACGGAGGCAAAAATACATAGTTGAAATCTATCACTTTCATTGCTAAATCTTTAGTGTCACGCAGACAATCCCGTAAAGCTGATTCTACGGTGCTTTGTATATCTTTATCTGAAATGTTTTCTAAGACATCATTTTTCACAAAATCTCTCTTCATGATTGAACTTTTTTTCCTGATTTCTCTAGGAAAACGAATTTTTTATCCAAATCGTTTTTAATGTGGTTTATAGTTTGCAGTCTGCAACATATCTCTTATACTAAAATTAACAATTGTGCTAAAAGTTGAGGTCATTGATCTAAGGCTTCTAAACATACTCTCACAAGTTTGAGAGCTAAACTTCCAAGGCAAGAACATATCATCAGTAAGATTACTTTTTTGAAAAATTTTAATTATTTTTATTAATGCGTGTCCATTGAGTTCAACGCATGTGTAGCAGTTGGAAGATAAAAAGTTATCTTTTACTGTATACTGTCTTTGGTCCTTAATCCATTTTTTCCATATTCGTAGGAAAAATATGCAATACCAAATGTTATATGTATATCCTTTCTAACATAGATAACGTTTTGTCCAGGAATGCTGCCGATATAAGATACATTAGTTTGAAATAAGCTGTTGTTCCTGCACTATTGTCAATGTTGTCGGCTATCATTTTTCTTACTTCCGGGCTACACACTTTTTCTGCCGCTGCATAGTTCATTTTGTCTTCTGCTTTCAAATCCGTTATTGTTAGCATATGTTGATCTTTGGTGTAATTTTTTACTAATATTTCAAGGTAAGCAACTGTAGCAACGTTATTCCCTAGAGGTAATATTGAGTCTGATTTTAAACCTAGAATTGAAATTCCATACTTTTGGGCATCTTTCTGCATAATGGCAAATCTTTTTTTGACGTTTTGATAAGTAAATTTATTGTTGGTCCCAAAAATGGTCAGGCAGTACGGAGGAGAATAATTATCAGATAGAGGTTGTGCCACAATTATGTACGCATAATGAGCTTTTGTTCCAGTCTTGAAGTACTCTTGAATAGTTTGAGCGGAAGAAGCTATGTAATGGTTTGTTTCCGGTAGCCCATTTCTTAAAGGAAGCACAAATCCTACCACTTTATTAGATCGAGAGTCATATTCTATGCGACCCGTTATTCGAGTCGCATCTTCACTGATCCAAACAAATTTCTTTAAATTTCTTTCTTCTAGGAATAATTTTAATCCTTGCAAGTCCATAACACATTCGTCCAGTTTTGTACTATTTTCAGCAATGTATCTATTTAAAGAAGATATTGTAGGAATGTTGGTAAATTCGATTGCAGCGTTTCATACAATAGACGACCTCCTATGTAGTAGAGGTATAGGCAAAACTTTTTTAAAGTGGCGTTATACTTATTCTGATTACTTGATTTTGACGCATTTTTTGATGAAATGTCATGGAGCATTTGGAGAAACTCATTTATCTTTGGCCCTTCTGTATCTGGCAGTTTTTCTGTTTCATTTCTATCAAAATTGTAATATATGCTTTCTGTTAAATTGGATGTTAATTTGTTTTCACAGATAACGTTTTTAACTTGTTCTATTATGGGGAAACAGTTGGTTAATAGCTTTGATATTGATTGTTAGGAAATGATGTGCGTCTTAGGGTTTTAACATTTGTCAAATTAATTTGATAGGGAGGAAAAACTATAGTTTTGCACTACCTGATCTTAATGAATTTGGTACCTCATATCACAAACTCAATTTTTAAAAACTAATTTCGGGTGAAATTATAAATTTGGTTTGTAGGTATAAAGCAATATAATGTATCATTTCTCATCGGAACTGCACTTCATTAACTACAACTTTAATATTTGTCAAGCTGAAATATCAAGCTGTCAGTTAATGATATTATACTGGAATTTTCTATCATTATGCCCTTAAAAGGTTATTTAATCTCCACTTTTAAGATTAAATTGAAATTTTCTTTCTTATGATGAATACTATGACTTATGTCGTACATGTTACGTTTATTAGTTCTAGAAAATATCTAGTTTAACTGGATTTGCTATGATGATTTTGGATTTCCTCTGTTTTCTTGTTGATTTCTCGTTAATTTCTCATTGATTTCCTCTTGATTTCTCGTTGATTTCCTCTTGATTTCCTTTTCATTTCCTTTGATTTCCTGTGATTTCCTGTGATTTCCTGTGATTTCCTTTGATTTCCGGAGCTTAATTGTAAAATCCGCGTCATATATTAACTTTTCGTTTATAAGTTTAAAAGTGATTAAAACCAATTAGAAGTAGACAGTTTGAATTTCAATCACAAAAAAGACGATAATGCTCATCATACGGCTTCTAGACAGCATTGTGAGTCCCTGGAGAACTCTTCGAAAATCGAGGAAATGCGATGATTCATGGAAGCGGTTCCAGATGGAATTCAACCGACACTAGAATGTCGAACTTCATGCTCGAAAATTTTAAACAAGGATGGAGAGATTCGGGATTTAGGCCCTCTGTTTTCATAAACGAAGTTCAAACTGAGCACTAGAAAGTCCCACAAGGACACTGTGTGATTTGGGTCTAATTTCCTCCGGCACAATTAAATTCCTAGTCAAAAATACTAAAATTGTTCTAATATCTTTATGCCATTATACTTTTATTTGAAAATATGTATAAGTAAATTCACCTCATTCTTGACATCTTCATTCGCCGGCCTCAATTCTTTACTGTATTTTATATTAACCAGGAACTTCTGCCTCCCGCGGGTACTATATTAGATACCAGAACGGGTACCGAACACGATAAGAAGAAACTAATCGAAACCTTTCAACAGTTCGGCTTTAGAATCGAAACCGAAGACAATTTAACCCATTCAGACATATCCAAAGAAATTGAGAAAGTCATGAACTCCATCACGACCGAATCTAGCCTTTTCGTGTGCATCATGTCCCACGGGGACGAAGGTAAACCTCAATATCTTATATCAATATTATCATTATTATTATTATTGTTAATGTTGTTCAACAGGCGTGATCTATGGCGTCAACAGTTGCCGCGTCCCCGTGAAGGAGCTCGAAATTCTGCTGTGCAGCAAAAACCGACGCTACCTTTGTGGCAAACCCAAAGTTTTGATTCTACAGTCGTGCCAAGGCACCAACTTCCAATGCAGTAATAAAATAGGAAATTCGACGTGACGATAACCTAATTTTGATGCTCTAGTTGCCGCGGCCGAGCCAGACAACGATAACATTGTCATGGACGGCCCTTCTGAGGTGATTCCACCGCTTGCCGATCTGTTCACGTTCTGGGCAACCGTACCAGGTTATGGTGCCATAAGAGATATGAAGACTGGGTCATGGTTCATACAGTCACTGTGTGAAAAGATAATCACTCTTGCGGACAAGTATGTAGGAATGATGGGTTGGAAGGAGGGTTTCTAGGGGACGTTTTAGGTACCATTTTGAGGACATCTGCACGGCGGTTATTCAAGACGTGAGCAGTAAAACGTGCGTACGGAATAACGAGAGAGTGGCGATGGTGCCTAAGAAGGAAAACACTCCCAGGAAGTTGTTTTATTTTCCGCCCATTAGGAAGTAGCTGTTGTATCTGTAATACGTGTGTTAAGGGTTGATTTTTACTGTTTTTGTTATGAGTGGTTTAAATGTCTTAAATAAAATTTATTTATTTTTTTTTTGCTAAACGATTGCTCCGATTCCGGCAAACACCGGTGAAACGTTTCTTGAAAACACACTCATAGGAGTTACATTATCGAGAATACAAACTATCAGTGCGACAAACATTAATTTTGGGGGACGTCCTTGACACTCGTCAATATTCGTGACTTAAAAGATTATACAGTGGAATTAGATTAAACTGTTAAGCGGGTTTATACACACAATTTTATTCATAAATAAACATGGGCGCAGTGCGTAAACTACTGGTGCTTATCGCTGTATTATTCGTATTTGTGGGACACAAAATAAACAATTTATTGCAACCTCGGCCTCCGCCTAAATTAGAAGAGACATGGTGGGGTGATGGAGATCCGTGGAGACAAGATACATCAATCCGTCCTTTCAAAATCAATGTGTCCGAGCAAGTTAGTATATTATTTAAACTAATTTTGTGATAACGGTGCAGCTTTTAACAAAAAACTGAAAATTCTAGACGTTTTAACGCTCATCATATTTTCTACATTTTAGATAGGATTTATTCGGCAAACTTTTGAGGTGACGTCATCAATTTTTTGGAGGGGACAAGCAAATATATTTTGAATAAAAACTTATCATGCTTATCGTAACTGTAAACCATCTGCAAGATTTCAAAGCATTCGGTTTTGCAGATTCCAAATTAATGTCAAAATGTTATTTCCTAATTTTTATTTATTTTTTTTTTCCAAAAATCTGGACGTTTCGGGTAAAATTTCAATTCGGAGTAATAAACTACATGCGTGAGACTGTTATTTGATACAATTGAAAACCCATTTACTAAGTACATTTTACCAGAGAACATAGAGAAGCGTCATAGTTTAAATTAAATGACGGTTGAGGACTCCTCGACTTATGTTGGCAACAGTGTTTGTTTCTAACTAGAAATAAAATTAACTAGAAAAAATGTCATCATATTTTTAACAACGCGTTTTGCTTTGGACAAATTCAGGCCAATGTCGACTCTAAGCGTTCGGAAACGATTTGATTTATAAGCCATGATCCGTGATCTCATACACATCCTAACCGGTTTCGACCATAATTTCTGCTGTTTCAACTTTCGAATTCTCAGATTTTCGAAATTTTAGTTTGGGGACTTTTCAGTTTACTCCTATTTATTTTTCAATTTTTTGATTTTTCGATTTCTCAATTTTTCGATTCTTTAGATGATCAATTTTTGGAGATTTCAGTTTTGGGATTTTTCAGTTTTTCGATTCGTCAGTTTTTCTTTCATTTTTCAGTTTTTCGATATTTCAGTTTTGGGATTTTTCAATATTTCTGTTCGACTTTTCCATTTTTGACTTCTGGGTTTTTCGATGTGTCAACTTTTTACTTTTTCGATTTTTAAATTTTAGGTTTCTCAATTTTTTGGTATTTTAATTTTTCAATATTTAAAATTTTACATTTTTCGATTTCTCGATTTTTCAGTTCAGCTCTTCCATATTTCAATTTTTCAAATGTATGGATTTCTTAATCTTTCGACTTTTCGACTTCATGGTTTTAGATTTTCTGTCTTCAATTGTCGTTTCAAATTTTTCGATTTTTCAATGTTTTGATTTCCCGATTTAGTTTCCCATTTTTATTTTTTATTTTATTTTTCAGTTTTTCGATATTTCAGTTTTGGGATTTTTAAATATTTCGATTCTTCAATTTTTGACTTTTATAAACTCTTTATTTGTCGATTTTTCAATTAATTGATTTTTCAGGTTTTTTGGTTTTTCAATTTTTCTATTTTTTGAGGTTTCATTTTTTCAATTTCACTTTTTTGATTTTTCAATTTTTTCATTTCTCAGTTTTTGGACATTTCACTTTTGGGAATTTTCAGTTTACTTATTATTCAATATTTCCATTTTTTTAAGGTTTCTATTTTTTGATTTCACTTTTTCGATTTTCGATTTTTCAGTTTTTAGATATTTCAGTTTTAGGATTTTTCAATTCTTCGGCTTTCGGCTTTTCTATTTTGCCTTCTGGATTTTTCGATGTGTCTACCTTTTTACTTTTTCGATTTTTCAATTTTTGGATTTTTAAATTTTAGATTTTTCAACCCTTTCCAACATTTCTTAATCTTTCGATTTTTCGACTTCCTGGTTTTAAATGTTCTGTTTTTCAATTTTTCGATTTGTTAATTTTTCATTCCCGATTTATCGAGATTTGATTGTTCTGGTTTCCGATTTATCATTTTGTCAATTTTTTATTTTGGCCTAATTCGGTTTCTTAGTTTTTCCAGTTTTCCATTTTTTCGTTTTCTGATTTTTCTGCTTTTCCAATTTTTCAACTTTTAACTTTTTGTTTGTCGATTTCTCTATTTTTCGATTTTTCGACTTCATCACTTTTCGATTTTTCGTTCTTTGGATCTTTCAATCTCTCAATTTTTCAATTTTTCGAATTTTTAAGTTTTTTGATTTCTCGATTTATCGAGATTTGGATTTTTCAATATTTTGATTGTCAATTTCTCAATTTATAAATTGTTCAATTTTTAACTTTGTTCGACTTTTCGACTCCATTTGACATTTAGTAACTGTCAATGTTTCTATTTTTCAATTAATCGATGTTTTGATTTTCCCATTTCTTGACTTTCGAGGGTTTCGATATTCTTGTTCAATTCTTCAATGTTTCGATTTTTCAGGTTTTTGATTTTTTATTTTTTAATTTTTTTAAGGTTTCAATCTTTCTACTTCACTTTTTGGATTTTTCTATTGCTCAATTTTTCAGGTTTTCCATTTTACGGTTTTTCTTTCATTTTTCAGTTTTTCGATAGTTCAGTTTTGGGATTTCTCAATATTTCGACTCTTCGACCTTTCGATTTTTGACTCCTGGATTTTTCGATATGTCGATTTTTCAGTTTTTCGATTTTTCAATTTTTCGATTTTTAAATTTTAGATTTTTTAATTTTTAAAATTCTAGATTTTTGGATCTCCCGTTTTTTCATTTCAGTTCTTCGATATTTCAATTTTTCAAGTTTTCGAATTTTTCAAATGTTTCGATTTCTTAATCTCTTCATTTTTCCACTTCCCGGTTTTAGATTTTCTGTTTTTCAATTGTCGTTTTTTCAATTTTTCGATTTTTAAATTTTAGATTTTTGAGTTTTTTGATATTTTAATTTTTCAATATTTAAAATTTTAGATTTTTCGATTTCCCGATTTTTCATTTCAGTTCTTCGATATTTCAGTTTTTCAAGTTTTCGAATTTTTCAAATGTTTTGATTTCTTAATCAATTGATTTTTCGACTTCCCGGTTTCAGATTTTCTGTTTTTCAATTTTGTCGTTTTTTCAAATTTTCGAATTTTTAATTTTTCAAATTTGACTTTTATAAACTGTCAGTTTTTCGATTTTTCAATTAATGGATGTTTTGATTTTCCCATTTCTTGACTTTCGAGTGTTTCGATATTCTTGTTCAATTCTTCAATTTTTCCATTTTTCAGGTTTTTGATTTTTTATTTTTTTAAGGTTTCAATTTTTCGACTTCACTTTTTGGATTTTTCTATTGCTCAATTTTTCGACTTTTTAGGTTCTCAGTTTTTGGATATTTCAGTTTTCGGATTTTTCAATATTTTGATTCTTCGACTTCGATTTTTGGCTTCTGGAGTTTTCGATGTGTCGATTTTTTTACTTTTTCGATTTTTCAATTTTTCGATCGTTTAATCTTTCGATTTTTCGACTTCCTGGTTTTAGATTTTCTGTTTTCAATTGTTTTAAATTTTTCGATTTTTCAATGTTTTGATTTCCCAATTTAGTTTCCCATTTTTAGTTTTTCTTTCATTTTTCAGTTTTTCGATATTTCAGTTTTGGGATTTTTCAATATTTCGATTCTTCGACTTTTCGATTTTTGACTCCTGGATTTCGACTTTTTTACTTTTTCGATTTTTCAATTTTTCCATTTTTAAATTTTAGATTTTTTAATTTTTAAAATTTTAGATTTTTCGGTTTCTCGATTTTTCATTTCAGTTCTTCGATATTTCAATTTTTCAAGTTTTCGAATTTTTCAAATGTTTCGATTTCTTAATCTCTTGATTTTTCGACTTCCTGGTTTTAGATTTTCTGTTTTTCAATTGTCATTTTGTCAAATTTTCGATTTTTTAATTTTTCAAATTTGACTTTTATTAGCTCTCAATTTTTCGATTTTTCAATTAATCGATGTTTTGATTTTCCCATTTCTTGACCTTCGAGTGTTTCGATTTTCCTGTTCTTCAATTCTTTAATTTTTTGATTTTTCAATTTTTCGATTTTTTAAGGTTTTTATTTTTCGACTTCACTTTTTTGATTTTTCGATTTTTCAGCTTTTAGATATTTCAGTTTAAGCATTTTTCAATTCTTCGGCTTTTCTATTTTTGCCTTCTAGATTTTTCGATGTATCCACCTTTTTACTTTTTCGATTTTTCAATTTTTGAATTTTTAAATTTTAGATTTTTCCAACTTTTTTCAATATTTCTTAATCTTTCGATTTTTCGACTTTCTGGTTTTATGTTGTGTTTTTCAATTTTTCGATTTGTTAATTTTTCATTCCCGATTTATCGAGATTTGGTTGTTCAGGTTTTCAATTTATGATTTTTTCAATTTTTTATTGTGGCCCATTTCGGTTTCTCAGTTTTTCCAGTTTTCCATTTTTCGTTTTTTGATTTTTCCGCTTTTCCAATTTTTCAACTTTTAACTTTTTGTTTGTCGATTTGTTTATTTTTCGATTTTTCAACTTCATCACTTTTCGATTTCTCGGTCTTTTGATCTTTCAATCTCTCAATTTTTCAATTTTTCGAAATTTTAAGTTTTTTGATTTCTCTGATTTTTCAATATTTTAATTGTCAATTTCTCAATTTATAAATTGTTCAATTTTTAACTTTTCGATTTTTCGATTTTGATCTATTTCGGTTTCTCGATTGTTCCGACTTTTCGACTCCACGATTTCTTGATCTTTTGATTTTTCGATTTCTCAGTTTTTCGATGTTTCGATTTTTCAGTTATCCAATTTTTTAAATTTTAGAAGTTTCGAATTCTCGATTTTTCGTTATACGAAACGGGAGACCTATTTCTTCGTCCTCTAGAGAGTCGGCCGACGGACTCGATTACAATACTTTCTTTGCTTACGCTCGGGAAGTAAAAATATTAGAATGAATTTGAAGCAATGATAAAATAGTACGTACATTTTTAATCCAAGAACTATGGAACTCCAAATCTACCAGTTTCTAAATGTAATAATCGACACAATAGCGTTCGTTCTTCGGCATGACTTGCATAAGATCGAATTCGTATTATCAATTGTGTAACAGATGGTATTAAATAACTACTTATTTAAAAAATGCTACTCATCACCGTCGTGTCACTTTCATTTAGTATCTCCTGATTCACACGTCGCAAAGTTCAAATAAAGTACTCACAAACAAAGATATAATCAAAAAAAACCGCATCATAGTCCAAAGTACCTACCTTCGAATCAAATTTAAACCTCCACAACCAAAATATTGCACATTTAAATTCCAATCTGGATAAAAAATAAACAATGTTTCACTTATCGGCTATAACAAACAGAGTAAAATAAGCGTTTTAATTGGTTGTCGGTCCTTCTCGTTCTTTCTCGTCACGTATCTAATCGTTACTTAGTTCCACTTTAAAATAATAGCTTGTGTACAAATTTCGCATTTACAATAAACGAAAAAGTGCAGTCGGTACGAACATGGGTGCTCTAGGAAAATTGTTTATAATTTTCGCCGTGTTGGTAATTTTCGTGGGATATAGACTGAACAATTTGCTGCAACCATCGCCGCCCCCAAAACTGGAAGAGAAGTGGTGGGGTCGTGGAGATCCCGCGGGAGAAGATAAATCAATTCGGACTTTTAAAGTCCACGTTGCCGATGAGGTTTGCATTTATTTGATTTTTGTTGTGTTGTGCTTCTGGTTTAAGGGAAGTTCAGTCTGATAACGCCTCCAATTCTTGCTCCTTATAGGTACTGAAAGACCTCAAGTACCGCCTAAGCCACGCCCGCCCCTTCACCCCGCCCCTCGAAGGCATCCAACAACAATACGGCATGAACACCAACCTCCTCAAAGAAATCGTGGACTTCTGGACAACCAAGTACAACTGGCGCGAGCGCGAGAAACTCTTCAACCAGTACCCCCAGTACCTCACCAGTATCCAAGGTCTCGATATCCACTACATCCACGTTAAACCCAAAGGCACCAACCTGAAGGTAGTACCCTTGCTCATGCTGCACGGCTGGCCGGGGTCCGTCCGGGAATTCTTCGACGTCATCCCTCTATTAACCACCCCTCAAACCGACAAGAACTTCGTGTTCGAGGTCATCGTGGCCGCGATTCCCGGGTACGGGTTCTCGCAGCCTGCGGTACGACCAGGTTTGAGTCCCGCTCATGCTGCTATGATTTTCAAGAACTTGATGAAGCGGTTAGGGTTTGACAGGTTCTACATACAAGGGGGCGACTTCGGGGCTATAATTTTACAGAATTTGGCGGTGTTGTACCCCGAGGTGGTACTAGGGTTTCATTCGAATATGTGTACGGTGTATACGCCGTTGAGTTACTTGAAGACGATGGTGGGGGCGGTTTGGCCTACGTTGTTTACGAAGGCGGAGCACGTGGAGAGGGTGTATCCATTGTGGGAGAGTTTTGTGCATAGGTTGCGAGAAACTGGGTACTTGCATCTGCAGGCGACGAAACCGGATACGCTTGGTACTTTTTCGTGAGTACTTTGATAGGGTGTAACGCGAATTTTTCTAGGGGTTGCTTTGAATGATTCTCCGGTGGGTCTAGCGGCTTACATTTTGGAGAAGTTTACCACTGGGACTAATATTAGTCATCAAAGTCGGGAAGACGGGGGCTTGAAGCAGTACTACGATTACGCTGACCTTCTGGATAATGTGATGCTGTACTGGATCACGGGGTCTATGCCGACTGCAGTACGACTATACTCGGAAACGTTTAACAAAAATTTCATGTCGCTGGGAACTGGGAGGTATTTAAAGCGTTGTTATCTTGTTTAATAAACTAAGGAATTAGAGTTGACCTTGTTTGTAAAAATTAGTTCGTAATTTTATTGTGTACTATACTACAAACGTGTCACAATATGACATTTCCAAAACAAAAATACCAACTGATTCTTTTCGTTGGAACGCTTCATATTTTCGAAATTTTTTTTAGAATGCCAGTTCAAGTTCCTTCTGCATGTGCGCGATTCCGGAACGACTTCTACACATCCGATGGTCTGTTGAAGGAAATTTTCCCGAATCTGCTCCATTTGTCTGACCACGAAGGAGGGCATTTTGCGGCTTTCCAGGTGCCTGACGTGTTCAGCAGAGATGTTTTCGTAGCTATTGAGAAGTTTGAAAATTTTAATTCAAATTTAGGCGCGAAGGCGTAGGTTTTTAAATAATGTACGTGTTTTTATTTTCCCAATAAAGTATTTTTTAATTAATTTGGCTTATATAAAAACCCATTTTACCATCTTAAAAACAAGGTACTAGCCCCGCCCACCCACCCTCTCTTTGCTTAGAGAGTATGTCATTTGCCAAAATAATTTTTATCTTAGCAGGTACTAGCTAAGAAAAAACCATTAAAGCATGACCAACTAAACACTAGAGATGTTCAAACTTCTTGTCTTGTGCATATAACTAAGCTCGTAATATTTCCAAATTTTTTGTAAAAGTTAGTCGTCAGTTCTTGCTAAGATAAAACTGATTTTGGCAATAACATAATCCCTAAGATAAGAGCGGGTGGGTGGGCGTTACTAGTACCTGCTAAGATAAAACTGATTTTGGCAAGAGATATCCTCAAAGAAAAGAGAGGGTGGGTGGGCGGGGCTAATACCTGCTAAGATAAGAATGACTTTAGCAAATGGCGTAGTATCTGCTCAAAAATCTAAAGATTCGAAACATTAAAATTAAAAATCGAAAGTCGAAAAATCGAAAATCCAAGTTCCTTTTTAGTTTTTCAATTTTTCGATTTTTAAAAATTTTTCATTGTTCAATCTCGACTTTTCAATTTTTAGGTTTATTGATTTTTTTTCATTTTAAAATTTTCCATTTTTCAATGTTTCACTTTTGCATTTTTTTCGATTTTTCGACTTCTCGACTTCTGGATCTTTTTTGTCAGTGTTCTTGAGTTTTTCGATGATCTGATTTTTGATTGTTCGGTTTTTCGATTTCTCGGCTTTTCAATTTTCCAATTTTTGGATATTTCAATTTTTCAGTTTTTCGATTCTTTAAGTTTCAGATTTTTCAAATTTTGGATTTTCCATTTTTCGACTTCGATTTTTAACATTTATGTTTTGAATTTTTCAATTTTTGAGCAGATACTAATCCGAAAATTAAAGAATCGAAATACCGAAAAATCCCAAAAATTGAAATTACGAAAAATTGAAAAATGAAAGGAAAATTGAAAAATTGAAAAATGCCAGAAATGAATCATCGAAAAATTGGGAAATTGAAAAAACGAAATCAGAAAAGTCGAGAGAACGAAAAATCGAAAAATTAAAATACGTAACCAAAAACTAAAAAATCTCGAAATTTAAAAATGTTGAAAAATTGAGAAATCGAAAACTTAAAAAATTAAGAAATCTAGAAATAGAGAAGTTGAGAAATTTTAATAATAAATTAACCAAGATGTCAAGAAATCGACATCAAAAAATCGTAAATTCAAAATGTTAAAAAACTGAAAAATTGAAGAATCTGAAATTTAAAAATCGAAAAATAAAAAATCCAAAACTGAAAAATTGAGAAATTGTCAAAATTCAGTGAGGAAAAATCCGGAAATTGAAACATGGAAAAATCGAGCCAAAATCAAAAAGTTGAACACTGAAAGAAAAGTTTTATAAAAAAAAACCGAAACATCGAAAAACTGAAATAACCGAAAAGTTTAAATATTCCAAAAAATATAACATCGAAGAATTGACAAATCGAGAAATCAAAAATCTAAAATTTTAAAAATTGAAAAATTACAATGTCGAAAATTCGAAAAATTCAAGAATCGAAAAATCGGAAAATTCCAAAACTGAAATTACGAAAAAATGAAAAATGAAAAGGAAAATTGAAGAATTGGAGAATCGAAAAATCCCAAAATTGAAAAATCGAAAAATTTAGAAATTGAAAAATCGGAATCCAAAAAGTCGGAAGATCAAAAAATGGAAAAATTAAAATAAACAAAAACTGATAAATCCCCACGTTTAAAAATCTTGAAAAACTGAGAAATTTGAAAATAGAAAAGTTTTCGAAATTTTAGTAAATGAATTTCAAGAAATCACAAAATCGAAAAACTGAAAATTAAAAAAAAAATTTTAAAATCGAAAAATTGAAAATTTAAAAATTCTAAAAATGTAAATTCGAAATATTGAAGAACTGAAAAATCAAAAAATCGACAAATCCAGAAAACGAAAAATTTAAAATTTTAAAATTGAAAACCCGCGGAGGATACCTCGTTTGCCAAAATCAGTCTTGACAGATTCTAGCAGGGTGAGTGGGTGTGACTAGTATCCGGTCAAAAATTGAAAAATTCAAAACATAAAAGTTAAAAATCGAAAAGTCGAAAAAACGAAAATCCAAAATTTGAAAAATCCAAAAATTAAAGAATCGAAAACTGAAAAATTGAAATATCCAAAAATTGGAAAATTTAAAAGCCGAAAAAGCGTAATTTCGAACAATCAAAAATCGAATCATCGAAAAACTCAAGAACAAAGACAAAAAAGATCTAGCAAGGGAAGTCGAGAAGTCGAAAAATCGAAAAAAATGCAAAAGTGAAACATTGAAAAATGGAAAATTTTAAAATGAAAAAAATCGATAAATCTAAAAACTGAAGTCGAGATTGCACAAAGAAAAATTTTTAAAAATCGGAAAATTCAGAAACTAAAAAATCAAAAACTGAGAAGTCGACAAATCGAAAGATCGAGATTGAAACATCAAAAATTGAAAAGTTAAAATATCGCAAATTCCAAAAATTTAAAAATCGAAAAATTCAAGAATCGAAATAACGAAAAATCACAAAAATTTAAATTACGAAAAATTGAAAAATGAAAGGAAAATTGAAGAACTGAAAAATACCAGAAGTGAAACATCGAAAAATTGGGAAATTGAAAAAACCAAATCGGAAAAGTCGAGAGAAGGAAAAATCGAAAATTTAAAATACGTAACCAAAAACTGAAAAATCTCGAAATTTAAAAATGTTTAAAAATTGAGAAATCGAAAACTTAAAAAATTGAGAAATCTAAAAATAGAGAAGTTGAGAAATTTTAATAATCAATTAGCTAAGACGTCAAGAAATCGACATCAAAAAATCGTAAAATCGAAGAATGTAAAATTTAAAAATCGAAAATTGAAAAATAAAAAAAATTGTACAATTGAAAAATCGAAATATTAAAAAATTAAAAAATCAAAAACTGAAAAATTGAGAAATTGTCAAAATTTAATGACGAAAAATCAGGAAACTGAAACATGGAAAAGTTGAAAAATCGCAAAGTCGAAAAATTGAAACATCAAAAGATCCAGAAATCGAAGTTGAGAAGTCGAAAAATCGAGCCATTGAACAGGCCAACATCGATAAGTTGAACACTGAAAAAAGAAAAGTTTTATAATAAAAAACCGAAACATCCAAAAACTGAAATAACCGAAAAATTGAAAAAAGGAAAAATCTAAAATTTAAATATTCCAAAAAAAATAACATCGAAGAATGAAAAATTGCCAAATCGGGAAATCAAAAAATCTAAAATTTTAAAAAATGATAAATTACAATGTCGGAAATTCGAAAAATTGAAAAATAGAAATATCGAAAAATTCCAGAACTGAAATTACGAAAAAAAGAAAAATGAAAATTGAAGAATTGGAGAATCGAAAAATCGAAATCCAAAAAGTCGAAACATCAAGAAATGGAAAAATTAAAATAGACAAAAACTGATCAATACCCACGTTTAAAAATTTTGAGAAACTGAAAAAAAAGTAAAATTTAAAAAATCGAAAAATTGAAAATTTAAAAATTCTAAAAATGTAAAATCGAAATATCGAATAACTAAAAAATCAAAAAATCCAGAACACGAAAAAACTAAAATTTAAAAATTGAAAAACTGAGAAATCGAAAATCCAAATTTTGAATAATTGGAAACTTGAAGAATCGAAAAACGGGAAAATTGAGAATTTGGTCAAATTCCAAAATAAAGATGACAAAACATTGGGGAATCGAAAAATTGAACAATCGAAACATTGAAAAACTGGAAAATTGAAAAGCACAAAAGTCGAAAAATCGAAAAAACGAGAAATCTTACAAACGAAGCATCGAAAAATTCAAAAACGGACACAACTAGAAGTCGAAAAATTAAGAAATCGAAATTGGCTGAAATCGAAAGACGAAAAATACCAAAACTGAAATTACAAAAAAATGAAAAATGAAAAGAAAAATTGAAGAATTGGAGAATCGAAAGATTGAAAAATCCAAAAAATGAAATATCGAAAAATTTAGAAACTGAAAAATCGAAATCCAAAAAGTCGAAAGATCAAAAAACGGAAAAATTAAAATAGACAAAAACTGAACCATCCCCAAGTTTAAAAATTTTGAAAAATTGAGAAATTTAAAAATAGAAAAGTTTTCGAAATTTTAATATAACTGAATTTCAAGAAATCACAAAATCGAAAAACTGAAAATTTAAAAAATGTAAAATTTAAAAAATCGAAAAATTGAAAATTTAAAAATTCTAAAAATGTAAAATCGAAATATCGAAGAACTGAAAAATCAAAAAATCGCCAAATCCAGAAAACGAAAAATCTAAAATTTAAATATTCCAAAAAATGAAACATCGAAGAATGAAAAATCAAATAATCTAAAATTTTAAAAATCGAAAAATTAAAAAATCCAAAACTGAAAAATTGAGAAATTGTCAAAATTTAATGAGGAAAAATCCGGAAATTGAAACATGGAAAAATTGAAAAATCGAAACATCAAAAGATCCAGAAAGGGAAGTCGACAAGTCCAAAAATCGAAAAAATGCAAAAGTTAGAAATTGAAAAATGGAAAATTTTAAAATGAAAAAAAATCGATAAATCTAAAAATAGAAAAGTTGAGATTGAACAAAGAAAAATTTAAAAAAATCGAAAAATTGAGAAACTAAATAATCAAAAACTGAAAAGTCGACAGATCGAAAGATCGAGATTGAAACATCAAAAATTGAAAAATTAAAATATGGCAAATTCCACAAATTTAAAAATCGAAAAAATGAAGAATCGAAAAATACCAGAGGTGAAACATCGAAAAACTGGGAAATTGAAAAAACGAAATCAGGAAAGTCGAGAGAACGAAAAATCGAAAAATTAAAATACGTAACCAAAAACTGAAAAATCTCGAAATTTAAAAATGTTGAAAAATTGAGAAATCGAAAACTTAAAAAATTGAGAAATCTAAAAATAGAAAAGTTGAGAAATATTAATAATCAATTAACTAAGATGTCAAGAAATCGACATCAAAAAATCGTAAAATTGAAAAATATAAAATTTAAGTGGAAAATTGAAAAATAAAAAAAATGTTAAAATAAAAAAATGGCGCAATAGAAACATGGAAAAACTGAAGAATCAAAAATGAAAAATCGAAATGTTAAAAAATTGAAAAATTGGAGAATCTGAAATTTAAAACTCCAAAAATTAAAAAATCCAAAACTGAAAAATTGACAAATTGTCAAAATTTAATGACGAAAAATCCGGAAATTGAAACATGGAAAAATTGAAAAATCGAGCCAAAATCGAAAAGTTGAACACTGAAAAAAGAAAAATTTTATAATAAAAAACCGAAACAACGAAAAACTGAAATAACCGAAAAATTGAAAAACCGAAAAATCTAAAATTTAAATATTCCAAAAAAATGTCACATCGAAGTATGAAAAATCGATAAATCCAGAAATCAAAAAATCTAAAATTTTACAAATTGAAAAATTACAATATCGAAAATTCGAAAAATTGAAGAATCGAAATATCGAAAAATTCCAAAACTGAAATTACGAAAAAATGAAAAATGAAAAGGAAAATTGAAGAATTGAAGAATCGAAAAATCCCAAAAATGAAATATCGAAAAATTTAGAAATTGAAAAATCGAAATCCAAAAAGTCGAAAGATCAAAGAATGGAAAAATTAAAATAGACCAAAACTAAAAAATCCCCAATTGAATTGAAAAATTGAAGAATCGAAAAACGGGAAAATTGAGAATTTAATCAAATTCCAAAATAAAAATGACGAAACATTGGGGAATCGAAAAATTGAAGAATCGACACATTGAAAAACTGGAAAATTGAAAAGCAGAAAAGTCGAAAAAACGAAAAAACGAGAAATGTTACAATCGAAACATCGAAAAATTCAAAAACGGACAAAACTAGAATCGAAAAATTAAGAAATGGGAATTGGCTAAAATCGAACAATTAAAAATTGAAAATTTCGACATGAAAAAAAATCGATAAATCGAAAAATCGAAAAATTAAACAATAAAAATTTAAAACATCGAAATCGCAATAAATGGAAACATCGAAAAATTGAAAAATCGAAAAACTGAAAAACCGAAAAATCAAAATCCGAGAAGTCAAAAAATCGAAAGATCGAGAAACCGAAATGTCAGAAATTGAAAAATACCAAAACTAAAATTACGAAAAAATGAAAAATAAAAAGGAAAATTGAAGAATTGGAGAATAGAAAAATCGAAAAATACCAAAAATGAAATATCGAAAAATTTAGAAATTGAAAAATCGTAATCCAAAATTCGAAAGTTCTAAAAATGGAAAAATTAAAACAGACAAAAACTGATAAATTCCCCCGTTTAAAAATTTTGAAAAATTGATAAATTTAAAAATAGAAAAGTTTTCGAAATTTTAATAATTGAAATTCAAGAAATCACAAAATCGAAAAACTGAAAATAAAGAAAATGTAAAATTTAAAAAACCGAAAAATTGAAAATTTAAAAATTCTAAAAATGCAAAATCGAAGAACTGAAAAATCAAAAAACCGACAAATCCAGAACACGAAAAATCTAAAATTTAAAAATTGAAAAACTGAGAAATCGAAAATACAAAATTTGAATAATTGGAAAATTGAAGAATCTAAAAACGGGAAAATTGAGAATTTGGTCAAATTCCCAAATAAAGAAGACGAAACATTGGGGAATCGAAAAATTGAAGAATCGAAACATTAAAAAACTGGAAAATTGAAAAGCAGAAAAGTCGAAAAATCGAAAAAACGAGAAATTCTAAAAATGTAAAATCGAAATATTGAAGGACTAAAAAAATCAAAAAAATCGACAAATCCAGAAAACGAAAAATCTAAAATTTAAAAATTGAAAAACTGAGAAATCGAAAATCCAAAATTTGAATAATCGGAAAATTGAAATACCCAAAAAATGAAAAATAGAAAAGCCGAAAAATGGAAAAACCGAACAATCAAACATCGAATTATCGAAAAACTCAAGAACACTGAGAAATCGAAACATCAAAAGATCCAGAAAGCGAAGTCCAGAAGACGAAAAATCGAAAAAAATGCAAAAGTTAAACATTGAAAAAAGAAAAATTTTTAAAAATCTAAAAATTGAAAAACTAAAAAATTAAAAACTGAGAAGTCGACAAATCGAAAGATCAAAATTGAAACATCACAAATTGAAAAACCAAAATATGGGAAATTTCAAAAATTTGAAAATCGAAAATTAGAAAAATCGAAATAACGAAAATCCCAAAAATTGAAATTACGAAAAATTGAAAAATGAAAGGAAAATTGAAGAATTGAAAAATACCAGAAGGGAAACATCGAAAAATTAAAATTAAACTAATGTTGAAAAATGAGAAATCGAAAACTTAAAAAATCAAATCGTAAAATCGAAAATGTAAAATTTAAAAAATCGAAAATTGAAAAATAAAAAATTTTAAAAATAAAAAAATGGTACAATAGAACCATCGAAAAACTGAAGAATCAAAAATGAAAAATTGAAATATTAAAAAAAAGAAAAATTGAGGAATCTGAAGTTTAAAAATCGAAAAATTATAAAATTAAAAACTGAAAAATTGAGAAACTGTCAAAATTTAATGACGAAAAATCCCGAAATTGAAAAATCGAAAAGTCGAAAAATCAAAACATCTAAAGATCTAGAAATCGAAGTTGAGAAGTCGAAAAATCGAGCCAGTTGAATAGGCCAAAATCGAAAAATTGAACACTGAAAAAAGAAAAGCTTTATAGTAAAAAACCGAAACATCGAAAAACTGAAATAACCGAAAAATTGAAAAAATGAAAAATCTAAAATTTAAAAATTCCATACAATGTAACATCGAAGAATGAAAAATTGACAAATCGGGGAATCAAAAAATCTAAAATTTTAAAAATTGAAAAATTACAATGTCAAAAATTCGAAAAATTGAAGAATCGAAATATCGAAAAATTCCAAAACTGATATTACGAAAAAATGAAGAATAAAAAGGAAAATTGAAGAATCGACAAATCAAAAAATCCCAAAAATGAAATATCGAAAGATCAAAAACTGGAAAAACTAAAATAGACAAAAACTGAAAAATCCCCACGTTTAAAAATTTTTAAAAATTGAGATATTTAAAAAAAGAAAAGTGTTCGGAATTTTAATAATTGAATATTAAGAAATCACAAAATCGAAAAACTGAAAATTGAAAAAATGTCAAATTTAAAAAATCGGATAATTGAAAAATAAAAAAACTGACAAATCCAGAAAACGAAAAATATATAATTCAAAAATTGAAATACTGAGAAATCGAAAATTCAAAATTTGAGTAACTGGAACATTGAAATATCAAAGAGCTGAAAAAAAACGCCAAATCCAGAAAACAAAACATCTAAAATTTAAAAATTGAAGACCTACCCACCCTCTTTTCTTATAGGGTATCTCATTTGCCAAAATCAGTTTTATTTTAGCAGGTACTAGCCAAGAAAAATCCATTAAAGCCTAACCAACCAAACACTAGAGATGTTCAAAATTCCTGTCTTTTTGATCAATTTTTGTAAAAGTTAGTCATCAATATTTGCTACGATAAAACTGATTTTGGCAAATGAGATAGCCTCCAAGAAAAGATGGGCGGGTGGGCGGGGCTATATATAGTTTTGGAATCGGCATGTCAAGATCTACAACCCTGAATTTTTTGAGAAGTTTTAGACGACTTTTTCAAAAATGAAATATTCCACTATGTATTTCCGACGATTTTCGAAATTAAATGAAGCACATTTTCTTGTAGATTTCGGGTCGCAGAAATCACTTCCGGCCCCATTTCTGCGATAATTTCAACCGTTTTCGACAATCTCCATTGAAATATAAATTTCAAAAAATTTAATAGAAAAACTGAAATATCAAAATGCGAAAAGTCCAAAAAACGAAAGATCGAGAATTTAACCCCGAATGTTTCGAAAATGTTTCTCCGTGACCCTAAATGCGCGATTTTGGAATCTGCTATAACCCTGAATTTTTTGAGAATTTTTAGACGATTTTTAGTAGATAGAAGCAGATAGTTTAGTAAAAATATCTAATTTGTTATGCAAATTTTAACGAAGATTAGGGTCACTGATTATGTAAAATATAAAATAGATGTAGATCTCAAACAAAAGCAGACTTTACGTAATATTTATTTTGCCTAAAACTCACCCAAAGCGCCAATTTTGACTTTTTTAGGGCCTAAAACTCAGCTAAAAAGCCTATTTTGGATTTTTTAGCCTAAAATCCGCTCTTTAGTAACCATAGGGATCTTTTGGGGAAATCAAACTGTTCAAAAACAACAAAACACCTAAATTCAAAAACAGTCTTTAATAAACTTCTCAAAACAATTCAAAAACAACAACAATAATACTGCCTATAAAACTGTAAAACTACTAGAAAACTACCGAGTTATCCGTCAGCCTTGCGATAATCTCTCTTGGAACTCAACCAGGTGGCCAACCCTATCGCTATATACGCCACACTGATCGCTACATGATAAATCCCGTAGACGAAATACTGATCTCTCGGCGCCAACGCGAACCCCACCCCTTTCGTCACCACCAGCGCCGTCAAAATCGACTGAAACGCCAACGCCACAAACGTATTCATCCCGAAAACCAACCCATAGCTATCATCGCTGATGCACTTCGCGATCTCCGCACTCGCTATAGTGATCATGAAGTGGTACACAGCCCCGAACGCTATATAGCAAATGTAGCTCAAAATCACGTACTTCGTGCGAGACGTGTACAAAATAATGAACCCGCTGAGCAACGAACACACGGTCAAGGCGAGGTCCCCTTTGACCTTCCAGTCCACGCGCAGAATCCCGGCCAGAAGGGCGCCCATGAAGCCCAACACCGTCAAAACCGACTCCACCGCGCCGTTGTAAATGGGAGTGTTAGGGTCGTCTTGGATGTCGTTCCACAGGACTTGCATGTAGCACTGGACCTGGATGTAGCCGCAAGTGGACAGAGCCCACCACAGGGACCACTTCAAGACGTACTTGTTGGCGAAGGAGTCGACGAAGTGCTTCTTCATGAGGGCGAAGGCGCTGAAGACTTTGTGGGAGCAGCGTTGGCGGTATTCGATTTCGCGGTGGAAGTAGATGGTCTTGTGGACGGAAGGGAGGAAGAGGCTCCAGAAGGTGGCTGCGAGCATTGCTGTAAAGGGTGGTTAGATTTGCGATTTGGAGGGTTGATGAGGGGCTACTGACCTGCGAAGGTTATGTAGTTGAGGTCGCGGTAGTCCGCGCTTTCGAGGGATATGAGTAACTGGGCTATGATTCCTGAGATTGCTCGACCTGCCAAGATGGCGGCGCGGGTGTGCGAGGTTACCTGTTGGTAGTAGTCTTTGGGGACTTTTGCATAGATGTAGGTGTAGTAGGCGACTTCGGTTGCCATGAACGTCCCATAGAAGACCTGTAAAGACAATGTAAAATATATTTAAAGTAGATAACCAAAGGAAAAATGCCTCTCAGCAATAATAACAAGCTTTAACTTTAAGTGTTTGTATGACTTGAATGAGTTTATCACCTCAAAACAGAGGGCTAAAATTATTAATAAAGCCACAGTCGCATAAAATGTTCTAAATACCGAAAAAATGAAGAACAGAAAAATTGAAATATCCAAAAATTGTTAAATTGAAAAACCGAACAATCAAAAATAGAATCATCGAAAAATACAGATACATAAAAAATAAACATCAAAAGATCCAGAAAGCGAAGTTGACAAGTGGAAAAATCGAAAAGTTAAACACTGAAAAATTGAAAAAAAAAAATCAAAAACTGAGAAGTCAACAAATCGAAAGATCGAGATTGAAACATCAAACACTGAAAATTTAAAATATTGAAAATTCCAAAAATTGAAATTACGAAAAATTGAAAAATGAAAGGAAAATTGAAGAATCGAAAAATCCCAAAAGTGAAACATCGAAAAATTGGAAAATGGAAAAATCAAAATCAGAAAAGTCGAAAGAACGAAAAATCGGAAAAAGTATAATTTAAAAAAAAATAAATAAATAAATAAAATAAATAAAAAAATCGTACAATACAAATATCGAAAATCGAAAAACTGAAGAATCAAAAACTGAAAAATCGGGAACTTGCAACATGAAATAATTGGAAGATCGAAAAGTCGAAAAATCGAAACACCGAATAATGAAAAATCAAATCATCGAAAAATCGAAACTTCAAAAGATCCAGAAATCGAAGTTGAGAATTCGAAAAATTGAGCCGTTGAAATAAGCCAAAATCGAAAAGCAGACCACTGAAAAAAGAAAAATTTTATAATAAAAAACCGAAACATCGAAAAACTAAAATAACCGAAAAATTGAGAAACTGAAAAATCTAAAATTCAATTGGTCCAAAAATGTAACATCGAAGAATGAAAAATTGACAAATCGAAAAATCAAAAAATCTAATATTTTAAAAATTGAAAACTTACAATGTCGAAAATTTGAAAAATTGAAGAATCGTAATTTCGAAAAATTTCAAAACTGAAATTACGAAAAAATGAAAAATGAAAGGAAAATCGAAGAGTTGAAGAATCGAAAAATCCCAAAAATGAAATATCGAAAAATTTAGAAATTGAAAAATTAAAATAGCCAAAAACTGAAAAATCCCCAAGTTTAAAAATAGAAAAGTTTTCGAAATTTTAATAATTAAATTTCAAAAAATCGCAAAATCGAAAAACTGAAAATTCAAAAAATTTAAATTTAAAAAATTGAAAATTTAAAAATTCTAAAAATGTAAAATCGAAATATCGAAGAACCGAAAAATCAAAAAATCGACAAATCCAGACAACGGAAATTCTAAAATTTAAAAATTGAAGAATCGAAAAACAGGAAAATTGAGAAATTAGCGAATTCCAAAAAAGAAATGACGAAACATTGAAAAACTGGAAAATTGAAAAGCAGAAAAGTCGAAAAATCGAAAAAACGGGAAATATTACAATCGAAACATCGAAAAATTCAAAAACACAACTAGAAGTCGAAAAAATTAAGAAATCGAAATTGGGAAAAATCGAAAAATTGAAAATTTTGAAGTAAAAAAAAAACTGGATAAATCGAAAAATTGAAAAATCGAGAAATTAAACAATAAATAATTCTTGAATCATCAAGATCTCGATAAATGGAGAAATCAAAAGATGAGAGAGAGTGATAAATGAGAGAATGAGAGAGAGAATGATAAATTGGAGAATGAGAGCGAGAGTGATAAATGGGAGAATGAGAGAGTGATAAATGGGAGAATAAGAGAGAGAGTGATAAATGGGAGAATGAGAGAGAGAGAGAGTGATAAATGAGAGAATGAGAAAGAGTGATAAATGGGAGAATGAGAGAGAGTGATAAATGGCAGAATGAGAGAGAGAGAGTGATAAATGAGAGAATGAGAAAGAGTGATAAATGGAAGAATGTGGGAGAGAGTGATAAATGGGAGAATGAGAGGGAGTGATAAATGGAAGAATGAGGGAGAGTGATAAATGGGAGAATGAGAGAGAGAGTGATAAATGGGAGAATGAGAGAGAGTGATAAATGGGAGAATGAGAGGGAGTGATAAATCGGAGAATAAGAGAGAGCGATAAATGGGAGAATGAGAGAGAGCGATAAATGGGAGAATGAGAGAGAGATTGATAAATGGGAGAATGAGAGAGAGTGATAAATGGGAGAATGAGAGGGAGTGATAAATGGAAGAATGAGGGAGAGTGATAAATGGGAGAATGAGAGAGAGAGTGATAAATGAGAGAATAAGAAAGAGTGATAAATGGGAGAATGAGAGAGGAGAGTGATAAATGAGAGAATGAGAAAAATCGTAAAGTCGAAAAATCGTCAAGTCGAAAAATCAAACAATCGAAACTTCGAAAAATTCAAAAACAGACACATCGAGAAGTCGAAAAAATTAAGAAATCCAAATTGTCCAAAATCGAAAAATTAAAGATTGAAATTTTTGAAATTAAAAAAAAATCGATAAATCGAAAAATTAAAAAATCGGGAAATTAAACAATAAAAAATTTGAAACATCTCCATAAATGGACAAATAGAAAAATTAAAAAACTGAAAATCGAAAAGGTGAAAAACCTAAAATACAAAATCCGAGAAGGTCAAAAATCGAAAGATCGAGAAATCGAAACGGAAAAGTCTAAAATTTAAAAATTCAATAAAATGAAATATCGAAGAACTGAGAAATCTAAGAATTAAAAAATCAAAAAATTAAAAAATCCAAAAAATTTAACAATTCCAAAACTGAAACATCGAAAAATTGATAAAATAAAAAAAATGAAAAAACGAAGAATCGAATAGTCAAAAAACCGTCAAGTCGAAAAATCGAAAACCCGAGAAATCAAATAAGTGAAACTTCGAAAAATTCAAAAACGGACACAATTAAGAAATCGAAATTGGCCAAAACTGAAACTTTTGAAATTAACAAAAAACCGATACATCGAAAAATTGAGAAATTAAACAATAAAAAAATTGAAACATCGAAATCTCGATGAACGGAAAAATCGAAAAACTGAAACGTCAGAAAATCGGAAAATTTTAAAACCGAAAAATGGAAAAATCTAAATATCGAAAAATCCCAAAACTCACATTTCAAAAATTAAAAAATTGAAAAAACATCTAAAAATTGATGAATCAAAAAATTGAAAAAAAAGTCCAAAAATCGTCAAGTCGAAAAATCGAAAAACCAAAAAATAAAAAAATAAATAAAAAAACAAAAATTGAAAATTTGTGAATTAAAACAAAAAAATCCAGATATCAAAAAATTGAAAAATTCAGAAATTGATGAAGCAAAGTTAGAAAAATACCAAAACAGAAATATCGAAAAGTTTAAAAATGAGAAGTCGAAAAATCGAGAAATGGAAAAATCAGGAAATCGAAAAATCTGAAAGTTAAAAAATCGAAAAATTGAAATATCGGAAAACTGAAACACCGAAAAATCAAAATCCGTCAAAAAACGGAAAAATCTAAAATTTAAAAATTAAAAAAATTGAAATATCGAAAAAGTCGCGAATCGAAAAACTTTAAAACCGAAAAATTGAAAAATCTAAAAATCGGAAAACCCTAAAACTTCGAAAAATTGAAGAAAAATGGAAAAATCCAAAAAATTGAACAATCCTAAAACTGAAACATCTAAAAATGAATATATCAAAAACTGAAAAACCGGAAATCGAAAAGTCCAAAAATCGTCACGTCGAAAAATCGAAAATCCCAAAAATTAAATATAAAAAAACAAAAATCGAAAAATTGAGAAATCGAAAATTAAAAAATCCAGATATCGAAAATTTGATAAATCGAAATATTGAAAAATCAAAGCAAAATTTGAAGACCTGAAAAATTCCAGTACTGAAATATCGCGAAAAACTGAAAAATCTGAAAGTCGAAAAATCGAGAAATTGAAAAGTTAAAAAATCGAAAAATTAAAAATGAAGTATTTAAGAAAACAATCGAATAAGCCAAAATTAAAAAAATTGGAGAAATTAAAAAAGTAAAAAATCGGAAAATAGGAAAAATGAAGGTCGAAATATTGAAAAATCCCAAAACGGAAACATCGAAAAATTGCAAAATCTAGAAATCGAAAAGACGAAAAATCGTCAAGTGGAAAAATGGAAAAACCGAAAATTTGGTAACTGAAAAATAGAGAAGGTGAAAAATCGCAAAATCAAAAACCTGAAAAATTGTTATATCTACAATTTCGTTTTTTTTCCAAAAGTCTCGATGTCTATCAAAAAATTTAACACGGATTCATAAACCACAAATGGAGGACTTTGTAATCGAGTCACACATTACTTAACTATATCACTATTTCTATATTCGAATTCACAATTAAACACATTTTATTTACAAGAAGCTTCTAAAAGCCGTTTTTTTAATGAAAGTTTTTTAAAATAGGAATGGCGAACTGGAAAAATTCTATTATATTTTGTATTGTTGGTTGCATATGCAGAAATTTAATTTCTTTTATAATTAATAAATAGGTGTTTAAAGTAAAACAATAGTGATTGTATCTGGTGAACGAATTCTTCTGATGACATCAGTAACCTTGTAGTTTTTTACTTTCCAACTTTCCAACTAAAATTCGGTTATTAATAATTTTTTTGTTTTACAAGATACACAGTGTACACTTTTTTTGCCAAATTTACGGTCGTCACAGATTATGTTCGCCTTTTGCGTACGTTCCCCTTTCTACTTGATATTTCTGATAAATTTTCGTTCAAATATTTTTCCAGTGGGTCGCTAGAACGTGATAAAAAATTATAAATCTGATAACAACAACCCAACTAATCGCACTACTCTCACCACGGAGACGTATAAATCACAATAAATCTAGCTTGCGTAATTAAAACTGATTACATAAAAGTAGGGTTATGTTGCCAAAACTGCAAATTTATACAAAAATCCTCAACAAAATCAAGCAATGGTGGCTACTGTCATTCACTATCGTTGTTTTTTAGTTTCCAAAGCACATTTACAAAAAATCGCACATAAAAATGTGAATAAGTGAGGTTATGGTTACATAAACGTCAAACCCAGTTCAACGTGGGCGCACGGCGGTCAATTCGAACTGAACTCAACCTAACTACCCTTAACCACGTGCACCCCTTTAAAACCCTTACTTCGAGTATTTGCAGTTCCACCAGCCCCTTGGTCCACAACAGCATGCTCCATACCACCACTCCAGAGACCCCCAGCACCACGATCAAAGGCTTGTACCTGCACAGGTCGGTGATCAGGAACACAACGACGGACTGCGCTAGGTAACTGTATGTTCCCACGGGATAAACCTCCTCGGTGACCTGCTCCTTGCTGACATTCCGCCAGGGCCCCACCAGGAACTCGTAGACGAAAGGCTCCGAAGGCCTGATCTCCTTCAGGAATCCGAAAATCGACAGCAGCAGCGAGATCTTGAACCACTCATTCATCCTCACTGTGCGAATTAAGTACGGGGAGCGCGACGGTTTGCACTTGAGCTGGAGCAAAGTCACAACATGACCTTTCTATTTTTCGGTCGATTCATTACATCACAACTTCAATCGGCGTTTTCGCCCATTCAGGGGTTAACAGGAGTCGAGTCGGACGCATTATTTAAAGCAATTTGTGCAATGCGGATTTGAAGGTTATTTGTATTGAAAATATTTTAATAGTGCGAGAGGGAGATAGGTTGGAGAAGGAGAGGCGAGGAGCCACAGTATAAGCAACGGTGGTGAAACAAACGAGATTTTTTCAGGCAACGTTTGATTGATTTAGAGGTGACTTTAATAAGGTATTATTATTTTTTTTTTAGTTAAACAGGGGCACAACATGCAACCAATATCCATTCACTCAAGGAGAGGTAATAATTACAATGATGAAAGATGAAGACTGATCGAAAAAATTTGTTCTCTGTGTGAAATATATCTCAAATAACCACCTTGATACACTATACTATAATTATTCTCTTGATTTTGAAAATTTCAATCTATCGTTTGTTTCATTTCAAACTATAAATTAATTACATACATTATTTTTTTTATAATACCAATATCGTTAAGAAGACTCCCTTGAGGGTTTTTTTTTATTTTTTCTATGATAAAATGATATTAATTTAGCTGTATATATACATATATATACATCAAACTGCAGGTGTATGTTATAAAATTTTATGATGAGGTCATTAATTTTTTGAGGGAATAAACACATAAATTTTGATTAAACTTTTACCATGCTTATGTGGAAAAGTACTAAAATGTAACAAATTATTATTATAATTTCAATGAAGAAAAACATTAAAATTAAAAACAGCATAAAAAAGTCGTAGAAGGTTATTTCGACAGAACTTCCCTCCTTCCTGAAGTACAACCCAGCAAATTCCCCTTCTTTGAAAAATCGAAAAACCGAGAAATCAAACAATCGAAAATTCAAAAACGGACACATCGAGAACTCGAAAAATTAAGAAATCGAAATTGACCAAAATTGAAAATTTTGAAATTAACAAAAAGCCGATAAATCGAAAAATTAAAACATCGAAATCTCGATAAATGGAAAAATCGAAAAACTGAAACACTGAAAAATGAAAATTCGAGAAGTCCAAAATTCGAAAAATCGAGAAACTGAAACGTCAAAAAAGGGAACTATCGAGGAACTGAAAAATGGAAAAATTTTAAAACCGAAAAATGGAAAAATCTAAATATCGAAAAATCCCAAAACTAACATTTCGAAAAATTTAAAAATTAAAGAAAAATTGAAAAATCCAAAAAATTGAACAATCCCAAAACAGAAACATTTAAAAATTGATGAATCACAAAAATTGAAAAAACGGGGAATCGAAAAATCAATAAATCGAAAAACCAAGAAATTAAAAAAAATTAAAAAACAAAACTCGAAAATTTGAAAAATAAAAAAATCCAGATATCAAAAAATTGAAAAATTCAGAAATTGATGAAGCAAAGTAAGAAAAATCCTAAAATAGAAATATCGAAAAATTGATAAATCGATAAATCGAAAAATCGAAAATTCAAAGCAAAATTTGAAGACTGGAAAAATTGAAAAATCCCAAAACTTAAATATCCAAAAATTGAAAAAAAAAACGAGAAATGGAAAAATCAGAAAATCGAAAATTTGAAAAATGTAAAAATTAAAAAACCGATAAATCGAAAAATGGAAAAATCGAAAAACTGAAACATCGAAAAATCAAAATCCGTCAAAAAATGTAAAAATCTAAAATTTAAAATTTCAAAAAATTGAAATATCGAAAAACTGAAAAATCGAAAAAATTAAAAGACGAAAAATTTAAAAATCTAAATATCGGAAAATCCTAAAACTGACAGTTCGAAAAATTGAAAAATAAAAAAAAATGAAAAAACCGGAAATCGAAAAGTCCAAAAATCGTCACATCGAAAAATCGAAAAAACCAAAAATTTTAAAAAATATATATATATAAAAAAAAATCGATAATTTGAGAAATCGAAAAATAAAAATATCCAGATATCGAAAATTTAAAAAATTGGGAAATTGGTGAATTGAAGCGAAGACCGCCAAAACAGAAATATCGAAAAATTGAAAAATCGGGAAATGGGATAATGAGAAGATCGAAAAATCTAAACGTCGAAAAATCGAGAAATTGAAAAGTTAAAAAATCGAAAAATTGAAATATCGGAAAATTAAGAAATTAATAAAAAATCGAAAATTTGAAAAATGTAAAAATTAAAAAACCGATAAATCGAAAAATGGAAAAATCGAAAACCTGGAACACCGAAAAGTCAAAATCCGTCAAAAAATGTAAAAATTTAAAATTTAAAAATTCAAAAAATTGAAATATCGAAAATTTGAAAAAAAGAAAATTTTAAAAATCATATAATGCAAAATTTAAAAAATTCGAAAAATTAAAAAAGTAAAACATGAGAAATTGATGAAGTAAAATATAGAAAAATCCCAAAACAGAAATCTAGAGAAACTGCTAAATCGATAAATCGAAAAATTGTAAATTCAAAGCAAAATTTGAAGACTCGAAAAATTGAAAAATCCCAAAACTGAAATATCGAAAAATTGAAAAATCGAGAACTCGAAAAATCAAGAAATGGGAAAATCAGAAGCTCAAAAGTAGAGAAACTGAAAACCGAATAATTAAGAAATTTTGAAAAAATGAAAAATTAAAAAATCGGAAAATAGAAAAGGATCGAAATATTGAAAAATCCCAAAATGGAAATATCGAAAAATTGCAAAATCTAGAAATGGAAAAGTTGAAAAATCGTCAAGTGGAAAAATCCAAAAACCGAGAAATCAAACAATCGAAACATCGAAAAATTCAAAAACGAACACATGAAGAAGTCGAAAAATTACGAAATCGAAATTGACAAAATTGAAAAATTAAAAATTGAAAATTTTGAAATTAACAAAAAACCGATAAATCGAAAAATTGAAAAATCGAGAAATTGAGCAATAAAAAAATTAATACATCGAAATCTCCATAAATGGAGAAATCGAAACATTTAAAAACTGAAAAACCGGAAAATCAAAATCCGAGAAATCCAAAAATCGAAAAATCGAGAAACCGAAACGTCAAAAAACGGAAAAATCTAAACTTTAAATATTCAAAATGTGGAACTATCGAAGAACTGAAAAATCGAAAAATGGAAAAATCTAAATATCTAAAAATCCTAAAACTGAGATTTCGAAAATCTGAAAAATTGAAGAAAAATTGAAAAATCCAAAAAACTAAACAATTCCAAAACTGAAACATCTAAAAATTGATAAATCAAAACATTGAAAAAACAGGGAATCGAAAAACCCAAAACTCGTCAAGTCGAAAAAACGAAAAACCCAAAAATTAAAAAAAAATAAAAAATTAAAAACAAAAATCGAAAATTAGAGAAATCGAAAAATAACAAATCCAGGGGTGGGATTTTGTTTCTTGACCGAAGTGATAAATTTTCACTTGCGATAAATGGCATTGCGTAGCTTTTAAATGCAAAGTTTGCATTTATTCTTTCCATATAAGCTTATTAAATGCTCAAAAGTTTACAATTACCTTAATTTTAAGAACTTATAACTCAGAATTACGATTTTGAACTTCTATTTTGACATAAATTTTGAGGTTATGTCTCCAAAATTTATCACTTCAATCAGAGCTACCGAGAAAATATCACTCCATGAAGACTTGATTTCGTGACAGAATCGAGAAATTTAACAGAAATGTCTCACCAACTCAGCCTCTCAACCAATCAGCAAACGAGATTTTATCGCTATCGAGTTTTTTTCGATCGAGAAACAAAATCGCACCCCAGACATCGAAAATTTGAAAAATTGAGTAATTGATTAAGCGAAGTATAGAAAAATCCCAATACAGAAATATCGAAAAATTGAAAAAACTAAGCAAAATTTGAAGACTCGAAAAATTTAAAAATTCCAAAGCTGAAATATCGAAAAATTGAAAAATCGAGAAGACGAAAAATCGAGAAAATCGAAAAATCTGAAAGTCGAAAAATCGAGAAATTGACAAGTTAAAAAATCGAAAAATTTAAATATCGGAAAATTAAGAAATTAATAAAAAATCGAAAATTTGAAAAATGTAAAGATTAAAAAACCGATAAATCGAAAAATGGAAAAATCGAAAAACTGGAACACCGAAAAATCAAAATCCGTCAAAAAATGTAAAAATCTAAAATCTACGAAAATCCTAAAATCGTCACATCGAAAAATCAAAAAACCCAAAAATTAAAAAAGATATATATAAAAAAACAAAAATCGATAATTTGAGAAATCGAAAAAAAAAAAATCCAGATATCGAAAATTTAAAAAATTGGGAAATTGATGAATTGATGAAGCGAAGTATAGAAAAATTCCAAAACAGAAATATCGAAAAATTCAAAAATCAAAGCAAAATTTGATGACTTGAAAAATCCCATAACTGAAATATCGAAAAATTAAAAAATCGAGAAATCGAAAAATCGGGAAATGGGATAATGAGAAGATCGAAAAATCTAAACGTCGAAAAATCGAGAAATTGAAAAGTTAAAAAATCGAAAAATTGAAATATCGGAAAATTAAGTATTTAAAAAAAATCGATAAATCGAAAATTTTAAATTATTATTAATGATTATTGCACTCACATGTCACATGATGTCAACTGACCAATCAAACGCGTCAATATTTGTAAATTCAACCAATCAGCATACAATTACGTGATAATTGCACACTGTGCAATTACCACTACCGATAATTATCACTAGCCAGATGTGCCAACTATAAGATAAGCAAGTACCAGTTAATTGCAAAAAAAAACAAGAGGTTACTAACCAAATATTTAATTATGAAACTAAGAATTGTAATTAATTATGGTACAGTTGTAGTAATTTACAGGGGTTTGTGTGCTTGGTGAAGTAGTAACTATATTTTTAGACATTTGTACCAAAGCAGACGGTGCGCAATTTGTGGATTTGTTATTAGACTCTTCCATAGCCGTTGAGTTGGCGCGTAATTTGTCAATCATTTGATAATGATGATCTCCATCGAGCTGAAGGTATGGTTTGATGGAGAAAGTATTGGCATGACCGGTAATCTTTATAAGCTGTTCTTCACCGACTCCCGCTTTTGCAAGTTGCGACACTGCAGTTGACCGTAATGAATGATTACTAATCTTCTTTTTCTTTATGTCGATGCCTATTTCTTCTGCGGCGGTTCTTGTCCATTTCCCCATTTCATTCCTTCCAACGGGTGAATTTTTGAACCATCCTACAGAACTAGGTTCTCTCCATGCAGGATTTGGCGTTAAAAATAAACGATCGGTGGTTATATGTTTACCTCTCTTGCTCAGCATTTTTTTGTAGAGCCTTAAATAATAAAATAATTATTATTTTGTATTTGAAACAGTATTTAATTACCTAACAGGGCAAATTCTAGGATCTGTGGTGTTTGTTGCAAGCCATTTGCTGTCTGTTAATTTATGGCTACCTCCTTGAGCTGTTTTGGAAAAAATACAATTGTATTCTATTCGCCCCGTAGGCAAACCACAATTATCACTTTCTTCCTT